GAATTAAATAAACAGCAATATATACACATACACGCGGTCCTAACTCCGACCATTAATTTGAATTTTTGACCTACAGGATGTTTGAAAATCAAGGATTGCGAGTCTCATACTGCACCGTTTTTCTTCAAAATTGTAACCATTCAAATCAAAACAAAGTGGCCTTTCTGTCTGTTCTTTGCTTTTTTGTATAGAGTCCCTCGTTTAAGCAGCATTTTGGTCCCCAGCTGTGAGAAGCCCTTCCAACAGCTGGGGACCAAAATGCCGCTGAAAGTAAGGACTCTCTATAACAGAGTAATGTACCAACATAAAGGCATTTTTGTTAAGCTTTGAACGGAAAAAGTTTGAAGAAAAACGGTGCAGTATGGAACTCGCAATCCTTGATTTTCAAACGTCCGGTAGGTCTAAAATTCAAATTAATGGTCAAAGTTAGTACTGCATGACATAATATGGTCAGATTGGTGTTTTTATTTTGAATTCTGGGGCCATTTACATGACAATATATCACCATCTGGTAACAATAATCTGATTGGTTGAGTCCACTCACCTGATCAGTGACATCATAGACGACTATAATACCATGTGCCCCTCTGTAATAACTAGATGTGATTGTTCGGAACCTTTCCTGTCCGGCTGTGTCCCACTGTAACAGATTAAATGATCCATTAATATGTGTCATACATATTAAGACCAGTAAGCATTTAAACATCTACACTTTGCAAAGAATTTGACTTTGTTTCACTTAGATGTCTTCATTGATCTTCCCTTTCCAATCTGAAGTCTAAGACTGGGTATCGCACAAATCAGCAACACATCTGATAGGTTAATTATTACATGAACAATTATTTTAAAAATTGATTGAACTCTTTTAATCTGTAATTTAATGAGGCCATGAATATCTTTCAAGTAACAAGACGGTAATTTCAGAGGACAGAATTTTAATGCTAGGCTGTATCAGGGTATTAAACATTAGGAAAAATGCATGTGGAATGTAACCAAGATATGAATCAGAAGAATATAATCAATACAACACTATAATGTACTTACTATTTGTAATTTGATAGTTTTACCATCTAGTTCTATTGTTCTGATTTTCTGAAAAATATAAAAATAATATGCAATACATGATATAGCACTTACAACAAAACTAAAATAAGTTAATTAGCAGTAGCAGATTGAAAGTCCAGTATAAAGCTATATAAAATTTATGCTGGTACCCACGGTTTCCACAATAATCAATTTTGTTTTCTCACAGTTGACCCATATGCTGCATGATTATTGATTACAATTATACATGTATGTGTTCCAACTAGAGATGTCGTGGATATCTAATTCAGTTCTGAACTAATCCAAAAAGTGTTCCATGAAATTCTTGGTCATTTTTATCTCAATGTGATTTTTTTATTTCATTTTTATTTTCATGCTTGTGATTAAAAAAAATTGGTTATAAATTTAAGGCATGGTTTGATCTTCTTGAATGAATAAGTAAACCACAAAATAGAAAATCTCAACAATCTTTGTGTCAAAGTGGAATCTTTCTGGAGTCAGTTGTTCCATATCAAAACTATTTTGAAGATTTTTTGTTCCATGAGATTTTTAAATTCAACCATAAGCTTGAACCAGCAAACTATCATTTCACATGTTTTCTTCTTAAAAATTAAAACATGAAATTAAAAATCTTGTTGAAAAAGTCTACTTACAAAATCAACTCCAATAGTGCTTATATAGCTTTCTGTGTATGTGTCATCCTGAAATGCAAAAAATAAATCAAAATAATTACTTGTAAGTCAAATATTTTCTTTACCAATAAAGTTAGTAAGTACATTGTAAGTATCATAGAGTAAAAGTAATTTCTGACAAATTAATTTTATGTTATGTTCTTAAATATACAATTAAGTTTCTTTGAATTGCATAAAGCTTTAGTTTGTGTTCTCCACAGTAATGATTTATAAATCTCATAACATTGTGATATATTCAGATTAACAGACTAGCTATTGATTTTATTCCCTTTGGAATTTACACAGTAATATCCAGGTAAGCAATGTATTCAAGATGTCATAGAGAAACCTGAATAGAATATCACTTTAAAGAATATCAAATAATGAACCTTATTACACATTGAAGGGTCTACATATTTTAAGTTTTATACATAGTGTAGTTGTATAGGGATGTTGTACAGTACTTTTTGGGATAATTAACTGATTGTTTGAAAAAAAAATTGTGATCTAGATCATGCCATTTTTAAGGATGTGCCAATAAAGTTGAACTTTTTTTCCAAAATAGTAACCCTCACTTGTGATATGAATATATGACATTTTTAATTTGTAAAAACTGCATCATTCAGTAGGCTCACACATCTGACATTACATTGTAAAGCTGATTTCTCCAAAAACATGGCAAAAAGAGCAAGAACCAATGGGGTTTATAACCACCATAGTAAGTAGACACACATAAATGGCTATTGGTATTCATAAAGACAAATGGCAAATGATTAAACAAAACTTACAGCAAATCGCAATAGAAGACAAGATTTTCCTACACCGGAGTCACCAATCAGTAGAAGTTTGAACAGGTAGTCACTGAAAGAAGATGAAAGGTATACATAAGTATTGTAGCTTCTTATAAAATGTCACAGCATGTGCAGAATAGTCAATATTATACAATACAATGTCACAGCATACAAAGAGTAGTCAATATTGTACAATGCATCTAATTATCCAATATTATTATACATTGAATTAATTAAGCCATATGGATCTTTAATAATGGTAGAGCCCCTATTTTGAAAACAGAAGCCTTATTACACAATTGTAGGTACATCATAAAACTATATTGTGCATGCTGCATATTCAAATTAAAATGCACCTTTATATGAAGCTTTCATAATTTCTTGGGTCACTCTAACCTGCATTGGATTTTTCAATAATAAAACCAACATAAACATTGCTTTACTTTAGCAATCTGTCTACTTCAAGTGTCATTTTAATACATATCAATAAGTAATAGCAATTACCATTTATATTAATAAGAACAGTCTGGGATCTCCCCACTATTAAAGCAACTGAGTGTTGTTGATGTTGCAGCAGGTTAGGGTTGAAGACATGAAAAATGTCTATAGTTATTATCAATATCTAAGTGAAATAAGGATTTTACACCCCAAATCACACTTCTCTCTGTCTCAAGTACATTATTTTCATTGGGTGAATCAAAATCACATGACAAAACACCATATCTATGAATCAATGCCAAAAACACTGAGATATGTTTATATGTTTATACAAAATACCATATCTCAGAAATAATTACCTTACACACTTGTTTACTTGTTAATTTGATATAATTCAACCAAATACATCAGAGGCAGGGCTCTCTCGAGGCTTTTAGACTGTGGCGCGGCACCACAGTCAATTTAGCTCCCACCACAACATTATATTGGCAAATATTGATTGTTCCCAGTCTAAACTTGACTGAATACACAATATTAGCATGTAAAAAGGATAAAATATAACAAAAATATGATTTATCATGATTGAACGATTGGCTGAAGATGTTTCCACCATACCCTAAATATTTCCTGGTGGCGAGAGCCCTGATAAGGTAGCTGTTTAACAATTATTACTTACTATTCACTGGTCAATCCATTTAGAGGAGCATCATCAATACTAAATCTTATATCAGTTCCTTTTATTTTTTGCTTCCTGAGTTTATCCAAAAAAGACTTGAAGAAAAAATTTCCCATATTTTCCAGCTGATAAACTTAGTTGTGGAATATTTTCTTAAATACTAACTTTTTAAACAAATTAAAATGCCTAAACGGAATATGTCACTAAGGACATGCTTTCATCACTTGAAATTAAATTACCAATAAACAGGTCCCCAAAATGACCAGGGTTTTTATCTGAACACTTTCAGGATTATTTTGAGGTATTTTCTAATCAAGAATTCCAACTATGCAGAAATGATGTGGATGTTTACATTATGTTCTGAGGGTATGAGTCAGCCGGAGATTCCCATTCAATAGTCACATGATGAGAAGTGGGGCAGAAAAAATTATTGTTCAATAACAAAGAGGCTAGTAAGACTAGTTTCCTAAGACTGCATCAAAATAATGAAAATCCTTATGCAAATTATCAGTCATTCTTCACTGATTTAGTCTGAAATGATGTGGAACTTGATAACTTTCGAGTTATGTCATTTATATGGACACTTTTTTCACCAACTGGCTGGTAATCTTGAATCAGTTGCATGAAATCGACAGATCGTGAATTCTGCCCAATGCACTTGTCTTGTTATGTAAGAGTGTTTTGATGGGTGGATAAGTTAGGTATGAAGGTCCTAAACTTCCTGTGTCAGTGTGACATTTTTTGGAGTCATTTTAGCTGTCTATAAAAGCTGTCACTTACATAAAACGAAAATAATTTCTTCATTCAAATGTAAAGACACATGAACACAATCAAATGAAGGTACCAGCCTTGTATAATTTAGTCAAGAAGAGTCAAATCTACAAAAAATATGACGGTATTTTTGGGGTGTCTTTCAAATCGACGAACTGCGAATGATGATGACGTTGATTTTATTTACATAACTTTTACTTTTTACTGGTTATTAACACAATATACTTACTATTCAGGATTCATTGTGGACATGGCAAGGAGCTCCTTGATATATAAGATCACCCGTTTTCGGCGATTATTTGGCTAAAAGAGAACGAAATGAGTTGAAATTTTTACAATTTCTTTCCAAAATGGCTTCCTCCTTCTAAATGAGCAATTGATCCTAGAGGGGTTCATGAATTGTGAAAATGACGTCATCTTCCGCTACGTGGCGCATCACTAGATTGCAATATTTTTAGATGAAACGGAACAGTGTGAACCGTTTCTTTAACATTAATTCTGCTTTTGTAACATTAAATGAATCCACTGCCCTCGTTTTATTTCTGTCTGATACAAAAACTATCCTTTACAGAAATTCCAAAAGAAGACATAATACAGTCTTTGTTCGAACGTTTCTTAAAATGCGCCATAAAGTTCCGTTCGCAGTTTGAGCGGGATAAAGCTCGCATTAGCAAAATTATTAGACGTTCTCGAAAGAAAATAGTTTGGATTTTCGTGAGTTTTGTTATATTTTCACTTATTTCTCAATACTTTCATTATCTTGTTAAGTAAATGAACAAGTCGTTTTGGTAGTTACAACGTGTGCTACTCACACAAATATTGATTCATTGAAAGTACATTCAGCAAAAGTTAAAGTGTAAAATAAGTGTTGTTTGTGAAAATTTATTTCATTTTTTTTTTATTTTCTTTGAATTGATTGATCGTTTTTATCCAAACATGCAAGATTTCACTGAACACTGAACTTAAACATTTTAATTTTTATAATTTGCTTGATCCTTTGATGAATTTGGAACAATTTATTCAGGCTAACAGTCAAGCAGATTTAGACTCACCGCGATTTATGTATTCACAGCACAGGAGCGTGTATCAACACCCGACATATATTCATAATATTGGCCAAACCTTGAAGAACAGTGTATAGATGAGACGTCAGTTATCCTGTGCTACATCAACTTATGTGAATTAATATTGTTTTCAGAGGTATCAAGATGCGTATATCTGAAGTCCGCTATAATGCTATCAAATCCTATTTAGAGCTTGAAAATTCAGATCCTGAAAACACGGATGCATTCTGGGATACTCCAGAATCTAAAGAATTTGCCGTTGAATCAGGACATGGAGAGTCAGGATTGGAGTCATCTGCTGTGTCTGCAGTACGTGGAAGAAGAAGACGCTTCAAATTATTGATTTCAGAAAATAACCTCATTTTGAAAGATGGACAAGTTGGGGCATATGTTCCAGTTGGTTCCGCAAATTTCAAAACTTTGTTAAATGAAGCTCAGTATGGTGAAGTAATGAAGCAATATCACAATAAACGAGGTCATATTGGTGTGACTCCCACCTATAAAGAGGTTTGTTTATTTGTTTCATACTTTGTAGACTGTACAGTAATTCTAATAACCATGCCACATTTTATTTTAGTCTTTTGTGAATCAAATTTTGTTTAGCAGTGGCTACCTTAATTAATAATTTTCTTTTCTAATATTTATTCAGTACTGCCTTTTTAAAGGAAAACACGCTGGTTAATTTTTCAAAAATAATTCTACTAAAGAGATAACGAATCTGAAGGGGCCTAATGAGCTTTAACTCAATAAACTGATCCAAACCCCTGTGTATTGATTGTCATTTATCTATCAAGGGACCTTACTTTGTGCAATGAACACCCATGAAGTCACCAAAATGTGTTCACTCTAGGTAGGTGTTCACTACAGAGAGTTTAGACAGAAGTCCATGGAGTATATGCTGAGAAGGAGTGTTCACTTACAGGTGTTTATTTGAGAGAGGTGTTCACTAAGACAGATTTTACTTTGTACTGCACTCTTGTAAATCTAGATGTAGCAAAGATTGTCCTTACATGAACATTTTAGAATTACTGTACCACTACATTTTTCACATATTTAATGCTGATTTGTTTTTTTTAGATGAAGAAAGACTTCCTGTTTGTTAATATAGATGAAGTGCGAGATTATATCAGCCATTGTGAACAATGCCAGGTGAGTATTGATTGTGTCAAAGTTCAAATCAGTAATGCTGAACATTTGACTGTAGTAGGTAACATCTACTACTAACATGTTAGTCGAGTTATGTTTAACATGTTGAGTGAGTATTTTGACACATTAAATGAGTATAGCTGACATGTTGAGTGACTATTTTGACACATTAAATGAGTATAGCTGACATGTTGAGTGAGTATTTTGACACATTAAATGAGTATAGCTGACATGTTAAGTGAGTATTTTGACACATTAAATGAGTATAGCTGACATGTTGAGGGAGTATTTTGACACATTAAATGAGTATAGCTGACATGTTGAGGGAGTATTTTTATTAAATCAGGGCACTGTTAACATGTATCAATTGAGTGTTGTTGAAATAGTGTCAATTAACCTGAAAATTAACGTTTTTTCATGAAATAATGTCAGGTATAATAACAACATGGACTACTGTGAGCAAAAATCAAAAACTAAAAGTTATGCTTAACCTATCTCTACTTTGTTGTATCTTTATCATGTCAAATTCTTTCAGGGAACACGATTGAATAAACCTTTAAAAACACCTGTAAAGAAACCTGTCAAAACACCTGTAAAGACACAAGCAAAGACACCAAGAAAAGAACATGTAAATATACCAGAAAAGACTTTGGTAAAATCCCCCCAAAAGACACTGGTAAAAAAGACTGTAAAAACCCCTGAAAAGACACCGGTGAAAGAGACTGTAAAAACCCCTAAAAAGACACCTATGAAAGAGACTGTAAAAGACCCTGAGAATACACCTGTAAAAGAGACTGTAAAAACCCCTGAAAAAACACCCACAGAATCTCTTGAAGTAAAGAATCAGGACCCCAGGTACAAAAATATCAAAATGGCTACCTTCCCATCAAAGAGCCTTAAACTCAAGCTGCCAACATCAAATGAAAAATTTCAAGCCTTGAGAAGCAAGGATGTCCTTTGTGATGTAACAATACAACTGGAAAGGACTGAAATTGTTGGTGAATCAAAAGAAGAGGTTAAAATAGTTGAAGAAGTTAATGCCCATAAATTGATTCTATGTGCAAACAGTAGTTTTGGAACAGATATATGGAACCCGCACAAAGTGACGATTTTCATAAAAGCTCAGGATTCAAGATTAGAAGAACTTAAAGCTATCGTTGACTTCCTGTATGGAGAAACTCTCATTTTGACTGCAGAAAATCAAAAATCAACCAAAGAAATAGCAGATGGGCTAATGTTAGAGGAGCTGGTTTATATCTGTGATAATACAATATTCACAGAGAACAGCTATAGGACATTGGAATGTGGAGTTGACATTATTCTAGATCATCCGTTGGTTTCTCCAATGGTTAAAGTCAAGAAGGAACCGGGTATGTTATATATCCTTATTTACAAAACACACAATAGACTACAATGGTAGTAGTATACACAATGAATTATATACATATAGACCATGCTTTAGTTTCTATGGCTTTACCAACAAAGTATTGCATTGTTCTTTCTTTGCTTAAAAATTCATAATTTATGACTTAAACATCAGTTAATGATACCAAAATAGTTCAATAAAGGTGTATATGTGTATATTAACAGTTTCCCTAGATTAAACAGTTTGCGCAGGTGCAGATGTATGGTCAGTTATCACTGAATTATAAATTGTTTGAGTGATCACTGACTTTAAGCTATTTTATTTATTGCAGGACTTCAACAATCTTTCGACGAAGAAGATGAAGATTCTGATATTGAAGAATTCCAACCACCATTGAAAAAGACAAAGTCAGGACGTGCTGTAAAACTAAGTAAGGGCTTCCACCAATCGGATTTCCCTTGTTCTACACTTGCTGAAAATATTGCTATCAGACAACAGAGGCTTCAATCAGCCCATTGCCCGAATATCAACTACATAATCTAGTTTTAAGTCCACTGCCAAGCAGCTAAGAATTCTGCATCTTGCATTTTTTGTTTCGATAATTATTCCACCTAACAAAGTGGTAACTCAAATACTGGTTGATGGTTTTGGTTCAAATTTTAAATGCCGGTGCCTTAAGAGGGAACTAAAGATAGCCGCTGAACTTCAAAATGGTGATAGGACAGTGTCATATTAATTATACTGACCTATCAAAAACTGAAATGTTTATAACACTTCCCAGTAATAAATACATCCATTTTGAAATAATTTCTTATCATTATTCCAGCTTTGAAAGCGAAAGCCTTAACTAGAAAGAGAAAAGTAGCTACCAAGTCATCAGAAACTCCAGTGTCACATAAATCCCCTGCTAAGGTATTAGATGGTCCAGATACACCTAAATCCCCTGCAAAGGTATCAGATGGTCCAGATACACCTAAATCCCCTGCAAAGGTATCAGATGGTCCAGATACACCTAAATCCCCTACAAAGGTATCAGATGGTCCAGATACACCTAAATCCCCTACAAAGGTATCAGATGGTCCAAATACACCTAAATCGACTACAAATGTATCAGATGATACAGGTACCCCCACAACTCCTGCACAAGTACCTGATAGCGCAGGTGAACCTGATCAAGCTGAGGCAGTAACACCTGATAAATTTGATGATACTCAGGAAGTTACACCATCTACACCTGCAGACGAAGCTGTGGAGACACCACAAAAGTCAGAACAAACTCAAGATGTAACAATTAGTAAACCTAAAAAGATGCCAGATGCCCTGGATTTGTCTTGTCCGCGAGAAGATTGCAACTTTATCGGGGCCAATAGAGCTGTGTGGAGGGATCATATGATATTCAGTCACTCAGGTAGGTGAACTCCCTATAAACATCAAGGAATCATCCCTAAATCCAATAATTATTCCAATGAACAAAGTCTGGTAATGATAAATTGACCTTTTGACCTTTCCTATAACCATAGACCTTCCATATATTACGATTAGATAATTTCTATTTAACCATTAATGGACCACATAAGTAATAATTTATGATATTCTTCGAAAATGATTCGTTTGCATTGTGCCCCTGCTGATATTGGCAGTTAACCTGCATTCCTCTTTTGATATTGCCTTTTGCAGTAACATTTAAAATTCAGCTGGCAAATTGTTTGTTTGTTTGTTTGTTTGTTTGTTTGTTTGTTTGTTTTATTTATTTTCGAAATTCCAAATAATACAAGTACAATCACAATAGTGGAAGACACCCCAAGGGGCATATAATCCACGTTATATTAAACAAAAAATATTTACAAGTAGCAAAACTCATACAAGAAATCAGTGCTCATTAGAATTAAAGATTGACACTAAATATTTCAAATTTGGTTGGTCCCATCCTCCATCCTCCTCTACCCAAATTCTGAATGTACTGTAATACTTGATCTGGTTTACATGTACATGTATGATATCTGATTTGTTTTGACATTTTCAGAGTTTTATTGGTTCAAATGTAAGCTATGTGATGATAAAGGTGACGACTCTAAGCTCACATATAAATGGCCCCCTGGAGCTAGAAAACACAGACAGTTGGCACATAGGTAAGGTATACTAGTATACCCTAAAACACATGGAGTAACCACATTACACTCTGATTACTATGGATGATTTTGTAGTTATGATGTTTGTGATATATGTCATGATCTTCTTTATATCAAGAGTAACTTTTATGAAGTGGGAATGTGAAGGGCTGTCATTAGTTTAAGTTTGAGTTTAAAATATTTTATTTCTGTGTCACAGGTTTAAAAACTACATTCAATATCATATAATAATTAGTCAACATGGCTGCCAAACTTGAATATCAATAACACATGCAAGGTCACTAGTTAAACAGTTGTCATGGTGATGAATGGATTTTTCAAATTTGATTTGATGACTTGCCAACTTGACCCTTCCAAAAATGTTCATTGAAAATGTGTTCTTTTAGTGATTTCGTTCCTTTTAGATGATTTTAAAGAAATAAATTGCAATGTGTGAAAAGAATTTAAGCCCAAGACTCAATGCATTGTAGCTGCTTCATTCCATTCAGGCGTTGTTTCCTAAACTTTGCATTCCCGCTGCACGATCATGCAAAGGTTTGGAAACAGCACCTTCATGGTATGATTCAGCAAACAATGCATTGAGTCTTTGGGTTAAATCCTTTAGTAATAATGTGCATGTATATAAGTGTAATGATATAAGCATGATACTTATTGATAGAATTTCTCAATGAAGTTGTCACATATTATTCTAGCCACCATGTTATTGCCTTGTCTCTGAATTAAGAAAAAATTGTGAATAGCTTCCTATTTTTGTATTATTCAAAAGTGTTGTTCTAGAGTTTTCTAATCCTAAATAATTAACAATGCCATAAATTCAAAAAACAATGATTTTTGGAAATACCCATATTGCAGAATATAAGGATTTTTCCCGAATAACAACAATTGTTGATAAAATAAATTTTACAATACAAAAATTACATAGTTCTAAAAGGCATGCTAAAAATTAAATATTGCATAAATTCTGTTTTTCAGGGGCAAAGAAATGAGTAAGTACTATCTTTATTTATTTAAAAAGCATTTTATTAACACATCTTATTAATTCATTCCACATGTTCAGAGATTCACATTCTAAATTCAAAGATTTATATGTAAAATACATAGGATAAGTAAAAATATATGTATCTTTCACTCCTTTGGAAACAGATTTGGATTTGAATGTGTTAAAAGATTTTGAAACACAAAATTATGTAGATGTACAAGGTGTTCAGGAAATAAAGATAATAATGTCATAACTTTTTTATTTGTTCGTGGATTGCATTGAAAGTTTCAGAGATTATTGTTTTAACATATTTTAACTTATTGTTGGAGTTTCAGCTTCAGGTGATTTGATTGGTTGATTCTGTGGTTGCCATAGCAATGCGAGTAGCGCTAAGGCGGGGCAGGTGGAATAACTGCAGTATATTTGCATGTTTTAAATGTTTCAAACAGAGATTCTATCATGTTTATGGCTTAAAATAGATGCTTAAAGATAGCTATAACTATAAGCCTGAAATTCTTTGCCAATTTATTCTACATAATTTCCTCTATTTTAGACACAAACTCTTTGCCTCTTGAACCTTTTTCAAATACTTCAGAGAATTCTTCTTGACTCATTTCCTGAAGTCTGTTTAACACATGGGAACGTATAGCATGAGTATTCTCAAATGCATGTCCTCTTAAGTCCCTTTTTGATTCAGCGAAGAAGTATAAATCATTTGGCGCTAGGTTGGGTGAATAAGGTGGATGCTTGAGTTGCTTTAATCTCAGCTGCTCCATTTCTTTAGTGATTATGGCAGCAGTAGGGGAGGGGGAATTGTCCAAGTGGAAGAGAAATTGCATCCTGGGTCGCTTTCTTTGTAATGCCTGCATTAAGTCATGAAAATCCCATTGAATATCATTAAAAAAGCATTTATTTGAGTTTTATATCATAAAACAAAAGAATAGAAGAATTTTATCATGTAGATGCACCAAGAAAGCTTTAAATATGGAGTCAAAATCAGTTTGCCATGCTAAATGTAACACAGAAACTACTGCAGTTATTCCATGTGCCCTACCTTAGCGCTACTCGCGTTGCTATGCAAACCACAGAAATGACAAATCAAATCGTTTGAAGCTGAAACTCCAAAAGTAAGTTTAAATATGTTGAAACTATAATCCCTGCAAATTTTATTGAAATCCATGATTAAATAAAAAAGTTATGACATTATTATCTTTATTTCCTGAACACCCTGTATATGCATGACATCTATTTTAGTTTTGACTGAGCATTACTGATTGTGTGATTCATTCATTTCAAATGTATTAAAATCATACATTCATCTTCACTTTCTTGAGTGCTATTTAATTTTGCTATTTTTGCAGGGTCTGTATTCTCTAGACTCTTAGATCTCATAGATATTTAAACTTGTTAACACTTAATCAAAGTTGTAGGTTTTATAAGATGTTTTGGGAAATACCATATACAATTATACATCTACATGTAACTTTGGATGATCTTTCCAATGATATATCGTATAACACTTTGAACCATATATTTTTGTTTTGGCTGTAATTGTTGGGGTGGATACGACTTATTTGACACCCTGTACATGTAACTCTTATATAAAGCCTCTGCCATTATGTATTCCACATTCACTAACTTGCAGTAGGTGTGTACGTTAGTGAGTTATGTGAACATAAGGGCTTATTGCGAGACCTCATAGTTCTATTGTGTTCATGTATGCATGGTTGATGTTTACAGATGCAGTGTTCAACTTCCAATGTGGGATTTGCAAGATTCCAATGACATTCTACCGACAGCTCCAGGTCCATATCCAGCAAAAGCATGGCGTCAAGTAAGCAATCCAATATTGAATATTCTCGTTGTAGTTCAGGCTATAACTTGTAACAGGGTTGAGTCAAATTTATGAATGTTTACTTTCAAGGCTTTTTACAATCTCTGTAGACTTTAATTTTGATTTATCATGAAAGCAGAAAATATAAAAGGAGGAGGGAAGTTAGCGCAACAGATTTTGAGCAGTCATATGTTTGATTTTGGCCATTTCCTGGGGATTTAAACAATTGCATATGTTAGGCGAATGCATTACCTCCAGGAAAATCATTTCTAGAGATGATAAAATAATTTCGATTTTGAGACAGGGTAGATGCAAACAACCCACCCACATATTTTTTCTGAAATGTTTTCCTGATTTTCAACCCCTTCCATCCTTGTTTTTTTAATTTTTCTTGCATCAATATGTTGCATTTTGACACACAGTTAATCCCTTAAAAGGAATAAATGATTCCGTTTAGATAAAGTGGAAAACAATATTTCCCATGTTATTTTCCCATAGGAAAAATCATTGCTTTCAGCTAAGTTTGGTCACCCATAATGGGTATCTTTAAAACCCCTGAAGGAATCACTTATTCCTTTAAAGTGGTTGTTGTGTCAAAACTTATGTGTCAAAATGCAACATATTGATGCAAGAAAAATTAAAAAAGCAGGGATGGAAGGGGTCAAAAATTAGGAAAACATTTCAGAAAAAACATGTGGGTGGGTTGTTTGCATCTACCCTGTCTCAAAGTCAAAATTATTTTATCATCTCTAGAAGTGATTTTCCTGGAGGTAATGCATTGGCCTAACATATGCACTTGTTTAAATCCTCAGAAAATGGCCAAAATCCAACATATGACTGTCCAAAATCTGTTGCGCTAACTTCCCTCCTCCTTTAGAAGCTTAAATCTGATATATTCAGATGTGTAATGTGTTCTCTAAGACTCTAATGTGTTCATTTCTTGAATTTATGACATTTTACGAATATTCAGCAGGATGGTAAAAATTCATTGAGTGTTGATTCAGGGGTTCAAAATCCCAAAAGGTGCTATGTGTGTCTGTAGATATTTTGGACCTAATTGCAATAATCCTATATAGCATATGTTTCAGTTTCTACAATGAACCTCATCTTTTCTTTAACTTAACTTTTTATATTTTCACCATTTTAAATATCGTAGGTCAGTTTACGTTAAGGAGAGAGGTACATATCCAAGACAGACAGATGTCAATGTGGATGAGGACAGTGATGGTACTGAGACTGATTCAGGTATATATGCTAGATATCTTGTTTTATGTTATATTAAATTATGTTGAATTACTGACAATCATGTTTAATTTGTGCATGTTGTTTGCATGAATTTTGAATTTCTTTTTTGCTTCATGAAAATTCACTTCTTAAGATTCAATTCTCCATTGATGTCAAATGTGAAATGAACAATGAGAAATGTGAAAAATAAGGAAGGTCCTGTTTTATTAACAAAAAAGTTTGACATAAAGGAGAGTTGGATTGATATTTTTATTATCCAGATAACTTTACTTTGAAGAAAATATATTTTCATGGAAAATGTTGAATTCTGGTCAAAATATAGTCATGGTCAAAGTCTTAAATTATTTGCTGTTCTATACCTGATCTTTTATGACATGAGCTTCATGAATCAGACAGTCTACCAAATTCAAGAGAATCTGACCTTCACATGCACAAATAAAACAAAACATTTTACTGTAATGCATCCCTTTTTTCAAGTGTAGGAGTTTTTATATCAAATAAATCCAGTGTTGACTTTATGTGCTACTTGATGACTGCTTCATGATGAGTGGTCTGATTTTGTAGTGCTCTTGACCTCAAGGCGGGGCTGGATATTTTACCTTATTTTATTGTTTTCAAGCAAAATGTATGTCCAGTACAATCATATATATTACATATAGCACTGTATAGTGTATAATACATATTAAAACTTCAGACCTACCATTATTTAGCTGAAAACTGTTAAATATTTGTTTCACTTTTGTCTATTTGGAATTTTTTCATTGAATTGCACTTCAAAAATGTGGACATTAGTTAGTACACTTGCAGTATAGAAAAACTATTAAACATAGAGATGGAACTAAAATTTAGTAAAAGCTTAGTAAAAGCTACAAAATACAACAAAATAAAAGTATTTTCAATGATATTCAGACTCACGCACTATAAGTGCAACCCTTTTAAATATACAATAGAATAATTATACTTTTCAAATATAGTACTTTACTCAATTTTGATGTGATTTATTACAGTCTGAAGTGTACTAAACATTGCAATGTTCAATACAAGTATAACAGCTATGAAAAATAAGCATGAATAATTCTTGTGTGGCCATTATTCTACAGGTGAACTCTTTGTGTAAATATTTTTTACATTTTGTTTAATTGTTCAAATTTTTCTTCTATTTAGAGGGTTCCCCAAAAGGTGTGATTCTACTGTCTCCTTCACTGATCCACTTGAAAAAAACTGGGATCATTTGCAGTTAACATTAATCTCTGAGTATTCATTGCCAAAGCCTAACCATTCTAATAAAGTTTTGATATTGTAATTGATATAATATATATTGTACGGTACTTAGAATTAAAAATCTTCAAGTAGAATAAACAGTCATAACTACCATTTCCATGTCTTGCGCATGCGCAATTGATTATATCACCAACCTTGTTTGGTGGTTGGTGTTTGGCATCTGTAACGAATGGCAGGTGGTGACAGTTTGCATGTGAGAGCCTTCTTAATTAACTAGCTTAGACACACCATACTTGTTCCTATGATCATATCCAGCAAATTGATTGGATTGCATATCTACTAAGCTCAGTAATTATTAATCAGTGTCAACGAACAGCATGTGTTTTTGAAAGCGAATCACTTCTGCCTCCTTTTTTGTGGTGCATGTATTTGTTTCTTTGTAGTTGTCCAATATGAATGTATTATCATTATTACAGAGGTGACAAGCTGTCCTAATATTGGCTTATAACAGCAAGAGAATGTTCTTGTTTTTGTAGTTGTCCAATATGAATGTATTATCATTATTACAGAGGTGACAAGCAGTTCTATTATTGGCCACATATGGGCTCCTTATATCAGCATAAGAATATGAATTGTCGTTATATCTAGTTGGCCAACCATCTGTATGTTATCAAAAGTAGAGAGGGTAGAAGGATTCCTAACACTGGCTGCAAATTCATTCCTGAAATCAATATAAATGGCATCAGTTATTGCAATACAGTATTAATTGAAACTTTCAATAAAATTGATGGACAATCAAAACAAATTTTCATAGGTGGCAAAATAAAATGTTGATATACTATTTTTAGCAGACACCCGATCAGACAATTTTAAGAAAAATGTGATTTTATATTGTGACATAGCAATCTGCATCACCATGGAAACCTATTGGATGATAGATTATTTTAAAAGAGAAAGTAGAAAAAACAGCCTGGTGTCATTTCAGAATTAAAACGAGCTACATGTCTTTGAGAAGGCACCCAAGTCCCACCTGTATTACATGATCCAGTTAATCCTACTGTTTTCGCTGCACCCTCTAGTACACCCCATTCTGGAATTTCGCTTGGAATACAATCTGTCTTCTGCTTTATACAGTCAGTGATATTCTGTCCATTATCCATAAACCTGAAATAAGAGATCTCATCTATTTATATTTGTCTCCTCTATATACATTTGCTTCATCTATTCATATTTGCCTCATCTATTTACATTTGCTTTGCCTATTTATATTTGCCTCACCTATATACCGTACATTTGCCTCATCTATATTAAATTGCCTCACATAATATATTTATATTTCCCTTACCTATTTACGTTTGCCTCATCTATTTACATTTGTCCCACCTATTTATATTTGCCTCACCCATTTACATTTGCCTCATCTATTTATATTTGCCTCACCCATTTACATTTGCCTCACCTATTTACATTTGCCTCACATAATATATTTGCATTTGCCTCCCTTATTTATGTTTGCCTCATCTATTTATATTTGCATCCCCTATATACATTTGCCTCACCTAATTACATTTGCCTCATCTATTTACATTTGCCTCATCTATTTACATTTGCCTCATCTATTTACATTTGCCTCACCTAATTTTGGATCTAGTAATGTTGTACACTTACAAATTCTTATTGCTTCCAATAACCATTTGCAGGTGATTTGATGCCTTGTTAAATTTTGATGTGTCATTCATTATTTGAATTCGAAAACTTATAAAAACGAGTTCCTGGAAAGTGAAAGAACCAGGTTTAGAAATATAACCCCCTCCCCCAGTCACACATGTCACTCCATACTAATTAGCAAAACACCCTACCCTGTCCTAAAATTTTTGAAATGGGATGTTGGGGGTGAGACGTCCTAAATATGTTTGGACTTGGTTCATGTCAAAGGGTTCACCAAATCAGTCCTTGCAATGCTAATTGATATATGAATTAATAATAAGAGTAAAATTGGAGATGTGTTATACTCATGAAACTTGCATGGAAATTGTATATTTTGATTGACTTAATTACTTCAAAACATAAAATGTTTTTCAATGTCAATTTTTAAAAGTTATAGGCAATGTAGAAATCAATAATCATGATTTATTGAGTAAAATTATTATAAACTTTACACACAAAATCAATAAAATGTATTATAGGCGTCTAAGATACTTTCAACAGTTCAATCATTTCTGTTCATTTAAGACATGTACATAATTCCCATACCTTATTATTTTGACTCAGAGATTAGTTCATAAAAAGGTTGCAAAACATAGAATTATAACTTGAATTGGCTTTGGGTGTTTCTTACTGAAGAACCATGGGCTTTCTCTCTTGAAAGCCCATGGGCTTTCTCTCTTGAAAGCCCATGGTAGAACTAATAGAAATAGAACATTTATTTCACAATGACTCACTGCGGAACTCTGTGTTTATGGTTAACGTATTTCTAAAAATTAAAATGCTCAATAGTTGCTTTGCATGATAAGTAAATAGTACATGAATGGTACTGTCTGGCTACTCCCTGGGTGACGTTAGTTCCATTCAATAAATTTACATAGAAATTCAGTCATTCAGAAGTGATCATTGACATATGATGAATGTTGTGATAGGATGGAATATAAGTTAACACATTAAAAGTACCAAAATGAAATCACAAGATATCCATTTTGAAATGCAACAGGGGTTTCCACCAAATATGAAGAAAATTAGTCAATTTGTTCTTTGAGTTGAAAACAATTAATGGAACTCATACATGAGAAAACTCATGCACCTGAGATTGAGATCTTATCACATAAAGAGGCACACATATTTTCATGAATTTTTCCATTTTTAGATCACAAAATCTATCAAAATTTCTACAACATTAAAGATAAGTCACACAATATTATATCTTATTAAAGCTAATTTAACTCCCCATCTTTTTTTGTATATAATACATGGTTCACCTGTGTGATCCTAAATACTTTAAAGAAAGTGTACAAAGTGTTCTATTTTATATTGCCCAACCTGTCTGTGTGGTAAGTAACAGGGCAATCAGCTTGAAATTATTGGGGAGGAAAATGGGGGATACAACTGGATAGTAATCTGTGTTGGTTCTCAGAAGGGGACTCTTGTTGGTTCTCATTGTTTAATTAAGTGTGAAGGAAATGTTGACCTATGCATCCAAGGTCCATATCCATATCATTTCTAGGGACAGCTTCACATAAAAGTTTCCTTAGTGGTAGTATGAGTATGAGGGGGATAAAGACAAGGATTAGGGATTGCATGCAATGCAAATGTCCAGGGAAAGCAAAAAGTAGAACCCCACTACAGGCTAGAGGTTAACTAAAAAGATCTGTTTCATTTTGAGAATATTGATTAAAAATCAAATTTTTCTTCGGTTCATATCATTGCTTGTAATTTATAGGGTCAGCATCTACCAGATTGTATTATATGCTAATAGGATTATATTTATGATGCATTATTGTATCTACTGTATGTTATGAAGAAGGGCGAGGCACGGAGGAATCTTTTGCTATCTATGTTAAGTGCTTGTCTTACATTCATAAATTGTGAGGCAAAATTGTGGGAAAATTCAAATCCTCCCAGATAACCTAAATATTACTCTACGACAACCACCTAGGAGGTGTCTTGGATTTCACACGATGGATATTGTTTATCTATGATAGGTGTCAAAATCAGGCCCATAACCAGGGGGGGAATCCATCGAACCCCCCTCGCCAAAAATTCTTTCAAAATCATGCAGTTTTTCATCATTCTGAGCACATTTTAAGTGATTTTGTCCATTTTTGGACCAAAATTTTCAAAAGTGATCTACCCCCTAGAAATTTTTAAAAAGTGAACCCCCTTAGCAAATCCTGGCTACGGGCCTGAACATGGTAGTTTGATGATGTAAATTTACGACATATTTCTGGAAATGGGAATCTTTCACAAGTTGGTAATACACAATTGAATGTACAATATCGTAAGTCTACGACATATCTGGAAATGACCCCCAGGCTCTTGCCATGGATTGCCTAACAAATTGTGCAAGCAACAAGAATGAAAATCTATTAATTTATTTTTTTCTCCTTTGAAAACAAAAGACTAATAAGGCCAAATTTGATGTCACAAGAAAGAATATTTAAATGACTAAAATATATTTATATTGAACTGTGCAAACACTCCAAACTAAACCTTTACTTACTTGCATAAACTTGTAAGATCACCTGCGGAATATCCTGTCAGGCAGTCCTTTGCATCTAAGGGGTTACTGCATGATAAAGCCAGAGCAACTAGACCTGTGGAAATAAACAGTGTACATTAACTAATTTACACAGTAAACCTGTATAATAACCGTGTACAATAACTCTGTACAGTAACTTTGCACATTTACCTTGCACAGTTAACTTTGTACAATTAACTTTGCACAGTAACGTGGCACAGTTATTTTGCATTCAAGTACAATTTGAATAAAAGAACAATAAAATAATATATGGCTCAAGTTAATACAAACTTTATCTTCTTGAAAATATTTAGGCTTAAAAATTACCTATACCAACAAAAAGCATTACAAGTTCAAAATTGATATTGATCTCCGATTTTTCAATTTTAAATGCAAATATTTAGGATCAGAATTATAGAGCATGCCCCTTTAAATTGCAATTGTATATGTGACATCTATTACATAAATAATAAGCATATGAATAATTACCATTGATTAGCTAAAAATGTTTTTTCTCAATTTTAAATACAGTAGTTATTTATTTCAGAAAAATGATTTTGCCTACATTTGGTGCATACTATTTTTCTCATCTTTTTGTCTTGATATTTCAAGGCATGAAATCTAAATGAATGGTTTTTATGGCTGCAAGGTTAAATATCTTTTGAGATGTTTTCAGAAAAGAAAAATATTTTTTTAAATTAGATCTTTTTTTACTGAAACTGTTAAAAATTATTCCTCAGTTCTATATGTATCCTTTTTGCCATAGGTGTTTTATTGTCTTACTTTGGCATGCCTGTTTTTGGATCCTATCTTTATCAATAAAATCCTTGATGGGATTCAAAACAATTTAAAACAAAATTGTGCAATTCTGGAAGAAAAATTGAAGAAAACTTACCTGCTAGTATAGCAAAAGAGATGTAAACCTTCATTTTTGTTACTTGAACCTGCTTTTTCTTAAAAGGTATTCAAATTAATGTGTCCAATATATTTATTGATGTGAATTCAGCAAACATTTGCATAAACATGCATTAAATCTCAGTATTTTATGATGACGCTTAAATTGGCAAGCACTCTTATATTGTGCTTGAGTTTAAAAATACAGTATTCAAGAAATGCAAAGGTTACTGTAAAGCATCAGTGATTTTCAATTATTTTTTCACAAGATATCTATGGTCACGAAACATGAATCAAATACATGTAGTGAAATTGGGTCCCACTTATAATACACAATTTACATTTAGTATTCAGTGTTATTTGTATTATCCATGGATGTCAGTTGCATTCTCCATGCAGGATCCATGGATGTCAGTTGCACTCTCCATGGATGTCAGTTGCACTCTGAGTTGATGGGAAAAAATTAAGAAATTAACTTAATCAAATAATCCTAAGAAAATAAAAATCTTTATAAAGACCTTTGCATTTGGTGTGAATATTAATAAAATTAGACAATTTTACCCACAATTTGAGTAAACAAATTGATTTATACATTTACATATTCACGTGCTCTAGGAACTTCTAAACGGAAAACATCAAGAAAGAGAAAATCAACCCAAAAAGCCTCAAAATCCAAGAGAAACAAAGACAATGAACAAGAAAATATAAAAGATGCAGATCAACTGGAGATTGATGATAAAAAGCAAGTTTACAAGTGCCCAGAATGTGATATTCGCATGAAAGGACGAAGTGCGTTCCAGAATCATAAAATCTTTTCACACTCAAGTAAGAAAAGTTTAGTGTAAAACAAGATTTAGAAGAATATCACAAATATAAAATTTATGTTTGTACGACAAATTAAAATCTAACAATTTTTACTTAATATTAAGAATTGTTTTTTTTGTTTTTATGTCACCATCTGTTAATCTGAAACATACTGATAGGATCAAATCCTATGTTAAGTTATAGCCTTTTTTGTGGACGGTGTTCTGCCTTCGGTTTTGTCTGTACCAAATCGCAGGTGGTGACATTTTGCATTTAATGCCTTGTTACATTGTACATATACCTTATACATTTATAGAGAGCTATTGGTATTCCTGTACCTTATGTGAGGACCCTGAAAATGAAGGCAGGCATAAATACAAATCAAAGTCTGCTATGTATCTGCACTACAGAAAGCATCACCAGTAAGTCAAATTTATCATATACAAAACACAATAGGAGAAACTTATTGCTGATTTTCAAAACTTTCAATTTTATGCTCTATCCATTGGTTTAGGGTGATAGGGTATTATTCAAAAGATGGCAGTGCAGTCAAACTGTTCATCTATGTCGGAACTACGCTACTGCCATCTTTATATCAGCCTAAAACATTGCTGTGTGTCTTGTGTGACCATCATAAATCTAGCCAATATATCCAGAGTGAAGCATAATTATTCAGGCCAATAGCCAGTTTTTGCCAAGTGGGACTCGCTTTTTAAAAAATTCCAGGGAGGTAAGCTTTTGACAAAAATGGCCAAAATTACTTATATTAAAATATGCTAAGAATGGTGAAATTTCATGAATTTGAAAGGATTTTTGGCCAGGGGGGATTCCCTGGCTACGGGTCTGATGACTTGTTATTACTTGGTATCGGGGGCTTCCCCTTAGCTTTCCCTACATAGTCCTACAAGCCTTATATGGATCTATCATATGACTTTAAAAATGGCAGACAACAGTAAGTTGGATTCCCAAGGAGGATTGGCAGCCATCATTCAAACTCGATACTCTGTTGCTTGCAGTGGAACAATTTGTTATGAATTTCTCTTTAGACCAAGTATTTCGTTGAAAAATGGATATTACTCAGCAGTTCTAGTCTTCAAAATATGAGTAATATTGTTATCAAATTGGTCTATGCTGAGCAATGGAGCATCGAGTTTGAATAATGGCTTCCAATCCTCCTTGTTGGATTCCTATGTGATCCTGTAAGCCTTATATGGATCTACCACATGGACACCATGACCCAATACCAACTCTGAACTTTGAAAATCTCCCCCTGCAATATATCCCAGTTTCCTTGGTACACCAAAAGAGGTCAGGATTTAATGGAAAGGTCTCTTGAATTTAACTTTTAGAGTTGTTCCTTGATATGAAAGATCTGATTAGCTTTTAGGTACACTGCTTTATAATAATCTTAAGGGATGGTTTCTATTTATCAACAGTTCTGAAAGAATGAGGTAAACTTCCTTAGAGGGGGTGGGGTAATGATGATTTCGTGAGCAGAGTTTTCATTTTTAATATTCAAGTGAAAGATAAAACAATATTTTAAAATTTTCTTTCATCAGGGAGAGGGGGGGTTATACCATAATGAAATAAACTTTGTTCCCAAAACTGTTGATAATTGAACATTATCCTGAAACATAAACACTAGCTTCAATATAGTGAAACTTTGATATTGATAGAGAAATAATTGTAACTTTTTCAGGGCTGAATACCCAAAGTTGGAGGATACGTTGAAGATACAATGTGGTATATGTGAAACTCCCATGGAGAATACGACTGCCTTGAAGGACCACATCAAGGAAAATCATTATCTCAAAGTCGAGTAAGTGTTGAAAATGAATTTATTTTTGCAATTGTGTTATGTCAACCAAAGGAGGTTGACATATTACATTTACATGATTAGATTTTTATTTGATGTCATAAACTTTTGATTTGATTATGTTGTGATGAGTCCAAGAATTTCTTTCTCCATTTCTTGACAGAAACAGGCTTGGTCATTTATGGTTGGATGTCTAATGGCTACTGGCTTTGGCACTTTATTTTCATATAAACGCAGGGTATAACCAAGTTCATGCTTAAGCCAGATATCATTTATAGTCTTATTTATCTGTGCATCTGTCATAGTTAATGTATTGTGCCTCTTTATGTATTTGAATAGTTCTTGTTTGCAAGGTCCATAATCATATTTCATCAAAATAAGATTAATTTTAGAAAATGCCTCCATAGAGTATTCATGTATTAGTTCTGACCAACCTATGGTATATGTCGTATGATCTTTATTCGTTATTTCATTTTGTGAGATATATTTAATGTTCAATAGTAATGCAGTTAACTGATTATCCATTTGTCCATACACTCTGAAATATAACCATGCAGGGATAGAGAACATAAGTATAATCAGTAAGAGAATGTCTGAAACTATAAATAATGGTATCCATCCATGAATTTGTGTTTTTAACAATCCCATAATGAACAAAAATAACATTGAAACATTTACAGTCCATCTCAACATATTATATGTTCTATCATCAATTCTGATAGAATGATTTGTTGATTGTTCTTCTATTTGCCTGTGTATTTTGTCCAAATCGCTTTTCATCTCTTCTTCTGTTATGTCTATTTCTCTCTGTCTGAGAGCCTGTATCAGTACATCTTTCTCATGCAAACTCTGAAATTCCAGTTCACATTGAATATGATTGGAAAGAAAGCAACTTTGTCTTTTTATGTTGACCGATTCTATTGGGATCGATGTACCGTTGATGGCACGATGATTAAATGACTTTGGTACTGAATAAATTGGTTGTTTGTTGATATTTTCCTTTATTTTTGAAGCAATTAGATTTGAAGAAACATTAATGGCATTTATAAAGTTAATATGCTGGATTGTGTTCGGCACTTCACATTCTTTCAGTTTTATTGGTAGGATTGAGATATCTGTATTACATGCTGCAGTCTGAGTCATTTGCAGCTCCATATTGCACCAGCTACTCTCGTTAAAGTCGGGGGTTATGACGAAAACTGTTTTCAAGCTCCCAACTACACAGCGATATATTTCATTCATGTCGGTGGTACCTGGCATGAAGTCTCTCTCACTGAAGGCACATTTCAGATTGTATGGTTCAGATTCTAAAATCGCCACCAAATCCATTACCCATTGTAAGTCATATTTGGAATGGGCAAAAAAGAGATGGTATTCCTTGCCCTCTTTTAGTTCATTGTTTTTTTTGTTTTCGTCCAAATCATTCAGCTCGCTGATATCAACTGCAACATTGTCCATTTCAATTACCGTTGAATCAGCATTGTATTTGTCAAACGCAGCTTCCAGTTGGGTTAGAATATTGACACCAGCCATGCTACTTTTAACTTTACTTCATATAAAGTGATCAAATGTCTGTTATATGGCTTTTATCTATATGTGTCCTTTTCTCATACAGAAAAGCAAGTTCATTAGAGTATTGTTCCTTTTATTAATCTTTCACAATGTTTAAAATTACGTCTAGCTGTGACATGTGGAAGTCTCCATGTTATCCATCACTATGAACTTATGTTTGATAACACCTTAGTTCTAAAAATCAATATTTAGAACATCTGGTTTTTGGTTTCGATTTTTAGTTTCGGATCAATTCAATACTGTTTGCTCAGCATAATATGTAAACAGACATACAGATGAACTTGATACGCCATGAGAAGATAGAAACTACTTTTTTAGAATTTTAACCAAGTGCAAATAAAAGATTGAAACTGGAACTGAAACCATCATAAGCAAACAATCAATACGAAACTAGTTATTTTTGTATTGTTATTTTGTTTGACATCACATACAAATAACTCTTTGTTAGGATCTGGTAATGTGTTTACTCTTGATATTTCACACAGACAATTGTTCGCCTGACAACATTGTTAGCCAAAACTGCAAATGTTTTAGAAGAGAATACCGTTTGAGATCTGAAATAACAGTATTTGCGAAAGGAACTAGTGTTAACCAAACAAAAGTTTTTTTTCCATTTTCATCAGGCATTCGTGAAACAGAATTGTTCCCCAGACCAAAATGTCATGCTGAAGGGTTCACTTAACCTCTCAACTACCCAGAGTGACAAGATTTCTCGTCACCTAAGAAATTACCTTGGAACCCAGAATGACAGAAAATCTCAAAAATTGGCAAAAATGAAAAATTCTCTGGTTTCACATTGATTTTAATGCCTGTGATTCAAGAGGGTAAAGAAATGGACAGATGTGTATGTTAAGATTAAATACAATTACATGCACAGGTTTAATATACTCAATGCATACAATTTAAGATGAAACTAATCTTTTCCTTTGAAGAGATTGGAAGGAATGCACAAGTGAGGACCTGTTCCCAGATGACCAAGCATACAGGAAAGCTACTAAGGAAATTGGTAAATGCTTATTTCTCTTTTTACATTTAATTTTCCCCATGTTGCCCTGCAGTTCCTTACCATAGTGATGTAATTTGCATTAAGCATAAAATGATTGGAGCACTGCACAGATCTGTTTGAGATTGAAAATGTGGGGGATGGATGGCTGTTTATAAAATATGCGACACCTAAATAAATGAATAAACACCTCAAGTCAGGTTGAATCAACAGATTTCCCTGACCCTGTCAATCAGTTGTGTTACCAGGGAAACCAATTTTATGCAAATTCTCTACACATAACCCAACTCTTGACCGAAATTTAAGCTCACATGTACACCCCCCCAATTTCTGGACTGAAAATCAGATACCAATAGTTTGCATAGTCTCTAAGTTATTGTAGTAATGGTTATATTATACTGGGAGGTTCTAAATACACATATATCCCAGGGGATAAACCCTTTATCTAAAACCAGATGGATTGAAACAGATATATCCCATACATTTCTTAAGATTCTCCAAGATATACTATGAGTATATTATAACTAATTATCTAGATTCCAATGTATAATTTACCTAGAGCCTCATTAGGTGGAATATCACAATGTATGTAATAATATTAATCTTGTTATTTCCCTGTTCCAGGTACTGTTGATGCTGACAACATCCCTAAGGGGCCAAAGAAATGTGACATATGTTTGAAGACCTACAGCCATTACACTTACTGGTACAAGCACATGAGCCAGAAACATGCAGAGGATCTCAAGTAAGTATCCTATGAAATAAGCAATATCATTCTATAAATGTAATAGATGGGTCTGTCATAGGACCTCATGAGATGAGCAATATCATTCTATAAATGTAATAGATGGGTCTGTCATAGGACCTCATGAAATAAGCAATGTCATTCTATAAATGTAATAGATGGGTCTGTCATAAGACCCCATGAAATAAGCAATATATCATTCCATAAATGTAATAGATGGGTCTGTCATAGGACCCCATGAAATAAGCAATATCATTCTATAAATGTAATAGATGGGTCTGTCATAGGACCTCATGAGATACACAATATCATTCTATAAATGTAATAGATGGGTCTGTCATAGGACCCCATGAAATAAGCAATATCATTCTATAAATGTAATAGATGGGACTGTCATGGGACCTCATGAGATACACAATATCATTCTATAAATGTAATAGATGGGTCTGTCATAGGACCCCATGAAATAAGCAATATCATTCTATAAATGTAATAGATGGGTCTGTCATAGGACCCCATGAAATAAGCAATATCATTCTATAAATGTAATAGATGGGTCTGTCATAGGACCGCATGAAATAAGCAATATCATTCTATAAATGTAATAGATGGGTCTGTCATAGGACCTCATGAGATGAGCAATATCATTCTATAAATGTAATAGATGGGTCTGTCATAGGACCCCATGAAATAAGCAATATCATTCTATAAATGTAATAGATGGGTCTGTCATAGAACCTCATGAAATAAGCAATATCATTCTATAAATGTAATAGATGGGTCTGTCATAGGACCTCATGAGATACACAATATCATTCTATAAATGTAATAGATGGGTCTGTCATAGGACCCCATGAAATAAGCAATATCATTCTATAAATGTAATAGATGGGTCCGTCATAGGACCCCATGAAATAAGCAATATCATTCTATAAATGTAATAGATGGGTCTGTCATAGGACCCCATGAAATAAGCAATATCATTCTATAAATGTAATAGATGGGTCTGTCATAGGACCTCATGAGATAAGCAATATCATTCCATAAATGTAATAGATGGGTCTGTCTTAGGACCTCATGAGATAAGCAATATCATTCTATAAATGTAATAGATGGGTCTGTCATAGGACCCCATGAAATAAGCAATATCATTCTATAAATGTAATAGATGGGTCTGTCATAGGACCTCATGAGATAAGCAATATCATTCTATAAATGTAATAGATGGGTCTGTCATAGGACCCCATGAAATAAAGAATATAATTCAATAAATGTAATACATGGGTCTGTCATAGGACCCCATGAAATAAGCAATATCATTCTATAAATGTAATAGATGGGTCTGTCATAGGACCCCATGAAATAAGCAATATCATTCTATAAATGTAATAGATGGGTCTGTCATAGGACCCCATGAAATAAGCAATATCATTCTATAAATGTAATAGATGGGTCTGTCATAGGACCCCATGAAATAAGCAATATCATTCAATAAATGTAATACATGGGTCTGTCATAGGACCCCATGAAATAAGCAATATCATTCTATAAATGTAATAGATGGGTCTGTCATAGGACCCCATGAAATAAGCAAAATCATTCCATAAATGTAATAGATGGGTCTGTCATAGGACCCCATGAAATAAGCAATATCATTCCATAAATGTAATAGATGGGTCTGTCATAGGACCCCATGAAATAAGCAAAATCATTCCATAAATGTAATAGATGGGTCTGTCATAGGACCCCATGAAATAAGCAATATCATTCCATAAATGTAATAGATGGGTCTGTCATAGGACCCCATGAAATAAGCAATATCATTCTATAAATGTAATAGATGGGTCTGTCATAGGACCTCATGAGATACACAATATCAGTCCATGAATATAAAAGAAAGGTTGATCACTGCCAATAAGTTTGGAGATATTGTTATAGTGATTGTTCTTTTAACTGGTATTTGGTGTCACTGTGTGCATCACATGTAACAAGTAGTTACACTTTAGTTACTGCAACCAGTTGGTGACATCATGTTATTATGCCAACCTTAACCAAAATTGTTTCAATTTAAAAATATCAAAAATCTTGCCACATAATGTTATAACTTCATCAGTGTGCACATCGCAGTGTTCAACATACAGTAAAACATGTGGACGTGGAACACCTGTGGTACCTCAAAATAGTGTTCAACTTTTGAAGTGTTTCATTTATGGATATGTTGCACATACAGAAGTGTTCAACTGTCCAGGTTTTACTGTATTAAATTTCCAAGTCTATTGATTTCTATGATAAACCACATATGCCTTTAACATGACAATTTCTTCTTCTTTTCAGCAATTTGATTGACCTAGGAATGGTTACTATAAGTAAGTTGACTTTATTTGTTGTATACATTACCTTATTTTCACCAAAATTTATTTTTATATATTAATAAAATACTGTTAAAATGTTAAAAACACTTAATCATAGGACTATGAAACTTCTTATTTTCTTCTATACTTTGAATTGCACTGTTGGAGAATTTCAGATAAAAGGTTGACTGAATATTATTGTAAGTTGTGTCTAATTTTAATAACTGGATGGATGTTGAATAAATACAATCATGTACATGTGAAATGGGAAACATATGCATGTTCATGTACATTGTATAATGTTTCTTTTCATTCCATTATAGTCCCCCTCTACAACCAGGTCTGTGAATATTGCGGCAACAGCTTTATGAGCCAGACCAAGCTGAATGAACACATGTTGATACATACAGGTAGAATTTACATTTAGTATGCAATTTAAATTTTTCTTGATATGCAGAGTTGAAATGCTCTCTTTGTAATTTTGTACAGTGAATTAATGATAATCCTCAATGAACAGTAATATGTTTTTCGTATGAAAATCTAGAACTGATTGGTTTTTTGTATGTTGACTAATTATAAGGCAACCATTTTTATTGCTCACTCTGTACCCTTTTAGCTCACATGGTGAGCTATTGTTATGGCCCACTTGTTTAATATGTTGTAACTTTGTATAAAAATTTTCCAGGTCGACCAAAGTTGAAGTGTCGCTACTGTCCCAAGGAGTTCACTATAAGATCAACAAGGATGCGTCATGAGGCCAAGCATCTGGGAGTCAAGAAACATGTCTGTGAAATCTGCGGCAAAAGGTAACTGTTCTGAAGTAACAGGAATGATCTTACATATAACATCATTTTTTCTAATTTTTACATTTGAACATTTGTCTGTCCATCCATACTGGGTGGTATTAGAGTACCCCCAAGGTTTTCTTAGGGTAAGGGTATAAATGGGCCTGAGGACCGTCTGCCACCCCTACATAAAGTTCAACTACCCAGAAAATGACCAGCATAATCATACAGATTGTTTGATATGTTGGAATGTGTGACCTTCCATGACAGGAAGGATGCATTTCTAGAGCACTTCTACAGAATGGGCCAAAGTCTACTAGTCCATATTAGTGCATGAATTACATTAGCTGGAACTGTATCTTTAACAATAACATTGCTCTTAATTTTAGACAAAGATATGTGATCAGATGCCTTTAAAGAGGAACTTGGTTAAAAGGTGCATTGTAACCTATCAACATCAGATCCCAAGTCCTGCAGAGATGGATACGGAAAGAATCATAGATTCACCTCACCATCATAAGTTCACCTTTAATTATTTTTCCTGATTCTACTTCAGGTTTATTCACACAGATGGTCTGAGGTCTCATTTACAAGTGCACAATAAGAACAAACCTCTATACCAGTGCCCCGTGTGTAACGTAATGCTGAAAACTCAGGCAGGCTTTCAAAATCATATGAAGCGCCATGATGGAGTGAAGCGTCAAAGATGTCGCTTTTGCCCTGCAGTTTTCCTTGAGAGAGCGGAATGTCATAACCATGAAAGCACTGTACACATTGACGAGGCACCATATGCCTGCAAGATATGTGGTAAATAGAAAAACTCAACCTCCATAATTACCCATAATTCAATGGATGCAACTTAATTACCCATAATTCAACTGGACAATGAAGAATGCAAATTAATTTTGCTCAAAAGCATCATTTAGAAAAGCATTGATGTTGAGAAATCACCATGGTAATAGGTAGCAAACTGTTTGTCTGATGATGACAATAACATTTTGACAAAATGGCATCTTTGAGCTAATCAGTGATTTTCATATACTACGTTATTGTCAACTTATAATTTGAGTAAAAACAGTAATTTCATCTCTTCATCAACATTAAAAGTGACATTATGAGTCCTTATAATCTAAGATATATCTCTTAATTATTCCAGGACGGAACTACAAAACACACTCAGGTTTGAGTCAACACATGGGAGGAAGCCACAACGAGGGCATCAGGTATCAGTGTAACATGTGTGACAAGGACTACCTACAGCCTCGTCTGCTCAACGAACACAAGAAGAAACAACATCAGATAAATGCATACCGTTTCAAGTGTGGGCGGTGTGATACACACTTTGCCAGAGAATCGCAACTGCTAAGCCATTCTGAACGGTGTATCAAGTTACCATTTGTCAACAGTGCTGATAAAGACAAACAGTTCCAGCTACACCCGGTCAATAATGAAGGAGTTTATGAGCTGGTTGTTAACGATGGAAAATTCACCAATTTTCTCGTGCAGCATAACTCAGAAGGTGTCCTCCAACAAGTTGTCCTCGACAGTAACACACAGCAACAGCAGACATTTGAAGTGTCTATTGTTGAAGAACAACCAGATGGAACGACCATCACTGAAACTCAGAAAGAAATGTCGCTTGAAGATTTTGAGAATATGGTACCAGAGGGAGCAACATTACAGAAGAAAGATGGAATGTATTATGTCATCTTGGCTGACAATGATGAAAGCCCATCTGACGTAGCACAAATTATTAATGAAAAACTCACTGCTGGTGACAATAAAGAAGCTAATCTTAACGAGGGAAAGGTTGTTTCAAATGATGTTAATGTGGTAAGAGAAGGTAATGTTAACAAAGGAGAAATTAAAGTAATGCAGGATGTTTATGCTGCTGAGTCAATACCTTGGCGGGTGAATGCTAATGAGGGCCAAGAAGTTGTTTATGCTATGAAACCAAATTCTAATGAGACTCAAGATATTGTTTATAACGTTAAGCTAAGTGATAATACTGGCCAGGGAATTGTTTATGCCATGGAGCAAAATGTTATGCATGATCAGGTAAATGCTAATGATGGTCAAACAAGTTCCAATGTTGAGCAACAAATTGTTTATACTGTACAGCAAAATTTTATTGATGATCAGGCTACTGCTATTGATGGTCAAACAAATGCTGGTGAAGGTCAGGAAAATGCTGGTGGTGGTCAGGAAAATGCTAATGGTGGTCATGCAAATACTGATGAAGGTCAAGTAATTGCTAATGAAGGTGAAGGAATTGCTGTTGAGGGTCAAGCAAATGCTAATACTAATGAAGGGCTAACAAATGCTAATGATGGTCAGGCAAATAGTGATGATGGTCATGCAAATACTAATGAAGGTCAAGTAATTGCTAATGAAGGTCAAGGGATTGCTGTTGAGGGTCAAGCAAATGCTAATACTAATGAAGGGCTAACAAATGCTATTGATGGTCAGGTAAATACTGATGATGGTCAAGCAAATACTGATGAAGGTCAAGCAATTGCTTATGAATGTCAAGCAATTGCTAATGAAGGTCAAGCAAGTGTTAATGAAGATCAAGTGATTGTTGATGAAGCTCAGGCAAAAACTGATAAAAGTCAATCACAAACTGATGAAGGTGAAGCAAATGCTAATGATGGTCAAACAATTGCTGTTGAGGGTCAAACAAATACTGATTAAGCGTAAGTAAATGCTAAGGATTGTCAAACTGTTTAAGGTCCGACAAATGCTTATGATGGTCAAGCAAATACTAATAAATTGCTGTCGGATGTTTGTGAAAACAAGAATGGAATTTTAAAACAGGACTGTAAATATCAGATGGCCTGTGATTGGTTGATCAATCATTATTTTAGTACATATTATGCTTGTGTAAAGTTAGTAGCTATATTGTACATAAAGAATTTTTGTTGCTTTAATGTATTTTGTTAAAGCCTCTCATGTTACTTATTGTGTAGTCTCAGGCTCATAGTCAGGGGGGAGTTCGAGCCTAAAATTCTTTCAAAATCATGCAGTTTTTCACTATTCTGAACATTTTTCAATGTTTTGTGCCAAAGTTGTCAAATGGTTATCTCCTGGAATTTTTTTGAAAAGTGCCCCCCCCCCCCTTCCAAAATCTGGCTACAGGCCTGAGTCTTTACATGGACATCATACAGAGACATCATACATCAACCTACATCATCATAAATTGCATGCCCAAAGGTTCATATTACAGTTAAACCTGTCTTATTGAACACCTCTCTCTAGTGGACACCTGTGTCTAGTAAACACACCTTCCCAGCACATACTCCACTGACCCCTGTATTAAATTGCCTCTGCAGTGAACACCTACCTACAGTGGACACATTTTTGTGGCTCCATAGGTGCTCACTGTATACAATTGTATATACTGTACTCATATTCATCTTCATCATTTTGTCATAAACCTCTATGTCTCTCACTGCACACTGGTTCTGGGATGAAGATATACAATTATATAAGTTATTGATTGATTTGAAGTGCAATACAGGATATATTCTGCTCGAGAAATTCCGTATTGGAACGAGACGAAGTCAAGTGCCAATACAGAGTATCGAGAGCAGAATATATCCTGTATTGCACTTCAAATCGTTCTATAATGTTTTTATCGTGTGATCCTCTGTATTGCTACTGAGAATGTCCCCTCCGTACCTATATTTTCTGTATTGCGACGGAGATGATCAATGGGGACAATCTCAGTAGCAATACAGATTGGTACAGCACGAGAACTGACCAATCAGAAGGCTTTATTTTACAGATCATATGATAATAGTATGTACTAAAACCTGTGTATAGGAGAGGAAGGGTGTCCACTAGAGACAAGTGTTCACTAGAGAGAGGTGTTCACTAAGACAGGTTTTACTGTATATTATTGTTATTATTAATTTATTAACCTGTAGTTAAACAGAGTAGTTTGATGAGTAGGAAATTGATGATGCTGCTATCCTTTCATTGGATCGATAGTCCTACAGAATCAGACCAACACAGATGATAATGAACAAAAATATTGCATGAAATGGTCCTTACCATATATTGATCTAAAATGGCATTGATAAATTCATTATTTGCAACAATCGCTCAATCATGTGTCCATTATATACTGATTGACATTAACTGCAAATACTATGTGTGAGTGGTTACATATTTTTCACCATATTGTGTGAACTGTCATGAAGATAATTCTTACTAGTACGTATAGTGTACCATACAAAATAGAATATATAATCTGTACATAAATATGAATCAATGTATTAGTATAGTAGTATACATATAAGTAAATAATGTTTGTTATACATATATAAGACATTGTTGTTAAATGAGTTTGTTAATGTAAGTTTCAATTTAGTGTTTTGGTTCAGTTCATTACAGTTCATAACAGTAATGTTGAAAATATGGTTGCCAAAACTTCCTGGCTAGCAGTCTGCATATTGCTCTTTTGTTTAAAGGAATAAGAAGGTAAAGAGACAGGTGGAGAGTAAGTTTCAAAAATTGTATCTCAAGATGACAATATTTTGGCTCTCCTAGCAAAACTTCTAGCAGTTCTGTCTTAATTTCAGGATAACCCTATGATTTTTAAGTCATCTGACAAAAATCTGAATTTTGCGGATTCTGAAATACAAGTTGTAATTGCTATATTTCATTGTATATCTCAGTTTTTTCAGAAAAAGAAATAAGGATTATAAGGGAAACACTGGTAAGATTTTCATGATAACTTCCAACATTTTCCACATCTCTATCCCTTCTTATTCCATTAAACCAATTAAAGTATTAACAATCAGGCTGTCATGAGCTTGAAACTCTGCATATAAACACAACAAACAATTAGAAATGGACTCAAAAAGCATTGTTATTTCTCAAATGGGTCATCAGATATAGATTTAACACTATACTGTACAATGTACATGTATGTTGGATTTTTGATGAACTCAAAGCAAATGTGAAACTTATGAACTTCAAATACAAACTATATTAATTCTATCAAAGGAGACTAATTAAAATTCAATGAAGTAAACTTTGTAAAATTGAGTGATAAAAAGTATCCAACCTACTCTCAAAACAGTTTGTTGTAATTTGGTTTGCTATGTAAAACAGAAATGAATGAAATGTGAATACAATAATTGAAATTGACATAGTCCTACCATGTACGTATGTTACTATACCATGTAGTATTTTATTGAACAATAAAAGTTATGTATTTAAAGATGTCCACCGACAAAATAATGTGAATAAATAAGGTTTTTATTTGTCTAGTCTATGAGAATTCTTTATACCTTGCACAGTTTGTATTGAATGTGTTAAATAAAGTTTGAAATATGTATCAAAAGAATATTTATATGTATTTGTTGAAATAATTATCTTTATTACAATGATAGATAGCAGCATTGAATTGGCCATTAAGTTATTCAGCTTTATGGCATCCTTCAAGATCGGTCTTTCACTGCTTTCATTAGCAGCTCATGGAATGAAGCGAAATGCCCTCGGACCAAGGTGGTTAATGGTGTCTGGGATGTATTCTCAAATCTTTAACATCTATCTCCTGGATCTATTTCAATACTTTTATTGAATTTTCTTGCAAAATTAATATTGTACATAGACAATGTGTTTGATAGTTGTTATATGTTTTAGGATGTTTTAGCAATATTTACATGTCATCTTAAATACTTGAAAGACTGAAAACAAGCCATTTTGTCAACGTTCTTCAAAATAATATCACTTAAAAATAACTTTGGTGTTGATAAAGATGTCACCCTATTTATTATTGATATTCACTGGCAATATTATTCCTAACCGGAGTGTCAATGTTTTTCCAAATGTGTTTCTTGGTCTGGAGGTGTTATAATTGTTAATTAACATATCATTCGTTTCCAATGATAGTTCAGTCTTCAGCTTAATTTCAACTCTCTTGATATTGAAATTAAAACCATTTTAACACTATCCGCATTTAGCACAGAGAAATGTTTTGATATGGTCAAAATTGATCATTTAAACAAGGGAAAGTGTAATTTGTGCATCAAAAATAGGAATCAAAGAATATTTTACCGTTTTTAACCTATTTGATTGTAATTCAGTGTTTATGTCACCACCAAGTGGTGACTTATGTCACCGCCAAGAAGTGGTGACACATTTTTATACCCATCATCGATTATGACCAGCGTGAGCATTGAAGTTGGCATCTGGCGCAATTGTTCATTTTGGTAACCTGTAATAATTTGCATTTACCGGTGACATTTTGTCATGATGCCTTGCTTTGTTTTGGGCGTCAAGTACGTTTTAAGTTTCTGGCGGCAATTTTGAAAGTTTGCAAATTAGAGCAGAAGAAACAACCCCCTATAATGATTTATCTTACAAATCCATTATTTAACTATAATGGTGATTTTTAAGTTCTCTTGGTTGTTCTGATTGCATTGTTCAAACACTTCCTCACATCCATCCATCCAATATTACCTGATACAATATTATAGTTTTCTTCAGCCGAATATACCAATAGCCACAATTCAACGGGTAACACAGTGAAATCTTGGCAAATGTAAACTCACAAACCACTATTGAAAATGATCCACTTTGGAGGGAAACAATTTAGTTTCAATTAAATTTAAATTGCCAACTTCAGAGCCAGTGGTTATTTCTACCTAGGTGAGGAGGAATAACGATGATGAGAAATTGTATAGACAAAATTAATGAGTGGAGCCGTCAACACGAAACTCCGCCTGTGATATTCCTAAAATGCTCCCATATAAAACACCACATTAATCACGTTCTCAACCCCTACTATTATTAAAACCATTCAAATATCTACGAATGATACATACAGGATTACAGGTGATATTCTAAGTTATATAAAAGTGTAAAAAAGTTTTGAATATTTTATCGTTTTTGAGAGAACTGGATTGGAATTGGTTTTAAAGGCTGATATTTCCAACGCGGAATTCTCTAACATCCTTAAACGTTTCTGCAGGTGAAATTTGCCGGAGTTGATTAACTATGGGGTCTTTAAGGTTCTACCTTGATCCACGATACTCTAAAGCACTATTTCACTATTAACATGAAGGTATCCCACTGTCTCCCGACGGAGACCAATATATGTACTGTTGAAAGATGTTTTTACTCTGTTGTTGGTTTTCTTGTGGTTTGTGGTTTGTATTAGTATGCTACTCTTACGTTTTTTGAATTGTATTTTAAATTGTTTGTTTTATCGTTTATGTTCATACTCATGATTTGATACCCTTTGCAAACGTTTGAATCCTAGACTCTAAAAGAGGGCTTCATATGGTATTACTAGATGTTGGATTTAGGCGTAATGCAATAATTCAGTTACTTTTTTCTTACAAAAGCTTGGACAAGAACTGGTATGGATTGTTTAAGCTTGATTGAATTGCTGTCTTTTTTTTATGTTGCCATTTGTGCTTTTATATCAGTCAAGTATCATCATCTGCAGTATATTTAAACTAGCCGTTTTGTTTACCATACTAAAATGCACGTAATGGATTGGGTGAACCTTTTAAAGGTCAACAATCTAAATCTATTTACAAGATTACAAGATTAAACATCTAATAATCACGTCACTGATTGTTTTCAACATCCATTTACCATGCATTAAGAATTAATGTTTTCGCCGCCTATTTGGATCGTTATCACGCAGCCTGATCCTGCAGCCTCCCCTATCTGAGCTCGACCCTGGACCGACTTGAACGTAGGCTATCGAAGGCGCCTGAGTGTAAATTGGCGGCCCGGGTACAGTCAGCAATTCGCGAGCTCAGATAACACGCCAAGATTGGAGTATAACATGGGCCACCTCGGACTTCCCTCGCCTTTCTGGCGCTCACATGATAAACTTTTGAATTTCATGAAAATAAAGTACCTGATGAAGACTTGCTGGGATCATATGTACGAGTTGATCGGCCAACATACATCATTAGTCAGGGAAGATTGTTTTAACTTGAAAAAAGTTAAACATTTACTTTACACATATTGGATACGAGACTTAGGCATTTATTGGAAACTGAGGACGACAAATACTTAGGGACTTTGATTATTTCATTTTTGTCGGACTTTTATTTCCACTCGACCATGTGAACAACTAGAAATGACTTCACAATGATGCGGAACAAATTAGCCTAAGACAAACGTTATCAATAATTTAAAAAAGCTTAAGGTAAGGCATAATAGTATCACATAATTTTTTATTACAAAATGACTAAAAAATAATTATAGCTTTATATGTCATTCTTGAATCAAGTAATTTATTTAATAATACCTATTTCCTGAATTTTAATATTTGTTTAATAGTGTTCGTTGTTGTTTATTTTTAAACGTCAAGCTTTTCCCCTAAAGGTTTCGCTTGTTGAGGTGTGATCTTGACACACGACCACTTAACCTCTCTCTCTACCTCTCATGTGTGGCATTAGCTACTTTCTAAATCAAACCCAAACTAGGAATCTGATACGGTTACAGTGAACGTAAATTTGATCTCGGTATCGGCTATCAATATTGAGAAATGTTTTGATTGTGCGCTATCTATTTAAAGAATATTTTGGCTTGGAACAATCATAGAAAATAAAATGCCCGTCATAGTCCTTATCATTTATAAGTTTATGCTTAATTGCGCAGGGGGAGGGGGTTGAAGACTGGGATCTGAGCAATTATGGTTGGCGTTCCTGTTAATAGGAGTTAAATGTCACGGGTGGTATGCTTTTAAAACATAAAATAGAGCTGAAAAGTGAACTTAGCAAGGAGCATGTGAAGTAATGCACGAAGTCCGTGATGGAGACTACCATTCTAGATTGTTCAAAATGCTAAAAATCCATCATGATCAATTCATATATTTATGTGAATTCTTCTTACGGGTAGTAGACTAAGAATGAATATTTACTTAGTGACATCCTAAGTAGTATCGACTCTGGCTGGCAGAAGTCAATCGTCCACTTACTTATCCTTGTAAATAACGCAGGAGGTCTTACCAATCCCATCATCAACGGCTTACAGTTGAGACTAACATAACATTTGATTAGTTAAACGAAACCGACGAAGGGTGATTAAAGGACCTCCTGTGTATCTGCCACAGAGAGTCTGACTGAAAAAACATGTTTTTCGGCAATTATGCAGTTAGGAGTGGGTACTACATAAATTCATGGCAACATTTAAATTATTTGCCAATTTATGCGACACTCATAACTCACGGACAGGTTGATTGCAAGTGACACTTGATGTTTTAAGCCTGACATCACACTGTTTGTTTTAAATGATATGGCTCATGAAGTAAAACATACTATTACGTGTAGATGGGAAAATTAAAGCACAAAAACCTTAAACTATATACAGTTATTCCTGTATATACGAACACATACGCAATCCGAACATCTCTCAATGTGAACACTTTTTCGGTCTCATTTTTAATTGAATATGTCATAGATTAAAATTGTTATAAACCTCGAAATGTGAACACCTGGCGATCAAAACACTTTATGCTGGTCTCGATGGCATTCAGTTCAGATTAGACAGGTTTTTGTGTACTTGCTTTTGTATTGGTCAGAGAGCGGTCAATGGTTGTTACTATTGACTGCACAATGTAACGTCGATTAAAAATATTACATCTGTTTCAGTAAGATACGTTTCGTAGAGCTATGCCTTTTTTATTTCAACATTCATTGAGCGTAATATCCAAGCCTTTTTTAATGTTACCTATCAATGTAAAACAATGTGTTGAAAAATATTCGGTCCTGACATTCAAACGAGTCAGTTGTGTCACCATGTCCATCCACGCTTGCCAATTTATTGTCACCGATCAGAATGTACCCGGTGACATGTTCCATGTCTTCATGTCCAGATGTCAGTCTGTGTTGTTAGTGTCCTCGATGGGTAATAATTAAGGACATGCTGATCTTGGTTAATCCTCCTATGGACCTTTATTCCGGGGATACGGGGATAGATGTCCATGGTCCTTATCATAATTTTTCTCTGAAGAATCCATCTACTTGCTCTCATATTCTGTCATCTCATCTTGAATCGCCCAAGGTATTTCATATTCCCAAAGAAAGTCAAGAAGGGCTCATTTTGCTGGTATCTTCTAGGCCTAACACTGTAGAATTTCTGGAGGCTATCCAATTTTTTCCTCCGTCCTTGCTTATTTCATCTGTTATTTAATATCAGATATCGATAGAACAGTGTGGGATTACATTGCAACTTTGTAATTTTCCTTCAACATATCCGCCGCCCATGGCCCCAGGAAGACGATACCCTTTGGGGTAAAAACGTGTATTTCTGTCATTGTGTCAGTGTTAATTGTCTCAATAGTTTAGATCCCCGGGGATCGATCATGTACGTGAACTTGGCACCCTACATCGTAAATGTGTTTGGAAACGGAATATCAGACGTTCGTCGTGTTTGTGTTGCATTGGCGCACAAGGAACATGACTATCATACTTCTGAACTGCATACCTGTCATATGTCAACGTGTCCGTTTTCAACTTGTCACTCAAAGTAAAAACCATTCCTAATCACTGTATCCCACCATTCTTTATTGATCACTGAATGCTGAAACATCGCAGAGTACCACGTTGATGGATGGTGTTCAAACGGAATTAATTCGACTTAATGATAGTCGTTGCATTAGAGGAGTCGGCGTTTATATCTTTTAAGGCATGTAGAATTTAGAATTTTAGGATTTAATCTTCAAAGATATTGAGTTATGATGGTTGCGATCTTTTCTTATGATTGTCTCAGACTTGACATTGTTTATTTGAATGACTGACATTGTTTACTTGATTTGTAAGCTTTGCAATGTCAAATCAGGACGAAAGACAGAGGGCTCAGATCAATTCAAAATTATTATGGATTAGTGACATGTCCGTTTAAACTTCAGACTCTTGTCACTGTTGTCACATTAAAACATGATATATTTATCAACATTCACATGCAAATAATACCATTCAATAAATTGATATTTCTAAAACAGATCAATGCTCATAATCCGCCTGATAGGATAAGACTGAGGATATACTCGATTTAGCAGGATCAAAATCAGATTGCATCTTTCGAACAATCTTGGCTGGACGTGGCTCGTCTAGACTTCTGAAGCAATACCTTTATTCACCAGGTGGTTGGTTCCCGTTTGGAGAGCCAGTCTCATGATTGTTTTTGCTGATTATTTCCGCATTTTTAGAATTGAGCCTGGCGTCTTACCCGTATCGCTTGTATTTATCGCAAATTAGGTAGAACGTTAACAGATCTTAGGTTCGTAATTCCTTATAAATGATACCCTTCAGACATACTTTCTCTCATCAATATAGGTGCGAACTGGGGAATTCTACGAGTTCTTTGAATATCTCTGTTTTGGTCTATTAGCAGCGTGGCGCCTCTTACAACCATGCTGAGTAATTAGGCATAACAAGGTATCCCCGTACAAAATCAGGATGGAGTGAATCGTATCAATAGCAAAAAGTTTACGATAGCTGAAATGAAAAAATAGCAATAGAATAATTTGAAACAGGCAAGAGCGATTCATGATATTATGCTTTACAAAAATGAGAGAATTTTTAAAAGTTTGGAGAGAAAAATCCCGACTAAAAGATTGTTTTAAGCATGGAACAGGTAGTTAGAAATAGCTAGGTATAAACAGGTAGTTCTGGATCAAGTGATGCTGAAGCAGCTTTCATCGCTTCACCTTTCATGTTTATCTCCTCGTAAACACCTATAGCAGAGATACCATGCTTTAAATACAGGCATCTGGATCTCATCCAAAAAGTATCTTTCATCGCTTCCCTTGGGAAAGGGGAGTTATCATTTCTCTCCGCTGTGTTCTCAGTGGTCTCAAGACGGGCATCAAGCAATCATTTAGCATCAGCGCCATTGATATCGTTGTCACGATGAATACTTACCCCTTCTTTGTTTCGCCTAGTCAAGTCAGAACTTGTTTTAAATAGTAAGCCCTCGTTGACTTTCTTTGGCCAATTGGAAAAACTAAACCGAAATGATATGATTTTTATATTTTATTTATTCACTGACTGAAATTGTTGTTGTTTTCTTCCAGAATGGTGCTTCCGTACAAGTGGTCAGAGTTCGCCTTGTTTTGTCTCCTGCTGACGTCCGTTGTGTACCTCTCAGACAGTCGATCCCGGGGGCCTCGGATAGGTAGACGACAAAAGAACAAACGCAAGCCACATAGGGATAACAAATTACCAGGGGAGGAACCAACTACAGACTACTTCAATGAATTGCTCAATACGACAATCCCGATTAAGCCTACAAAATCCGCTCATGGACAAAATCCACTCGTTGATCAACCGAATATGAGCAAGAAAAAATCAAAGGTAGACACTGGAATATTTATCTATGGGAGTAGGAAGGCAATGACTGTTACAAAAAAGAGCTATTTGAAAAAGGAATGGTGTAAAACGGAACCCCTGCAACAGGTGATCCGTGAAGAGGGTTGCCTAAAGAAGACAATGGTCAATCGATTCTGTTATGGCCAGTGTAACTCATTTTTCATACCCAAAAGTAACAAAAAGGATCTAGAGTCTGCATCGTTTAAATCCTGTTCATTCTGTAAACCAAAACGCTACTCTTGGATTGTTGTAACGTTGACGTGTCCAAAATTGAAAATGAAGTTTAAAAGAAAGAGAATCCAACGGATTAAAGAATGTAAGTGTATGGCCCAGAAATTGGACTGAAATATTCCATTTGACGACGTCACCTAATGATCAAACTGGGGAACTTACGGGAGAGAACATTGTCAAAGCTAAGAGCAATGCGATCAGTGAACAGTTTAACATACCACATCAGCTACATCCTCTCTGAGAACATTCATGAAGCACTTAAAATGATCAACTGATTCTGTCGAGTTTTCTCTGAATACGAAAATAGCAGATGTAGTTCTTTTCCCTCCTAAACGATAATGCTCTGAGGACGGATATTCCAACAGGGACTCCTTCTATCTAGACTTGCTGCAGCGACCTTACCCTTTTCCGTTTTGCTAGGATAAAAACAAACCAAAGATACTGACTCCTTTCATCAACTTATGATCTTGCTTATATTGAAGCTGCGTCCAACAAATTAAGGGCAACTTTAAAGGCAAATGGGCAATCCATCCCGACGACCTGTTTTCTTGGACAATCATGTTGGGGGTCCACAGAATGCACCAGTGGTGACAGTGGTACAAAGATTAACAACTAGCTGAAGACATCATCAAAATGAGATTCAACAACATTGTAGTAAATAACTATGCGATAAACGGTAGCAATTATCTATGTACAGATGATTGCTAGTGTTATCACGAGTTTGATTCCATTGAGACTAGAGATACAACTCTGTGCCAAATTGTTTCTCACGGCGATTATTCTTTAATTTGTGTATTGTAGTTCTGCGAGAGCGTACAAAAACGGAAAACGTGATTTCACTAAATCTCAAAGTCGTATTGACGCACAACCACTGTTTTATGCATTAAAGCATTCAGTTTTTAACTGACTTTTACTCTTTCCCCAAAACACAAACATCAAGTAAGAAACTATCAAATTATAAGTAAGGAATGAGGGGTAGACTAAGGTCGCCCTCAATCGTCAATGGCCAGGGACTTCCATTCAAGCTGGAGACAGCTAAATTCAGTCAAGAGCAATCGATGATTTGAGTATGGCCTTATCCATTCAATTTGTACGTATCTTCATGTAGAGCACTCTTCAAGATTTCGTCAACAATTTAGGTAAATATTTTGACAAGATAATACCTTATAGAAATCGTTACCTGTGTCATTATGGTTGGATTGTTACTGGGATATATGTAACGTTTTATTTCTAGCAGTTTTAAGTGTTGTTCACCATTTTGCCTTTCAAGGTTTTAAAGTCGTTCCCTCTTTGGAGGTTGAAGGTGGTTGTAAGTAAGTTCTATAATGTGGTGCAAAAATAAATTTGACTATGCACATGTAGTTAAAGTACAAACTGCTGCTCGTGTGTTTGAGATCTCTTTGGACACCACGAAATTTGAATTAGATTAAAACTAAATTGGCACCAGTACGTGTGTGCTAGGTTTGTTCAAAATTAGCACCCTTGTGCAAATTAAGGGACAATGCACTTATTTATTGGAAGTAATTGTAAATATATATTACAGTGTATATTTTATATAATTTATATCAATCTAAATTAAATGACAATTTTGTAAATAATGAGTATTGTAAATATGTTTTATATTAGTCGATTTGTTTATAAATAAAATCGTAAAAATAATTTGAAACGTTGCCTTTACTCCAAGCGCAAAATAGATCTCAACCAATATCTTTGTGTAAAAGATATCTGCCAATCTTCTGGTGAGGTAGCGCTCGCCAAACCTCCCAATAGGTTATTATACCTTTTAAATGAATACCTACACCCCGCCCCCCATCTTATGGCATCACATACTAAATATACTCCTAATTATGCAATATCACAATGCAAGGCTTTCCTACTTCCGAACTTATAATTTTTATGTCGCCACCACAATTGTTACATAGTCTCCAACTTTTTGTGGACGGTATTAGACGTTTGATGTTCGGCGTCCGGCATACGTAAGAAATGGCAAGTGGTGACAGCTAAACGGCACTAATATTGATCTTTTTAAACATAAATCTATTCCTTTAGGTAACAATAATAGACATGCAATTGATTGCCAAAGTTTTATAAAAAAACATTAGCGGCAATTTAAGACAATATGAACAGGAATGCATAAAAATTCAAAATCAAAGTAATGGTATAACTCATATAAGAAACAAGGAGGAAATAAAGAAACATAAACATAAACAATCCCATGGTCCTGGGATGAGTTAACACATCCATGCAATAATAAGCCAAACCGATCAATTTGGCTCAAACTTTGATTCACACTCATTAGTTAGAATAATTTTTCATTTAATGAATTATCTAAATCTTCATCACCATACAAAAGAAACTGAATTTTGTGTGTTCAAACTCTGAAACAAGATATGACAAGATCTGAAGTTTTCAGTCCTGCAAATAAAGTTTCACGCTGATATTCATCTTGTTTTGCCATTTAATGTGAAGTTTAACACCTTTGGGGTCATTCGTTAGACGGATTAGTCCTGGGAGACACACTGTATCAGTTGTTGAAACAAGTAGTTTTTCTTAATAAATGTAAGTGCGTCTGAACTTGGAATCGAACCCAAGATCTCATGAATCGGTGAAATATGCTCCGCATCCGAACTATCTGCGTGTGATGTGGTGTAATAAAATGCGTTGTGGCATCATTGCCCCCTAACTCCTCCTCGTTTGTTTATTTAGAAGTAAAAAGATTTAAGTCAAGTAACAGCACCATACAAAAAGCTCTTATTTCTAGTCTACAAAAATAGAACTTGGTATTGGAAAAGGTTTATATGGATGACTTGAATTATGTGTCATAGACCATCAGCTATTGAGAAAATATTCAAAATCAATTAATATATTCTTTGAATTCTGCAAATGTATATGTCATGCAAATGTATATACTCTGGGCGACTATTCAGTCCAGTCTCTTTATCACATCGCATACCTTTTTAGACGCCCCTCGTCAGTACACGAGGATGTGATCATGTATTAATCATTTAAGCCACTTAACATTACGATCTACTTGGAAAATGCCAGTCTCCATTTTTACCAATTTAATCGAAAAAGAGCCAAAAATCTAGATACTAATCAATGATTAACCAATTAATACTTGACGTGTGTGATTATGATGTTGTTATTTGCATCAGACCCATACTGACTAACCACCGCTAGGGCTCCAGTCTAGCTGGGTCCAGTCCCCAGACATTCCTCGGTTGTTAGTGTCAGTATAGCAAACCATTATATGGTTCCTGCATCTTTCAATTCACGGTTACCTAAGAAGAATTAACTACATTGTTTATTGATTTATTCATGTAATTTATGGCTAACCTAAAATTTCATTAATGAAATGTTAAAGGGATTGTATTCCTTTATACTCATATCTTGATGGATCAAGTATATATATTGATGGATCAAGATGAAATATTTGTAGACGGTTGATGTCTCCTAGATGCGAAATTATTTTTTTGCTGATCAGTCATTAATTCCTGTGGATATTGATCAATGGTAGGGTGTTTTGAGTCTTGAGCCACACCATGACTGTCATAGTCGACTGGTACTTGACTTTATCAAGAGTTGATCTTAATGTTCAAGTAGCCTATATGAAAAAGTACTTGACAATAGGGAGGGGTCAACAATCCTTTAAAAGCCAAAAACCCCATCAATTTATGCTAATTACTGTTTTATATAATCGGTTAATTTATATGTACGAATAAGAATATGTTTTTTCGTTTTGGGTTGTCTCGTTTTCTTACGTTGCCTTTAGTGATTTCATCGCGGTCCGTCCATTGTGCCTAAATTATTTTAGAGTGTGAATATAAGTCTATTTTTGACACATTTCAATTTACTAGACGCGATTTTACAAACTATTTATTGAATTTCGAGATACCATCACACTCTCAATGTGTTTAGCTATTGTGCGAACGAGTTACTTTCTTCATAGATAAAAATCAGACGCGAGACAAATTCTTAAAAAGTCAGTCAAAAACATAAATTGATCACTGTGGGTTAAAAAAGTCATTATCTTTACACAAAAGTAACGTTTTTGAATATATTTACGACTCTCAGTTAAACACATTGGCTCCAGTAGAAGACATATATTTAATTACAAAGCAAACAAATCCAAGTAGGATCGTACACAATTTAAGTATGTGTTAGTGTATATCTACTTAACTCGTGTTTGTTTTATAATTTGTATTGGACTGAGAGACAGGCCCACCAGAATGCTTCACCTACAGACGCCAATAAGTTGGGTTGAGTTTTTTAAGTGTCAATTTTACAAACATCTTTTGCTTGTACCACTTGTATGACTGGGCAATCACAAAGCCGCTGTCTCAGGTACAATGCAGTGACTGTTCTTTAAGAATTAAAGATCTATCTCTCGCATCAAAGGCTCAACTAATCCTAAGTCCCCATCTCATCTTGCTGAATGGTCGCCAGTTATTATCACAACTAAGTTTGGCAGAGATATGGTGAAGCCCTCTGTCAGACAGTCCGTCCGTCTGTCCGGAAAATAACTCGAAAACTAGTTTACGGATTTTTGGTAAATAGTTTTACGTAAAAATATATTTTTAAGATCGACGTCGCTTTAAAAATGTTTTTTCGTTTTTAACTAAAGTAAAATAGATTAGATTCCTAATATTATACCGTTTTTCAGATTAAAGGCTCAGAAAATATCTTCAAATGGCTATTTTATGCTTTTAGAAATAGAAGATATTTTGTTTTTGAGTACATGACAATTATTGTATCATTTATCTTACGTGTGCATCTGAAAATCCAAAAGGGTCACTTCATATGAGAATTCTCAATAATTAGGAAATCTCTTATATCTACTAAATATAATATTGTGACATATTTCAGATTTATGAATAATGCGTTCGTTAGATGTGCTACTCCTTGGAGTTGCCGATTTCTAGTTGATCCAGACTTCACCAAATACTTTATTTTTAATACCAATGTTCGTCAAAAAATAATAATGACTTTTGTCAAACTCCTTTAATCAGTCCTCGATACCTACCAACTGGTCTTAAAGACAAACAGGCTTGTCTTTTTCAACAGAAACGTTTGTTTCTTGTACCATTTGCCCGAAATGAACAAAGATTATCTACCTATACTTACTCACAAATCTGTTCAAATTTATGCATAGATACTGCATGTCAGCATTTAATAATTCAATTTAATTGTGTTAGGATATTTTTTACAAAACAAATGTAGTCTATTCATTGAGAAGCTGGTTTCGGTGTCTTATTTTGTTATTTTCTCATCAAATAAATGATAAAAGTAGACAGTTTCCTAAAGAACTAACAGAATAGGAGAAGGGTAGGCTGATTAGTAAAACAGCCACGGGGAGCGATGATTTATTCACGAGGTGGCGAGAAGGTGGTTAAAGGTGTCTACATTGGCACCTTTCTGGCACCTACCGATACGCCTCATCATTCCCAAACATAACATACGCACGCTAATTTCCGACAAATCGCTCGCATCAATTCTTCCCGATTTACGCTTACCACTGGCTCTGAAGTGTTGGGCATAGTTTATTAGTCTGTGTGACATTGACTCCGCTTTACCCATTTAAAATTGGTCTAAATGTTTACCATTTTTATAACAAAGTGTAGATGGTTTGGTATTTTGCCATTTTAAATTCTAATATCTCAGAAATAATTATATCAGCACATTTCGGAATCGTAATGTTATGAGGTTATTAGACCAGGTCAAGTACCTTACACAGTTAAGATAAATGGTAAAACTAGTTTTAACATAGGACTTAATATAATTTTTTCAAATATATTTGATGCAAATGTAATGATGCCGCGCAAAATGCATTTCTTGATTGATTTATACATCGAAAACAATTATGTGAACTGGTATCTACTTTAACAAACAATCAACGCCAAGATTAAACAAAATCCTTGCAACGGGCAATTAATGCAACATATATTAATGGTCGTTCGATGAAAAATGAATTACTCATGTCAATATGATCTGACGTTTTCAAGTACTAGCAAACTTTGCTGTAACTTCAGCCTCATTATTTATGTAAAAATCGTTAAGGTATTTTGTTTAATGAACTTACAGGGCCACACTGTCTCTAGTTGGGAGATAATAAAAACAAATGGCCCCCGGATAAGTCTGCTGAACATAAGTGTATGCAGTTGCTCAAAATAACTTATCATTAATTAATTGAGAGGGTACAACGCAATAAATAGATATATACAGGGTATAGGACACAATCAATAAAAGATATACACAGGGTGTAGGACACAATCAATAAAAGATATACACAGGGTATAGGACACAATCAATAAAAGATATACACAGGGTATAGGGCACAATCAATAAAAGATATATACAGGGTATAAGAAACAATCAATAAAAGATATACGCAGGGTATAGGACACAATCAATAAAAGATATACACAGGGTATAGGACACAATCAATAAAAGATATACACAGGGTATAGGACACAATCAATAAAAGATATAAACAGGGTATATGACACAATCAATAAACGATATACACAGGATATAGAACACAATCAATAAAAGATATACACAGGATATAGGACACAATCAATAAATAGATATACACAGGGTATAGGACACAATTAATAAATAGATATACAAAGGGTTCAGGACACAATAAAAGATATACACAGGGTATATGACACAATCAATAAACGATATACACAGGGTATAAGACACAATCAATAAAATATATACACAGGGTATAGTACACAATCTATACAAGATATGCACAGAGTATAAAACAATCAATAAAAGATATAAACAGGATATAGGACACAATCAATAAAAGATATACACAGGGTATAGGACACAATCAGTAAACGATATACAGAGGGTATAGGACACAATAAATAAAAGATATACACAGGGTATTAGACACACTCAATAAACGATATACAAAGGGTATAGGACACAATCAATAAAAAAATATACACGTATAGGACACAATCAATAAACGATACAATACACAGGGTATAGGGAACACATTTGGTTGTTACATAACAATCAGTGGTAGTCATTCAGGGCATACATCATTCAATCTGATATAAATAGGGTATACTATATAAGCAGGACATACAAGATCACAAATGCAGGGCATGGACTAAAGAATAAAGAAATGAATCAACTTAAATATTTATCTTCAACTATTTCTTAATAGATTAGTCCCAAAGTTAATCAAGAAACTGTTTCCATTGTTTCACACAGTAATTGTTTATAGTTTCTTATCCACTTCTGTTAGAATGTGCCAACCCCTGGTTCCAAGTCTATGTGTTATCTTAACAGTCAGTAAAGTTACATAAACGTCTATTCCAAGTAGAAATGAACTTGACATTATGTTAACTTACTATTCAGTTGAACAGTAAATAAACTTGTGTAGGCTCATAGAATGGCCTGGAAAATGACTGATAATTATGCCTTTTTGTTGAACCCACTCTTAAAAATTAAGCCCACTTTCTAAATATTAGGTCTATTTCAAAAATGTTGCCCACCTCCACACATTCTACCATCCATCACCAAAACCTTTAAAATGTGATTTAGCCTAACGTTTCTCTGGTTCCAGCATTCGGACAACCTAATGCCCCCTTTTAACCAATGATTAAGAGAGACTAACCTCTGAGGATCCCACATTGACAATGAGGTAGGTCCAAGCATTTGGACAACCTAATGCCCCCTTTTAACCAATGATTAAGAGAGACTAACCTCTGAGGATCCCACATTGACAATGAGGTAGGTCCAAGCATTTGGACAACCCAATGCTCCCTTTTAACCAATGATTAAGAGAGACTAACCTCTGAGGATCCCATATTGACAATGAGGTAGGTCTAAGCAGTGTGTGCTCATTTTAAGACAATACATGTATATAGTGAAACCTATATACAGTGAAACCTATGGAGCCACAAAAATGTGTTAACTATGTAGGTGTACAATACAGAGAGGGTAATTTATGCAGACGTTAGTAAAGTTTGTGCAGAGGAAGGGTGTCCACTAGAGACAGGTGTTCACTAGATAGAGGTGTGCACTAAGGTTCTATTGTATGTTCCATAGATGTGTTCATTAAAGTGGTAACAAGGACTGTAGAGAGAAAATTCGAATTTTTTTATTTTTTCTGAGCTATCAGGTCAATATATGGCTTAACATCTTCTTTGACATACCTATTTTCTTAAAATGTATGGAAGAACTCTCAATTTCAGCATTAAGAAGTATAAATTCAGTTCAAAGCTTCTATAAAGGGAGTCCCACTTACAGATTTTTAAGATTCATCACGTTTCAAGAGGAATATCAGCTGAAATAATATCATCCAGGGGGTTTCTTTGTAGATTATAAAAATATATGTTAGTCTTGACGAAATATCCAAACTTAAATATATTTTGAAACTGGTCGATGATCGTTGAATGGCCCCCCTGCACTAATTGTTGCACCTTTAAGGTTAACAGGAGTCAATGAATTGTTTCTTCAACAGAGATATAAAGTTTGTTACTAAAGGATACAGAATGTCATTTCACCTCAAAGTAATATTTTAAACATTTTGAAAATGCATCACATCACATTTATCCATTTTTAAATCAGGTGGTTCACTTTAAACATATTTTACATATGCGACCCAGCAACTTAACTTCTCTTCATCTTAAAAGTCAGCCACCAGAAGGAATGGGTGGTTTAAAATATGTGGGAACATACATGACTCCATCTATATGCCATGAATAGAGTTATTAGAACTTGGTTGCAATTAAAGTGTAACTATTAATACTCAAACTTAGTAAAACATAATCCAAGTGTTCAACAAGTCTAGTTAAGTTTGCTGTTTTAATATCACCACGGGGTGTACTCCTACAATTTTAGAAAATGAACTCGCCCTTTCAATCTCATTTCCAAAATAAAAAACAATGAGCAAACAAGGCACTTACAAGAAAAATGTCACCACCCGCCATTTGTTACAGACATCAAATGCCGAACACTGTCCACAAAAAAGTTGGAGACTATAAAAATATGTCACCACTTGTGGTGGTGACATAAAAATAGTCTGCTACAAGTAGCCTCCTCAGAAAAGAAGTGCTTATTTACGCAAAAAAGGAATTGCATTCTCATGGTAACCACTTGGTAGCATTCCTACTCAGGACTATATCTACCCATTCCAAATCACTCATAAGTCATAGAATATCCTTGATGTCACCATTTCATGGTGTGGACATTAAAATATATACATAACACTAGAGTTAGGGGCACCATAGAATTCTTTATTACATAATAGATTTCAATGAAGATTAATTAATGATACAATTCAATACACCTGTGTTCATACACATGTACATGCATCTACCAAAAATATTCAAAACAAACATACATATCTTGAATTACATTGTAATGAGGAAATTGTGTATATTACGGACTGGACTATATTCGGTTTCTTGCTTTCTAATGGAATATATCATACTTCCTAATGGTATATACTAGTGATATAATGACTAGCAGACTAAAAAAAAATTATCAAACATTTCCATATCATTTGTCTGTTCCCAAAACCAAAGTATTTGTCTATTTTCAGCAAATCTTAGAAGATGATATGTCACTATCTATAAGTAGGATATAAGGAATTCTATCTATCAATATAATGAATTTACAAAGCATATTCAGTAACCCATAAACCTTTCATCTAAGTAGAGATCTTTATAATGACAAGGTGGAATTTGACATATACATTTTCCACGACACTTATTTTTAAGTCCTGCATGTTTTCACATATATCTGTGCATAAATATTAATTTGCACATGTTTTCTCTAAACTGGGTCATCCAAGAATCTCTGGTTTCACAATATCATGACTAGTTATTATGGACAGCTTGCAGGCAATAGTGATTCTCTCAACATATTAAGTGGTTGCTTGTTGAATAAAAATTCTTCTTCAAAAAATAAATACAAACTAATCTATCTGAAAAATATACCACATCTGAATGTTGAACATATTTAATGAGTTAGGCCACAAAATATTAATTTTCTGGTTCATAGAAAATTTACAGGGTATATATTGCTGCTTACGGAGATCTTTGAAACAGAAACCTAGATTCTATGGCCTTCCCTTGCACATATTGACATGTTTCACCCAATGTTGACATATTTCACCCAATGTTGAAATGTTTCACCCAATGTTGAAATGTTTCACCCAATGTTGAAATGTTTCACCCAATGTTGACATGTTTCACCCAATGTTGACATATTTCACCCAATGTTGAAATGTTTCACCCAATGTTGAAATGTTTCACCCAATGTTGACATGTTTCACCCAATGTTTCATGTTGAGGTACAACATTGAGAGGATTTTTAGTTATCTCCACAAAATAGGTTGGAAATTTCTGTCACAGGGATTACACTCAGAAGATTTAAGTTTGTGAGCTGTGTATCGTAAAAAATATAAATACCTGCAAGGGATATTCTAGTATGTTACACATGTGTACAGTGTTGAAATAAGAAAAAATATGAGTTTTAATAATTTTGATTGATTACTAAATACACCAGGATGATTTAGGGATAAATCAAAATTATCACAATTATTGTCTTTATATATGAAATAAAATGAACTATGTGCCCTAATTTGCTCTAATAGCCATCTTGATCAAACAGCATTTCAACTAAAAATAAACTCTGAACACAAAATCATCATTTTGATGATTTGTTCTGTTACAAAACTTAACACTGGCTCAAAAATATCTCAATCTCAGTAGATGGAGATTGACCATAATGAAGTTGATCGCTAATAATGGAAATGTTATAACAATCAAGATGGCTACATAGAACTATTTCATCATTTTCCTTCACCAACACGTTTCTTGATCCAGTAGTGCTGGCACTTGTATAATTGTTAATTTTAAATATGTCTCTATCATTACTACAGTACAAGCATTTTGTGTTCATTTGATGAATACATGGTTGAAAATAATATAATATGATAAATATGCATTTATTTCGAAGTATTACTCGATAGAATTCAATTCAATGTCGTGGCAGTATGGTTACTGTATATGTTCTCAGTTTTTAAATAAACGTATGTTATCCAATGTGTGCATGTTATCCTTTTTGTATAAAAACGAATCCATAGTATTGTTCGCAATATACAAACAGAGGAACATATCGGTAACTAATCAATTCAGAATATTTACTTTATTCAATGGTGATCTTTGGCGATCCAATGACGAAAATTAATCCACATGCTATTATTTTTCTTCTTAGAAAAGCGAAATAATGAAATCAAGTTGACATTTTTATTAACCTCCTATTGCTAAGATTCCTGGATACCAATAATCAATCATTCTATTGCATCTTGGGATAAATTACAATTGTTTTGACTATGTAGCACATTATGCACCATTAGGTGGCAGCACCATAGTTCCAAGGTGAAGGTCACACAGCAGTTCCAATGTCACCGTTGCCTTGGTTACCTTGGGGAGACGCACTCTGAAAGTAGAAAGAAAATTCAATTGTATATAACATAAGACTCTTGATTAAGTGCCATATGACAAATACAAACAAAACTCAACACTTTTCTCGATCTTGTTGATCTGTAATCCTGGTGACAACTGGGTTTCGATTATTTTTATATCAATCCAATGATGTAAAATATCCAGAGACCAGAATACAAGTATTATCGTGAGAATCATCAGAGTACTCAAATTAAAACAAAATGCTGCCACTTTACTTCACTTCTATCACTTTGTCTTTATTCAATACTTTGCCGAAACATGAATTTGTTTTACTTTATTGGAAGGTGTAACACCAGTGTGAAGCTCTACGGTAAAATATTGTGCATCCGAAATATCGTAAAAGCACTCAAAATATTTTCTAAAAGTGATTTAAAAACAATGAATGTGCAAGAATGATATAATATAATAGCTGATAAGCACTCTTGATAAAATATGATTTTAAAAGCACTTACATATGATTGTATGGGAATGATAAAATATAATTTCAAAGCACTCACATATGAATATGTGGGAATGATGAACACATGAATGTGTGTGGGAATTAGGAAATATGGTTATAAAGCACTCAACAAAGGAACATGTAGTGTGAGAATTATAAAACATTAATATGTTTTAAAAGCACTTAATATGAATGATGAAATATGTTTTAAAAGCACTAAATATGAATGTGCAGTATTTAAAAGCTCTAACATATGAACATGTGAGTATGATAAAATTTGGTTAAAATTTTCACATATGAAAAAGGAATTTAAAATGTGGCTTTCTAATATTACAAAATAATAACAAAATACAATGTACACCCAATTGAATTATAACTACATGTACTGACAAAACATGAAAATGTCTTTGTATAAACACTTTTATGCAGAGAAGAAATACATGTACACGTGACATAACATTTACAATGTTTAGGTAACCAACTTACACGTTACAAGTTGGAAGCAACAGACTTTTCAGACTATGACGGTATCGACAATTCACAACATGTAAAAATTATTGATATATCAACATGACCAAATAGCAATAGAATAGATTTATATCAATTTAAAGGTATATTCCTTGTCAGCCAGACCATCTCTCTCCTAATATGGTAGCTATAACCTTAAACATACATTCCATCTTTCGCAAAACAGGGAAAATGTTTTGATAGGTCAATATTGATCACTTAAAAATGTAGTGCTCAATTCCAATAGGCTGGCATATTTTAAGATTTCACTCAGGAAGTGATGTCACCGAATCTCAACTTTGCGTATAGCATTGGGTAAGGAGCTATTAAAAATTACAAAACCAGCTGAATATTTTTTTCAATCTTGTCTATGATTTAATTCTTCTAAAAGTCTCTTTTATTCTAAGCTGACAAGCTCTTAAAATATTTTTGCGCAAAAAGTAAGGAGCACTTGTCTAGAAGTGATTTTGTGATACTTTCCTATACCATTATAAGCAAGGTTATGCAAGTTGAGAGTCAATGACATCAATTCCTTAGTGAAATTTTAAAAGATGGCATTTTACTGGAAATGAGCACCACAATTTTAAATGATCAATATTGACTATATTAAGAACTTTTTCCCAAGTTTTGCTAAATATGGAAAGTATATATATGATTATAGCTATCATATCGGGATAGAAATGGTATGACCAGAAATAACTAAATATCAGACTGACCAAATAAAATATTGCAAAATATAAAATCAACTAAAAGAATAATGACTAAATTGCATAAACCCTAACCCAAACCAATTAAAATATAAGTAACATTATGGAGGTCCAAAACTAAAACCACGTTATACACGGATTTAAAGCAAGGTTTGGTATGAAAAGCAACATGACTAGTGAGGGGGTGACACCTATAAGCAGACAATAGAACTGATTAAAAAGCCAGCCTTTCAAAATGTATCAATGTGGCCAGCAAAATTCTCTAAATATGCTCAATTTAGTTTCTAGATGAAAAAATAACATAAAATTCTTTCTCAAAAATGCTACCTTTTGGGCATAAAACATCTTAATTGTAGGTTTTCCCAGTTATTTACAGGTTTCTGATTTGAAAGACAAAAAACCAGCATGACATAAAATTCCATCAAAATAATTCATCAAAATATAGAAATCAGAAAATGAAAACAAAATTGTGTTATAAAAATTGTTGTGATGACAGCATAAAGACATCAAAAGAGCCTGTTGTGATGTCACTAGAGAAAGGCGTGGTTATGAGAAAGGCATGGCCACAATTGTTACAATACACCGAAGAGTAGTGTATCTATATCACTATATCACTGACACTGAAGTACCTGTAAGGAGGGACGAGGTGGAACGTTTCAAAGTAGGACTACCCAGCCTGGGACTCTAGAAGGGAAACATAGTTCAAAAGTAGTATATAATAGCCGGACCAAATCTAGGTGTTTATATTTAGTGCGTCAAAGTACATCTAGTTGTGATAAAGTATATGTGTCTTTTATACATTTTGTATTTTCATTATTCAATATGATATATTGTTTTATTTATCTTTATATTTAGTTATAGTTAGAAAATTCATGAGTTTTGTGAAGTATTCTTTATATTTTGTTAGTAAATAAGATATCAATGACACTGTTTTATCCAAAGACAATTATCGACAAATATATAAACACAAAGAACAACCTCTGAGAGACATTACCAACCAAGACTGATTTTCGAGGACATTTCAATATTGGAATACAAGTCTCAAATGATATGGAACTTAATACATGTGCTCTGTAAGAACTGTCACCAAACACAGTTTACTCCATTGTGCTACCATGACAGTCATAAACAGCATGCTACCATGACAGTCATAAATAAACAACATTGTGCTACCATGACAGTCATAAACAACATTGTGATACCATGACAGTCATAAACAACAACAAATCAACCAAACCGACAAGAGCTTTTACTTTTACCAAACAATTTTTGTTCAGATAAAGTTCATGAAACTTTCCAAGATTCCTTGACATTGCTGAACCTGGAGAGAATATAATAAATGGACTGATTCAAAAAAGAATCACAACTGTACCCAAAGCAAAACATCTACATGTGCACAAACTTGATGAACAAATAAACAAACAGAGAGGAGTGTGCAATGTGACTAATGAGGAGGTTGTGTTTATAAGAGAGGGACCTACTCAATTTAATATAACACATACATAGTTCAGTATTAACATATGGACCAACCGGAACAGATCTTCATCCTAGGTGTTTCTACAATGGGGTATAACTATGGTACTATGGGTTTATTTCATTTACACACAGAGACACCATTTCCAGAGTGGAACTAAAGATAACCTGATGCAACTGAAATGCAGCAACAGGCCTTTCTAATAAACACTGTCATTGATTGCTACACAGAAGGTACCAGTAGGATATATTGGCCAGATTCTTGATATCATAGAATAGAGGTAGCAATGTTTCTCAGCAAAATCAGAATAAACTTGATGCTAATTTCGATACCATTTGTAAACATTGCTACATGTTATGTTGAGGTCATGTTTGCAACAATCTTCAACACCATCGCCTGGCTGATCTTATTTGAAACTGAATGGAATTTTGAACAAAATACTCATCGGCTGGGTGCCGGTGTTGAAGATTGTATTAAATGTGATCACAGCATTACCTATGCTTTCATGAATCAGGCCAATATATCCTGGCCTCTTTGGTATGCAAAATGTGGTGAAGTTTATTAGAAAGGTCTATCCAGTAACGCATGGCCTCAATAAATTGACAAACCACCTAACAGACATTCAAATGAACCAGCCACCCCACAGATGTTTCCAGAACTTGGGGGTAGAAAAACACAGATTTCACTTCTTTACCCTACACCAGCAAATAATACATGGACAAACACACAGTGGCTACTTTACCTTGATTTCATTAACATGTATTCCGAAAGCAGTCTGAAATGGTTAAAGTTAGAAGTGGTTAGTACAGAAGTTGAGTTTAAGAGTTGATGGTCTTCTTTTGGCAGCAACAAAATCTGTATAAAACTTTTTGTCCGCTCATTTATAAAAATGTCACTTATCAATCTTATTTCACAGATTAGTGTCTTGAAATAGAAAAATAGAAAAACAAACCATGGAAGTGAGATTACAATTTCAGGCCCGTAGCCAGGATTTGCCAAGGGGTGGTTCACTTTTTGAAAAATCCCAGACGGGGGTTTCACTTGTGACAATTTTGGTCCAAAAATGGCCAAAATCACTTAAAAGTGCTCAGAATGGTGAAAAACTGTATGATTTTGATAGATTTTTTGGCCTTGGCCCTGGCTATGGGCCTGAATTTGCCTGTTATGACTAATGCCTAGGTCACATTTGCTCCTATTTTCGATCCAGTGACTGCCTGCACGAACATCTTGTCCCTTCTTGTCTTGGATTGTGATTTTGGTTCTTGAATGGTGGGGGGAAAGGGGGTATTAGACATTGTTTCTTTTCACGTTAGATCATGGTTTTGGGCTATATGGGGTTTGTTTTTCTTGACTGGTATGCACTTAGTGTTTGCTTTTTCTTGCTAAGTTCCATTACAACTTTTAGTCCTTTCCCTTTGGGACTAGTGCTTATATATTTGCAGTTACAATATTACAACTTGGTCATCCTTGGATAGCCTTGTGATATCTGTGCGATAATCTTACAGGCTCCCTAGGTTATCAGTCAGATGTCTGTTCCATTTAATCTGGCAAATTGTTTGCAGCGCTATACAGTGCTGATGTGACCATACTAACAGCGAATCAAAGACATCGGAGAAGAGTCTCCGGCACCTTGGACATCGGAAAATTGTCCTACTATCGACAAGCAAAAATGTGACCTAGGCCTTAGCTATATGCATTGAGCATGTGAAAATAAATTGAATTTGGAATCCATGTATTTTGATTGATATTTTTCCGAGGCTCATGATTTCTTTTTATACATTTCTACGATGACAGGACTACTAGATTTATGAAACATTTCCACAAAAAGAAGACCCCTTACATTAGTAACAATAAAAATGCCTATTATATCACACTGATGTAACAAGATTACAAGTAAAAGAAAAGCACAGGCAAAGGGATTAAGATGTCATATGATTGCTGAGACATCCCATACAAATCTATTTTGAAAAGTCACGTTTAGTTCGATAATAAGACAAGAATTGTGTCCATTTAGTGATGTACATAAAAGTATGCCCATCTCTGTTTCAAATTATTTTGAAATGTTAGACCTTGTTTGATGAAAAATGCAAATATTGCCCAAAAGTTCAAGATCAAATGCAAGATATTTCAATAAATGTTCTCGTTATAAATACTAAAGCTACTGCAATTAGCAATTCTACATTATGCATATAATATATCTAGGTGTTTATATACAACTAGAATCACAAATAGAAATCCATTTGTAAGCTGACTACAGGCATGACAATGAACAATGATATTTTTATGGGTCACCTCAAAATAACTGCAGATTTAGCTCCATTTCACTTTCCTGGAAACAGGAATATTGTTGTCAGTAGAGACTGAGTAAATGGATGGAAAGTTAACAGCTTCAAATGCAAATGTAAATATTTGTAGGTTCCATTTTGTCGTCCATGGACTCAATTTAATATCAGATCAGAACATACGAATTTGAACACATTCATTTTAGTCCACTGGGTTTTATTCAATATTTAATAGTCACCAGAAATAAATATATGTATATTTGACCACTTAAAACATTTCTATCAATCATGGCTGGAAGAATTAAAATTCAGAAAATATGTTCCAAATATGAAATTCCACTTCCCTCATGTTATTTATTAGATAATTTCGACTTCATACGTTCATCTACATCAAGCAGTACTAGATTTCACAATGCATACATACTAAATTATTTGCAGTAACACAAACATAGTGTCTTTAAAAATGCATGAATTCAGCTATGAAGCAGTTAGAAAATGAATAATGGAATACAGTACATTGAAGTGCACTTGTACTAAAACATTAAGTGCATACATACAGTAAGTGTATATGTACTCATATCTTTTAAGTGCATGTTTACTACTGTACTTACCAATCGCTGAGAAAGTTGTCTATTTGCCATAATTTCTTTTTCTAATTGTCTCTCTTTCTCAGCCAACTTTGATCGAAGCTGCAAAAGTTAGAGTCAAATTCGTTAAATCTTTAATGCATTATCAGACTATCACATTACAGATGGCAGAGGCTTTGGTCAAATTAGATATTTACTCAGAGTCCATCTAATGAAAGTTTACCATATCCAAGTGCATCATTTGGTTTTAAATTGAGATTTGATAAAGGCCGGTGGCTACCTTATCTTTTTAATACATCTATTTTAAACAAGCCATATTTCAACTGTATTCAGATTGAATATGATACAGGACCGTAATATTACCATATCCCCATGTTCCCTCTTCAAGTTTATTAACAAAGTTGGACAGGCAGAATGACAGACACGATAGAATAGCAACCAATTGTAAATACAATGGATTCCGAAATACGTACCTGATCTACATCACTAGACCCAGAGCCAGCCTGGAAGTACAATAGGCATTAAATAATGCATACTTACACCAGGAAGATCAATTTGAAATGAAACTTTAAAAACTTGAAATCATAATTTGCTATTTAATTATGTAAGGATTCTTGAAACAAATAAGTGTTAAAATAGTTTATTACCAAATTTTTGGGAATATCAATGTTTCAATATATCAATATTTATCGTCTAACTATTTCTATTCACACAAGTAATAAAAAAAATGTTTCGTGCTATACTGGGTCAGTAATACAAGACACAACAACAACAGCAATAATGACAAAGCAAGCCTGATGTGATGTGATATGTAAAGCACACTTTAGTGATCACAACATAGAGGAATTCACTTTACTGTGAGATGAATTCAACCCAACTGCTCCATTTAAAGGATTTGAGGATACAGAAAAATTCCCCCTAGCACAAATGTAGGAGGTGTGTTAAGAACACTAGTTCCCTCCCAAATTGATAGAGGCAGTGTTCTCCCAAAAGTTCTTCAGTCGGGGTAAATTTTTCATTTACAAGTGGGTGCAAGTCCTTCTAAATCACGAGAGGGTGCAGAAGTGGGTGGCAGATCACTAGGGTAGAATATCTTGGTCCCGATCTTGGTTTAGAGTACCAGCACCATCCATTAGACAGAATATGGTGCAAATGATAAATATAGATGCAATTTAGAACCGAGTATTGTGGTTTAAAGTGATTTCCACTGTGTTGTATTCACTTCTTGTGTTCGATCTTAGCAAATGCAAAATAAAATTTCATGGTGGTCCTGCACTTCCATGTTTCATCTCATATTCCTCATATTTCAACAATTGACCATCATCATATTTTATATTAAGGGACCACGCCACAATGTCAATGTTATTTTTGCGAAATTAAAAGGATTTGACTTCCCTCCCTATCTTTGTTATCATCACTTATGGACATTGTAATTACATTATTATTCCCATTACAATTTTTTCGTAGCTTCACAAAATTGGGTGTTTACCCCTCACAAAAACATCATTTTCGCACAAAATGTCACATTGACATTTGATGTGGCCCTTTAGGGAGAGGAATTACCGCGATACATGAGCAAGCTATGTGAGTCTACCTTGTCGACTGTGTCTATGATCTCCCAGTCGCAATGCGTCAAGTTTGCCAGAGTCGAGTAGTCCTAGTGAAAGCAGATAGATGGCAGAGGTGTAGCATGAGCTGTTGTAGTAAAGTAACACACCCACAAAACTGTGCTTTTGTATTTAAGTAACATACCCCCTAAACTTCTGTGTATCATACTTTTTAAATTTAATCTGCAACATAGGGTCAAATCCTATGCCAAGGACTGCTGTGAAAAAGTCACTTCAACATTGTTTTAAATGGTATAGTGAGTGATAAAGAAAGGCAGAATCTAGAGCTTAAGCACAGATGTACAGAAATACAAAGATCTTCCTGTACAAAATGGAGTTTATCAAGCGGTATGTTACTTTTTATGTGAGTTAAGTAAAGGTGAAGGACATCTACAAATATGGGGAGTGTTATTATGCAAAATGTAAAAATAAGTGATTATTCAAAGAGCATAATTTTTTGATACAAGTCATGATTTTAATGATTATGAATAAACAATTAGCTGATGATATAGCCATGCCCCTTTAAAAGCATATAATCATTACAAAATAATCAAAATATATTGCGTTTCTGCCAAATGAGACCTTTTCTGAAATTTTCTAATGTGACAGATAAGCCTTAAATATTAGAGTTGGGTCAGTCAGTTGGCTTTGAAATAAAATGATATCCCCTAATAATACAAGGGAATCTATACTATTGATACAAAAAAACGCACAAAACTGAAGGGCAAAAACTGAAAATTTTACGAAACTATGACCGACCCTCCTCTATTAATAAATATCCACCACCATATTACAAGAGTGATTCAAAGCTAGCAGCCACAGATGAATATGATCATACAAAGCTAGCAGCTAACTGTTGTTTTGTATAAAATACCTTTGTTTTCTGGCTTAGCTCATTTTGTAGGTTTTTAACTAGATCTTGTTCAGCTTTAAGTGAATCCTGTCCTATTTTTACAGTGGAGTTAAGGCGAACATTTTGTGTCCCTAACTCCTTGGAAGTTTTCCGTTCTTCTGCAAGTTCTCCCTTTAATTGCTCTATGAGCTACAAGATTACAGAAATGGGAAAATTAGAAAAAATACAAAATTTAAAATGCCATGGAAGAGGGTTTGCCAAATATGGAACCCTTTTGTTTTGGTTACATTTATATCAAAATGTAACTAAATGAACAACTTGGCTACAAAAATTAAAGAAAACTATTAATTCACTATATTAGTTTCTTCTGAATTCCATGGCATTTCAATATCACAAAAAAGAAAGATGGGAAAATGTTAGCTTAAATATTACTACTTTAGTGATCTTGTTACAAATCATCTAAAATGCATTCTAGTCATCATCTAACAGTATAAATACTCAAATTTCACTCTAAGGTTGTATCATTAGTATAGACTAAGTTTCTAAGGATAACAGGGTGTCCATTAAGTTTTAATCTTGTGAATTTTGGATATTGTCAGAACATGACATTATATATTACAAAAAAGAAATTTGAAATATTATACTTATTTACTTATTGGACACCCTTATATATTCATTGAGTGTTCCAGTACAACACACATTATCATGTCACCTGTAACTTGCATCATTAATAGACTTTGATACAAACCGTCCTTTCCAAAAATAAAAACTTTCAAACTTTGAGATTTAAAGTAAAGAAGGTTTGTATGAAAATCAATTATTCATGGTACAAGTTCAAGGTCATTTGAGACTGGGCAATTTTAGGTACAAGGCACTAGAAAAATGTCAACATATCATAATGGTCATTATTGTCATGAAGTACATAAAATATTAATTCACTGATAGGCTATCACAATATCAGTTCTGTACCAAAGCTCCTTGTGCCCACTTATACACTCTAAATTATATTTGTAAATGCAATGTATTTGAAAAATGCCTCATTTTCTCGATTTCTGAAGACTATGGACTTCATCATATAACCGCCCCCCTTTCTCTATTTCTATGTGACAATATGACCATTATGACATCAAAGTATTCACTAAAGGAGGTACTAGACTCCCACAAACCTTCAATAGATCAGAATTGTCTACTGGTCGTGCATCCACTGTATCTATAGATTGACTGGACTGTAGTTCATGTTTCTCAGACTGTTGAAGTTCACCTTGTAACCTCTCAATTTTTTGTTCCATCTGAAATAAGATAATTTAATGTAAGGAAATGTAGAATTGAGAAAGTTATGTACGGATATACCTCCGAACAGTTATTTCATAGAAGATTGAGGGGACTAAATGCATGTTAGAAATAGCTAGTTGAACCAACTTTAAGAATATGCTAACTGTATTAGCTCTTACAATTTCAAATAATTATCAATACTTTGATATAAATAACAAATTGTTACAATGTTAATCAGACAAATAGTTCTTGAGTTATTGCAATGCTATTAGAATTCAATTTTTGTTTTCAAATCAATTTACAAAAAAGTTACAAATATAAGTCCCATAATCTGTTGTTTCCTTAGCAACAGATACAGGTATATTACCAAAAGTTAATACATCTACATTAATGACTTACATTTTACCCAATTAGCAAAATATGAAAGAAGAAACCTGATATACATGTTTTTGAATGTAACCCCAATGTTATTGGTATTGAGTATTTGAGTATTGCACTTGTATTTGTATGATTATCAAATCTATGTGAACGTCCATTGAATGAGTATTTTAGTGAAAGTCCATTGAATGAGTATTTTTGTGAATGCCCATTAAATGAGTGTTTTTGTGAAAGTCCATTGAACAAGTATTTTAGTGAAAGCCCATTGAATGAGTATTTTTGTGAATGCCCATTAAATGAGTATTTTAGTTAATGCCCATTAAATGAGTATCTTAGTGAAAGCCCATTGAATGAGTATTTTAGTGAATGGCCATTAAATGAGTATTTTAGTGAATGCTAATTGAAGGAGTATTTTAGTGAATGCCCATTAAATGAGTATTTTAGCGAATGCTCACCAATAGAGTATTTGATAAAAGGTTAATTGTATTTGAGTGAAAACCAATTGTATGAATCTTTGAGTAAAGGTCAAATGGATGAATAAATAAGTGAAAGACCAGGGTGTAAATGTCAAATGGATGAATATTTGAGTGAAAGCCCAGGATGAAAGTTCCTTATAAGCCAATATACACACACACAGACACACACTCAAACAAAATATGCAACTCGAGAAATCTCTATTTTGACAGTTTTAATGAAACACGTAATGCATTAGTGCAGTATTTTTAAACATTGTAAATGTGTAGTATAAGGTAAAAATGACCCCTGATATGAAAAAAGTTAGAATGCAGAAAAAAATGTGAGAGCATGCAATGAACCTAAAACCATGTAGTGTAGTGATACATTAAAGCAAGAGTCTCATGCAAGCCAAACATTCTTTGGGACTACCTTCTCAACTGTGCCTTTCAGGGCATTATATGTTAACTCCATCTCCTACAATACATATTAGTAGAAAAGCTAGCAATTCCTCTAAAGAACATCAATGCAGCAAAATATTAAAGTCACATGATATTTTGGTCATATACATATTCCATATATTGAGGAGACATCTTTTAGGAATGATTCACATCCATGTGAATGTGTAATGTGAACTTACAGGATGTCCCCAAATATCTGGATTAAAAAACTGCAAATGTTTCATCAGGTTAATACGAGACACTCTGTTTTTAACTATAATGTTGTTAATATATAGAACCTAGTATCATACTCAAGTCTACCATAACCAACCTGAACTATCTCATCAATATGGTTGACTACGAGACAATAGAGTATACTTAAACAGGCTAAAAATATGACAATAACATGCGATTAGGGAGATGTATTCATGTTTGTTGGTCTAATGAACAGCTTCTGATGCTGGAGTAAAATACACTTTTACATCTTATCTGGCAGACAATGAATATTCTAAGTCATGCAACCATGCAAGCATGTTAGCCATGCAAGCATGTTAGCCATGCAAACAGTTTTATACAAATAAACAGAGGCACATGCATTATTTCATTGCCTCATTATGTATCATTTTGTTATAGACAGGAAAAAACTGATGCTCAAAATATAAGAGACGACTGGAGATAAATATTATATATACCTCGGTATTGGAATTTTTTAGCTGTTCACGTAATTGTTTCACTTCTGTTTCAGTCTGCAAAAAATGATATAAACACAATTTAATGGTGGGAAAATATGGTACTCGTATGGAATTTAATGGTAGGGGATAAATACAATATTCTCTATTGGTATTAACTGTGAAGACTTTTAAGTGATATTCATCACACATTGGGAAGGGTTAAATACCATATCCATTTTTAATAGGACAGAATAAATAAATACTGTAAAACACTTTCAAACTGCTACACTCTCATTTTGCCTCTCGTTTTTGGATAAAACAAATGATGAATAATAGAGGTAAAAATATGATTTTTTCGTGAATATGACCAGGAATAAATGTGATATTCACCTCTTGCTGCTGAGACTGTGATAGTTGCAATCGTTCTTGCCACTTGGCCTCCTCTTGTTCTACACTGGTCTGTAGTTTATTCAGGATAGACTCAGTATTGGCAAGTACTGACTTGTAGTTCTCTACCTGTGATTGAAGCTTCTCTTCATTTTCTTTGGCTGCTGAGAGTTCCTTCTCCAAGGCGGGATCCTAAGTTGAGATATAAGTTATGATATAGATGTATAAATCATAACGATTTAATTCATGATACAGATTAGTCTAAGTCATGATAGTGATGTTTCGCTGGAGAGTTTAAATCAATATATTGTTCATTAAATAAGTTTTTAAAGGATATTTATACAACTGAATGCAAATAACATCTATGAATAATATTACCTTGACAACAGAAGTCTTTGTTACATAATGGGTGATTTCTTTCTCAAATACTTTCATCCATTCTTCATGTGTCTAAAAAAACGAAACAGAGATCCATTTATTCACATGTACATTTTCTCCTGGAGGGACTCACTTATTACATGTAAATAGACAGGGCATTCAATAAGTATTGCCCCACTTATGACAATGGTTACCATAGTAACCATAACTTTGTCAATTCTACATTGATTGTCAGAAAAGTTTGACAGGATAAGGTCAGATATATGTTTCTTATGTTGTGAAAGTTTCATGAAGAAAAAAGCAAGAAAGAAAAGTTATAGGAAAATTAGCAATACATGTTTGAAAACTTCAGAGGAATCTGTTTCTTCAATTACATATACAGTATATTCTTTGTCCATATTTTCTTGAATGAAATGAATAAAATTCACTTCGGTCAAGGAGCGAGTATGAACTTATGAGGTACACAATTGGAAACACAATATGTCACACTGACCTTTATTGTTTCTGTGATCTTGATTTGTGGGAAGATCTTAAGAAGTGTTTCCTGAGCGGAGACCTCCTGGCTGGCTATTTGCTCCACACTGTCCGCCTGAAACAAATATTTGAAACATATCAATTTTATCAAGGTATTATCTACTGCACAGGAAATATTAAGTTAATCTGAAACATAAAATCAAATCCTATGCTAAGGACTCATGTGAAACAAGGCACAGATGTGAACAATATCGTACCTAAAACACAGCAGTGTGACAGTGAAGAATTTGGGACGGAAAATCCAAAATGGCCACCTTAAAATTTAAACTAATCAGTTCTTAACTTTGATATGTAGAAACATACCTGAAATTTCAGATGAATCCGTCAAATGGTTTGGCTGGAAACCTGTAGACAAGTCTTGAAAGTGAAGATTTTAGGACAGAAAATCCAAAATGGCCATCTTAAAATTAACCCAGAATGCCCAAAAACTAATCAGTTGTTAACTTTGATACGTAGAAACATCCCTGTAAATTTCAAATGAATCCGTCAAATGGTTTGGCTGGAAACCTGTAGACAAGTCTTGAAAGTGAAGATTTTAGGACGGAAAATCCAAAATGGCCACCTTAAAATTTACCCAGAATGCCCAAAAACTAATCAGTTCTTAACTTTGATACATAGAAACATTCCTGAAAATTTCAGATGAATCTGTCAAATGGTTTGGCTGAAAACCTGTAGACAAGCTGAAAAGTGAGACGCCGCCCGTCAAGCTGACTACAATATCGTACCTCTTGTTAGGTACGATAAAAATCACTCCACCCTGGTGGGAATCGAACACACAACCTCCCGATTACATGTCAGATGCTCTCTTTTATGGAGGTATCATTTACTGTACAGGAAATATTAAGTTTCTTTCATGTATACATTACTGAGATTGCCATTGCTTCATAACCATGTTGATCAACTAAGGGAAATAACACCAAGTTTTACTCTTATCATTATGCTCTGTTCATTTGCTTTAATCAGATTGGACAAAAATGTTTCTTTGGTAATTATGGTGCCTGAACTTATATATAACTTGATGTACAGAAAACTTGAATCTTAGTGGAACTGGTTTTTACACAAACATTTAAAGTATTTAAACTCATTTGAACATTTTCTGATAGAATTCATTGTAGCTTATTACTGAATTTAAAGTACTAGCTAAACCTTTATTCATAATCAAACACACTCATTCTAACACAAATGAACTGATTATACTAAATAAAAATAATAAGAATAAATGAAATCTTTTTACGTTGGAACCACAACACGCTGAAGTCTACATGAGAGTATTTATAACTCTACACTACATTGCCCAATACATACATACCTTTTGATGTTTCTTTTTCTTCTGTTTTGCATTAAAGCATTAAGAATATCATAAATGAGATCTATATTGCCATTTGCATTTATTCAAGAATGTAATTATAATGAACATGTATAACTTGCTATAACTCTATATTCAGGAAATATCAATCCGAGTAATAGGTTTTTTTAATACTATTATATGGGGGTATTGATAGCACATATTTCATGTTTTCAAATGTTGCACATATTTGAAGGAGTTGCTCTATTATATACTGGCTACAAACCTTGGACTGTTTAACTGCAACTTGTACTTTCTCTTCAGCTACCTTCTCTGCAGCAGCAACTGCTTCCATTGCTTTCCAGTTCTTCTCTCTTAATTCCTGCAATGTATCACCATTATTAGTGCTGTTATGCTCGATATAAAATAATGGCAGATGAAGATGCCCACCTCTTACCGCAAATACTAAATGCAAGTCATGACAAGGCATTCATTTTTGCCTCTCACTGAATTTAAAGTACTCTGGACCAAATAGTACAGGTTGCATCTAAATTATCATGAATTATATAATTTTAATATTCTTCTATATCACTCATGAACTACGTTCAGAGTGAAAACTAGACAACAGCAACGCCAAAGCATAGCAAATCCCATCAAACAGCCATGGCTGGCATTTTTACAAACTAAGTATATAGCAAAAATGGCAGCCATTTTTCAAAATGGCCACCTTCTACCAAAAGTGTCATTAGACAGTGTGCCATGCTTATAGTATTCACATACCAAATATGAATAAAATCGCTCTCCACAACATTTCGAGATACAGTAAAATAAGTTAAAATGGCGGCCATTTTGAAAATCGGCTTAGGAGCAGAACTTCTACCCCCATAGGGTATATGTATACAGAATATGAACAAATCGGGCCAACAGTTTTTGAGGTATTGCCCGGACTGACGGATGGACATACAGACAGACGTACAGATGGAAGCATTCCCTATATCCCTATGGGATAATAAAAATAAATGATTAACTCCACATATGCGCAATTGCAGATCTATTTCAGATTTATAACTCACATCATTTTTCTTTCTTTGGGCAGCTAGTTCCTCTTGAAGTTTGGAAACTTCCTGGCTATCCCCAGATGTAACGGATTCCTGGGTTTGCAGACTATTGTATTTTTCCTGCAATTCCTGGAAACACATATGAAATAAGAGTTATGCCTAAGTCACATTTGATCTCCAGCAGCCATACTGTGACTGTAGCTTCCCAAAATCAAGAGAAATAGACAGCATTATAACCAGTGCGATGCTAGATTTTCTATACCGATTTTGTGAAGCTACAGCTGCCATAGAGCAAATGTGACTGAGGCTTCAATCATTTGTTGAGGTTCATGTGGCTTTGCAAATCCATATTACAAACCTTATTATTGTGGATATCTATAAGTCTGTCCAAAAGTGGGTTAATGGGTTTAGATTAAATTGTATCTAAAAGGAGAACCAAGTCCCCATTGCATTGATCGATACAGACTCAGGACTAGTCATTCAATTTTAACCAATTATAACAAGAGATCAAAATAAACCCAGAAAATATAGGCTTACTAATCAAATTTGCTTCCCTATTACATTTATATCAAAACTTATTCTATATATGTGTGATATAAACCCATAAAGAACCATTTTATAACTTATCTAGTTGACAATGATTAAAACAAACAGTCAACCAAAAATGCCAAGTCAAGAATTTTCATATCAAACAGAGGTTTGTTATTCCCATCAGGCCAGTTTGAAAAAGCATTATGGGAGAAATAAGCACTCTTTGTAAAAAATATGCAAGTTTTAATGGTTAAAATTGAAATACAAATTCTAACCAGCTGAGTCTAACATGACACACTACAATACAACTAAAAAAGCCAAATATAGCTAAAGGGTTGAATGAATAAGAGTCAATAGAAAGTGATTAAATAAAGCAAGGATATCGGCTCTGATATCACAAGGTGTAAATCATTCATACAATCACAATTTACTGTATTCCAGTATTCAAGGTAGGCAGTTTCATCCATTTCCATTTAAAAGCTAATAAGCAGCCCTGGTAAAGGACAGAGGAGAGTTGGGGGTCAATGGAAGTTTTGTGAGGCATGTTAGAACTCAAGTTTTGCAATATATTCACAGTATTCTACCCAGTATGTTTTTTCTCAAGTAGCTGCAAAATTCTCATTTTAAATTGGTCAAATATGACATTTTTCATGACATTTGGAAGTATCTGCAAATGAGCCTCAATAATGGAGAGATCACTGAATAATATTGTTGGTGAATAACGTCCTAAGATTCTCAACTTAGTGGATTTATTCACCAACATGCAGTCAACTATAAACACCATAACTAATATATCAAATAACAAATAAATATAACCCGAACAAAAGCAGGGTGGCCATTAGATGTGCTGTATTGTATTTAATCCATATCTCTTTTCTTTGTTTCTTTTTATAAATGTGCCAAATGTTAATGAAAATCAGTGCAAGATTCATGACTAGTGACCACCATTTTCCATTCTCCATGAACACAGGATTACTTAACTCCATCCATATGAAAATAATGTAACTTTGTGTTCTAGGAGATACACTGCCAATCTATATCAGTATCATATGGTCCCATACTTGAACTTACCATATGATACCATTATTACAAATTGGGTGTGTATTGTGCAACCATGTTAACAATAAAACCCCTTCATTCCATGCATAGAAACTGGAATAGAGATGTCAGTAGGGAGTCTTACATCGTAAGAATTCTTGGTTGAGTCGAGAGCCTCACGTAAGGCAGAAACTTGGGACACCTTAGTGGTCAGTTCTAACTGGAGAACAGTCATTTCCTCCGCAAATGTATCACATTTAGCAACTATCTTGGCTGTTTCTTTTAGTTTGCTGACCAGCTCCTACATGCAGAAAACTTACTCCCTCAAATATCACAACACCAAGCATCAGCCGAACAAGGCAGACATTTTTTAAACTCAAATTATTCTGAATATTTTATTATAGATTACCTCAATAAAAATAAAGTGGTATAAAATAATTCTTAATTCATTCTGTTACTTAGGCAACCAATATAATTCAACACTGTTGAGATGATATCAAGTCTGATGACATTTCAACATCAAATTTGACACCATCCGCTTGTTTGTCACTGAAATTGATGCCAATTCCCCTGCCAATTCGACGTCTTATTTGTGCTGAAATATTGGTTGGAGCTAACAGGTGTAATTTTCACACCTTTTCTTTGTCTAGATTTGCCAAATCTACTCGAGTATACAAAGATGCCATAAGTATCAGAATGAGTTGTGGCAAAATTAAAAATTAAGGCTCTACACTTTTAGGATGATGGCTTCTATGTTGGCAATATAAGAGAAGACAGGAAAAGCCGTGAAATCTTTCGAATGGAAAAAGTCTACACTATACATGGTATGCAAACAAGTCATAATCTACTAAAATATATAGAGATGAAACCATGAATGATTGCCTTTAAGAGAATAGCTGGATTGTGGGGATTGCTTTTGTTATTAGTTTGTTAGCTTTAGAAGACCCATGCGTACAATGCCACCTGATCATATCAATATAAGATATTTACATAAAATGAAATTTAGTATCATTGAAATAAGGCTCCTGCCTTATGTGGTATATTAAGCCTATATTTAGTGCTTGAGGGAAATCTACATTTGAGCTTAGGGTGTTATGAATTAAATATACAGGGTATCCATAAAGTCTCTTTACACTCGACACAGACTTAGTATTGTAATAGTAAAGACACTTTATGGTCACCCACATACATGTTTATGTATTGTATAGCTGTATATCGTATGAATTGCAGCATTTAAAAATAATTTCAATATAATTTCAATTACTTGGTATAAAAAATATTCATTAATCACTGAGAGCAAGATTGTAGCAAGAGCAATGGAAAGCTGCTACACATATCGATACAAATAAAGCGTATACTCACATCATTATGGCGTTTCTGAGTTTCAACAATGGATTCTAGCTTGTCTATGGCTGCTTGTTTAGACTCTAAGTCATTTTGTAATTTGCTGACTTCCTCTGTCGCTGAACCACCATCAGCCACCTTTGACCGGAGATCCTGCATACAGAAAGTACATATGTAAATAAAAGTGTGATAAAGCATGCATAATCTTTCAATCTATCTAAATAAAGGAGAATGTTTTGGTTCACAGCTTCTGACCAAATAAGGTCTTCCTATGTCTGAAATAAACATTTACTTCTATTACAACACAATATAGTTTAAAATACACAATGTAAATGGATGGCTTAACTAGTAACACATTACAAGCATGCATATAAGCACACAATCAAAGTTGATTTTTGTTGCGACACTCGTAGACATAACATTTTTATGTAACACTGGCATTATTTTGTAACAAGTCAATCATAATATATCATAATAGTATATAAAATCATTTCTATATTAAACCTCATAACATAATAATCATTGAATAGTTATGACAAAATCATAATTAATACAAGGCATTAACATGACAAAATGTCACCACCTAGTTGCTCACAATATTATGAGTTCAAACTTAAGTCAGATTTGAATTTCTGAGAACTTGTAAAGTCAAATTTGAACTTCTGAAAAGATGAAGATGATTTTGAAAAAAAGATTTGGTCAATTTGAAGCAAGTTGAAAACAGACCTTTTTGACCTTTTTGACCTTGAGAAGGTCATTAAAGGTCAAATGTCAAATCTAAAGTCAGATTTGAATTTCTGAGAACATGTAGATGATTTTGAAAAAAAAAATTAGTCAATTTGAAGCAAGTTGAAAAAAGACCTTTTTGACCTTTTTTGACCTTGACAAGGTCATTGAAGGTCAAATCTAAAGTCATATTTGAATTTCTGAGAACATGTAGATGATTTTGAAAAAAAATTTAGTCAATTTGAATCAAGATGAAAAAATACCTTTTTGACCTTTTTTGACATTGAGAAGGTCATTGAAGGTCAAATGTCAAATCTAAAGTCCGATTTGAATTTCTGAGAACATGTAGATGATTTTGAAAAAAAAAATTAGTCAATTTGAAGCAAGTTGAAAAAAGACCTTTTTGACCTTTTTTGACCTTGACAAGGTCATTGAAGGTCAAATGTCAAATCTAAAGACATTATTGAATTTCTGAGAACATGTAGATGATTTTGAAAAAAAATTTAGTCAATTTGAAGCAAGATGAAAAAATACCTTTTTGACCTTTTTTGACATTGAGAAGGTCATTGAAGGTCAAATGTCAAATCTAAAGTCAGATTTGAATTTCTGAGAACATGTAGATGATTTTGAAAAAAAAATTTAGTCAATTTGAAGCAAGTTGAAAAAAGACCTTTTTGACCTTTTTTGACTTTGAGAAGGTCATTGAAGGTCAAATGTCAAATCTTAAGTCAAATCTAAAGTCAGATTTGAATTTCTGAGAACACGTAGATGATTTTGAAAATTTTTTTTAGTCAATTTGAAGCAAGTTGAAAACAGACCTTTTTGACCTTTTTTGACCTTGAGAAGGTCATTGAAGGTCAAATGTCAAATCTTAAGTCAGATTTGAATTTCTGAGAACACGTAGATGATTTTGAAAAAAAAATTTAGTCAATTTGAAGCAAGTTGAAAACAGACCTTTTTGACCTTTTTTGACCTTGAGAAGGTCATTGAAGGTCAAATGTCAAATCTAAAGTCAGATTTGAATTTCTGAGAACATGTAGATGATTTTGAAAAAAAAATTTAGTCAATTTGAAGCAAGTTGAAAAAAGACCTTTTTGACCTTTTTTGACTTTGAGAAGGTCATTGAAGGTCAAATGTCAAATCTTAAGTCAAATCTAAAGTCAGATTTGAATTTCTGAGAACATGTAGATGATTTTGAAATTTTTTTTTAGTCAATTTGAAGCGAGTTGAAAACAGACCTTTTTGACCTTTTTTGACCTTGAGAAGGTCATTGAAGGTCAAATGTCAAATCTTAAGTCAGATTTGAATTTCTGAGAACACGTAGATGATTTTGAAAAAAAAATTTAGTCAATTTGAAGCAAGTTGAAAACAGACATTTTTGACCTTTTTTGACCTTGAGAAGGTCATTGAAGGTCAAATGTCAAATCTTAAGTCAAATCTTAACTCAGATTTGAATTTCTGAGAACACTTAGATGATTTTGAAAAAAAAATTTAGTCAATTTGAAGCAAGTTGAAAACAGACCTTTTTTGACCTTGAGAAGGTCATTGAAGGTCAAATGTCAAATCTAAAGTCAGATTTGAAGGTCAAATGTCAAATCTAAAGTCAGATTTGAATTTCTGAGAACATGTAGATGATTTTGAAAAAAAATTTAGTCAATGTGAAGCAAGTTGAAAAAAGACCTTTTTGACCTTGAGAAGGTCATTGAAGGTCAAATGTCAAATCTAAAGTCAGATTTGAACTTCTGAGAACATGTAGATGATTTAGAAAAAAATTGAAGTCAGTCTAAACAGTATTTGTTAAGTTATAGGAAGTTGTAAGAAATTGTTACAGACGCCGGACGCCAACCGCCGGACGCCAACCGCCGGACGCCAACCGCCGGACGCCAACCACCAACCGCCGGACGCCGTCGCAAAAAAACGGAGACCATAACAATATGTCACCACTTTTGGTGGTGACATAATATCATAATCTTAGAATAACTACAGGATAATCTTAGAATAACTACAAGATAATCCTACAATAGATATAGCAAAATTGATTCTACAAAATATATTTAATGATCCTGTAAGACCTATAGCATAATTCTAGAATAGCCACAGCACAATCTTAAAATAAATAACTAAAAGAAAAATCACTCCTATGATAGATACATAATTGCATAATTCTAATAGAGCTATGGTATTATCTTACAATAGCTATAGCATAGGGGTGAATACATAGATACAAAGCAGTGCTGTCGTTATTACAAGCAATTATAGTTTTAGCAAGAAAGATTTGTTAGTCTTTTCTGAAACAAAAATAATTCTTTCATTGATTATCATTATACATGCCATGCATTTAGATGTGTTGCTTTGGTTGTATAAAGCAGAGGGTTGCCAAAGTAACAGAAGCACTGGTTGCTAGCTCACTAAATTTAGGCATTAGTAACAGAACAATACACTAGTATTTGTTAATATCTGTTACCATAGTAACAGAAGTGACAGTGGTATTTATAGTTCTGATGAAGGGACAGACTCTTTACACTGGTTTTCAAAACTTGTGCAGGAGCTTTATTATAAGCAGCATCATAAGCAACAAGAACCTGAATACGTTCGACAGCAAAGCCGCCATGGCAACAGCTAAGGTTACAATACGAGAATTAATAACTAAGTGATCATAGAATCAGTTATCATGTAATTATAGTTGTCATATATACACCATCATAAATTATATAAGCCAAGAACAGAAGCAAAGGCTTTAATACATCTTTGCCATAGTGACAGAAGCTTAATTAACACAAGCTCAGACATTACCATGGTATCCGATTCTGGTTACCAAGGTTTCATAAGCTTACATTTATAGTATCTTTCTGTTGTTCTACTAATTTTAGAAGTACATCCATATCTTGTACTCTTTTGTTCAGTTCCTCTTGGAGATGCAACAACTGAACTTGGACATCTTGGTCCTGCTTGCCACTGACTCCATGGGCATCTAGCTGGGCTTGCAATTCCTACAATCAATGGTTATTATGGGATATAGTGGTAATTATGGGATACGTGATAGTTATGTAGGGAGATTTGTAAATCTAACTATAATATAGAATTGATTATAGAATAGAAAAGGGAAAACTTATACAAACACTTTAAGTTAGTGAAAGAAATGAGTCAATGACAGGCTTTTGACCTCAAATGGATTGGAGTTTTCCTTATTTTAATACACGGATGCCTAATGGGTAAAATTAATGTATTGCATGATGGGAGCTTACATCCTTCTCCCTCTTGTGGTGCTCAACCTCCTCTTGTAGGGAGGCAAGTTGCTGTAAACTTTCTGACAACTGATTCTGCACAAGACCCATACCCTCAGCTGATGCCTCAGCTACTGCGAGAAACTCTGAGATTTGCTGAGACTGCTGTCGTAGTTCCTGATGAGGAAATATGAAGAAATGGGAACTTGGTTACTGTATCTACAACAACCCTTGTGCGATGACATTAACTAGTCAACTGAGTGTTCTGTTCTTGCTGAAGTATGTGTAAACGAAACATTGGGATCTTAAATCTGGCACAAGATAATATAACCCCCAGCCAACTCCCTACCCAACTAGCATCTAAGTTCAGCATTGCACTGACAAGATGTATGTGCATGCAATTTTGTTAGATACTTTGATTCTAATTAGAATAACATTTTTAGAAGGAAAAAATCAATCATGTATAAGTTCACATTCATCTATATTATTTCTCTCTCTCTAGTTCTCAAGTATATAAGTCATAATGCAATGCAATGTAAGGGAGCCTATTCACATGCATGACCAAATTTGGTCATCTTTATTCACAACCCTTACATCATTTCTTTGTCGCTCCTCGTCCAATAAGGCATGTAAGTCTTGTATGGCGTTATTTCGGGACTCTAATTCAGCTTGGAATTCTTCATTGGGCTGGATTTCTGTTGCCTCCTGGCTTAATGCTGTCTCTGATAATTTGGTACATTTTTCGGAAACTTCTGTGAATTTTTGTTGAATTTCCTGTGAATGAACAGAAAATTAAACCATATTTCCAAAAAGGGCAATTTGAGGTGTAATGTTGTGATATAAAGAATCAGAACTGAAGAAACTACTAGAAATTAACTTAAACTTTCTTAACTTAATACATTTAAAAAACTGCAAAGTAATGGAGCCGAAATACCCAAAATTCAAATCACGTCCTCAGTCATACAATGTCTATTCCCCATATATACAATTTAGAAATGACCCAAATATTATAAAAATTGCACTCTTGTCATGAACCTTTTCATTAACTTTTCTCTCAAAATTGCATGAAACCTCTGACATTACGTTATCCAACCAATTTATTTTGTGAGCATGCATCTGAAAACTACTCTGTATTTCTTACAATATTCTCCACTTTAGTCTGTTCTATGGTAGACTGAAGTGTTTCAATGGTTGTTGTTTTCTCCTCAAGTAAAGCCTGTAGCTCTTGCTGTTTCTCTGAGGCTGTCTTATTGTTTTCTAACTGTCGCTGGAGGTCCTATAGGTGATAACAGGTCATATTTAATTCATTGTACATTTGAAGCCAATGGATTGAATTGTGATTCCCACCATTGGAAAGCAAGAATATGACAATGAGACATTCAATTAATAATATTGGCTTCAAACTACTAATAGGTGTAAATCTCATCCAAATAACCCCCAAACTTTTTTATAATGATATGTAAATTATATTATGAGCTATATCAATAGACTTGACAGTAAACTAATCTAATATCAATATTTTATCTTAAAAACTGGAAAACTGAAAACAACAATACAGCATATGAATCGATTTGATGTGCATATTAAAAATAGAATATGATCTAAAGTTAGTGTAATGACTTTAAATGTTATAATAGTTAGTGAATTCACCATGCAAGCAGCCCTAAGCAAAGTACTGTATATTTCATAAAGCTTAGTTAGCACTACACACTTCTGAAGCTTTATATAAAACTGCAATTTACTTTATAGACTGAATTTAAAATATACTGCGAAAAGTCAACTTCCACTTAGCCTAATACAAATGTATTTCATAATCAACAGATGAGTAAACGCTTTCCAATGCATCTCGAGGTCCCACTATGGGACAATAGTAAATTTTGCAACAATATATTTTGTAATACATATTGCAACACAATGAACAGAGTATATGCAATACAGAAATTGCAAACTTGGTGGTACATATTGCAACACAATGAACAGAGGATATGCAATACAGAAATTGCAAACTTGGTGGGCCGTGCAACACATAACTGTGCATGTACACACAAAAATTACATAAACATAACTAAAGTAGCTGTAGATTATAATGTACATAGTAACTGATTATTAAATAAAATACAATCATTTGATTGGTTAGCCTCTCTTGATTATTTGATTATCATGTACAGATTAATAGATTATCATGTACATTTTCATATATTATCATGCTCAGATTAATCAAACATTGTGACATATTATCATATACCCGTTAATGTGTACAATTTTCCTGTTTGAAAGTTATAATGTGCAGTAAAATAGATTACTTTATGATCTTCTGATCACTCATCCTGTTAATCATAGTTCCTGGTGCTGATTATCGTAAAAACCATGCAAAGACACATCATAAAACAGAAGATTGATAAGTAAGGTGAATTTCAAGTCACTGATAATAATTATGATTAGATTATTCACACCTTAAATAAAGCTTACATAATAATGATGTTTGTGATGAACATAGTTAAAATGTATGGAATTCCTGATGAACTGCCATCCAAGCAAGCACAGGACCATCACACCATGCATAGAACTTATGCTATAACATCTCTTACTTCATTTGCTTTCTTAATCTCTTCCAATTCTTCTTTCAACTTATCAGCTTCACTTTGGTCTTCTTTAGAGGCCTGTAGGGCTTTGTTTAACTCAGTGATCTGATCTGTTAAGGTTTGGATCTCTGCAGTTTTGGTTTCAATCGTGGAGACATATTCTTGTTTTTCTTGGCCAAGCTTTTCAAGTTCTTCGCTAAGTTCGTTGGTGGCATCCTTCAGGGCAGCTTCTTTGACTTCTTCTTCCAGTGCGTTTATCTTCTCATTTAGGGCTACAATGGTGCCTGCTTTTTCTTCAAAGTCTTGAGACAGCTTGCTATATTTCTCATTAACCTCTGTGTAATTTACCTCTTTCTGATTTATCAGAGCCTCTTTTTCAGATATCAGAACCTCTTTCTGAGATATCTCAGTCTCTTTTTCAGAAATCTGAGCTTGGAGCACAGATGTTTGGTCATCATTCTTAATTGTATTAATTTGGCTAGAAAGTAAGTCAATTTCAGAATTTTTCTCTGTGATTTCTGACTTCAATGGTTCAATTTCTGACCTCAGTTGGTCAAGTTCCACAGTAACCTGCTGCAGTGCTTCGTCCTTACCCTGTACACTTTTTAATTGATCCTCTAGTTCCTATAGAAACAGAGAAAGCTCATCAATCCCATAGTTCAATGTCATATATATTTAATGGGATTGGCTACTTTGTCAAAGATCTAAGAAGGGAAAATACAACAATGTACACTGGAGTTCAGACAATGTACAATATGTTACAATCAGTACAATGTTTTATAACTGCTGAAATAAGACTGTGCACAATTACATTGTTAGTTGTTTAGTAACAAAACATTGAATTTTCATTTCACAAACACCAACTGCTAACAAGCATATCAGATAGTGATCTCCTTAGCATTTAGAGCAACTGGGTGCTGTACACAGTTCAAAACCTAAATAAATAAAAAATATGCCCCATCCTGTAGAAGATTTGTTTGAACTTGCTAAAAGTGTAACATTAAGATTTGACTAAAATTGGTGGAATTGACGACTTTGCACCACATTAGGAAAAATCCTAGGAATATCACTATCAAATGATACACATTCAGGAAAATGTGAATGAATTATTGTCTACTGACTCATGTTTGTTTTCCACAAAAAGGAAAATGAAGCAGGCATTCCATTATATCCATGTATAAACTGCAATATAGCTCTAAACAAAATCCTGTACCTCAGTTCAATAAAAATCAATAAAACTAAAGAAAATATCAACATTAATTGTTGTTTCTTGAACAAAATACAGCACAAGCTAATATGAACAATGAGATAAATGTAACAGTTAGGAAAGTGTATAATCTAAACTAGTGTGTAGTGCTGAAATGCATTAGTCATGCTGGGTGAGGGCCTTCATAAGACATCTCATGGTGACCATGGAAACCCCAATTTTACCACAAAAACCCAAATTTTACAGTGTTCCCAAAAACTACAATGCTTAAGAATTAAATGCTTCATGCTTATAGCGTGATTTCATGTTAATTCCAAATTCCTTACAATTGAGTGATTGATACCATTACCACCATGAAATCTCTAGATCTGCTCATTATTATTTGTCACGGAGGTCATGTTTTTAAAATGTGAAATTCAGTAAAAATGAGTGAAATTAACAAAAAATTAATTAAATAGCCATGAAGACAACACAATTAACTGTATGGAAATGCAAGAAAATCAAACATTTCATTCATGTTTAAGAGAGAAAACACAAGAAATAAACATGAACTCAATGACATTTCTAGGCCTGCATGCATGGTTGCCTGATAATCAGACACAACAATGATGACACCTAAAAGGAAGAAAAGCTTACATTATTTTGCTGTTGTAAATTAGAGAATTCTGACTCCTTCAAATTAAGATCTTGCCGAAGTTTAGCTAATTCTGCAGATGTTTTTTCTGCCTCGGCTAAGGCATCCATTGCCTTCCAATTTTTACGCCGTAAATCCTAAAATGAATGACATCATTCTAACAAGGTGCAAAAACCACTAACACCATGCAAGGGTTACTAACGATTAGTCAACAATTCAACAGACAAATAGTTAGAGAGTCAGTTAGAAAAGTTCATTAAAATTAAAGTTCATTCAAAGTAATTAAAAGAGTATACATGTGGTTATTGAATGGCTTAGACAGTTTAAAGCCATTTTGCAATGAAACAATAACAGCAGGAATTACTTGTTTTCCTTTTATAGCAGATTTAGATAAATAAGTTTTCTGCAATGCTATTAATAGAAAGAACTACAATAATCATGACTAAATAGAAATGGTCGTAATAAGTTGTCTTTATTAATCAGCGATAGTATAAATTCCTAAAATGGTCAGGTGCAAGCAGGAAAGGATTGAAGATCATTTCTACGTCATGATAAAAACACAAAATGAATTCTCTATAAACACTATGTTGTCACTACTAGATATAGTAATCTAATATCCTAGAATTGTTCAATGTAGATGTGATTTACTCACATTATTTTTCTGTTTTTGTGCTTCAAGGTCTTCACACAGTCTTCCTAATTCTTTATCTTTGTCTTGTAATCTGAAAAGGTGTGACAAAGACCCTATGTTTCATTGCTCTCTGTAAATGGTTGAAGACAAAGTATTTAAAGATTCATTTAAAATGATACTTCAAAAGTACTTGTGACTCATAAGCGATATACAAAAACATGGTCATTATACATGAGGACTTGCTTCTTGTTTCATATCGAGTTATCGGGTCTCAGCTTCAGGGAACCAAGTCGGTGACGTCAAGGTAGAACATTTCATGATTATCGTCAGTTTCGAAAAATATTCGTGAAAATGCTATGCAGATTGTCACGAGGACCTATATTTTTATCGATTGTGCAAATATACGTGAAGAGGAATGTCAAATAAAGTTAAAATGATGTTTTCAAAACCGAACCCTGTATATTTCAATGTGGAAAAGACCAGGATGTAAAAATCTGTTCTCGGAATTTGAGCTCTTCAACACGGGAAGTGAGAATTTTGTTGTTATTCTGAACTATCGCGAATAAATCTATTGGGATGAATTTATTTCTTTATTCTGAAATTGCCACACCATGCATGCATACAATTTTTAGTAGTTATCAAATGTGTTCAATATCTTACAATTTTTCATGTGTGTGTATATCAACAGTGTTGGTGGGCTTGGCTGTGTCACCATTCACTGTCACTCCCTTTACAGATGGCTCTTCTGCACCCTCCCCTTGTTGTCTTTCCTGTGTAGTATGCAGCTCATCTTTAAGTGCTTTGTTCTCCTGTTTAAGTGCCTACAAGAACAAAGTGAGAATTAGTGCACCTTTAAAACTGATTGAAAAACAAGATATTGTGAGATGTGACAAGATTATGGAGTACATGAGTCAAGATATTCAATGCTTCAGATCTGAATAACAAACCCTCATAGTTAATAACTAGGGGTAGAATTCATCATCATTGTACAATGATTGTAGTAAATTACTATGAGTAATCTTCCAAGTAAATTAACAGCTCTTTTATTCCACTTTCTGATACGTGGATTTTAACTAAATATTAATTGAACTTGATAACCACTTTAAGTTGTCTGCTACGTATATGGGGTGATCTGTTTTATCGATATTAAAGCAATTAATGACTTTCAGGGTGTCATTTTACTATTTACCATGAGGTCTAGGTTGATCTCAGCTTTCTGTCTCTCTACATTGGACAGTTGGGTTTCAGTGGATTTCACCTTTGATTCCAAATCTATCTTTTGTCTCTCAATATCCTGAAGAAATACAAAACATGTCATTCCGAATGGTTTCCATATTTAAGATAAAATAGAGTATGGATGGAGGAGAAATTCACATTTAAAATCATGTTTAAGATACATCTTAGTGAAAAATAAGTGTAATTCTATCCAGAGAGTCGTGAGCAAGATCAATGTCACTTTTATGAATAATATTACGCATTTATTAAATTCTGAGCTTTTCATGTTGAAATAGCTAAGACACTGAGCACAGGTAATTAAATCAAACATTATAACAACAAACCTTGTATCTAAGTTCCAATGCTTTTGTATTATCTTCTTTATTTTTAGAGTTGGCTTCCAGACTCCTCAAACGATCCTTAAGATTTGAGATTTCATCTTCAGCAACCTTGGCTGCTTGGTCTGCATCCTTTGCAATGCTAATATTCTTCATCTCTGCATGGCGTAGTTGTTCACTGACTTCATCCAGTTTCTTCGACAGCATTGTTGTGTCTCTCTAGATATGTATTAAAGAATACAGATTAAAATTCTGCTCAATATTTTTGCTAATTCCATTCCATGCTTTTGCATACAATTGTATTTGTATTGAAAGTTTGTTTCTATGTCATTCAATTGTACATCCATCCTTGGGCACCATGTTTTATTGAAAGTTGCAAGTAATAATTTCCCAATTTTGTCAAGGTCTTCCATTAGAAATGGACATAGCTAACCTGGGCCAAACAAAAGTTGGTGGTAGGCTAATTGAAGAACTTCATAGCAAAGACATTTTGTGAAAAATAACAAAAATGCTTCGATGGTCCTCGAATTCATGTCCTTGACTTCAAATAAAAAATAAAGCAACTATGAATTGTGGGACACGAGCCTTACCTTGCTTGAATCAATCTGACGCAGTTGGTTCTCATATCCTGCAACTTTCTGCTCCAAGTTACGTTTGGCATTCTCCGATGTGTTTAGTTTGATGACGTTGCTGTTCAACTCTGTCTTTATAATCTCAAGTTGATTCTTCATTCCAGCAAACTGAGCAGGTGAGATCTCAGAGGATCTGGAACATCACAAAGGGTTATCTTATAAATGCAAAATAGACTGAAAAGATTTTTGCTATAATTTAGCTGCTCATCTATCCTTATGATATCAGCCTTATCATATAAAAGTGAAATAAACTAAAAGTAAATACAGTACAATGCACAGATTTGAGGTGACTCTAAATTGTGCCCAAAGCTATACTTAGTTTGTGGGCACTACTAGCATGTTCACTCAATTTGAATTCATTTTTTCCATATAAAGCAGAAAGTCAATCAAAGTTTTCACGTGTCAATAGAAGATGGTGCAAAATCATCCACCTGTTGACAAAAAAATTACACATATTATGAAGGTCAGAGTGAACTTAACACATCTTGCTCCATGGGACAGGGAAGAAGGAAAGCTACTCACTGTTTCCTGGAGGCAACCTCTTTCAATTGTTTGTTCTCTTCCTGTAGCCGTTGAATCAACTGTGCGTGTCCCTCGCCATATTGGCTGTTCTGCTGCATCGCATTCATCTCTGCTACATGCTGGCCATGTGTCTGTTGCATCCTGGGTAAAACATTCAAATCAAATTATGAATCTAAATGTTGAATTAGAAACTATTGTGTTTCCTATACTTTGATTAATGTACTTCGTGAAACGTCTGCTAATTTGCTGATGCATTATGGGATATGATAATTTTTTGTGATATTTTTTGCTTCAGATCTGAATAACAAACTCTCATAGTAATAACTAGAGGAAGAATTCTTCATCATTGCAGAGGGATCACCATTCAAACTTTTTTGAGCATAGAGTAGTTTTATAACTACTGAAGATATTGTCTTCACAAAAATTGCCAAGTGGAGAAAAGTTATAGCCCTCTTATTAGAACATAACCCTGAAACTCTCCTGAAGGATTATCATGTTATATGTAGGTGCATACCTGGTATGCAGGGCTTGTATCTCAGAATCCTTCACTTGAATAGTTTCCTGTAATTTCTTCTCATTGACACTATATCTTGATCTTTCTTGTGCCTGCTCCTGACGGATCTCATATAGTTTGCTGTTAGCGCTTTGACTGCGCTGTTGTTCTGAAATAGTAAACCTGTCTGATTTAGCATTGGATTATGGCAACATCTATTTCATTCCTTTTAAGGAATCTTGTTACATTGTGTGATAGCATTTAGATAGTTGCTTGAAAACTATTCAGATTCAAGATACAGTCGACCACTGTTGAGATACTGTTGACTGTCAAGAATACATTTTTGTTGGCATTTCATAATTCGAGAAAGAAAATATTACTGTAACATGTATTGAATATAATAAAATTCTTCTAATAATCAACTACCTCTCATACGCTGGTATTATTTTTTGATTCCGACAGTTAATGATTGTACTTATTATATTGTACTATAATTTATTTAAAATAAGGTGTATCACTGGAATACCACACGATGTAATAACAATTCATAATCTATAAATGTGCATCAGATATAGCATGTCATCAAAACGTTTTAGGAGTTGGATTGAAAATCATCATAGCACATTTAAAATCTTGGTCTAGAATACATAAGTTGCGAAACACAATCTCCAAAAAGTTACAATAGTATATGCCTGGTAATACTGTAAATCTAAAATAAATGAGGTATTATTGTACCTTCTTTTAAAGCCTCCTCTTTCTCCTCAAGCTGTTTCTTCATCTGTGTAATTGGGTCTCCTTTCTTGCTGTTCTGTAACACAAACAGATATACATTAAAGCTGAACTCTTATGCTTTGCTCTTTTGGAAAAGCAGGTACTTGTACTTTTAAATATACAACAGATACATTACTATACTTACATACAAAAAGGATTTGGGGTAAAATGTGATACTTAGCATTATTAGTAACAAAAGAAATGCTTACTGTAGACCAGGTATCTCCAGGAGTGGCCCCACCCTGCTTATTAAGGAGAATGTCAATGAGAGTCTGCATCTCAGTTGAACTGAGGGTGGCCTGGCGTACAGTGGTGGCCAACTGGAACGTCTCTGTAAATACAACAAAATGAAAATCAGTTCTTGTAAATGCTGCAGTTTTAGATCATAGAAATAAAACAGTCAATGTGATTGAAATACCATTCAGCCACCCCCCCTTCCACCCCCTGTTAACATTTTATATACATGTACTATGGTATATACAAACACACAATCTTTAATGAATGTGGTAGACATGAGACATGTTAATGTGGCACAGTGGCATACCAACACAAGTTCATACATGTAAACTCTATTTGTAGAAAGATTTAAAAGTAAATCTTGGCATAAGCTGATAAGGCAAAATACAACAGGCATGTAATGTTGGCACTCGGAGAAATATACACAGTCACATATTTTTCTAACATTGGATTTATTCTTCCTGATTAGAGAAGCACCATGAGCAGTTTTATATAAAAGTCAGAATTCTGTGTTCTCAAAAGGATTTTTTCATATGACAATCAAGACCCTAGTTAACGAAATAGAGACTAAGATCTAGAGACCTAAATTTAATCTTGACGTTTCTAGTTATTAGATTACTGACTGAACTATACATTCTGACAGCTATATAACTGAATTTCCCACAAAAATACATATAAGATCCATTAAAGATTATTGAGATCTTTTAAGCATTGGGGTTACCAGTTCATCTGTAATAATGAGAGAGTGGGGTGGTTTGGTAATTGAAACTCAGGGTAAGTAGAGACCAATGATTGTATAATAATATAAAGTCTGAATGTCAATCAGGAATCAATTTGAGCTTCATTGTCAGAAATCTTCATCAGAAATAACAATTCTATCTTTCGCTTCATAGAATTAGAATACAGATGGATGTATAACATTCAGGGGATTATATCTCATTATGTAACTATTAAGCTAAACCTGAATGCCAGATAAAATTGGATTGCAGTTCATCAGATAACCAGAAATATTTCTGATTCAGTTTAGCATTTAAAAGCATGACTCCCAGAAGTTATGCGATAGTGATACATTTTTTGTCAAAATTTATTCATTTTAAGAGGATTGCCCAGAAGCATTTTGCTTATCAAGGGGCTCTCCTCTCTTTAAAATTACACAATATTAGAGATGGAGTTCAATAATTTATAGTTGATCCATTTAAAATCCCTTTTCAACATCATGTATGCAGCGAATGTTTCATTCATTAGATAATGCATGAATAATAAATCTATCAATCTGTCCATGCCATATTTTCCAAATAATGTAAATGATTTTATTGTTTGATGCTTATAGATTTATTAATAAATCAATGCATCCCTACATATTGTTTCATTTCTTTTGAGACCTTATGAATATAATAAATTACAATCATTATTCATCAACATGTTACAACAAGACAACCCTTTGTGAGACCTAGTTTTGTTTAAACTCTTCAATTTAGCAACTCAGACTTAAAGATCGGATTAAAGTGAAGACCTGAAAATTGAAAATAGGGCAAAAAATCTTGAAAAAACTTATCGGTCTCTTTTTGAAAATTTGAATTCTCGTGAGCGATAACATACAGTGTATTTCATTTGAATTATTAAAATGACATGTGCATCTAAAAACAAATATTGATTAATAAAAAGCTGTTCAATTAGAACACGATCAGTTCTCAAATAAATTGATTAATAAGTTAACACACTCCAGACTGCAACCTGTGGACATATAACTACTCTAATGAATAGTACAGGCTCTGGATCCCCCAATGAATGAGGAAAAACCTATGATCATTCCGTTGAGGTCAATGAGTGTTTAGTAGGTATCCTTGTATGAGTTATTTATAGAGACCCAGTTCACATTTTTACAAATCCTCCACCCACACATATATTTGTCCTTCAATCAGGAGTTTTTTTGTCTATGTGAGAATTCTTGTTAATACAGCAGAATTACAGACACAAGATATCCTTAGAAAGGCCTTATGAGGAAAACTAGATTTTATTGAAATGAAGACATAACATTGCATTCCTATAACAGAGTGACAGGTTAGAAAACAGAGCTATTTCTATGAAGTAAAACAGGATGCAATCTAGTAATAGTTCCTTCATGGAATAATATAAATGTATTTTATATTCACATCAGGCTTTATGATTGTGACATGTAATAACACAGATGGTACGGTGACATAAATTTTACAGCAGTCTTTAATATCAATCCAAGATTTTCAAGAGAAATAAAAGATTCCATAAAACAAAGACATGAAGCCAAAATCATCCTTCAAGATCGGGCATCACTGTCCCAGCTCATGTGTAATATATGGAATAAATTGAAATACCATTGGAAAGGATCATCCTTGCAGCAAGGGTATATCGCATCTTCGCACGCTCGGTCTTCACTGCAATGGGAGCCGAGTGAACGAAGATGGGTATATAGTATTTTATATATGAATTTAAGCATCAATGAAGTCCTTCAAAGAAGGAATTGCCAAGGATGGCCAAAATACTAACAATTATAATCTCAGACATTTCACTATTAAATTACAAAGAACTTAACCTGATTAGTTAGAGGGATATCTTTTTGATAGGTCCAGGTCAATGTGACTGCCATAGTATACGATGACATCGGACTATATTTGTATAGTGGTAGGTGATCAGAAATAATCTCATGATATAGAAGTCATATTATGAGAAAATATTCAATTAGCTAATTGAGATAAATTAACCAAAGCCAAGTTGAAAATGTCCTTGTATGATCGATAAAGTCAACACGGAAAAATAAAGATTGAAAAGCAATTGATTATAAAAAGACGATATAAATGAACATGTATCACGATAAACTTTAATATCTTATTTTTTCTCAGCCACGATATGCCATTGTGATCTGAGGAGTATTTTGAGAGCTTTTATCTTATAAAATCTGTGGAGATTACATCATCCGTGCCTGTGTTAATATCTAATGACCCCACTATAGAATACAATGCCTATTATGTAATGTATTCAGGGCAGTAATAAAGTAATACCTATCACACCTAGTCACATAATGAGTTGAAACGCTTTTAATGAAACAGAAAGATATGATGAGTATCCGAATGAATGCATATTAGCATTGAGCATAGCACAATTTTATTCTGAACCCTGTGTGTCTCCAAACAAACTGGTTGTCAAACAATCTTGAAAAGGGCAAACAACCATTCTACTACCAGAGGACCAACGTCTTTCTTCAAAAGGTAGAAGAGACATTGATTATCACAATTATTTGGCATGCCTCAATCAATATAAAGGTAATGGTTTCAAAACTTGGAGAAACTGTTGTAAAAATTCAATTAAACAACAATTCCCCCCTCCCTCACAGAGGTAAAGTAAAAGTCTGGTTTATTCAAGACCAGGAGTGTGCCATTGTAGGATCCAAAGTCATGACCATCCCATGGGATAGAGACACGAGCTGTAGATAAAGAGACTCTGATAAATCAAAATGGGAGTATGAACTTAAAGGGTTTGAGTATAAAACAAAATGTTCAAGGAAAAGTTACTCTTAGCCTTGGCATACCTAAATTCTCTACCTGAGTGTCTGAAATTCTAGCATTGCTTTATAATTCTAGAGAGGTGACTTCATTCTACATTGACCCTTGCTTATTCCACAAATCGCTATGTTATTATTTGAGTAAAACCATGGATACCACAACATCTATCTACATGTACCCTTACAAGAGAACTCCCACACTAGTGGGTTTTAGATCCATACATATTAGCCCAGGAAAGAGGATACAATAGAGCCATTATGCTCATATCCTTTTTTACAATATTTTATTGACAAATCTACTTGATAAAGTAGGATAAAATAGACATCTATCAGATCAAAGCCACATTTATAATTTTAGGTTAGGTGCCCCCTAGCAGTAGTTTGATAGATACACTAAATGTTTACATGTTTGGGGTAATCAGAACTGGCATATGGTATGTATCAATTTGCTGTAAAGTGGTTGCCTACCCTAACCAGGTCAACCTAGGAATAATGTGTAACAACAATGATCAACAATTATGGAATACAGTACAATAAAATCTGCTCTTAGTGAACACCCTTTTACCTCACATACTGTACTGACTTCTGTATGAATCACCCTCTGTAGTGAAGCCCTACCAACACTGAACTTTTTTCGTAGATTTTTGAGTTGGGAATGTCAACATATATCCAAAGTCACCATAACTTTAAAATATTAACTTTTTAAACCATAAACATGAAGTGGAATTACGCTTCCACATGTTTTCCTGTCAAGATAATATTTTTTAGCAAAGTATCACCTTTGCAAAAAAAACTAGAAAACCTTGCTGTCTCTGTTTATACCCCCTTCCCATCAGGGATATTTACCCCATGGTTTATTTGTGGTAGACACATGAGCAGGGACTGTCATACTGACATAAAACCTGTACAAATAAATCAGGGCAAAAATTGTCAAATTAGAGTCGAAGATGGAAGACTTCGATTCTATATCGTAAAACCTGTTACAGCTGAACCATATTGTACATGTACATTATCAATTTCTGCCACATTATACTTTTGACAACTCATAACTCAACTGAATGAAGCTAAACTCAGATTGGCCTCGTTAGATAAAGTATACAGGAAGCAGATTCATGTTAACCTAGAGCTACTCTGCCTCAAGAGGAAACACATAAATTTCATGACATCTCCAACACTTCAAGTCAAGGAGATCCAGATGCATGTCGTGTAAAAAAACTATAGTTTCACTTATCTATAGTGATATGAAAATATAACAATACCTTTGTTATCAGATTTACGTTCCTTCTTCTCTTTTTTCGGAACTGGTGCAGATTTCACTGGCTCACTCTCAACCACCTTCACCTTTTCTTCTGTGATAACCTCAGTCTTTACTGTACGTTTCTGGGATTTAGTCTGAGTTGTCTCCACAACAGTGACCTGTTCATGTGCATGTTTCTGTTCAATCTCATCCCTTGGGAGTGACTTAGGGTGGAAGGCTTCATGGACTTTTGACTCATCTTGACGGTACGATACCTCATCTTTGTTCAACAAAATGGATTTCTCAGGTTTTGCTTTGTTCTTACGTTTCCTGGGTGTGGTTTCAGATGGTTCGATTATTTCAGGCTCAATTTCCAATTCCACCATCTTGTGTGGAATTTCTTCTTCTGATTCTGGAGAAGCTCTCGATGCTTCTTTATCTCCCTTATTTCGACGGAATCCTTTTTTAGCCCGTTGGTCTTTCTTAGATTTCTTTGATGTTTGTTTATCATCTTCTTGACGCTGTTTTTGGGCCTCGAGTGCTTCTTCATAAGAACGCTCACGGATTCCAAACACAGAAATTAGGTAGACTAGAATAAACGCCCCAATGATAATAGCAGCTGCTATCATCAATGTTTGGGGGTCCATGGCCAGTGCAGATTCGGTCATTGTCATGCTTAAGTTGTCACTACCTAAATATAAATAAAAAATATATTAATGTATAGATAATATACATAATTGATAAACATGGCAATAGTGGTCATAATATCAATTAGCGTGATCTATTGATGTCATATCACAGTTGTTTTGTCGCTGAGTAATTTTGCAGGCATTTACAACTGCTTAGGTTACATAATGAGGTTTTATACTTGTAACGCCTCGCTAAAGAAAGTATTGTAATCAAATAGCCAGAAAGTGCATTGAGAAAAAGTTACCAACTCTGCCATTCAATATACTAGATGTGAAAAGAAATAATCTTGATTTACATCATTAAATATTCGGATATTATATTTGAATTTTACATGTAAAATTGCATCTAAAAATGTAGTTTTAAAAAGCGTTCATCAACTTTGAAAATTTAATCTTCTTTGAAAATGTGACTTAGGTCGGGGGGATTCCTCATAGACCCCATGTTACAAAATCACAAAAAGTGAAATATCTTTTCTTGTGTTGAGCAGATAATATTTTCCTTTACTGGACATATTTTCATTTGTATAATTATCAGACACATAAGGATCATATGGGAATTGATCCACTTTTAACTTTTAACCCAAATCAGCCACCTGGTGGTGAAACTAACTACCTACTCGCATCTAGATAATTGGATTATGCATCGATCAAATCTAAATCTAAGATTTTGATGATATATGCACAACTGTATCAGCCTCGTTTTGTCAACCATAGTTAGAATATCACAAAATGATATATATGGCTTATCAATTTCAAATATCAAAGCATTACGTCAATCATAAATTACATGTATGTAGTTTAATTCGACAAAAACCCAAAATATCGAATTCGACACTCTCTGTCCTCCATCTTAGGTGAGAAGGTAGCGGCCATTGCCGCATCACCCAAAATTATTACCATACAGACAAAGTATGCGAGATAGCGCAGGACTATCAGTCCTGGAACCAGATTACTTAGTTTGCACAAAGCTATCTCCTGAGAGATAGATTTGCATATGTTGATATTCCCAGTCCTTTATATAGGTCTTTTGTAAAAATATAAGAAATCTTGGAAACATTTACCCTACTTCAATCGATGCATAACATTCTATAGTATCGTTTTTCTAACCATATCGGGCTATCCAGAGTGGAAGAAGAAATATATTGAGGAAAAATGTCGAAGAGTTGATCATTTTCAAGATGGCTTTTCAGGAAGTTGGGTAATGGGCATGCGCCTCTATGCCATGAGATTTCCGCTTCCGGTTACACGCATGCACATTGGCAAGACTTCCTGGTCAGACGATATGGAAAATAACAAGTTCCAAATATATTTTTCGTCAATTAAACTATTTCCCGACTCCGGATCGCCTGATATGGTCAGGAAAACGATACTTAGAATGTTCTGCATCGATTGACGTAGGGTACATGTTTCCAAGATTTCTTACATTTTTGTAAAAGACCTTTAAAATGGGCATAGCCATCTATCTAAAGATGGCTATGTGCAAATATAGCAAGAACCAGATGAGTTTGAAGCCTACCATATCTGAAGATAGTGATGCGATGCCATACTGAATCATTCCCATTCAAAATTTATGCAGTCCGCATAGCTTGTACCCAAAATTTTCACCATACAGACAAAGTATGCGAGATGGCGCAGGACTATCAGTCCTGGAACCAGATGAGTTTGAATTGTGCCATATTTGAAGATAGTGATGCGATGCCATACTGAATCATTCCCATTCAAAAATTATACACTAATGTATGGAGGAACAAAAAGAATTGTACAAAAACTAGACAATTAGAAGATGGTTGACAGACACACGTTAGAAGTGTAGCACTTGAGGAATATCAATATGTTTACACCTGAACATCAAAGTAAGCAGTCCACGTAGACAGAAAAAATTGACCTCCACATTTTTTTCACGTGTACATTTGAAGATGTTTTTGTCATGCTTCTACGTTGTACTCACCTACAATTTTATTGCTATTGAAGCTTCATATATTCAACTTTTGTGTTGCAGACAGAATTAGTGCTTTTATATCCAGAGTATGGAGTTATAAGGACAAATTTGGATATTTTAGACGAACCGGCTCATAATGTCGTACACACCTACTCGAGATGTAAAACACAATTTCATTGGTCGGGCTCTTTTCGAAGCCATTCTATTTTCTAGACATCCTCCTAACTTCGTAATAGTTTTACTTGCATATTCGGACATAACCTTATAATTGAAGATAATGTTTATTGATTTGCTACATATAATTGATGTAATTGAAATGACTGAAGCAATAATATGTGAATTATAAGTTATTTGATATATTACATTTGTAAAAACATCCATTCAGTTTTTGGAGGAAAGTTAATCAACTGACTTTACTTCCTAGTTGGTTAACTCCAAAATACAAACTCATCATAATATAAGCATATGGAACGGATATACTAACCAGCAATTTATCTGATAACTTTTGGCAACATTTCAAAACCCAATTGTAGAATTTGAAGGGTTTTCCAGTACCAAGTGAATGTATCAATATGTAACACTTTATGATTGTGATTATTAGACAAGAAAATGCCTAGGATGAATAAAAGACAAATCCCAAATATCCCTGTGAAAGTATCCATGAATACCCCAGAATTCATAGAACTCAATTATCACATGCCAGGTCTAGTCTATCGAGGAACCTATTTCCCATGTTAAAATGACCCTCAAGAGATTCATCTTTACGCAGTTCATCTATGAATTCTGGGCTATTTCCTCCATTTCCAAACTTTGTTGGTAGGGACCAGAACATCCTTCTTCAAAGGACTTCATTTATGCTCAAATTCATACATATATACTTGTAAAATACCCTTGCAGCAAGGATGGACCAGAAGGGATAGGGACAGATGAGAGTGGTTTAAAAACAGTCACACTTTTGTAATATATAGGGTGTCTCAAAAAAATGTACCCAAAAGTATATCAACACCATAGACAAACCAATCAATATTTTCAGACATTTTTTGCATGGTCTTGTAGATAAAGATGAAAGTTTTTTCCCCTATACACAGTTTTTAATTCAGTTTTGCCTTTTTGATACTTTAACCCATTACCTTTTACACCACATATTCAATGTAACCTCATATTTCGATGACAGTCTGCGTCCTTACTACTACATTGTTCATCACATTTGATATTTCTGGTGGAATGTTTTGATTTCTGTTCGGATGCTGGTCTTAAGTCATTTAAGTTGTTCTAGGTCATTTAGCTTGGGTTTAGCATAAACATGGTCCTTCAAATAGCCTCAGAGAAAAAAGTATGGGCTGTCAAATATAGTGAATAGGGAGGCCCTCACAATGTCTTATAGCCCCCTTATACAGAGAGCTCAGAGGTTCAAGAAACGGCATTGCTTGGGATTCTAGTGTAGCTTTTGTTTGTGTATCAATTTGAGACCACTGTGTTTTCATTTGGATATGATTTGGTCTCCAGGCTAGCCTGCTTAACTCTGGAAGGTAACTCCTGAATAATATGCCGATAATTGACCTGATTATCTGTGTTTGTTCTGCCATCGTCATCCTCAAACATCTTTCTCTTTGGCTATTTGAAGGAGTGTTTTAATGCTCATTCCAAGCAAACAGACCTAGAACAACTTAAGAGCAACATCCAAAGAGAAATCCAAAACATTCCACCGGAATTATTATCAAATGTGATGAACAATGTAGCAGTAAGGATATAGGCTGTCATCGAAATATGAGGTTACATCGATTGTGTGGTGTAAAAGGTAAAGGGTTAAAGCATCAAAAAGACAAGGCTGAAATAAAAACGGTGTATTGGGGAGAAAACTTTCATGTTTTGGCTACATCAACATGCAAAAAATGTTTGAAAATATTGATTGGTTTATCTGTGCTCTTGATATACTTTTGGGTACATTTTTTTGAGACACCCTGTATATGCTCTAATCACCCAATGTCAGGACTTTTTTGTAAAACAAATCTATTACTGCATATCTGTACGTCCTGCAGCAAATTGCCAAATACTAGTACAGTCTCAATAGTGATTGGAAATTATAAGACTTGGGAGGGAAATTGGTTTTATTCTTTTTGAAGATTTGCATAAGATACATGCAAGATATATCAAAATCCAGAATGTCACTTTTTGTAACTCTTTGGTGGTGATATAGCTTGGTTCTTTTCATAGACTGCTGTATATATTTTTTGAAAGACATTTTGATGCTTCTAAAAACTTTTTAAATTGCCATATATTTTTTGATTTGCATTTGAACAAAAATGTGGAAAGTAGAAGTATAATAGCAAAGAAATATGACTAGAATTACAGTACTGTATCACATGTATTCATTGTACTGTACCTGTCTTGTCCACATTCTTATTACTGGAACCTATTATACATAGTATATACACACATGGGTACCCTCCAAGTTCTACCAATATACCATCAGCTTACTTTGGTTTCATATCTTATGCAAGGGGCTACTTGTATCCCAAAATTAGGCCCCTCATACAAGATATACTACAGGTAAACTAAATGTATGTTAGGTTCTAGGTGATGCCCATGTTATGTACCACTGTTGAGGAAGCATAAAAAGACATAACATCATAAATTATATTGAAAGCTGTACTGACGATTTATTTGAAGTTTAACGTTTGCCAAAACAAACATGTTTTACAATACATGTACATGGAATTCAGTATTACTATTACCTAGATACAATAATATTCTTTCATGTTTACACATTGGTAAAGTCATTAATATAAACTTCAAATAGGAAGATTTTGTTTTTACTATTGATGAATTCTAGTGTAGCCTATGTCCAAACAACAATTTTGTGATTGATCTAACGTGAATTACATCCTATGTATCATTGTTTTTGTGTTACTAACCATCTTAATTAGAGTTTGACTCTAATCACATACTAGTAAAAGCTAATGGATACATGCATATTGATAAAATTCACCCTTAAAAATTGTATTTTTCAGTATTTTCTTCAAATCATACAAAAATGGAAACTTGTGCAAAAAGCAAGTTTTCAAATGATGCAATTTGATATGAAGCTAACACCATGTTGTATTATTATAAATCAAAGGAGGGGGAGGGGAACAGTTTGAAATATCTGGAACAACCCTACCTATGGGTACCCCCTCCAGCAAGAACAGTACTTAGCGGAAACTAGTTAAAAATTTAAAACTCAACATTTCATTTAAAATGTTACAAAGCTGATGTTTTTGAAGCATAAATCCTAAGACAGATAACACATTTCAATAATTACCTGCACATATAGCAATGGTAGCTCTAAATCCAGTTCTAGCAACAAAATCGCCCAGACCAAAGAGTGTGCTTGGCTGATATTTTACAATATTACCATGGTGGTGAAATCCACACAAATTCCAATAAAGAGTAAGAAACATGCAATCAATAAATGAACTTTTTACTAATGTTTTCAGTGAGTCAATGTCCTCCATGTTACAATGTTTTGATTGACTTTGAGTCAGAGTGCGTCACACTAACAGACATGTACATATCTACCTTATTTCCTCTCAACATTGTACAAGCACATTGCACAGTACCATCACAGTGCACAAGTACATTGCACAGTACTATCACAGTGCACAAGTACATTGCACAGTACAATCACAGTGCACAAGCATACTGCACAGTACAATCGCACTGCACAAGCACATTGCACAGTAAAATTACACTGCACAAGCATATTGCACAGTACAATCACACTGCACAAGCACATTGCACAGTACAATCGCACTGCACACATACATTGCACAGTATAATCACAGTGCACAAGTACATTTCCAAAAGACAAATTACAGTGTTGAGAGGATACATGGGATTATTTGAATTATAAAACAGCACCTAAATAATCTTGAAACTGAACGCAGTTTCAGCATAACATATTTTCGAAATATTTAAAACAAACGTATCTCCAAATATTGAAAAAGAATCTCCCAATTTTATAATGTACAACTCAACAATTTAAAAAATTAAATAAAACAATAAATGCCACCCTGGCAATATCGACATATTGCCAACTGTGCATTTGAAAGAGAAATCTATATATGGAACATGTATGTATTAAATAGGCAAGTACAATATACAATATAAAGCCATGTCCTAAATTCTCTTCACAACTAGTTATATACAGTACATAGTTTATCATACGATTAAGACCAGCTTTCAAATTATTCCACTTAAATGTACAATCACTGAATTCGCCTAAAAATTTTACACCAAATTGTCCTACATTTCCAATTACAAGCCCATGTAAATATTCAGAGTTTGACTGCTTATAAGCCCATGGGCCTAAACATGAAGTCAGCTAGAGAGGAGCTAGTTCCAAACATTAGATGTCACACTGTATTTGTTTTTCAAATTTGTTTTCCTGTCATTTCTCCACATTACAATCTCTATCATGATAATCTCTAATGAAAGTGTAATTTCGAAATAAATGGCCTCCCGAAATGGAAATTGGAGGCCATTTTATAACAGGATGTTGAGCTTTGGTTTAACAAGATCAAATGGTCAATTCAGTGCTTCATTAACAAAGACCAAAACACTGATACACTTCCTCGCTTCAATTTGGGGAGAAGGTCAGTCACAATTATTATCAAAAATTCCAGCTTGTTTTTTGTGTGTGGTTAAGTGGGGTTGTTAAGTCTGTAAGTGAAAATTAACTTTGTGATCAGGCGAATACTTTGATGCCTTCTATAGCAGAGATGTGAGGTTTAATTTATTTGATATGATATATCTCAATACATTATCAATGCAGATCATCTCTCCTGTTTCACACTTTCATTAGAAGTAACATTTCAAACATTGTTTCAATGAAAACAATTTCACCTTTCAAAATCTAAATCTTCATCTTTTTTTCATGCTTCAAAAATCATTTTACATGAAAGAAATTATAATGTGGCAGTTTAACTCTTTCATGTATAATTGCTTTAACCCTCCATCACCATTGCCATTATGATAAGGATCACCTTACCTTAACTTCAAACAGCTCCAACTTCTATGAAGTCCATTCTATTGCACACACTGAGCTATTTCTCTATGATGTTATCAATATATTTTCAAAAATGGTCCATGGAGGGTTAAGCTCAAAAATGAATTTGATTTTGGTTTAATACTTCTAAGACAGTGAACACATTTGGTGGCGCAAACATCTGTAAAAACCAGGCAAAAATGGTAATAACAAATTATACAATTAGCGAAATGTAAAACTTGGTCAAAACCCATCTTTAAGATGTAAATTTGGTCATGTTTTAAACATACTCGGGCATTTGGACTTCGCTAATCCTTTCTATTACAATTTAGAATGCACTTTACAAAAATACATGGAAATCAATGTCTTGATTATTCCACATATTTGCACGTATTTTTGCATAAAAGCATGACCCAATAACATTTTATTTCTGGGAATAATAATCACATAAAGATCAAACACCATGGAATGTAAATATGCGACTTACTGCAAAGACCAAGTTCATATCTTACTCTCCTCCAAATATTTTCAAAATGGCTCTGGAAACTTTGGGAGGTAAAACAGCCTTTAAAAAGCATTTGTGTACTTCTACTCAACTTCTGTAAAGAAACTCTTGTCTATTTGCAATAATTTGGGGAAATTACTTTGCACGTTTCTTCGGGGCAATCATATCCATTAGGAAAAATATTTGGAGGTTTTTTTAAAAATAATTTCACATTGATAAAGCATGCATGAACGAACACTGGATTTATATACACTCAGGTTATAATATATTGCACTATAATAATACATTCAATGCATTTTTCTGATTTTTTTTATTTTAACCCTTTCCATCCCAATCATCGAATTACTATGTACAGGGAGGGAAAGGGTTAATGTCTGGTTTTTACAGATGGTTTGAAAGTGAACAGTGTAGGAATTAACCTAGGGAATATTTCAAATACACTTTTATCTCCCAATTTTCAAAAAGTGCGCAAAACATTATTTACAGAATTCATTTTGTGCACAAAATTTCAGGCAGTAGTTGGAATAAGCATGTGAAATATTAGCTAGGTTTAAAATATACTGCCATATACGGCCATATATAATTTTGGATAAATGTCCGTTAACACCAAAAGATATGCACACATTTGGCAGTTATTATTTTGATATAAAACCAGGTCCCATTGGATTAATAAAGTTCTATGTGCTTCATATTATTAAAAACCCATACATTTCTATGCTATATTTACAATTCCATAATTGGCACCCTTACCTATTAGTAACAGTTAAGGTCCAAAATAAAAATAATAAAAATCTACAATTATTATAATAAATACTACTACATGTGGTAATTATTAATCTAAGGAGACCTGGTTAAATCTGCTACAGCGTGACAATATGACTTGAAGCACGATATTTACAGATTACATTGTTTTGACAGTTCTTCCGCTAGAATGTCCTCTTTGCCAATTGGTCAGAACTACCACTTCTCCCTCGTATAGATAATTCACTTTTAAATGATAAATCGCTCGTTGATCTTCTATTTTCCTGCAAGTACAGAATTCAATACATGAACACATGGCATATGATTTTGTTTAGATATATTTATTTTCTAAAATCAACAACACAAACACAGGCTTGTTAGAACAAGGTTAATTTTAGGTTACGTCTCAAAACTGATTTATACCTCCATGTATATGATCACATGAACATGGTAATCATTGAACATTAAAAGTCTAAGAAAGTTTTTAAAATTGACTTTGGGCAAATACGTCTTACATTATTCTGTATCATTCATTAGAGTTTTTAAATGGAAAAAAAGATGAAAGTTTTCATAAAATCACTAAAGGATACTAAATCTTTGCTATCAAGGTGCATCATTTTTTAAATATACAACAAAATGAAATCTGATAAACACAAAGCATAAAACTGAAAGCAAAATCAGGTTTGCAATACAGACTGTCATGAGATATTGGGATATATGATGTTTTTAAATAATGGGACGGGACACCATGCACTTTATGGTAACATAACATACCACATACATGTATTAAATGTATGATGTATATTTCTACTCAGGATTCAGAAGGTATGAAAAACAAGGAAGATTCGCTCACAGCAATATATGGTAGGGCTGCTACACTTTGCTTTGAAGGGGGGGGGGGAGCAAACCATGGTTGAAATGGAACATTATTATTAATAGCTTTAAAAACATCCAGGATGGCTGATAAATGATAGAGATGCCAAACGCTGATACTGATTACTGTTGCTGGTTTCAAAAACAATTGCCGTAACAATGGCTATACCACAGAGATGTGATTACATATGAACTAATAAAAACATCTAATCATAATTCATAAAATACAACAGGAAGTTCTTTGTAAGCATTTAGATAAATGAATGCTGAGTAAGATGGGGCATTCTTAAGTCATTATATAACACTGCCCCCAGGATTCCGTGTTTGCAGAGCGCGGACGGAATTTGCCTCTGCCCGCGGAATTGCAGAATCAACTATTTTGGTCAATTTCCGCGGAATTTTCCGCAGAATCCATATATTTTCCAAAAGTTTAAAAAGAGTCAGTCTTACCTGTAACAATTTGACACGTTTTCAGTCAAATCCCTTGCAGAAATAACCCAAATTATGCGAAGTGAAAATTCTAAACGCCATCGTTTGATTTCTGCCGTTAGATGGCAGCATGTATGTAGTGACTGACTACCTGACTATCACGATATTTTCCCGTTTACTGGTTCGAAAACCATTAATATCCGCGGAATTTCTGCAGAATTAGCCCTTTCTTCTTGCAGAATTCACTAATTTCACTTGCAGAATTGAGCATTTTAACTTGCAGAAAACTGGGGGGAGTGATATAACATGCTCATTATAATGTCAGCAAACCACATATCTAACTGCCATAAAAGAACAAGCTGAAAATCAAGAACGTAGAAAGCCAGGTGAAGTGAGTCTGCATAACTTGCCTAGCTGAAGCTATTCTGTCGTACACGGTTTGCGAGTTTGGGTTTGGAGATCGTCTAGAAATTAGTCAGATCATGCAAAGTGATTTTACAACAGAACCATGCTTAATAATAATCAGTGGTTGTCTATTACTTTCTAAATATGAAGTATACTTTTTTGAAAGGTGTTTCAATAAATCTTAATGCCAACCAGAAAATGTTTCATTAAGTTCAGCTCAAAACATTCCAGAAATACACTGACCACATTCGGAAAAATCTAGATGGCCACTTTTTTTAATACGGTGTCTATCCAGGTCCCGCTGATATCACAAGCAACAAGCTCATGTTAGAAGTGGGACTTCGAGAGACATGATAAAATATAAACGTTTCTATGGAACTTTAGTAAGTGAAACCCAGTACAACCTTATTTCATAGTACAATAGCTATTTCAATTGCAGGACAATGACATTCTTCAACTATAACTATATTTTATCATATCTCTCAAGGCCCCACTTCTAACATGAGCTCATTGCTCGCGATGTAAGCAGGAACTTGCTCGAGATATACAGGGCCTGGATAGTCACCGTGCACATGTACACAGTTAATTTTTATTCTCAGTGTGTTACATTGGTTTCCGCACTGTAATGTCTAGGTTAGAAGGAGGTTATTTCTTTAAACAGTAATATGGCTAGTACCCAAGGGATTATGGATTCTAGTATACCTTAAGATGCCCAAATGATACCAATAACATATAGCACATGGCATAAGCAGTGCCTAACAACCCTACCCATGAGGAGATGACCTTAATTCAAACTTGACTTATCTCAAAGGACATTTTCTTAGAGGATTTAGAGGGATTTTCCTTGAAGTTTAATACCAAATATGGTGTCTTTGATTTTATTTTTATTTTACTGGTTTCCATTCCATATACTTTTGTGCACAGAGTGATGTCAGGGTTACTATGAAAATATTATCACAACAAAATCCATGTGAACAAACAGGTTATACGACCTCTATTTTTCACTTCAGAATGAGTTAGAATGAGTACTGTAGTGAAGTATTTTCATCTCTTTACAGAAAATGCATTTTAGTGTGATAAAGTGATGTTTGGAAGTGGTGCAGGATCTCATCAAGCTATCATCACTCATTAGCAGTCAATCATGGTTTAAAAGTGGTCACACTTTGATAAATACAGGGTGACTCGAAAACATCAGAACTATTCATTCGGCAGAACAGATTTGTGGGTTCTGTTTTTTGGGTCATCCTATAGCTTGCTTCAATGGTTGTCTTTTAATAGTCTTGTGACTGTTTTTAACTACATTAGACAATACTCCGTGTTTTTTACCAAATTGAATACTGATTTTTCTCCTGTTGATGATATATGATATCTTCGTTCACTCGACTCTCGCATGAATGACGAGAAGACAGGGCATGCAAAGATGGATACATGAGTCACTGAACCGATAATAATAATTTTAATTATATTACTATATAAGTTCATACTCACACTATATTTTTCATCTTGTCTGCTGTTTTCTTTATTGTTTGAGTTCAGGACTGACAGTGAGCTTGCCCTTTTCATGCTGAAAACAAACAATCAATCAACGTTATAATATCTAAACAAGGCATGAACCAAAATGTAACAATTGTAAACAAGGAATCAACATGCAAAATGTCACCACCTGCAAGTTGTTACAGACGCCGACTGCCAAACACCAACTGGCAACTGCAGAACACCAACCGCTGAACACAAACCACTTCTATTTTCTAGTGGTGACATAACAATTGTAAAATATGCCAAACGCAACTGCCAGTCACATAAGACAAACAAATGATATAACAGTATGACTTCATGGTGATCACATAATTCAGTACATGTACAACTATGTGATGCAGTTGGTTTATTCTAGAGGTTAATATAATAAGTGACCATTCAAATAAAAGACAATGGAGAGCAGAAATGGATTCTTTCCAAAGTGATTAACGAAATGATCAAAATGTATCCATGAGGGAAAATGGAACATGGCATGTGTTGTCATATTTCCTGACAAAACCATGTTTAAAATTGTAAAGAAATGTAACAAAGGCACAGGGGATTCGTCACATTTCTTGTTCTGACGCACATGGTATTTTTTGAAGTAAAATTTGGAAGAGAAACACGAAAAATACATGTACTCACAAACAGTGTATGCCTTAAGGATTCCAGAGCTGCTGGTCAAAAAGGCATTACTGACCAGTTGCAATGTTATTTTCCTATACCTAGTGAAAAAATCAACTGGTCAGTATCAAAAGTAACCAGATAATGACCAGCTGTCCGACGCTTAAGGCGTGCCCTGCTCACAAATATTAATACTATTATTAGGGGCCAATCTTTAGATCCCCTACTTATGTTTAGCCCCTTATATTACACATTATATACGCCTATATCTACATGTTCTTATTATATTATATTATATTATATTCAGGATATATTCTCGATGGAATTTATTTAATTTGTACATATCTAATGGATCTTGATTGGTATGCCACAATAACACGACTTCCACACATATTCATACATTCAATGTCATTCATACATCATCTCATGGGAATTTCATAAAATATTCGTATTCTCTGTTCAATTTGAAAAATATGTTTTTGAAAATTCTATAGAACTGCACTTCTGAGATTCATCATCTTTCTAACAGGGAACTTTAATTTGAAACATAACACAAAGTGAAATCAAATAGCCGTATTCTTCTAATATAAGTGAAGTTTAAATTCTAGCAATTCTGAAGAATTGGAAAAAATGTTATATCACCATTGCTCACCTCCACTCATACTTCAAGCATCCATGTTGTTATTTAATCTTACACATGCTTTAATAGCTTTTTTTGATAATTATATATAGACCACCACCTCTTATTCCTCCAGTAATAGCATTTCAATGCAGTCCATGCATGATCTTTCACTACTATTGGGCTTAACAAAATTTTCAAAAATGATTGTATGAATGACCTACTCCAAATAATCACATGAGCTATAGTTGATGCCTTTAATGAGAGACTGGAGAGAAATTTTCAGTCAAAGAGCTTTGGCTCAGAAGATTCGTCTGTGCAATAGACTCTGGATTCAAATAAATTGAAGAAATCGTATTCAAATTTAACCAGTGTAATAATACATGTAACCCCAAGTGAAAAATTCTGTGCTACAAGATTCTGCATAAAACCTGCATAGATTGATACTTTTCTTTCAATATTGTATATTCAAATGAATATGGAAGAGTTCTGGTCTCATAGTGCTTGGTAATGCCCTGGTCTCATAGTGTTTGGCAATGCCCTAGTCTCATAGTGTTTGGCAATGCCCTAGTCTCATAGTGCTTGTCTCATAGTGCTTTGTAATGTCCTGGTCTCATAGTGCTTGGTAATGCCCTGGTCTCATAGTGTTTGGCAATGCCCTAGTCTCATAGTGCTTGTCTCATAGTGCTTGGTAATGTCCTGGTCTCATAGTGCTTGGTAATCTTCACTAAATGTATTTATATTAAAGCATAGACAGATAGTGGACAAAGATGTTCTTCACAGGATATAAAGAAACAACAGCACTCTCCAGTTAAAATTATTGAATCGTATATAGTGTGTCAGAAATCATCTGAAGGAAATTATTGGTAAACTCGAAAATTAAACTCTAATAAGGAGATATTTTATATATGACACATTACATATGGTTTAGTTGGTTCTGTTACACCAGGTGCCTTTGTTTCTTGACATCCTGTATATACCCCCCGGGGGGTTCACTGTATATAAAACTCAACGGGGGTCCTAGGCTGAAGCCTCAAATATCAATATGTTCCCATACCAATCTGTCAAATTTCAATATGTTCCCATACCAACCAAAATAACGCCTAAAGGTCATACCAAATGTCCAAATATAGGACCAATGCCATACCAAATGTCCAAATATAGGACCAATGCCATACCAAATGCCCAATTATGGGACCAATGCCATACCAAATGTCAAAATGTAGGACCAATGCCATACCAAATGTCACGAGACTTCATCAAAGCCTATAATTGGTCCTCATTTCCCGGGAAAAGGGCTAAAATTCAAAAGTTGAAGAAGGCCCTGGGAAAGAAGATACTTCGAGAAACGATCCAAAACAACTTCAAATTTGCAACTACTGGACCAATGCCATACCACGAATGTTAGGTAACGTATCTACAACGACCATTCTCATACCAGAAGAGCAAAAGTCCGACCATTGCCATACCTCAGAAGTCAGAAATTTCTGGGCATTCCCATACCAAATCCTAAAATATGGGTCCATTGCCATACCAAACGTTGAAAAAGGTACCCCACATGCGCCGAGGATCCCCGTCAAGGTTTATATATAGTGAACCCCCGGGATATACCCATGTGCGAGTGTCTATATTATAAAAGCAAGCAATCGATAATTGTAATGAATTCTTATATACAATCACAAATACATGTAACTAAACATAAGTGTATATTATAATATAATCATTTGAATTTGTGCAAAACTATATGATAAATCATACGCTGTCACTGTCAACTTATTCAGGACCAGTTTCCTACAAAAGAGAACCTAGTGTGTGCTGATTGGCTGGAAGAGCAGAATTTTAATTGGTTGACAGGACAAAAATTTGATTGGTTAGGAAAGAAAAGCTTTGATTGGTTATCAAGGGAAAATTTTGATAAGGTTGGTTTTGATAGGGTAGAAGGAAAATGTTGATTGGTTGACAACTGAAAAATTTGATTGGATTGGGTAAAATTTGATTGGATGGGGTAAAATTTGATTGGTTATGAGGTTGATGATTTTAACTGGCTGGGATGGAATAATTGCAAATGTTAAGATATTCTACCTGTGGATGAACACCAACCTAAATTATGAAGAAAATTGGGATGGGTTAAACAGGGTTGAAGAAAATGTAGTCTTGCTTCAAGACCCTACCTTCCCCCCTGTCTACTTTACACCAGTATGTTGTATTGGAGAAGTAGATAAGGGGGGGGGGGGGGTAGGCTCTTGAAGTAAGACTAGATAATATGTTATGAAAGCAATTCAAAAGAAAAAAACTTTCTTCTAAGTTGCTTACATTATGTTAATAATAGACCTGGAAGTAATATACTTACTGGGCAAGAGTAAAAACAGTTATAGATGTTAACAGCATGGGTTTTGTAAAGGCCCATTTTATAGTTAGTACCAAAATAAATGATATGCCATGAATATTTTCTCTAACTTCATGTCTGGTTCTTTGATTTTCTGCATATCCCTCTCATTTCAACTCTATTTTACTATGAATATACAACAGCAACTCTCTAAAATAGCAAATCCCACCAAACAAAGCGTGTTTTATCAAATCACTCTATAAATTCCTTCTCGAGCAGAGGTCCTATGCAGCAAATCTGACAACTGGTATTTAAGTTACCATTATACTATTTACAAGAATGGTGGCCATTTTGAATTAGGTTGCCATATTTGAAAGTTCTTCTGAAGTAGAGGTCCCATGCTCGTAATGTGCAAGCCTATAAAATTTGAACCAAATCTGTCAACTAGTATTTGAGTTATCACCTAGACAGACAAATGCGTCGTCAAACAGATAAAAAATGGGTGGATGAACAGTAGGCTTCTCTATATCCCTACAAGAACTTTGTTTGGTAGGATAATAATGTAAAACTAACAACACAAAAACTATCACACTAATACTGACCTTCCTCCATTGCATTCATTTTCAGTGCCTTTTCCTTTTAGTTTCTGGACGAGTTTTGCACTGCTTCGTCGGATAGAAGCTCGCAATTTTGAGAATGAGCCACTTCGTTTCAATTTCCCAGTCTGGCGTGTCAAGTAGCAAATAATAGAATTAGCCAAAAGGCAATGCAAAATAATACTATGCTTAGCACTATATATGCTGTCTCATCTGGTCTACTAGGCCAAACTAAATAGTATTAAGTTTGCAAAACCTGATGGGTAATCAAATTGGTCACAATCACAACCAGTTATATTCTGGCTGTGTGAACATTTTGATTCCCCCAAGTGCATATATAGACAAAATACAAACAAAACTCAGAAATAGAAATTATGAAATAAACAACTTCGTCATTTTAATGCAGGGCCCATAAAAACTTATTTCATCTCATTTTTGAGTTCTGCATTCAAACGAAGTATGAATTATTTCTGGTTTTATTGTGTTTGTATTTTGTCCAACACTTTGGCTATTCAAGGTCTCAAACCACACCTACCTCCAGCTTGACTAGTAACAGCACAGACGAAGAGCAAATGTGAAATTTCATGAAACTTTCATGAAAACTTTCATGAAATGTTCATCAATTTCTATAATGACAGAACATCACGTCTGTTATAACAATGGTTTAATTTGCTCCCCGTCTGATTATTTCCAATGGGAAGGGATTCAATGTGTAACTTGCATATTGACATTTTCACTATCAAGAAATTAAAGGAGGGTTTACCCATCTGCCCATAGAGAATGGAATTTGTATAGATCGTTTCAATACAATGCTCTAAAGCCCAGGAAGGTCCTTTCATTCAATCAAAACTGATTTTTATCTATATCTATATTTAACGCAGTGTGGTCATTGAATAACTTTCACATAACAATTGAATGAATTCCTTAAAGCAATTCAATTAATTTTAATAAAAAGTGAAGAAGTTCCACATTGCTAATGAATAGACTCTATAAAAACAGGAACAGAAAGGGCTTGGAAGAAAAAATTCAAAATACATTGCATTTACTGTTCATGTCTTTCAACTCTTAAAAAGCTACTGATGTTTAGGAAACATTACTCATAAAATACATATGTAATTTGAAGGCAGTTCATGGAGACAATATTTAAATTTTTAATACATGTATTTCAATATGATCAGAGTATATGTTTCTTACCACAGTCAAGATAAAAATCAGTTGAGACTCGGGAAAGGCTTGAGGGTAGGGGGATAATTCCAAGTCTATTTCCCGTCACCTATGATTCCTGAAAGATGTCATCATTTAGCAAATAATAACCCCCTTTGCAAAAATAAAAATGCCGAGATGACATTAACTGTATTGTCCACAAAGCCTGTGTCTGGGTCACCTTAACCTTGCTAATGATAAATTCATCACGAGCGAGATTAAGATATTTCCAGAGACATGATTAAATTTCCAAATGAATCAACATTGATGAATCTTTGTGAATCAATGGCATTTTTACTCATTAATTATTCAGAATAATTTGTGAAATAATGCTACATCTTTCTCCCTCCACCTTCTCCCAGATTAGAGCTTAACTACACATCTATTTCAGTAAAGATTATGACATAGATAATGCACAATCTTTGATGATACAAATAATGCAACAATGAGTTTTAAGTGGAATGGTTCGGAAACATAAACCCGATATTACTAACTAACTGGTTTGAGAGACTGAATTTATTGTTCAAAATAACTAGGCTCGAAAAGCTTCAAAACAAATAGCAGATAACAAGCAGTCTATAGTCATAAATGATCTAAAGATTTAACACGTTGAAATCAGTAAAATACAAAGGAACGATAAAACGTAATAACAAAAAACAAAGAGAGAAATGTCAAGAGTCCTCACACAAGATTTCCTTGATAGTTAAAATGTCAATAGTACTGTTTTCACATTATAAGGTCAAAAAGAGGTAGATTCGAGATATAATTTGAGACCTTGAATAAGTCAAAGTGTACAATATAATATATCTGTCAACATGGGCAAATGAAGCTTTTAATAGTACAGTGTAAGTACAGTGATTTTATAGATAACAAAAGAGACAGAATAAGATTAAATTAAATTATTTCAAAGTTTTCGAACTGCAACTTAACAAAAAGCTAGATATGTGAAAGAGATTTTAAGTTGTACAGTAACACATTATAATAAAAACAACATTTTTCTGTTATGATATAAATGTCCATAGGGACGATGAAAGAGATGAAAAAACAATTTTCGCGGTCATGATGACCTCACTGAAATCTAATATTCCATTTTGGAGTTTAGGGATTCTTTAGACAGTCTACTCAATATGACGATCAATACCAGGGCAAATGCAATCATTTAGTCTACTATGGCAACAGACAACATCCAGCCATGTTCATTCAATCTTGATTAATTCATAGGCTCACCAGATTTGTGAATTCTTCCTGACAAGGAATTCTCTATGACTAAAAATTTAGTTTTTGACAAGAGAATCCCTCATTTTGACAAGAGAATTCCTCTCAAAAATCCTTCATTTGAGAAGATCACGAAAGCATAATTGCTATTGTTTTGTGATTGCATTTGGTTGGACTGATATATTTGAGTAAGCCTATAAGCATGTGAGCTAATCGATACAATGTCACAGCACCGTCATACAGCAAGTGAAAATTTTTGTATTTATGTGAAGATATATTGAGAGTGTAAAATTCCATTTTGGTATTCTTGTAACATATATTCAATTTACGATGAATATCATGCATATTATAAATAATAAATTCCTCCCCTTTTCTCTGTTAGTAAATCAGCCAAAATTTACAATCTTGACATTTGATTAGACAAGGCTTTCGGAGAGGCTTCAGTGAGAGGTTCGGTAAAATTTAATTTTCTGATTTAAACAACATGCAGCTTATGGTGCTAAGCAAAATAAAATAATTTGCAAAACACATTCTGGCAATTCAATATAATTTTATAAAAAACAATGAAATGTAATAATATATACAATTTTATAAAAGATAGTGATTTTCTTGGATTTGTATAATAATTCAGAGTTTCAAACTTGTTTACAGTAATTTTTGGGGATTTCGTTTTTTAACAAATTTAATGATAACACAAGGGTTGTATCATATGGAAAATTGTTGAATTTTGATTGAAGGTTTGTGATAGCAGAAATATGATGAAATGAAAACACATCAAAAGCAATAAAATATATATATGGGTAATATACGGAGATGAAATTGATGAAAATCATATTTTGTTGATCTGATGAATGATAAAAACACATCTTATTTTTATTTACAAATTACTACCAACAAAACTAAGGACCACATACAAAGGGAAAGGAAGTGTGCGAGGAAAAGCTTCAAATTTGCCCATTTTAATAATTATGTACACTTCAAATCAATATTAAATGAAAATACAGTTATAATTTGTTTTTATTTTACCTGAGTTATCATGCAAATCGGCTTGTTCTTAGGAAATATTAAATTCATGCAAAACAAATTTTAGGAAGCAAGTTGCATGATAGGCTGTTAACATATTTTGTACGAAAACTGAAGCCCCGTTGCTATTTTAAAATTTAGATTTTTTATTTATTATTATTTTACTACTTTCACTTACTGTACTAGCGATGCTACTTTTTTTACACATTCCAACATATTGACGATATTTCTGTTATATCCCAATAAACAATTTTACGACAACATTAATGCAACAAAACATTTCAAGCATTATCACAAGAAGCAAGTTAAATCAATTATCAAGATTTGCAAACTCAAATCAGTTTATTGAATTAATTTAATTTAAATTCATCAAATAATAAAAATCTCAGAGAAGAAAAAAAACTGATTATATCCATACATCAACAATAAAGATTGTCTTTTAAAGAGACTTAATTACATGCCACATGCATTGGGAGTTAAAGGGTCAAAGAAAAGACAAAATCTGAAATTAACCAAAAACAACCAAATAACTAAAACAATCATTCACTACATGTACTATCTAACAAATCATCATGCTTATTGAAATCATACAAACAAGCAACTGCATAATGCATAATGCTTAATATCAACAGTCACACAGAATGATCAACTCATTAAAGGCCCTATGCAAAGTTTGAAAATATATTTTTATCATTCATTTCCTATTTTTCATAACTTATTATATGGAGCCTTTAAAATATCATGATAGTCAACCATATGTCTATTTCAATATGACTATGACTGAATCACAACATACAATATGTTGAATACAAATGAAGCCCCATGTACCCCTAAGTGGTACAGAGTTTGTCCTTTTAAGTAATAATTAATCTGTCTATCATGACATTTTTGTAAGGATTTGGACAATCCCATGACAATACAATTAAACTCATTCACACCAAACATACACAATCAAAGCCTGGGACTAAAAGCCCAGTTAATAACTCAAATAAACTCAAAGTTAACATTAAAAAATAATTAACATAAATAAACACAATTATTGTTTAAGAAGACACTGTAATCTCATAAAATGTTGGAATGTGCTTTTTGACATTATTTACTCAAACATACTCAACATACTCATAGGCTACTCACCCCTTCTCCGAACCATTCCACTCCAATACTCACTTCTTCATTATTTCCCTTTTCGTATGAGACATTTACATTTTCAATGGATTCACGTCGACGTTCTCGACTACTTGAGCGCCGCCTATTTTGGGGTTGGTGGTCCTTTGCTTCACCGCCTAAAACTTCGGCAATTTTTGTCTGCCGGACAGCTTCCAAAGCCTGGGAGTAAATAATCACAAGAATTGTGCATTATTTCATGCATTAATTAACTAAGTAGTTGCGACCAAATGTAAAGATATCATACCTATTCCTGTTTTAAGGTTTTGTAAAGAGTTTCCATTATGCCTAACAGGCAACTCCAATCTGTAACCTGATTGGTTAACTTAATATGCTCTCATCTCTGCGAACCAATCAGAATACAGTTACTATGACAATATCTGGGCAACTTCAATCTGTAATCTGATTGGTTAATGTAATTTGCTTCCATCTCTGTGAACCAATCACAATACAGCTACTATGACAATACCAGTTCCTGTATGATGAAAACTCTCCATTGCTTGTTATGTATGTTGCTTATGCCTCAGTCACATTTGCTCCGATTCATCAGCCGGCACCCAGCCGATTGAGTGTTTTGTTCAATATTGTATTCAATTTTGAACAAAATACTCAATCGGCCGGGAGCCGTAGTGAAAATCAGAGCAAATGTGACCAAGGCATTAGTTATGAACTTAACATAAGATGATACTCAGCACAATCACCTCCATTCTCCAAATACAGTGTTCCAGACATTAATTGTGTTGTTCATGTCACAAAGTGAGTGGTACTAGTATCTGCATTTGATAAATAACTCACCTGTTCCCTGTAAGTGTCCTAAACTTCTAAAATCATTCAACATCCAAAAATGGCATCCTCCTGTGACTTTTAAGGTTGATTCATTTGAATACTGAAATGTTAGCTCAAAATATTACTCACACTCACATTTTTCCGGCCCCTAGATGCACATTCCTCTAAAGTTTCCGCAGCCTCATATTTGCCTTGACGTCTATAGAGGGCGCCTAGATTCTTTAATGTGGTGTTAACAGTTGGGCTACAATCAAGAAGATCATTCATTTACTTTAGTCTGTTCTAAAACTGCTTAAAAGGGGCATAAAGAGTGGCAAATACACATAACATTCTCATAACATCTGAATTAAAATGTCCGAGGCTATTCATAAGCCTCTTACATCATCTGAGGATGATAAGTAGAGATGAGTCATGTGGCCCATAGTATAAAAAATTAGTACCGTGGGTACTGGGCTCACATGGTGACAGAAAAAACCGGATATAATTTTTTGCTGATTTTTTGTAACAAAATTATTTCAAGCCACTTGCCACTATTTTGGACTGACTGAGAGACAGATGGACAAATCGATGTTAAGTAAAATGGCTGAGAAAAAAAACGGATATAATTTTTTGCCAATTATTTGGAACAAAATTATTTCATACAACTACTCTTTACAGTGACATGGCTTTTTGCAATGCAAGACACCTGAAATTATTTGTAAAGCTAGGAAATAGGCCAAAATTGAATTTCGCGAGACAAAAATGGCGACCATTTTGAAATCAGGCAAGCTTTTGAACCAGGAGTCATAGGGGAGTTTTTTTGTATTGATGTTGAACAAAAATAATGTGAAACTGGAATCCTATCGACAGAGGTTTTAAGCAAATGGTTCAAAAGAGGATTTCGCAAGACAGATGGACAAATCAATGTTAACTAAAATGGCTGAAAATAAAAAAACAGATATAATATTTTGCCGATTTTTTGTAACAAAATTATTTCATACAACTACTCTTTACAGTGACACGGCTTTTTACAATGCAGGACAGCTGGAATTATTTGTAAAGCTAGGAAATGGGCAAAAAGTGAATTTCGCGGAACAAGAATGGCGACCATTTTGAAAATAGACGAGCTTTTGAACCAAGAGTCATAGGAGAGTTTTTTGTATTGATGTTGAACAAAATTAATTTAAAACGGAAATCCTATCGACAGAGGGTTTAGGTAAATGGTCCAAAAGTGGATTTTGCGAGACAGATGAACATATCAATGTTAACTAAAATAGCTGAAAATAAAAAAAATGGATATAATTTTTCGCTGATTTTTCGTAACAAAATTATTTCATACATCTACTCTTTACATTGACATGGATTTTTACAATGTAGGACACTTGAAATTATTTGTAAAGCTAGGAAATGGGTCAAAAGTGAATTTCGCGAGACAAAAATGGCGGCCATTTTGAAAATAGGCGAGCTTTTGAACCAGGAGTCATAGGGGAGTTTTCTGTATTGATGTTGAACAGAAATAATTTAAAACAGGAATCCTATCGACAGAGGTTTTAAAACGTGCCACTGTTATTGACGGAAAGTGGATTTAGCGAGTCAGATAGACAAATCAATGTTAACTAAAATGGCTGAAAATAAAAAAATGGATATAATTTTTCGCTGATTTTTTGTAACAATATTATAACATATATCTACCCTTTACATTGACATGGATTTTTACAGTGAAGGACACCTGAAATTATTTGTAAAGCTAGGAAATGGGTCAAAAGTGAATTTCGCGAGACAAAAGTGACGGCCATTTTGAAAATAGGCGAGCTTTTGAACCAGGAGTCATAGGGGAGTTTTCTGTATTGATGTTGAACAGAAATAACTTAAAACGGGAATCCTATCGACAGAGGTTTTAAAACAAATGGGTCAAAAGTGAATTTCGCGAGACAAAAGTGGCGGCCATTTTGAAAATAGGCGAGCTTTTGAACCAGGAGTCATAGGGGAGTTTTCTGTATTGATGTTGAACAGAAATAATTTAAAACAGGAATCCTATCGACAGAGGTTTTAAAACGTGCCACTATTGTTGACGGACGGACAGACGGACGGACAGACAGACGGACAAGTGAGTGATTGCAAAAGCTCACCATGTGAGCTAATAACAACAGGTTTCACAGAGAACAGGCCATGGGATTACTTGAAGATTGAGGAACCAATCAGCCTTACAGGCAGTAAACTCAACCTGACACATCCAGTGACCTGAACAATCTTGACCAGGCCCCAATTGACCCATAGTATCCCACTGAAAACCATAAATTCCTGTAAGGGTGAATCCCTACACTGTGGCTTATATGCCAGCAATTTAACTAACTCTAACTCTTACCTGTCTACTTTAGCAGCCTTGTGCCAGCCTCCATAGTCTCCATATGGTGTGTTATCTTTATTTTTTCCCTACAAACAGAAAAATGCAAAAATAAATAAATACTGAATTAAGTACCTTTCAAAACCTTTTCATCATAACATCTTGAGCTATATATAGATATTTAGTTCTTAAACTAAAAGTTTGTTTTGAACAAAAGGAATTGGGAGTATACAATACAGGCAAATGTTACACAGATTGAAAGTTTTACAACTCCTGATTTTCCATCGTCTTTAAAGTCCCCGTCTAAAGTTTGAAAATATTTTTTTATCATTCATTTACTATTTGTCAGGACTTAAAAAGTGATTTTAGAGATATCTGAACAAAAAAAAATTTTGAAAAAAAGTTGTGAGCATTTCATTTCTCAAATATTCAAAGTTCCCGCCATTTTTCAAAAAAAAGTTGATATTTCTTAATCATCAAATATTTCTTAATGCATTTCAAAAAAGATTATCTTTTTAACACCAATGCAAAGGTTGAACAAAGGACACACTATTTCAATAATAAAATGCCATATTTAATGGGCCACTTCAATGTTTTAACATATCAAAAATAATTTGAAACATTAGTGATGTCACTAAGGTACCAAAAACTTTTTGAAAAAAATTGAAATTGAACAGATAGATTTTATTCTAATCCACACCCAAGCAAGACAATAAAACAGCCTTGAATTAAAAGGACACTGGATGAATTACATAACTATTACACCCTTGGTATACGCAGCTAACGAAAATTGACCGGTACGGGTCAAAAGCTGGACCGGTACGGGTTAACGGTTTTATTTGAATTTAAAATAGCCATAACTTGCTCAATATTGACTTCCTCGTGTCTAATTTGAAATATATGATGCCTCGCGATGCTTTTAAGTACCCCAATTTTTTACAGATTTTTAAACGGACCAAAACTCTCTAAATGCGCATTTATGCTCTTTTCTCTCGAGAACGACTGTCTCATTTTCACGATAACTTTTATTTAGTACTTCTAACATATAAGATCTATTTTTCCCCATCAAGGTATGATGTAAATGACATGCTATTTACATCTTGTGAGTTTCAATGATGCGCGTTTGATTTTATAAAAAATGCCAAACTTTGTGACAAAGAATTTCATCAGCTATTGCCCCGAACCGGTCCGTCTTCTCGTTGCAAGCAGATTGCCTCGAACCGGTCCGTCTTCTCGCTGCAAGCATGATGTTCACAAAGTTTGGCATTTTTTATAAAATCAAACGCGCGTCATTGAAACTCACAAGATGTAAATAGCATGTCATTTACATCATACCTTGATGGGGAAAAATAGATCTTATATGTTAGAAGTACTAAATAAAAGTTATCGTGAAATTGAGACAGTCGTTCTCGAGAGAAAAGAGCATAAATGCGCATTTAGAGAGTTTTGGTCCGTTTAAAAATCTGTAAAAAATTGGGGTACTTAAAAGCATCGGGAGGCATCATATATTTCAAATTAGACACGAGGAAGTCAATATTGAGCAAGTTATGGCTGTTTTAAATTCAAATAAAACCGTTAACCCGTACCGCTCCAGCTTTTGACCCGTACCGGTCAATTTTCGTTAGCTGCTTATATCAAGGGTGTATTATATGCCTTTTTATTCTCCATGAGGGAGGTAATGAACTCTGGTCCAGTGTCTGATTGAGTATCCTTATTATTATCAACACTGAAGCATGATTAACAGTGGGAATAAAAAACTAGACATTTTAGGGAGGTTTAAATGATAGGTACACAGCCAACAGTACCATCCTCCAATGATGCCATACGGTACCATATTCAAACGGTACTGTATGGTTCAATACTCTTTATGAACTGTACTGTGCTGTATATTGTACTATGATTTCAGAGTGTGAATTGGGGGTGTATTATGGATAAAAATATCACATGTCAATTAATTATCTATATACTATACAGTGTACATTCAAAGTTACCAAGAAAACACATTGTGAACTTATTTGCCTAAAGGGGGGCTGATGAAAGGAAAACAAATACCCCAACTGGCCATATTGCATGAACATCCTCATGCCCAGAAAAAACTCCTGATCTCATAAATTCTAGCTGAAAGTGGTTCAACAAATTAAAGTCGTATTTTTTTACAAGTACATATTTTATGTGTGTATTGAAAAATCAAGAGATTAATTGTCTATTTAATAGAATTTTCTTTTAAATGCATCAGGTGATCAACATTTTCTTCTATTTACTCTATGCAAGTCAAAACAAGGCATTAACATGCAAAATGTCCCCACCTGCCATTAGTTACAAACATTGAACACCAGACACTGGATACCAACTGCTGTTACTTATGGTGGTGACATTATAGGAAAAAATCCAAGGGTTGAAAAGGGTCAGACTGTGACTGTTTTGGGACAAAAAAATAAACTTTTGTTGGAGTCTCACCTTGTTTTCTTCACGCTCCTCTGCATGTACCCAGATAGGCTTACTGTCAGGGTGAGCTTTTCCAAACTCCTTTTCGTGTGCACGTGTTAGAACTTCTTTGTATAATATTTCTGCCTGTTTGTACTTGCCTTGTTTCAAGTAAGCACTAGCCTACAATGAGAGAGGTTAAACATTGCAGTATTCTTGTCAATTTGACCTGCAAGAACTGGCTCGGAAGGTTGAAGTAAAGTAATGCCTTTCCAAAGTGATCCTTGCTATGACTGACTTTAATTAAGCTTTCAAATTGTTAAGTTGTTTGCATTTAGAAATTCACAAACACTTTGAAATATCCCGGGATATTCATTTCCATTTAATGGTATCATTTTGTTTAATTATCTATCAGTACCATAATGGACTAATTATTACTTATCAGTACCGTAGTACTAGTATGATGAACTATAGAGCAATAAATTAATTACGACGCATTGTATCAATTTTTGTGATGTTTGTGTAATTTCCAATTCTATAATCTGAATCAGACATGCCTTTAAATTCCTAAAAAGATATGCTGAGTGAAATAAAAAAAACTGAATATTAAAAGGCATTTTTAGTAAATGTGTCTTATTAAAAGAAAAGAATAAACAAATCAACCAATGTATACATTAATAGTCCCATGCAAGTGCATATATAACATATATAACTATCAAACAATCAAGTCATGATAAAAATGATAGAAAGACCTTTTTAGTATCATTATTCACCATTTTACTAAAACATCCCCAAAATTAAATCACGGAAATCAGTCTTTTCAAAAAAGCATTGATATTTACAGAGAGTCTGTACCAGTAAATCCATAATGAAAGTTAAAGGTTGATTTAAATTTACATATTTCTTTTAGTTTTTAATAGGGTAATAGAGGTTGAGTTCCTTTACTCTAAGAGTGCTCACCAAATTATTCTTAGTTTTGATTACATTAGCATCATCATGCCCAAGTTTCATCACATATATTTCTAGTGCACGTTGGTAGTATCGCTCAACCTATAGTCACAACATTACACACAATGTACAGTAAACCCATCTCCCTCATATAAGGCTATTGGGGGAAAAGATCACTGAGGGATCTCTCATTTATGACAGGGCTCTCATTTCCACATAGGGAAGAAGTGTTTACTGTACATGTATGCTGTATAGTATGCCCAAGCCTTCACACACTAAGGAAAAACAGTTAATAGGTGTTCATGCAGAAATATGTACATGTACATGCATAGAGAATCAATAAAAAATAACACAAATAAAAATAAAAAGATAATGGCAACTCCGCGGAGTAGCAAATCCCAACGAACAAAATATCAATTACCGAATTCCAATCAATTATACTCATTACTTTGGTTAAAATTGAAAAATTTAGATTTTAGAATTGCGAATTCCTGCAAAGCAGCCATTTTGAATTTTCTGAGGTACAAATCTGAAAAATAATACCATAATTGTGATCTACTCCAAAATTCCTTCAATTTGAGTATTATATAGCCATACGTTGAAGGGATCGAAAAATTATTGCGAAATTGTACATTAGACGGCCATTTTGAATTTTACGAGGCTCGAATCAGAAAAAAGATACAATATTTGCAATCTACTCTTAATTGCCTTTCATTTGAGTATAATAAACCTATACTTCAGAAAGATCTACAAATTAGCGAAAATTTCTGTTTTCCCATACACGGCCCCTGGGGGTCAGGATGAAAAACACGGAATATATGTGAAATAGATAGATGTTGCGAATATACTTCCAAAATTTCAAACAATAATATTAATTACTTTGGTTTAGAATGGAAAATTTATGATTTTTGCGAAAAAGTCCCGTCATTTTTAAAGTGGCGGCCATCTTGAAAAAATCCATTTTGAATTTTCTGAGGTACAAATCTGAAAAATAATACCATAATTGTTATCTACTCCAAAATTCCTTCAATTTGAGTATTATATAGCCATACTTTGAAGGGATCGAAAAATCATTGCGAAATCGTACATTAGACAGCCATTTTGAATTTTACGAGGCTCGAATCAGAAAAAAGATGCAATATTTGCAATCTACTCTTAATTGCCTTTCATTTGAGTATAATAAAGCTATACTTCAGAAAGATCTAAAAATTAGCGAAAATTTCTGTTTTCCTGACCCCCCATACACGGCCCCTGGGGGTCAGGATGAAAAACACGGAATATATGTGAAATAGATAGATGTTGCGAATATACTACCAAAATTTCAAACAATAATATTAATTACTTTTGTTTAGAATGCAAAATTTATGATTTTTGCGAAAAAGTCCCGTCATTTTTAAAGCGGCGGCCATCTTGAAAAATTTTTTTTTTGCGTAAAACTTTTTATCAATATACATCTTTCCACCAAATATGAAGAAAATCCGTCTACTAATATTTGAGTTATCTTCCGGACGGACGGACGGACGGACGGACTGACTGACTGACGGACTGACAGACTGACAGACTGACGGACTGACGGACTGACGGACGGACGGAGGGCTTCACTATATCCCTACCGAACTTCGTTCGTTGGGATAATAATGACAAGAAAGATGGAGGTTATGGAAGAAATATCACACCATGGGCCAATGCATAGTGCACAAACTGCATGCCAAAACCTAAATAAAATTTGAAAATATAGTAAGCATTTAGCATATACTTCTGCAACATTTACAGAACAGAACAAATGCTAAGCAAAGAGTTATACAGTAATTTTTCTGTTGCTCAAAATATTTTTTGATGATGAATCAAAATGATTTAAGCTTGCTAGCCTCCTTTTTCAAAAGTCGCCCATTATATTTTATGAACAAGATTTCCCAAATGATAAACAGTTTGCATGTCAGAAAAAGATAAGGATTTTCAAATTATTTGAAGGTAAATGCAACTTCCATATTATTGTACCTGGAAGACATACTCTTCCAAGTATATAACACCCTAGTTGTTAGTATGCCGTTGTAAAGTGCTTCACAAAAAAGTTTGTGCATCAGAAATCTTAACTTGGGGGCATATTTCTTAAAACATTTAAAAAATTCTAAATCTATTTCTCAGCCATGACTTCAGTTGTTGTAACAACGGATTCAGATTTATTTAGTTTTCAGAAATGTACCCCCACCTCAAAAAATATAAAACCCATGCGTCACATCCAAGTCTTCAAGGCGCCACCTATAGTCTACGATAAACTCTTACCAGATTATTCTTAGTTTTAGCGACATTTGGGTCATCGGGTCCAAGCTTTGCCTCGTAAATGACTAAAGCACGTTGATAGTACTGCTCCACCTAACATTATCATTTACCATATATGGTCACATTTACAGGTTTAAATATATTTTATTTACAGAATCTGATGTATAATACTGCTAATACAAATGCCTTGGTCGTATATAATTTTTATTATTGCTGAATTTTATTGGTCAAAATATATTTAACTAAAACTATGAACTTCCCAAATAATTTAACAATATAAATATAACTTAATAATATGTATTAAACAATATTGATATTTCTCTTGAGAGAATAATTAAATTTTTTAATCAAAAGTGCTTTTAAATTCTCAATTCATAGTACAGTATTATATATATGAAGGTTAAATATAGCTAGTTAAATACCTCCTCATATTTGCCTTGGTTCTGGCAAAGTAAAGCTAGGTTGTTCAATTGTTTGGCTACATCTGGATGATCTTTTCCTAATACCTAAAATAAGAAAGCAGAAAACTATAATGTTGAAAGTGCTGCTTTGTACATATTTTATCAATACAAAATGACCAATTCATTCTACAAGTACCATTCATTCTGTACCATCTTACTTTTATACTTAATAATATGTCCTTGTGACATTGTCCTTGTAAGTAAAAGGGATTTTCATCACATCCTCTCAGTTTACATCTATGTTTACGCACGCACACTGCATATAGATTACAGGGTACAGAACAGGTAAAAATAAGTTACAACATAATAATTTCAGTATGTTTACCTTTTCCCTAATTTCCAAAGCACGCTTACATAGTGGCTCGGCCTCTTTGTACTTGCCTCTCTTCCCATAGAGGACAGCTAGATTGTTCAGAGTGGCTGCCACCTGAAAAAGAGCAGGCAAAATTTATATACAGTACAACCTCTCAACTTATTGAACATCCCTCAAAAATGAAAACCTTCGTAACATGAAAACTTTTATTAAACTTGGGCTAACTTTAATTTTTCCAAACCTCTATTATATAAAAATACCCAAACTTGAACAGTTTTTGTTTTGTCCCCAAAGTATTCAACTAAGAGGGGTTAGCTGTAAAACTACAATATACACAAGCTATATCATTTTAATCAAATTATAGTACAATTTCAGTCAACTACAGTATCATATAATTCCAGTCCGAAATCAAGTGTATATTAAGTCCATAGCATGATTATAATATTACAATAAACACATGGAATGAGTAAAACTGACTGCTGAGAAAAATAATATAACTAAAACGAAAGTAGTTTTTATACCAGATATGTTTTGCCTTAATGACTTCTCTGCATATTACCTAATTATGTTAAGAGTACATTTATTGATCAGTGTGACTGGCTGTCTCATATAAGCATGGTTTCTCATGTCTCTCCTCCATTATTACAACTCTGAACACTGACAATTAAGTTAATCTAATATTAAAATAAATACTGGCTTCCCTAGATTGCTGGTTGGGGCAAATTCTTTTTTAACTGTTCTGACTGAGAAATGTCCAAAATTGGAAAAAGCATCAAATTTTCACGATTTTTAAAATATTTTGAACAACATGAAAGTAGAAAGTAGGATTTTTGATTTCTCAACCAATTTCTCAATTAACTGGGTGCAAACTTCAATGAAGGGAGATCAGTAAGCTGTACAATATCTCTAAAATTAATAGTACATGTACTAAGTAAGTTCAAACATGGAACGTACCCCAATTTGATATGCTTATTTGAGCAAGAATGTTATGTAAGAAATGTATGAATCATAAAATGTAACATGTTAAGATTGAATTTAAAAAATATATCTGTGACAATCCTGTGGGTAGTCTTTAATATAGCTATAATAACTAAAACAGGAGATACTGTAATTTGCCTGACATTCAATATGTTCAAGAGAACTGGGGAATTCCATGAGGGAAATTGGTCTCGGAATAATATTGATTGAAAGATATTCCCGGAAATTATGTTGGTTGTACTTTTAAGATAAAAGTAACGAACCAATCAGACAGCCATCTTCTTGTCTTGTGACAGAAGTAGAGACCATATCTTCACATTTTTTTCCTGAATTAAAAATTTCATTTTTGGTGCGCCAACATAAACATATTGACCTGAAATGTATTTCACTCATACATGTATTTGTATGTGGGGTACTATTTTATGACAGCCAGTCAGACAAGTCAAAGTCTCAGCATCGTGTATGTAAAGCATTCACTTGATAGTCTTCAATCATTTTTGGAGGTCATAAAGTGACAGCAGATTAGAGTGAGTGGCAATCTTTTCAAAAAGCACACCAAAGTTTCCCTTGAAACTGTAATTTCATTTTCCAAAAAAGGAATTAAAATATAGATGATAGACTGAAGATTCAAGATGTAGTTTCTAAAGGTCCATGTGCAGTATGGCAAGTGATTTTAGACAGTCATATCTTTCACCATGAGTACTTTCTGGCCTTAAAAATAATGTTTTTTAATTAAAACAATATGTTTTCTTTCAAGTGAAGTCCCCATGATAGTAAAATATCAATCTAACTCTCTGAAAAATTATGGATTAGGGCCCCACCCTGGCACTTTAAAAAAAATGTTAGGCTTATTTTCTAAGGAGACAATCTTGCTTTTCTCAATTTAAACATATCAAAAGTTTCTTCTTCACAATATGAACAATTTCTGAAAAGGGGATGCGTATTGAGATGCGTTAAAGTTGAAAACCACATATCCCATGTTATTTTCCCATAGGGAAAACTCAAGCTATCCATTGTTTTCAGCATCATTTTGGTCATCGAAAATTGATATCTTCAAAACTAGACTTTCAATACAATTATATTTTTGAAGATGTTTTAGACCCCTTGTTGAATAATCTTTTCATGCAATAAAAATCAGAAAAGGGAGATCCTCTTTTGAGTAAATAGGTTCAATATTTTGAAAGAAATGTTGACATGGGGTCCCTATTCATAAATTTTCGAATTGTTCGATTGATATTTTTATCATTATGGGTACTTCACTTGAAAGAAAACATATTGTTTTAATAAAAACCACTGTATATATGTCCAGAAAGTACTCATGGTGAAAGATATGACAGTCTAAAATCACTTGCCATACTGCACATGGTCTTTTATTAGAACTCAAAGGCAGGGTTCTTAGATGTTTTGAAAGTTAACTATAAAATCAGTGAATATGCTTTGCTCAGACACAATGGTGTTACTTTACGACAAAAGACTCGAAATACAAACATTAACACACATATACAAGGGGTGATCAATAAGTAAAGTGTCCATTACTAATTGATCACCCCTTGTATATTAGAAATGGCCATGAATGTTAAATACAAAATAAAAACATATAAATTGTTACATAAATGATAGAAACAAATAGGAAATAAACACAGGGTAATATAATGAGACAAACGTTCCCATTTTCCTTAAAATCAAAATGTCTAATGAAAAACATTTTAAATGATGACCTTGGACCTGTTTCATCATTACTGTAGATAATAAACATAACATTTCACCATACGAAGCTTTGTTTTGGGTTTATGCAAAATTGAGGAAAAGTACAATTCTTAGGACATCTTGGATGGTGATATTGAATGAGCATTTTTCTATCAGTGCTACTGTTGATGACTGGTGCGTATATCTTACTTACAAGTGGTTTACAATATAATGTAGATATCCTAAAGAGAAGCTATTAAAAGTTATATTTATACATCACTTCTTATACAACTTTTATTGACAGACACATTTCGGTTCATGCAACATTGAAGTTATGTAAGCCAATGTTATTTTGAATGATGCAATATTAGCTCATGCAATAATGATTCATACGAAAAATGATCATGCAAACTTAATCAGTCATTGGTTCATGAAGATTCAATCTCTGAACAAAAACTTGTGGAGGAAATTAACAAAAAGCAATTTTATCTGAATTGAAAAACTACAGGGAAAATAAAATGACATGAATACTTAAAAAAATCAATGACACATTTAACCATGCAAGAAAATGAATTACACTGTACAACACTTCCCAAAAGGACTTGACAGTTAAACTCTATTAAAATTGAACAAATCGTTTAAAACTTAAATCAAATCAATCTGAAATCTACATTAAGTTCTAGCTATAATCAGCCAGAGTGTAAATGGGGGATGGATGCGGGGATTGGAAGACAACAAAGCCGAGCAAAATGTTAGACAGGACTCACTGCAGGGTGATCAAAGCCGAGAGTTTTCTCCCGGATACCAAGAGCGTCGTTTAGAAGATTAGCCGCCTCTTTATATTTACCCTGGTCTCTGCAAAGATTATTCAAGAACATTCATGGTTATTTCTGTAACAGAACCCAGGGCTAGAATTCAGCATACAGCATCATGTCAATTCCTTAAAGCTTCACCTTTTCAATCCACCCCTTTTGTATTGTCTGCTCCAACAATGGACTTGGCCATTTTGATTAAACATGCAAGTCCATGTTATACAAGGCATTAACATGCAAATAGTCACCACCTGCCATTTGTTACAGACACCATCCGCCAAACACCGAACACTGTCCACAAGGAGATTTAAAACAATATGACACCACTTGTAGTGGTGACATAAAAAAGTATTATTAATCATTTTTCCAAAGGCCCTCACATGCCTAATATTGCTAGAGTATGAGTAATATTAGTTACCCCCCCCCTTCATGTATAGCAAAGGTTGCATGCTTAGGTCATGATGATTCTCTGTATATTGAACCAATCCCTAGCATGTGATCATAACACACTCACTGCGGGGTGGTCAGCTCCCAGAGTTTGACAACGTATGCCTAAAGCATCGTGTAATAGATTTCCTGCTTCTTTATATTTGCCCTGGTCCCTAAAAGTAAAGTTCCAATGAAATATATGGTTCAATGATAGTCATGAAATGTATGGTTCTTTGATAGTCATTAAATGTATGGTTCTTTGATAGTCATGAAAGATATGATTCAATGATAGTCATGAAATGTATGGTTCTTTGATAGTCATGAAAGATATGATTCAATGATAGTCATGAAATGTATGGTTCTTTGATAGTCATGAAAGATATGATTCAATGATAGTCATGAAATGTATGGTTCTTTGATAGTCATGAAAGGTATGAGTCAATGATAGTCATGAAAGATATGATTCAATGATAGTCATGAAATGTATGGTTCTTTGATAGTCATGAAAGGTATGATTCAATGATAGTCATGAAATGTATGGTTCTATGGTAGTCATGAAATGTATGGTTCCATGATAGTCATGAAAGATATGATTCAATGAAAGTCATGAAATGTATGGTTCTTTGATAGTCATGAAAGGTATGATTCAATGATAGTCATGGAATGTATGGTTATATGATAGTCATGAAAGATGATTCAATGATAGTCATGAAATGTATGATTCAATGATAGTCATGAAATATGCGGTTCAAATTAGTCATAAAATATCGAAATATACTCATAAAAATCATGAAATCCACGCTTAAATAAAAGTTCTTTGTGTATGATCACAAAATAGATTATCATAAAATATATTGCAAACAATTGCACTATGAATCATAAACTGAACTCTAAACTCTAGACTTCAACATCAGAAGAACTTGACTAAAAATGAAATGATTAGAGAAAATGGTTATAAAATCTGAGATTGATCATTATTTTCAAGTGACTACCAGTGATGTGAATTTGGGTGATTACATGTTAAACAGGTGGTAAGCTTTATATGAGCATTTATGTCTGCAATCATAAAATATACAAATGATATAAGCTATAATCAAGTAATGATCATTTGTGATTAAATAATTGATTAAATAATATAATTATTCTTATTTATAGTATTTACTCAATTTCAAGCGATAAAGTGTATGACTGGTTTTCCTAATATACATATACAAGCATTAACCAATGTAAAGAGTAATTATCCAAACCCAAAATATTTACCTATATACTAGAGCCAGAATGTTCAACATGGTAGCAACATCAGGGTGATCGTGACCACTAGTCTTCTCCAAGTCTTCTAAAGCTTGCTTACATAGTGGGACAGCAACCTCATATCTTCCCTGGGAAGCATACTGGATAACAAGGTTGTGGAGTGTGCGGAGACGCGCTGGGATTTCATAACCCCCACTAGCTGCCTGGGCCATTGCACTGGCACTTGGCTGTGAGGGTGACAATACTGCAATCATAAAATAGCACATTTGGGGGATTCATATATATATATATATATAATGACATCAGTCATTGGTGTCAGCATTGAGTTTAAAAAATGTTATAATGTTGGTGCAATGGTAAAATATCAGATTAGAATTTGCAGAATACATTTCAAGCTGAAAATACATTTCTTAATGAAAATTGGTAAAATGAAAACTTTGTCAATCGTCAAGACAAAACACATAAAATAATCTGACTGGCCATCAATACATGATAGAAAACTACCAAAGGCTGAAACTAAAGAACATGTGATAGAGTTCAGAAACTGGTAGCACATCGTTGTAGAAGGAATACTAGGCTTTACAAAGTGATGTTTTCTAGATGTAAGGTACTCACAATCTCCAGTCTGTGATTGGTTGTCATCATCATCTTCTGGAAAGCCTAGGTCCATACTTTTGTCTGCTTCTTTCTTATTGTTTTCTGCTTCTCCATTCTCCTACAAAACATAAATTGGGTAATGTAACCATATATTCATAAAGTGTCAAATGAGGTCGTTATTAATGAAATACCTAACATTTTATTGATGCTTTTATTGAATGTATCCATTTCTCTACTAATAAAACAATAGTAAATATTATTACAGTAAAATTATCATATCTCTGTCCCTTCAATAAAGGGAATAAATTATAACCTGTTCCACCTTAATGGTGTTCTCGTTACACAATTTCCAATCCCATTTTTCTTATCTTGGTAATATACTGTACAGTTCATACATATTATCTGTTATGTTTTATATCATAAACAAAGAAAAGGAAATAATTAATGTAATATAAACTGATTTTTAAAAATCTTTTTTAAAATTGCATGTTAGGATGCTCACTATCATTTTGAGCGAATGTACAAAGAGAGTAAGATACTTTTAAGGCAAATGTATTGCATTGTTTATCAGCTAAAAGTAGGCTTTAACCTCGAAGAAATGAAAATCAACAGCAGTTCTTCAAAAAGAAGTTGACTTAAATCTGACTCGATGATGAAATGTGAGATAAAGGTGAAAAATTGAAGGACCAAATCATTTGAAATCGTGTAAGTCCCAGTATATTACTGAGAATCAAAGATATCATCAATCACTTGGCAATGTTTGCATACATCTCATGAACTACTATAAAACCTTTATGCTTAAATTCTGTATATTCAAAGGAATCACATTGTATATAAAATCAACATAAACTAACTTATTTAGGAGAAAACGTATCTTAAATATTTTTTCAATAAAAGATATGAGCGATTTCTAAGTGCATATGAATAATGTACATCCCTATGATAGAAAAGATCAAGTTCACCATAGACATAAAATCTCGTTTTATGGTCGGTATTGATTATATGGGGTGAGTCATGATATACTGCCTACTTCGGGTGTTCAAGAAAAAGCCTTCTAATCAGCCGTAGATATAAGATCATGCTTGTAGATGATTCACATGATACAGAAAACAGAGAGATTACCAAGGAATATTGTGAATAGACATGAAATACATAGTTATAAAAGAGTAAATCCTATAAAATATTGTAATATTTGAAATTTTTGAGAGAAATATGTTAAATATGCTGAAAGAGATTATATTTTCCTCATGAGTCCATGTCTCTTATTTAGCATATGCCGGTCTTTGCTGAAATTGGATTCCTTGATGGGTTTCTGATTATAGTGAACTTGGAATGCGATTAATAATTTAGATTAGGAGTTGTCTTTTAAGTCTTTGCTTAGAACAGTCTCAGTCTAGTCTAGGGACCCTTGAAAACATGCCTGAGGGGGTAATATATCTAAATAAGCAATGATTTACTTGAATGGTTTTAGTTGGTAACTGTGCTACAGTTGAAAATTATGAATCCATCGCCAATCCCATTGATCACAAAACTAGTTAGCTTAAAGCTTGATTCAGTCAAACATTTCTCTAATGTCTTTTTTGGTATTTAGCATACAATTTAGTTACATACAATTAGGAACATTAACTTCAATCAAGGAACGTTTCAATACCAGGTCTAGGACTAGGTGCGGTAGTTTTGAAACTGACTATCCAATAAATTAATAGGGAGGGGTATTTAATCATGTTATAAATTCTAACACCCCATCCTGTTGATTACAACATTGCCAATTGCTTGCTATGAGCTAAAGAGGGGACTATCAAGATCATGCCCCGCACGAATCGAAGACTAGAAAAGGTTAATCACCGGGTATTGTAATGTAACTTCATGCTTATTCATTTTTCATTTAATCTCCTGCTTATTCCTCTTAATTTCACCATTTTTTGCAGTCAAAATAAAAAAATTCCTTACTTTCTGATCTTCTGGAGAATCATATTTCTTCATTTCATTCATAAATTCTAAATGTTTTTTTTGTTCTTCTAATGTTGCGGATTTCTGTTCACTTTGTTGTAGTTTTTGTTGGGTGTTTGCAAGCTCATCTCGAAGCCATGCATTTTCTTGGCATAATCGCCGAACTTGGGCACGAAGTTTCTGTTTTTCAGCTTCTACATGTTGTAAGTGACTAGCTAAGGCCATCATAACCTGAAAATAGAAAATTCAAAGTTATTGAACTCTAACTTATAATTGAAGAGGTGAACACTTATAGGTGAACACTAAGATATAGACTTTGATTGGTGAATACCAAGAGATACACATTGATAGGTGAACACTTAGAGATTCACTTATAGGTGCACACTAAGAGATACACACTTATAGGTGAACACTAATCTAGATAAATACTGAAAGGTGAACACTAATCTAGATAAATACTGAAAGGTGAACACTGATAGGGTGATACATAAGAAAGGTCTGCATGAAAAAAGAAATTTTGCTAGATGAACCTTCGGTTTGAGTTATCTAATTTTTTAAATTAAAATGCGAACTGAAACCGAACAGATAAAAACCATGAACTGAAATTATATTACGGAATCCAAATGAGAAATTATGAAACCATCAAAGCCCTAGTAACACTGAGTTGTACTGATTAACAACAACCACTTGGTCCAACAAATAAAGTTAATTAAATATCCTGAATTTACCGAAAATATCTAAGTCCAATTTCCATAAAAAGCAAAGGAACCTTTGAAGATGCAATCAGAAATGAAGAATCATGTTTCATTCATCAGGAACAGAATAAATATTGATTTATTGATTTTTTCCGTCAACATGGAAATCTATGAGATTTACTGCGATCCCATTTGGCTGATGATGTTTATATCAGCAAATCTCACTGTTTCAATAAATTCTAATTCACTAGATCCCCTCCTATATATATGGCTAGAAAGAGGTGCGGAAATATAAGATATGTTGATTGAAAGATTTTCTCAATCGACATAACCTTTGCTGCAAATATGCATGTAATATTTATTGCTTCTTCAGATCATCTTCCCATCAGGGCATGACGATCTCAACATTCTTTCTATTACTTTGCACTTTGCTTGTGAACATTACATTATCTAACTATTTTTCTCAAATGAGGTTGAGGCAAATCAATAATGCCTTGATGAAAGTGAAAGAGATTAGAACAAAATCATGAACCTTCTAGACAGCCCATGTTGACATACCAATAGCAAGATGAACAAGATGAAAAAATGCTTGTTTTACTCATTTGTTTATCATGTACAATTACTAACCTTGACCTTTGAATGTTACTACTTGGGCGACCTCAATACCCAATCATCAAGTATATGACCCGGACTCTTTTTTTGGTCCAACATTTGACCTTAACCTCAATACCCCTTCTTTGCCAGATATTTGACCTGACTCCAATGTTATCTTTGGCAAATCATTTGATCTGTACATAATATATTTCCTCCATGGCCAAATATTTCCCATGACTATAATACATTTTCTCTAGTCAGACCTTTCAGCTGTTGATACTCGCAACCAATGGAGACTTTTCATATTCAACCTTTTTACAAATGACCTCATAATAAGGTGGATTATGATAATAATGACAGGACATTAATTTGCCATGTCATTGGGAAGCTAACCTGTGTTCAATAAACAAATATCTTTAATTCCTCTATTCTAAATTATCGCTGGTTAGAAAATTATACTTTGATGATATAAAAAAGCTTTGAAAATTTATATAATGTCAAAATGTCTTTTGTTCTATTAAATGACCTTGACCTAGAATCCTAGATTCAACTTTAGATAATTGAGTCATTGGCATTGCAATAACTAATAATAAATGACATGATGAATGGAAAAATTCATGTAACTAATCTACTTTTAAATTATTTGATGTTCAGTCATGTAGCAGACAAACATGTTTAGAACTTATCTTAGAACGTCATACTTTTGTCTCAAGATAACCAGAAATAGAATGAACAAATGATCTAAGATAAATAAAGACCACAAAGAGGAAATTGATGTATTTTACACTTAAAGTGAGATGTCCACTTTCTCTTCAAAATGACATAATGTGCAGTTTTAAATACCAATTAAGATTTATGATTAAAGCATGAAAGATGCTCCACTCAACATTTTTTGAAAGGATGGGATAATACAATTAGAATAATGGTAAACGTCCCAATATTGTATCTGCGGGCCTATTGATTTCATGGTTAAGGCAAAATGAGATTAAATACAGTAAAATGTCATCAGACTATCTAATTCAGTTAGTCTACGCTAGCCATGATATTTGGTTATGCTCTTCCGTCTTTCCATCATACCCCTAACATTAAAGATCATGCCTCGATTGTTCCATTAACTGCTCTGACTTGAGTTCTTTAAAAATCATAAAAATATGTTGAGGTTCATGAAGCAAAATAATATGCGATAGGCCTCATAATGACTAATGATTTAACTCTCGATATACTGACATTGAACAGACAGACTTAACAGACAGACTTGATGATGATAACTTGTTGGCAGAGGCTTACAGTATAACTGCACCACCAAAAGTGACTCAACACAACATTAAGTAGAAAGTTACATTCATATATTAAGTGAAGTCCAAATATCAAGAATTTTGAAAAAAACTAAAAATGTTGGTTTCTGCTCAATACAAACAATCTGATCAATTGTTTAGTGCTGAACATCAGCATTTTCCATATAATGAGACTCCCAAATATTTCATAAATCCAACACAAACCTGTGCTTCCCCTAATCCTAACTCTATCGTCTCAATTGACTTTTTAAGAATGCCTGTTTTTTCTTCGACAAGATTTGTGTCGCCATTTTCCTTCTTGATGGTTTTCATGGATGAGAGGAGACTGTTGAGTATTTGATGGTGCTCATTCTTCAGTGTGTCTAATCCTTGGACGACTGTCTTTGTATTGGAGATAATCTCCTCTTGTGACAATGCAGTCATCCTGCCTATCTCTTCTATTTTCTTTCTGAAAACACACAAAATATCACATTTAGTTCAATTGTTAGCTGGTAATATACCTCTAATACATGTATAATGTAAGTCTCACGTCACATGTCATGGTTTATTGTCCCAAGAGGCACTATGCTCCTCTCTCTTGGTAAATCGATACAAATACCTTTCAATAACAATATTATTTCATTTTTTTAAACAAACATATCTGGTTTGAGCTTTCACTCATAGTTCTACAGCATGTGAGTTAATATATAATCCAAAATGATCATAAATATTCTGATGATTCAAGTTTGACTGTCCACGACTATCAACATTATAATATATACTGCACTTGGATATCATCTTTCTAACTCTATCAGGAAGCTCTTTGCAATACAAGTACATCTATATCCCATGTTTTAGCCAGGCATTATTCTTAAACATACTAGTTACACAATGGTGTTTTTCCTAAACTAATCAATATTTGACGTTTATGACACAATAGAAAAATCATAAATAAATACTGTTATTCTAGTTTTAGCACCAGATACAATACAAAACATCACCTGATCTCAGAGTACAAACTCTGTTATGCTTCAAATCAATAAAAATGAGTCATTTCTCTGAATCCATTCTAAAGGCTGCAATGTTGCTTTGTTTAAAACATCCCCAATATAGTGTTTCCCCATATTATAACCTCATAATATATTGTAGTCCAATAACTAATAAATAGGTTCACTTATCTATCACAAATTAAAGGAAATACATGAATGTACATGTGTTAAAAATAAAATTCTAGTCATATAGACTTCAAAATATTTCCTCTTTAGAATATTAATGAGGTAACAGATTTTTATAAATAACATACCAAATAGTATGATCCTCATGTCCATAGATTATAATCCTTGTTCTTAATATATCACTTGATTTCATGTTTTGATTATGGCTGCCATCATAATACATATTTATTCATATCTGCCTAATAATACAAAATCCTGCTTGACATCTGTGAATATAATCAGTTGTATTCATATTGCATTACAATTACAATGATATGGCATATGCCACAATTTCCATTTCTTTTATTAAAGCATCAATTACCAGCATTATACTGGGATATAACTATTATATATAAGATCATAACGTTATGCTTATTTATATGAGTCAAATACAGAAAATATTATGCCTGAAAAGTCTGAAATTTCCAGGTTGACAATAAAGTGATATATACTGTACATGTACATACTTTGCAGTATAACAATATAAAAAGTTTAACAACAATCTGTATTTTATGAGAAAATTGAATTGAATTGAATAACATTTCTATTTCTTTTAACAGCATTATTGAATAAAAGTCATGCTTCATGAAAAATCACTTGTAAAAGATACACATGTATTCTTATTTTTAAAGTATCACCGTCAGTTATCAAAAATGTTGAATGTCTCGTTTTCACATTTAGTCTACAGATTATTTTAGAAGGTTAACATGAACATCTTCTCTGGATTAAAATAGCAAGATGAAACATATATCAAATGTAGCAGTAATCCAGATATAAACAGTTGAAATCAGATATCAGCAGACATCTTCTACACAAGTCATTTTTAATGTTTTGATATTTATATAAAATATGAATAAAAGTATGTACATGAACTAATGTGTGATATAATGTAATGTACTGCAGTGTTATGTTATGTTGTGTAAATTGATGTAATTAAAGGTGATATATAATGTCATTATATATAGAATTAATGTTTTAAAGAATGTTGTCATATCTAAAATCATTTCTATACTAGTTATTTGAAGATAAGTTTTTAAATTATCAAAATAAATAATAAAACCAAGATAATATATGAGTGGTATAAACACACTGATTTATATGTCATGCTTACTATGTTGCATTATTTAAAGATAAACATTGAAAACAGCTGGCTTAAAGTATAGTTAATTCGAGACCGGAACAAGCAACATGTACACTTAACGTGCAAGAATGTAAAAGAAAGTAAAAGAACATGAAGTTATCATTACAGATAAAGGTAATTGCTAATAAGGATTCTAAGACTTGTTCAGGAAATCACATTTTGTATGCAGTATTGCAGTTATACTACCTACAACTACTATACTGCCTTGCTCAAGACACTATCCATGTATATGAATACAGTGAAATCTGCCTGGTATGTAATAATGTAACATGGTTAGACCAACATCCCTTCAGTTTCACATCCAGTCAATGGGAAAATAAAACTTCAAAATGGGATATAGGGTTCAAATGAAACCCCCTAGCAAAAAATCTTTCAAAACCAAGCAGGTTTTCACCATTCTGACCACTGTTCAGGTTATTTCGGGCCAAAGTTGTCAGATGTGAACCCTCCTGGAATTTTTTGAAAAGTGAACCCCCTTGGCAAAAGCTTGCCTGACGTCAAACATGAAATACATCAACAGAAGTCAGATTAGAACAAAACAATGGACTTATCCTTGACCCCCTCCCCCACCCCTGCTTAGGTAGGCATTACAGAATATTACGAGATGGCCAAGGAAGCAACATGGAGTTACAACAGCCTGCTTACTCCAAATTGGAGTATTCACCAGATAAAATATGAATATGTTATTCCATATGAATTAGCTCCTGTATCCATAATCAATAAATGTAGGAATACAACTACAGACTACTGACACGCAGGTTCATAGAATATTATGGGCTATTATGAAATTGTCAATATCCCTTGTCACAATAGAGAATCCTGTATATGAAAAATATTTCTAATATCCTTCTAATATCCTTCACATTTTGTCTTGCAATGACTTGAGAATGAAGATACCATGGTTTACATTGATGGGAAATTATAAACTTCAACGCAACATGAGGGTACATGTATGTTCATGCTCTAAATTCTCATAATTTTGATTCTTCACAATAAGAATCTAAAATGGTAGCATTAGTTCATTTACTATCACAGTATGGAAGGAAGTAAAGTCAGATAACCAGTGTTATAGTGCACTATTGCCTATGTTTTGCTGGTACTTAGCTTCCCTCTTCTGGAGGCCTATAACTGACCATCTCTATAGACCCCTTCTGCTTAGGCACAAAACCCCTCTGACTTTTACCATATTTCCTTTCCAAGGACCTGAAACCCATTTTCAAGTGCCCTCCCCCCAACCTGCACTCTCCAGAGCCAAAACCCCTCTCTTCAAGGCCATAACCCCCCTGTCCAGGAACGGGTTACAACTATCCCTCATGCTAGGGGCCAAAATCTACCTCTCTCCTACTATATCAAGACACATGCTACCATATCAATAATGAAACACTTAGAATAACATCTGTTTATGTTATATGAAAATCAAGAAGAGCTACTGCCTAATAAAGAAAACAAATCAGATACAATGATATTCCCGATATAATATACACCCACCTAACTTCTACACCATACACACCCCTCCCCATTTATATTTCACTCACATCCTATAAGCCTTTAGTGTTGCAGACATCTTGTTGATAAGCCTTCTCTTGTTATTATTAAACTGTCCCAAAAGCCTTAGCCAACGAGGAGCATGTAAATCCACAGATGTAGTTGGTATATTCGGCATCACCAAACTCCTAACTTGTGACAATTTTTACTCAAATTCCGGTGTTTCCATCCATGTTACCAGAAACTCCGGGTTTTGCTGTTTATGTGAAACTATAGACAATGAGTCTCCAGTATGAATTGGTAAAAAGCAAGCAGATTGACTTAACCAAGATATTATGTGCACATAGCATTTGCTGCAGTGCGCTAGATAATACAGGGGTATTGATTTTTCCCAGACAGGACTCATGGCACATGATTCATATATGTAAACCAGCCGAGAAATCCAATATCTGATATTGAAGAAATACAATAAATTGAACAATATTTCTCACTTTTGATTACATAAAAAGGAAGTAAATGTTTACCTTTCCTTCATCTCTTTCCTCCTCAGGTTAAAATTTATCCAAAATTGCTTTAGTTTCATAAAAATCCACGACTGAACAGAATTCAGATATTAAGGTCCCTCAGCATAATGTTCTGGCGGCTTCTACGCACATCGATATTGACTAAACGCAATAAGCCCACAGAGCTGAGACAAAATTGCACCTCTATTTTCATAACTTACCGCACGAAAATAAAAATACAATGATGTAAAATAGTTAAAGGGAAAAAGTCTGAATATCTTAACAAAGTGAACGTTACATTTTCCATGTCAGCCACACAATTAATTACTTTAAAGAAATAAAATGTCACGATTATAGAATTTGTTTCTATGGTAACTGTCTATTGTGACATATCACCATGTTACATATTCTTAAAACTTTATAAGGTGAAAAAATGAGTCACATTCAGAGATGAAATTGATATAGTATACAGGTATGATAAAACAGTTTCATTAGACTGTCTTAATCCTGTAAACTTTGTGGCAATATGTCCAAACAAGATTACTAATTAACTGGGGATCTCATATTATCCAATGTGCATTAAAACTTGCATAATAAATTCCAATCTTATATCAGACTGATAACACTTTATAACCAAAATTCTTGTGAAAAATATTTTCTTACAACTAACTAAATGTATACATCTATTTGAAATGAACTGGTTAAAGGGGTAAAAAAGCAGGTTTCGTAACAGTTTCTCAGGGTGTAATAAGCTGCGTCATGGAAGCTTAATATGATCTCTCAGACCTGCCATAATATACAATCTTCAACTGAATAAATGAGACATCTTTCTGTATAAGAATAAATTGAATTCATTCTTTCAATATATGGATAGAAGGTTCTTAAAAGGAGCTGTACTTTAAACAAAGGTTTAATGATGCAGTATTTTCCTGAGTTATCAACCAACCAACCAGAGCAATCAAAGAGAGAATGAAAGTTAATGATTCAACAATAAAATAAAATAAAACAACATAATTTAATATTTCATTGGGATATGTAGATATTTAGAAAGTACATGATTTTGTACCTTTATTGTATCTTTAAAAAAGTATCATATTTGAGTTTTAAACCACTTTAAATGTAAAAAGCAAAACAAGATAGAGCATGCTATCATTGACCCTAATCTTTTAAGGTCCCTTTTTAAGACTTTTAAAGTATTGATAGCAAACAAGTGAGATCTTTTCAAGTATCTCAGGTGTAAATATTCAAGTGAAATGATAGCAACATGTTTTTTTATTTATAATGTCAACATTTCAAAACAATCAAGGTAGTCTGAGTAAAGTAAGTAACTCCCAATAAGGACATAAGAAGTAGATTCTTTGTTTTGCGTCCTCTTGTTTGCATGATTTTGAGTAAATCAGAAAAAGCAAACACATCAAAATGGTAGCAATCCTAATGGTTTGAAAGTACCATCACATTTCCTTTCATCTGAATCAGAAATGGCGGACAATTTGATGTGCGTCAACATTGACAGTGTTGTTGATTACTTTGGCATATATTGTGTTTTTTCTTATTTTGATTACCTTTGAGATATAATGCTTCATAGCCATATGTGTAAGACATATGTGTTTGTAATTGGTATTTCATCCCTTTTCATGCCCATAAAATATATACATTTTCTAGCAAACAAGTTTGTGTTTTTTCTTGAGATTGTGTTTGTTTTCCTTGTACCCTTCCATGATTTGGATTTTGCCAGGACGCAAAACAAAGAATTTACTTCTTATGGCTTAATTAATTTTGAGTCTTCAGAAATTGCAAAATTGCTCTACCAGGCCAACCTATGATTATCTTCTATTTTTCAATTACATGAGATATAAAAAGATAAAGTCACAGGGCTAGCCCCCCCCCCCCTAGTTACTCCCTTTTGAATTGGTCGACTTTTGTGGCTATATCGAGGGATTTTGATATAATTTTTTGACTGTTCATCAAGGCCAATGCTGGGATAAGCATGGCATTGCATCAAAACATCACAAGAGGTAGATATATCATATATCAGTGCAGTAATAAATAATGAAATGATACAGGAGCCTGTAAATTATTAATCGAAATGTTATTTTACAAAAGAGTACTACTCTACTTCATCTTGCATTGGGCATTCAGCTTGGTTATAACTTTCATTTCTCATCTACTTATAGAAAAATTTCAAATGAGGAGCATTTCTTATGTTTCTTTTTATAACAATCCAATTATATACTAAATCCTGACTTTCACTTTTTATTTTTGTATACTAGAAAATATTCTTTTCAAAGCTCAAACAAATCCTTGATATTTGAAACCTTTCTTGTATCAAACAATATACATATATATGTATCAAAGATCATTCACATTAAATATGGTAGTTATCTTCTATGAACCTTACCTTTGCATCATCTGGGAGAAAGATAAATTGCATATCTTTATAGGGATAGACACCAATGTTCCTGTCTTTTTCTTCATCATGAGATTAATATCTGATCTGATGGTAACAGAATCTTCAAGTTTCTCCAAGCTTCTGATTTCAAAAATTACGTTTTCTAAAATTCGCCCAAATTATCAAAAAAAACAAGGCTTTTTGATTGATCAGTTTTTAAGGCAATTTGTAACATTAAGTGAAAATCCTCAAATGTGCTAGAATTATTTGTAGTTTATGCATTCACTAGAAACTCCACGAAAATGTTTCTATTCTTTGCAGGATTAGTGGTAACAACAGAACAGAAGAGGCAAAAATCCTAAGTTGATAATCATGTTAACATTTCCTCTTCCTTATTGTCTTTCGAGAAAACCTTCCTAATAATTTGACCTCAAAAGTTGAGAAATTTTCTTTGCTTTTTTATGTAGAATACGATACACAAACATTTACTAATATCTGAACATTAAAATTTTCGCTTCCATATTTCTTTCGAGAAAAACTTCCTAGTAATTTGACCTCAACAGTTGATAAATCTTCTTTGCTTCTTTGCTTTTTATATGTACAGTTCTTTAATAAAGACATTTACTAATATCACATTTTTCCATTCTGACATGTTCATTCTCCTATCACTACAGAATATTTCTTCAAGAAATTGATAATAAAGGAAGATGACATTTATTACATGCTAATGCAATCAGAACCTCAATCCAATTCAAGGTTGAGTCAAATAAGGTTCCTGATTGCATCCAACCTGAGAGTCTCAGTACCAACCATCACTGCAAAATATGTGTCAATTTGAGCTTGAATACAAAGAGATCCAAGCCATTTTTGGTAATACTACAGTAAGACTGACAAGATAGAATGCAGAGTGAATTATTTGAATTTCATGAGCCAAGATATGAAAAACAAGATTGATTCTGCATTTTCATTATCATATTAACTGTAACTAGAGCATCACTCTACCATGTTGCAAATCCCATCAAATTGGGTTAAGCAGTATTCAATTCATAGCCAAAAATGTTTTTGTAACAAAAAATGGCAACCATTTTTACACTGAGCGGCAATTTACAAGTGAATAAAGATTTGCCAAAGTATGGTAAAGGGACCAATAGATCTTATCTTGGTTGTTTCCCTTCCTCAAAAGGAAGAAACCTAATATTTTAGGTGTAACATTAAACCATATAGAAAAATCCCATTAAATAAGGTCAAGCGATATTCAGGGAGATGTAAATGGGTGGGTACAGCTGATTCTAATTTCACTTGGTTCAATGCTGGAATATCGTTGCCGTATATTACAATTAATAAAGACACAAAATTACAATATAAACACAACAATCAAGCAAAAATGACAGAAACAAAGGACATTAATGCAATCATATAGCAGAATTTTTCAGAATTCACATTTTCAGAAGTCACATTTTCAGAAGTCACATTTTGTATGAGAATTGGCTCAAATTTAGTGAATATTCTTCATCTCAAACCATCTTTAAAGTTGGAATGCTGCTCAGAATATTTTATAATATTGATGTCTGTTTTCTCCCAAAAGTAAAGTTTATTTTTCAAAATAATGATTTCTCCATTTACAGGTTTCAGATTTTAATATAAATCCACCAATTTTGACAAGAAATTTACACATGCAGTGATCTCCCCAGGATTTTTTCTCAGGTTGGTGGAAAATTCTCATTTTCACAATTCAGACCAAAATTGGTCAAAACATGGCAATTTTCATGATTTTTCTCATTTTCAAGTGGGTGCAAACCTATTTTAAAAATCTCAGGTGGGTGCTACACCACTTGCTTTAATGCTGGGGAGATCATTGTACATGTATGTATTTGCATCCTTGGAAATCATTCAGTGGTGCTTTGCCATATCTTTCGGGTTTAAATGAACACTGACGCACTCATGAAGATGTCATTGCCAGAAGCTTGATAGAGCAAGATGCAAGATGCTTTATATCAATGTATCTCAATATGCAATACAGATACATGAACAGCCTACAGTGTAGCACATTGACATTATGCAATGTATAAGCAGCACTATCATTTTGATATGCCATTAAAATAAGGTTTCTCCCAAAGGAAATTCATATAACAGGATTTATGCATTTACAAGAAGATGATTCTCATATCTGAAATTGACTATTACATAACTATGTCATATCCCATACAAGGGATTAACATGCAAAATGTGACCACCTGCCATTTGTTACAGACACAGAAAACCTAACACCAACAGCCACCACAAAAATGTTAGAAACCATAACAATATGTCATCACTTCTGATGGTGACATAATAGTGTATCCGATGAGGCTATGTCTATTATTTATATTCTACAATAATAGTAATGCCTCTACAGCGCCCTCACCCCTGAACATACATAAAACAATACTTCACTACTTACAGCTGCCAGTCTGCGGTGACTGTCCCCATGTTGGCTGTTAGGTTTGACTAGATCTGAAAGTACATTACGACACACAATGTTAAACATGCACATGCTAAAGCACTAGTCTACATAGTAAGCAGGCAGCTTCACAATGATTATTAGTGTATTCTAGAATCATGTTAGTATATGATATGAGAAGCTGCATTTTACGAAAGAGTCAGCCTCTTTTGAAATTCAACTAAGTCCACAGAAATTTTCCATATTCAATGAAATCTAAAAAATATTATTACTACATGTAGTCAAGGATTTTTATGTCTGACCTAAAATCCATGAAATTGAAATCAATATTCTTTCTGCATTTAAATATGATACTGTGAAATAGATCTATGAAAAAGTACTTAATGTCGAGTGAGCCATTTGAACGCTAACATATACTTTATAGGAAGCATTAAATGAAAGCTGTTCACATATCAATATTTAGCAAAGCATTTTAATATTAATAGATGTAACATTTTTTCTTGATATTTTACATTAAAGTTGTGCACCTATGGTTCAAATTGAAGCAACCCCCTACAAACCATATTTTAATGAAGATCAAAACCGAAGACACTTTCTACCAAACTCACGAAAATAAGATTATAGTCCATCTTTATTCTAGGCTTTCTACATTTCCTACACACTATTTACCTGTAACAGTAAAAAATATTTAAGATAAAATGTTTTGTGACTAAAAAATTCTAATTACAAAATAGATTTTTTAACTGATAGTATTTTAACATAAATTATATATTAATTCATCATTCCATACCAAATGAACCTCCTTTATGCAAGAATATTGTAGTTGCAGCCGATTTTCCTGATTCAGAGATAAATTACATTAGCATTGACGACAGACAGTCTTCAATAATAACATGATTTGGGTATGATGAATATATTAACTGGAATGAGGGTATCATAAACATCACTGGTGATCCACTCGATTAAGCCGGAAAATGTCGGAACATCGAAGGTACGATTTTTCTTTTTTCCTTATTTCACACATTGTAGGCAGAATTCCCACAACATTTTTAACACAAATGTGTATCAGTATCATATATTTAAGAAAATGTACATATTTGCGAACAAATACTTCAGAAGACAACAGAATCGTCGATTTTTCGAAAAACAGTTAAGATCTGCAATTTAACCCAAACCATTTATGTAACTTAAGTGAGGAATTAAATCGACGATTCTGTTGTCTTCTGAGCTATTTTTTTGCAAACATGTACATTTTCTAAAACATATGATGCTAATACACGTTTGTGAGAAAAAACGTCGTTGGGATTCTGCCTACAACGCGTGAAATAAGGAAAAGAGAAAAATCGTACCTTTGACGTTCCAACATTTTGTTATCAAAACGAACTGTTTCAGTAACCATCGTAATCGAGCGGATCACCAGTGAACATGAGGCATAGTTGGGGGAGTGGGGGTTGATGACAAACATGTTTTTTATGTTTTTTTTATAGCCATGCCACAATAAACCCCAGGGAAATGAAAATCCAAAAGGTGGATGACAGACACAAACAATAGGTCTAGAGAGTTTGCTAACTTACAACACATTTTCTAAAAAAAAAGGAATATATCCTTTCGTTGGCCTCATGGAGTTGGTAAATTGTTTCTTGGACGACACATTATTCAATGGGAATAAATGATACATTGATAGTACATATATAATATTAAGCTAAAGGATTTGCGACTTATTACTAGGGATGGGACGGTTCGTTTCGGTTCGGTTCGGTTCGGTTTTTCGGATCATCAGCCGTCGGTTCGGTTTTTTCGGTTCGGTTCATTCATTTTAAGGATTTGTGTTGATTGACATGATTAGCTCAATTATGCCACGTTATAACAATATTTTATAGATGGAATTTTATGTTATAGTATTTCAAGAACAATACATATTATTTAGAATACACGACTAAAGAATATAGTACCAGGGACCACATGATTGATTACCGAGGGATACGAATACGCGGATACGAAACGAATCTAGTAAACGAGTGAGCTAGCAACAGACAAGACAGACAAGGTAGGGACTAGGAACATCAAAAATGTTGCTGTAAAACAGTGTTTTTAACTGTTTTATTGATACTTGACCAATGAAATATTAATCCGAAAACGATCCGAAAAGCTGATCCGAAAGTAGGGCCGTGATCCGAAAACCGATCCGAAGGCTATGAACCGCGGTTTTTCGGTATTTCGGTTATCCGTCCCACCCCTACTTATTACTACAAAACAACATTATGTATTTTAAAACCTTTTATTAAAGCATGAATCAGAGATATACGGTTGACAAAAATGAAACCAATACTCATAAATAAACCAATGTGTTCCTCACTATTCTAAATATAACATCTCAAAAGACAATACCTTTGCTATCCTATGAATTGAAATGTTTTTAGTGATGGGAGTAGTGATGATCTATGACTAGAGTGATCTAAAGACAGCTGATGCTGCCTAATGCATGGCTATGACGTTACATGTAATCCAAATACATGTAAATCCTCATTTTCATTAATAAACAGCTTTCATCATAGACTGTAATTTGGCTGATTGGTTAAAATGACACTATGTTATACCTAGCAATTTGCTTTTACTCAGTTCAGTTACAATAATTACATTCTATGAGATTATTCTATAACATGTACTGATTTTGGAAAAAATTCTGTGGCATGAAAAAAACTTTTATTTCAAAATTGGGAACATATTCATGTATTCTTAAAGCTTTTTTCTCCTGGAGAATTATAGGTACATGTATTGACTATTGTTTAATAAATATATGTAATGGTAAAATAATCCTTTACAAATATCACAAATGTCTTCCCCTCAGGAAGAAAACAATTAGATTTATTGAATATACTATTTTGAAGCATTATAATGAATACATGTGAAGTGATAAAAATCATTTAAATACTAGTATGATTTAGAATCTGATAAATACATCGCCAGGATTAAAAACTATTGATAGATAGACTGGACACACAGATGGACAGACGGATGAATGAGTAGACAATTCAATAAATGAAAAAGATGTAATATCTAATTAAAGATCTAAATGTTAGCAAAGATATCAAGAGCAAATATCAATCTAATATCAAATGTATTCGAAGGATTTCTCTTTCCCAGAAAAATTACAACATAATCAAATAAAAACATAACTCTAAGCATTTCCCAGAAGTAAAGCATAAAGCTTTGTTGTTATTAGAAAAAGATTTAAAAAACAAGAATAAACTTTATCTGGCTTACATATTGATAACAGTATATGCAAGAGAGGAAAATAATAGACATGATTTCTGTATAAGTATATCATTCAGCTAAGACATCACAACTCTGACATAAGGCAAGTCATTTTCTACAGTATTCAGTTCTTAGCTAATCATGATTTAGAATAAAATTACCGAGGTGAATATTTTAATTGAGTATTGGAATTGATCATGTTTCATCTGATGTCAGATCAACCTGTTCCTACTAATAGCCTTTAATTATCATTAAGGTCATAATTATTCTATATCAGTTCGTTCTAACACAATGTCTGTCTTATATTTTAACATACAATGATCTCCCCAGTCCCAAGCATGCTCTAAAGCAGGGGGGAGGGGGGGGTGCTGCACCTGAGCTTGAAAGAAAAAGGCCTCTACCTACACCAACAACCCATGTGCACATGTCCTACATGCACTTGAAAAAATTTCAAAAATCATGAAAAGATAACATATGACAGCAACTTTAGATAGAACTACAAAAATGAGAGAATTGTGAGAGAAATATATGAAGCAAATGCCTATTTCCTTTTTTAAAAACATAATGACATGGCATCTTATTCATGAATATGTACATGTAACAGTTCTCCTTTCATTAAGTGTTAACCAAAAGTAAAATGATGAAATGAGACGTTAACCAGGAATATTCATTGTACAAATTATACATGTAATTGTACCCACATGATAGTATCAACTTGTATGAGATCGCATTAATTCAAGTAATTTGAGGAAAAATGACTAAAATACTTGCAAAAAGATTGATTTATATGAAGTGTTGTATTTTCTTTTTGAGTTATTTCTGCCTCATATACCGTATTGATTTTCATGTAATTGTAGAAAAGTTAATCTCCCATTGTACATGGTTAATGTGACCTATTGTCTGTTGGAAATTAACACAATGCAGTCTTCAAGAAAGTTCTAGATATACAGAGGATAGTTATGATGTGCTAGGATGCATCTTGATTTAACAATTTAACAAGAGGTATTCCACATCTGTGTACATGACTGAACGGAATACACTATAAGAGCATAAGGATAGGATTCATAAAAAATACTGAATGTTGTAACATAATCATAATTATGATTCATGTTACAATATTGAATACATGTTTTTTCCTCATCTGGCTCAATAAATTTTGTTAAAACTCCAAGTCTTGCATCTAGTATCTGCCCCCCCCCATCAGCCCCGTAGCCAGGGGGGTTATAACGATTGAAAACACAGGCTTGACACAAAACTACACTCTAGGCTCTAAGCACAGTGGGGTTTTATTGTTTATCATTCCCATTACATATGTTTCCTCAATCATTTTTTTTAATTTGTAAGCATCATCAGTCATCCTCATATAACAATTTAAGCAAATCAGGAAGTACAGTGCTGGAACTTGACTTTGGAACATAATTCTAGGCAGTTTGACTTTACTATCATCATCGGTTCCCACGTTAAATCACTACGTTCGAAGCTTGATGAAGCAAGATGCTTAACAGTTTCTGAAGATATATGTTTTGTTAATTTTATTAATTTCTCTATACTCTCCATGAAAAAAATATATGAACCACTAGTTTTCTGGCTTTCAAATACATTTTTACCATAAATAACACACAAAACATCAACATTTTAAGAACTTGCGATTTTAACTCTTACTTCCTGATTCTTCTTTACAATTACAAGTTATTGAATCTATAAATGAATTCCATAGCTCAACTCTTTTTAATATATTCCCTACAAATGGCAATTGAAAATTTTTTAAAAAGTATTTATGGTTTGAATTCTTCAAGGGTGGTGCCACTCACACTTGTCCTCTTTTTTGAATCAAGGTATTTTTTAATAAGCCACCAAAGTAGTCAAGTTATCTATATATTGGAATCATATGAAAGCAGATTCAATATAATGGTTCACTAAGTGAAAGTTGAAGACACCTTTCACATTTTCCGACAAGGTATTAACAAATTAACATTCAGGATCTCAAAAGGATATTTTAGAGATTTTTGACAAATGGAGATGTTGACTAATGATAATGGGGGAATCATACTATATAGATGGGTACTCAGGACAAATATCACTACTTAAAAAGCCACGAAGAGATAAAATTGGTCAAATGTCATTTTCTCACCTGTTAGATGCTATTCTGCTAACTTGGTGAATTGTATAAACACACCTGGTGATCGTACAAATGGGATGGAGGGGGGATTAGGTGATTTCTGCAAGAAAACCTGGAACAAATTTGGAAGATTTATTTTTTCAAGAGAAAATTTAAAACTGGATTGCCAAATAAATAGGCGCAGTGCATGGCAAAATATGTTAGGTCATCTAGTATTTTTTTTGAACTGATACCCTTCTAAGATATGAGATCTATTAAAAAAGGCGCATCATCACCAATGTGCAAAAGTCAATGTTTTTGCTTTAATCGGGCAACAATGGTCTACACGACCTATAATAAATAGATATAAGGGACGTTATTTTCACAATACTAATGACATTGGCTCACTTTTTAAAGCTAGTTTCCATGCGTAGCCAGGATTTGGTGACCAGGAGTTCATTTTTTTATATTATCCACAAATCTCCACCTTCATTGGGGTTCCTCATATAAAACCATTTTTGTAATTTTCTTACATACAATTTACACCCCTTCCAAAAGTTTGTCAATTGTAAACTCCCCCATGGAGTGTTTAAGCCTCCTTATGTTTGAATTATTATTCGTATAATATGTACAGTGTAAAGGAAAAAACTGTTTTAGTGCTGGAAAAAATAAATTGACATCATGTCCGATACCTCCATTTTGTTTTGGCAAGATACAATTGAATTTGAAAAAGTTAGACAATTTGAAATCTATGTTAAAATGGAGAATCTTTTACTCAATAGATATCCTGAAATCTGAAGGCAAGATCATGATTTTAATATTACATTAGTTTAATGAAATTCAAATCAAGAGTTAACGTATATTTAGCTAAGTTTAAGGGCAAATCTTAACACATCTTTAAGGAACACATGCATATTTTTAAAACGAGCTACTTTAGGGAAATAGACTCACATCTTGCTTCACCAAGCTTCGGGATAGAACGTAGTGATTAGCGTGGGAACCGACGATGCGCAATTCCCACAATTTAATACTGAGATTATGATTTTTCTAAAAAACTCCAAATCAAAATATTTTATTTGGTATATAATTTTATAATAGAGGAGTGTTCATTCATAATGACCTTACATTTAGTGACTGAATTGAAGAGTCTTTATAGCTACATGAATACTCTTTGACGATAGAAGTGGCAGTTGATAATTCGTTTTGTAAAAAATGAAACATAGGCTGAAATTCCAAACTGACCAAATTGAAATAACACAATATCTATTATACTCCGTAGGCTCTAAAATTAAACCTCTTTCAAATTGCAATGCCTTACAACAAAAGACACCTACTATAGTGCTGAAAATACCCATTTGTTCTTTCTTTAAATTGAAAATATAAAATTCAAATTCAAGTCCAAGTACAGGTGACCCCAAAAATGTCACCCCTTAATTTGGGAATAACTATATCTCCGTTTTAAAGGACTTTTCATGATTTTTTGTGTTGAGAGTTAAAAGCATAATCATTGGAATTTACCTAATAAGCAGTCAGTGCATCATATTTGACGAGATTGTTGAATTGTTTGAAGGGTAGATTTTACATTTTATTGATAATGTGTATGAAAGCAATCCAGAAATGACTCAAATAATGGCCAAGACAGAAATCTCATTTTCAGAAAATTGCATTTTCAACATTTTTGGACAATATAACAAGACCATACCTGGATGGAAAATGTGATCATTTTAAAACTTGGAATTTAAACAGTCTATTTTAAAATTAAAAAATTATGTTTGAGTTTATACTAAAATGAGAGGGTAATTTTTCTGAGTCAACCTGTATATGGAGGTGTACAAGTGAATTAGGGAGCATGCGTGTTACGAATGTCCATTGAAATTCTGCAAAAGTAGAATTCTTTTGAGAAATCTTGGCTATGGCCTAAGTATAGCAGTCACATCACAAAAGAAATTGAAGTGATGGATAATAAATGCTATACCCATTCAATGCTTGTGTTTATAAATGATCAATACATGTGTGCTTTTCATACTACCTCATTTCAAAAAGTTTCTATTATTTGATATTTGCTCCTGGGGACTAATCAGCTCTGGGCAAGATTTTTTTTGAAATAAAACAAAACGAAGGCGCACAGATTTGAAAGAAAATGTGTTTTCATCAGTAGTAAGACAATAAGTAGTAACTGTTGTTTTTAAGTTAAAATAAAAAACAACAAATTTTATGTTTAATTGATTGAACAAATTTATTTATAATTATGGGAAAAATTTTCAGTTGCTTGGAAAAGATTTAAAGAGTAAATCGAAATGTTGCAAAGCTAATTCAATTTGTTAGTATTAAGACATTTGGTTTATTTCACCGGATATGAAGCAGCTTTTAAGTTGTGCGAAATTATTGTTATTTCTTTGCATAATGTCATGATGATCAGGGGTCTTCTCAAAATTAGACAATCCCAACCCTTGCCTAAGGTTGCCAAACTTTTGGAGAGAATTGTACATGTACAACTTTATTATGTTTTTATTTACTGGTCACATAAATTGAATTAAATGTTTCTGGTTTTCCACAAATATTTTTTGGGGAAACCCTGACCAGGGGTTCGTCTGAACCAACCGAACCCCCGGTTACTACGGCTATGATATAAGAGGTAACAGACTTTATGAGCCAATTTACAAGTAACCCAACATATACAAATGTCATTCGTGTGCAATATGAATATATTTTTCTATATATTATTGCACAACATTATTTAGATTTCTTATATTTCAGGTTTAACTGCTTGCCTTTGAAGCAGTGTAACAGACTGTAGGGTACAGTGGTGAACATTAAATTTTTTAGTTTTCAGTCAAAGTTGTCAAGGAATGTCGAGGAATTCTAAAAACAATTATCTACTTACCAAGATAAATAGCGTCCCAAATCCAATAAGTACAAGGCAAAGTCTCAGTCTTTCAATGTTTTCAATTCCTTTGATGCGAGATCCTCCGATCTAAGCTTTGGCTATGGAATATTTTCGAGTCAGTGAGACTGCTGTCTTCAGAAAAATTTTACAAGTCCTCGTAGTTGATTCGTGTCGTTTCAAATGCCCGATCTTCTAAATAAGATCATCAGCACATCAAACTGCATTTTGCTACTCTATAAAATCTTGAGCTTCCACACGTCACATCGATAGCTCTAAAACATCCGAACTCTTAAAACATTATAGCCTACGTATACCTAGCTTCAAGTCCACTTTAGACTGAGATTATTTCTTGTTGATTTGTGCTTTTTAATACATAATATCGTTGAAATAATTATCGAAGGAGTTTCCGTAAATGTCATTCAATATGGCGGTCGGATCTCGAATGTGATCTCGCCTCCTTTTCACTAAACGAAATAGAATTGAATATTTAATGAAATCCCCGGGAAGATTGTGACACTATGCTATTAAACCGGATCCTGAGGGCATGCCCCCACTCCCCCTAGGGGGACTCAGAAAAATCGTGTAAGGGACAAAAAATGGGCTGATTTGGGCACATCTTGGACTTCTTCAGCGTTCTTTTTCAGTAAAAATTATCAAAAATGGGCCCTACATTTTAAAAATTTGCCCGGGGCCCAATTTTGGGTTTTATGCACGGACCTCTGCCAGATAAGCTCCTCTGTGCCTAGGCTCAATAAATATACTCATTCATCCTTTGAGCCTACTACCAATATTATAGGGGCTAGATCTGGCTCCGGATCTGTGGTTTTATGGGCCCAGGAATTTTTTACGGGCTAGCACAGAATTTTTTTCCTGACTTGAAATGTGCCCCCCCCCCCTCCCTTGTTAGCTTCTGGCTGTGCCAGTGAACCGAATGGCGGAGAAGAGCTTGTAAACACTGGCTTCGAATGGGGACAGTGTCGTCTTTTTCAGCAGATTTTGGCCTTGGGTGGGTTACGTAAATTTTTAGGGGCCCAATTAGTGTTACTAGGCCTTTTAAGGCCTACTTTTTCAGGCCAAATCTTAATTATTCAAATTTGGTGAACCCCTTTTTGGTCAGTTTTAGGGCAGAATTGTTATTGTTGTTAGTTCCCAGATTGCGTATTTCAAAGTGAAGTAAATCTATTTGATATCATGGCGTAGAATAATGGAAATAGCGTCATGAATCCCGGGACAATGAATCTTGGATCCAAGTACGTCATTAATGGTCGAAAATCAAAATATTGACAAATTTATAACCTAAAAGGCCGAAAGATTATGCGGCAAATATTGAAACGGGGGTTGTCAACATATTGTATTAGCTTTGATCTCTTAGAATCCGTTGAATCCTAAGCGATTGGAGTTGTTTAGATCACTTAACGAATGATATGAAATGATGAGGATTTGGGTTTTTTCAAAGTCTATAATGGCGGCCAATGGGGGATTTTAGCAAAATATCCCGAAAATTAAATGATTAAAAGGCCGAAAGATCTGTGGATGGATTTTGCTGTTTTATATATCAAAATGAACACTTCGTTGGGTCTAACAAGGATCCGTTGAATCCTTAGAAAATAAATTATTTGCTAAAAAGTTATTAAGATTTTAAATTTTGATGAAGACTGCTCTCCATTGAAATCTTTGGACCATGAAATGTCGATTTACGCGCATGCGTTGTGACGTTATTTCCATTATTCTACGCCATGCTTAACTTTTGCTGTCAAAATGGCGGGAAATTCGAATAAATTTCATCATTTGTTGGGAATGAATATAGCCAATGCCAGTGACACCAAGGTGACGAGTACTAGTCTGCCTAATCAGTCTACTTTAGCACAGGCCTGTACCAATTTCGCTTGGTCAATGTGGAGTGGACGTATGCGGTATGCAGTGGCGCAGGAACACTGTACGCCAAAACGCCAATGCGTTGTGTGAAAACTGAGACTAAAAAGCTTATTAATTTCCTTATGTTCTTAAGTCAATTTTTCTCATTGAAAAACTGAAAAATGTCTGTTTGACACCATGTGATATTTTTTCATAAAATATTGATATAGTTATACGTTGTTTCTAATAAAATGCAAATTAATCATTATTTTTCTATTTGGTAGATATCGTTTTAGGAAATATAGCATCTAAGCATATTTTCACTGCTTAATGTTTTAATCTAGTTTATATTATATACGAAACTAATAGGAAGAACAAACCGCGCTTATGATTTGTTTCATAATGGACGATTTTGTTTCATAGTAACAAAGTAATGACCATGATGAAACACTGGAACATTATTACACAGTCAATTGTGATCCTGTACAATATAAAACAACACTAGATTACTTGTACTTTTTCTTATATAGCAACCAAATAACAATGCCTAATCTAGGTCATCTAACGATACGGCCTGACACAAAAAATGCTAGACTGATTAAAACCTTCATCAATGCTGGGCAAAAAAAATTCTAGTGGATAATGCAAGCAAGAAGTGATCTTAACTTTGATGTGTCCGATGAAACCAACCAAGCGGAGCCAGGCGTCACTGTAAACACATCAGCAATCCATACAAACCATATCCCAATACCATACCACCTAGGATATGCATTTAATCAGAAACTTATAAACTATGGATTTATTTTAAAATTCAAACATCCAAAGTTGCTGTTTTCTCGTGGTTTTAGGCAAAGAAGATATCCAACATCCGCATCTAAACGGTTTGGAGTAATGACTTCTCTAAATGCCGTCGTTACTCATCCGAACGATTGGGTCTTTCGTCATCAGGTCGAAGGAATGCGATTATTGCTATATCATCCGAACCTCTCAACTTCAATAGGGCTGGAGAGTGAACGGTTCTTGGTGACATTCATGGAAGCAGATAATTTAGATAGAAAAGAGGTTTGTTTTATCATGGGCTTTCAAGTAGAGTTGAGAGCCCATGGTCTTATGAGGTCGACACATTTGTCTTTCCTGTGAGATACTTTTTAACCTTAGATTTTATACATGTTGCACCCGGGATTGCACAGCGTACGTGGGAGGGTAGTTGTCGTACTTCTTATATTCAAATTGAATTAAAATGGTTCAGTATTGAACTTTTAACTATAAAGCGGCAAAAATACACACAAAATTACATTCTTCGTAACCGTTCATTAATCACTTACTCTGAAACCCTTTTTAAAAGTATCATAACTAAAAAAAGTGGCACCTTTTTCAGATGTTCAGCCCAGTGCCCAGAAGACGAAGATTTGCCGATCACGGAATGGTCCTTTTTCCATATAGCTTTGAAATCTCGTTAAGGTCTTGTTTTTAATGAGATTTTAGGAGATCTGCATTTTTAACCATTAAAAACTAATGTTTTCTTCCATCTGATGGCATATTTGAATTATGTGAGTAATTCTCCATCAAAACAACTTTGATTTGCACTGTAATTTACCATTATTCAAATTCTAATGATTTACTGGTTGTCTAAAAAAGGTCGGGCTAAATCCCCATTGACACAATGCTGAAAAACCTTAAAAAGTTCATTTACTCTTCCAAGGATCACAATTTTAATGCGAAATCACAATCCACATGTCAATAAGATCATAAAGTTACATTCCAATGATGTTTTAAGTTGATCCAAATGGAATTACTTCTTAAATCAAGAAATTAAGTGACTCTGGCAATACATTTACATGTATTCTAGCCCTACCCAAGCTCTACCAATACCCATGATGCCATCTATTTTTCATTTATATGGAAAAAGGTCAATTGAAGCCCTCCGGGATATCAGAACACTTTTCCTAGAAGACAGATTTGAAATTGACATTTTAACACTAGTCCATATGCCCATACACGATACCGGGGCGTCATTTCTAATAGCCTATCCAAAGAAGGACAGGAGACGGAAAAGACGTTTGAAAGTCCACTGGAAACGATTTAAAAACATTTTTATTGCTTGTGCTTCAAATCCAAAGTCATGATTGTTGATTGTGACAATTAGGCCCAAAGATTTACTTTTAGATATTAATTGCCTATTACTTGTATTAAATGTGGTTATTTATTTATTTGTCGTAGGCAAATGACAATATTTACGAACAATAAATGTGAACTTACGAAAACGTATTACCTTGTTACGAAAATAAATTCGACAATTAAAAAATGAAAATGCCAAGGCATTTGACATTCAGTTCGTAGATATCAAATTAATATATTTGCAGAAACAATGATAAAGGTACAAAATGAACTCATTTTATTTGTATACGGATATACAATGTGTCACTAACAAATGCTTTTAAGGACTTTTAAATGTATTTCAGGATAAAACACATACACGTTTTAACGAAACAAATTAGATTAACGAACAGAAAAGGCAAAATACTCAAGTTACGAACATCAAATGTGCATTTAATAACAGAGAAGTTCAGTTTACGAATACATATAGTAAAATACGAATGATAAAGCAGAAACCATTCCATAGGATGACGCGTCTCATGGTGCTAGTAAAACGAATTCACTTAATTAAGTAGAACAAACATATGCCGTAAGTCTAAAGTGGACTTGAAGCTAGGTATACGTAGGCTATAATGTTTTAAGAGTTCGGATGTTTTAGAGCTATCGATGTGACGTGTGGAAGCTCAAGTCCGACACACAATATAAAGGATTTAAGCTGACTGGAACTCTTCATTGTAAAGATAGAAACTTTACTTTAAAAATACGCCATAATTTTTTTTGTCCTTAAGTAAAAAACCTTTACAAAAATAGGCCTATTAGCTTTTGGTTAGGGGGGCTCGAACCCCCCCCCCCCCATGCACACACAAAAATGTTTTCATGCTTAACCAACTTCACATTGTGACCACACAAGGGTACGTGTTATTAACAAGACACCAGGGGTGGCCACGAAAACAAGGGAGGGGACCTAAAAATTGCCGCGCTTGTTCAGAAGAAAATAAGAGGGCCCAAATTTTGAAAAATGCCCAGTAATTCTCTGCGTTGTGTTTTAATGTTGTTAAAAATGACTAGTTACTAGTAGTTAGTTGATTTAGACGGAACAAAATTCGAGCCAAATTATCATGGCCTGTAAAATAATAGCTTGTGAGTGATGTAGCCAGAGGGCATGCTCCCCTGGAAAATTTAGGAGTTATGGGCTGATTTAGTGCGTTCTGAGCGATTCTAGGATGAAAATATATGATTTACGTATTTAAATTTTTTTTAGGCTTTTTTAGGGCATTCCCGATGCGTTCTGATCGTTCTAGGGATCAAAATATATGATTTACGTATTTTAAAAAATCGAATTTTTAGTCTTATTTGACAAGGTTCTGAGCGATTCTAGGATCATGATTTATTAAAAAATCAGGGGCATGCTCCCCTGAAAAAGCCAAGATTTTTGGGCTGATTTAGTGCGTTCTGGGCAATTCGAGGATCAAAATATATGATTTATGTATTGAAATAAAAATTGAATATATAGGCTTATTTGGCACCTTCTTAGCGATTATAGGATCAAAATATATGATTAATTGTCTCGCTATTCTAGTAAATTTAGGTCCACATTATTTAGGTCCACATTATTTTAGGAGATATCTGGGGGGAGGAGCCGAGCCCCCCCCACCCCCTGGCTACGGGCCTGTATTACACTTTGTATTTTTTTAAGAACAACACTTAATGTGTTAATTTGGGGAGAAAAGTCAAAGATGTAACGAGCTAACATCTTCTCAGTACTTCAGTGGGGGGCCCTTCAGTATTTTCTTATGAGAAATGAAGCTGATTTTGTCGATGAAAGCAAATTAGAAAAATCAAGAAAATTGGTAAGTCTTTAAAAAATTCAAATAAAAATATGAGCTCTCTCGCGAACCGGAATCGAACCAGTGACCTAGGGATTTCAATGTGCTACCGCTACAGTCCCCCGCTCTACCATCTGAGCTATCACGAGCTGGCTTGGCATCGGCTCAAACCAGAATTCTTTATAGGCTTACCACACTAACATAAAACTACTGTGGCCCATAATCAAGTCTTTAAATTTCAAAGAATATTTTTTTGAAAATAATTATTCTACAAAGTTGGGAATTGTTTCTCAATATTCTTGAGAACGTTTTGGGATAATCAGATAAGAACCATGATCTGTCAGTTGCCTATGGTTAAAAGGGGAAACTAATAAAAATGAGTTAGGGAAATGTGACATTGTGTGGAAGAACTAGGATGTATTTGATTACAATGATGGGCAGGTAGCTGCTTATGCATATCTAAATCATTGGAATTTATATAATAAAATAACATGCCATGCGGGCCAGGCATCATCGATTCAAGAATGCTGTGGTCTAATAGCAATAAGCCACAAATCAAGTCCTAAGAGGCCACCGTAGAGTTTTTCTAACCGCCATCTTTATTCGTGACGTCATCAAATAAGGTGCTCGAACATTTTGAAAATCGAGACAACGGGACGTAAATATCTTTAATTTGAGACGGTTTACTTGTTAAAAATTGTATTATAAATGTAGTTGATAATATATTATGTATATAATGGTCGTTAAGTATGGAAAACTTTTCAATATTTTTGAAAAACTTCGATGAACTTGACGATTGTAAACATCCTGTGCAAAAATTTTAAAATCCTCAGTTCTAAAAAATTGTGCTGAAGAAATGTCTGACGAAGGCCAACAATTTGAAAACGTTGTGATGATGAAAGCTGGGATATTTGCCCCTGCAGATGATGAAACAGTTGTCAAAGAACAACCCATGCAGGAAGAGAATATTGAAGTGACTGAAGACATTCTACAACAAGCTCTTCAAGAAGCAGCTGAGGGTTTTGAACAAGTTGAATATGATGAAACTGAAGCTATCAATGGTGATGAAATTGTCGCTGTTCAACTCCCTGGGCAAGAGGGAAGAACTATAGTGTTGCCTCACAATGCAAATGTAACATATAAAATTGTAGACGCTGGAAATGACAATCAGATTCAATTACAAGAAGCTGATACTCAAAATGGTACAGTTGTGCAAACTGAACAGTACATCGAACATGTTGAACAGCAAGGTGACAATGAAGTCATTGTTCCAAATGAACAAACAGACTTTGGAAATTACACTATTGTACAAGGAAATGAGAATGCAAATGTTATCACTGAGGCCGAAAAGCCCAAAGATCTTTCAGGAGATCTTGGGTCAAGTGAAAACCCAATACGGATTGTTCAACAAGGCACCCAGTATCACTCAATGCAACAACTAACACAGGAACAACTGACTCAGATTATGCAAGTGTTACAACAACAACAACTATCTGCAGCCACTCAGAAAAGTGGAGGTCAAAGTGTACTTTACAATTCTCAAACTAACACTCGGGTAGTCTACCGTGTTATGTATCCCTCTGAGCTTCATAAAAACTCCCCTATTGAAAATGGGAGTGCAACCTCTGTCATAAACAAAATCTCAGTAAAACAAAAACAGATACCCAGTGGTCAGCCTCAGGTGAAGAGAGGGCCTGGGAGACCTCCTAAGCGTAAGAGACTGAACTCAGATGACACATCCTCTGTTGAAGGAATGCCAGAACCTGAGCTATCCAGGGAGGAAAAAGAAGAGCGAAAAAAGCAAAGGCCACGGACTAGAAGTGGGAGAGTGTCCCGACCACCAAGGCATATGACAAAGGACTTCAAACATGTTCATGTACTAGGTAAGGGACTAAGGGTTTTAGAAAATTGGATGAGAAAATTTTCCAAGTGCTAAAACTCAATTTTACAGTCAATGGCTGTAGAGTATTATAAGATATCTCCTTAGTTCATATTTCACATGTTGCCGTAGAGCTGTTATCCATGTTCTGCACGTTATCCTGTGTTACCATTTATTATTACATGCTGCCTTCTGCAATACACAATATAAAATGTTTTTTTATTGTTTATGGTAGATTGGAATGATGACTATAAAGAGGATGATTCTGATGGGGGCTACACAGACTTCAAGGAAAGTGATGAGGAAAATGGGGAAAACAAGGATGAGGAATTTCATCACCCAGGTGAAGGATGTTAATTAGAATGTACTTTTCACAATTTTTCATATTCGGATTCCAGCAACAGTTTTACATACATGTCCTTATCTATAATTTTTAGATCATTTATCTCTGAAAAATTCATTCAGTTTTTTTTTGTTCATCCTTAAAGTCCTGAGTTGTATTGACATTTTATCATGAATGATGAATCAAGATGTTAGTTTGACTTTTTAGTATATATGATTTAATACTTAATTCTGTGTGATGCTAATTGGGAAGTTTGCTGCTAACCTACGCAGACATTTCAATATATTACATGTATGCATCATCTTTCTCTTATGTCCTTTTATCAAATCCAGGCAATTTATTTCATCCTTATCGACAGAGTAAGTCTTTGTAACTTTTCTTAGTACATTTACACTTATCTGCCATGTCTGCACTTGTACTTCCTATTGATATTTAGTCTTAATTTAACATAAAACATGTTCCCATATCAGGATTTGGGTCATCAAAAAAGAAACCCTGGAAATGTGAGAAGTGTGAAAAATGCTACATTGGTCGTGGAGGGCTAGCCAGACATTATAGGATGACTGGACATGGCCACCTTGAGGAGGACCCTGCGGAAGTTGAGGCCAGGAAGAAAAGAGGTAGGAAAAACAAAGATTTACCAAAATGTCTGGGCAAAATTAATATTTCTAGTAAGCCTTGTTATTGTGGTTGTTGAAGCTTATTATTTATGTGCCAAAGTGTCTCTTGTATTCATGGTATTTATATAAATGGAGTATTTAAATGATTTTTGTGATATAGGCAAATCAACAGGTCAATTTCATAACATTCCTTTTCATATATGTTTTCTAACGATCCCCTTAGTTCATACTTTATTCCAGAAATACTAAAGAATTTTAGATTTATGTGTGTATGTTTTTCTATAAATATGGATATCCAGATTTGTTATTCAGAAAAGCTTACACATTTTTTTGGCAATTGGATCTTAATTCTTAAATAACTTAATTTTGATAAATTATCACAGATCTTTGGAATTCTGCCATAATTCAAATTCAATTGAATAGATAATTGCTTTTACGGGTGTGCTGAATTTTGACTTGGTTAGTACATTCCCTGGGTACAGTGATTCTCTGCATTTGCATTCACTGCAAACTTTGAAAAATGTTAACACTCTTTATTTTTTCATTGTACTTTTAATTTGTAGAAGAACAAAAGGCAAATGCTTTACAAAACTTGATTGCCAATCACCAGGAACTTGGTGTCCAAGGGGCGGAGTCAGGACCTGTCAGTAACCAAGAGATAGGTAACCAAGGTGTTGAGACAGTGGAAGAGAGCAATGCAATGAAACTCAAGGCTGCATACTTGTCTAAAAATACATCAAATAGGAGAAAGGCCCGTCTTAATGAGGTTTGACATTGCTGCATATTAGCACATATTCTGAAGAAGTGGTGACATATCAGTGATCTCCCCAGCATTAAAGCAAGTGGGCGCAGCACCCACCTGAGATTTTGAAAATAGGCTTGCACCCACCTGAAAATCCATTTGCCCCCACTTGAAAATGAGAAAAATTGGCATATTTTGACCAATTTTGGTCTGAATTGTGAAAATGAAAAATTCTGCACCCACTTGAAAAAAATCCTGGGGAGATCACTGCATATGGTTATATATATTGTTTTTTATGGATGGTGTTCGGCATTAGACATCTGGCATCTGTAACAAATGGCAGGTGGTGACATTTTGCTTGTTAGTGCCTTGTTCATTATCATTTATTTGTGAATGTCATTCAATCAGACGTTCATGTTAAGTATACCAACAAAGCTGAAATATAAAACAAAATACGACCAACGAAGCATTTGAGTTTATATTTTGAAAAAATCTTACTTTACCTTTTCATTGGAATTGTATTTTGAGATGAATTTTTTCCTTTGAAGTTAATGCGGCAATGTACAGATGAAGAACTTATGGAATGTGTCCTCCCACGACTTAGCCAGGCTGTTTCCATGTGGGAATTTCTGCTCATGAAGGTAGAGAGGGGAAGACCTCCAAAATTAGACCTACGGCAAATATACACAGAATATGAAGCCTTACATTCGAAAGTACGAACCGTGTGCCAAAATTATCTTCTACCAGCAGGGAATACAGTTTCTCCAATATCAGATTGCAAGATTTTAGATGTATGTATCCAGATCCCACTCTATTGTAATTATATATCATGTGTTTGAAGAAAATTATGTGCTAATGTATTAACCTTGTACTAAGGATAATTGACAGTCATCAAATTCTATCCTGTACCTATAATTAATATAAATGAAGTCTGATAACAAAAATTCTGAGAGTGAGCTTTCTAGAAAATTCAAAAACATCACAATTGTGGACTTTAAGAGTACCAGATTTTATCTTTATTACCTAAGTAATTTTGTTGTATAATTTCAAAGCCAGGTTAACGACATATGTCATGAACATCTTATTTTTCAGATGAAAAACAAAGAAGTTGCAGAATCACTTGGTATGCAAGTTGGTCAGTACAAAGTGAAAGATGACCACTTGACTGAGGATGAACTTTTCCAATATAAATATCTCACATGTAACCCAACCTTAAAGGACATTAAAATACCTCAAAAATCCAACCCTGAGCTGGAAAAACGTCAAGTTCAATATGTCAGTCGAGATCAAATTATTACAGAGAGGAAAGAAGCTCCAAAGCCCATTATAACTGTGAGTTCAGCTGTAAGAAATGTTCCAGAATTTAGCTTAAAAGGAGGGAACATCCCAACAGGTACAAGTTTACTCAATAATATACAAGTTCAGAACACTGGGATCTCTGAGCTTAATAATGGTGGTGTTACAGAAATAAACACTGGGAGTGTTGGTGTCACAAATCTCAATACACAGAATGTCACAGATTTCAACACAGGAGTTAGTGTCACAGACCTCAATAAGGATTTAATCAATATACCAAACACTTTTCACAATGGATTCTCCACGGATGAGAGTATCGTTTCTGTGACAGTGGGCTCTGATTCCCAAGAAGTCTCAAACCCAAATTCTGAATCAGTGCACATGATTAACGAATCAGAAACAAACAATATCAGTAATACCCAGAATCCAACAGAAGTACAAGAGGAATTTTTACCCCAGCAAACTAGGGTTATACAAACTGAAGATGGAAAAGTATATCTTGAAAACCCTGATGGGTCATTAATAGAGTTACAACATTCTGAAGGAGGTAGTATTCCCTTAGAGACTGTTCAAGCATTGTTAAATATGGAAAATGTAGCTGAGACTCAAGTAGAGGCTTTTCCTCAATAAAAACCTTTCTCATATAGTCTAATTACAAGCCCTTGCCTGTAAGAAGGTTTTATTCAATGAGAGGTTAGGGAGGGGGTCACAGGGGCTTGTATCTACCTCTCTGAATTAGTATCTATTTTGCTTCATGGCTAATTCACATAGTTGAAAACAATAGGTGACATGTTAAATGACAGAAGGAGATTATTGGCAACAAATAGCATGTAAATAAGATCAACTGTTTTGCTGTATCATGTATTTGGTCATTTAGCTTCATGTTGCAATATGTAGAATATCCTATATTGTGTTTCTGTTTACTAGCTCCAGTAGATAAGGATAGCTTCAGGTGTTGCAGGCCTGTAGCCAGAGGGCTTCAGAGTTCGAGCATCTTTTGCCCAAAATCCATTCAAAATCATGAAGTTTTTTTAATTGAGCACTTTTCAAGTGATTTTGGCCAAAGTCAAATGTGAATCCCCCTGGAATTTTTTGAACATTGAAACCCCCTTGCCAAAAGCTGACTATGGGCATTGGTTGAATTACATTTAAACATAATAGTGTCATCTCCCAATCATTGTAATTTTCATATACTAAGATGTGCCTTCAGTGTCCTCTGCCACTCAGTTCACATTATAATATGGACTAATAAATAACATGTATATGCAATTGTATAAACATGTATTAATACATATAAATATGAATAATGATGAATTATTATTGATTATGGATTATTATTGATGAATTAATATGTATTTCAATGTACAGTCACTACAGTGTGTTTCTTTATTTTTGTAAGGTTAAAATATGTTCACATGAAAATAATAAATGAGAAATATAAGAATGAACTTTAGAGCTTAATGACTTGTTCCTTACAGCTTAATATAAACTTTCAATTGTTAAGTGTATTAAGACTCCCAACTTTAACAGTGTCACTTCTAAAGTGACTACTTTTCATCGGCCGTCCTTGCCTAGTTATATTTCAAAAATGAAAGTGAAAGAAGAAGTACTTATTTGAATTACTAAATATTTTAATCGGTATTTGTTACCCAAGTAACACATAAAGTGAACAGTACACTACAGGGAAAACGAAGCCAAATGCCAGCTGCCAGCCAACATGGCCCATATACACTGGCGGATCCAGAAGCTAATAAGGGGGGGGGGGTGCAAATTTCTATTCAGGAAAAAATGTCCGTGCTTGCATTGAAAATTTTGCCTAAAAAGGCCCATTTTTTGAGGCCCTACAAAATTTTTATCTACCAAACAGAGCAGTTATGATTACTTTGCAGTATTAGAAACAAGGTAACTATCAAAATAATATGATATATTATATACTTAATTTTATATACATAATTTTATCAAAACTTATAGAGGAGTTTCCATATAGCTTTGAAAGCTCGCTAATTCTCGTTTTTCATGAGATTTTAAGAGATTTGCCATTTTAAACTCTTACGACTTACTTTTCATTCTTTTTAATAGTATACTTCAATTCAGTGAAAGATTTTCCACAATAATAATTTTGATTAATAGAGTTATGTCATTTAGATCATTTTCCATGTCTTTTTAAAAAACTTGGGCCAAATTTCCATTGATGCAATGCTAAGAGTCTTTGAAACTTCTTTGGTTTATTCGTTTGACAACCAAAACTTTCATGATTAATCACAATAGGTACATTGACAGGGTCATCCCATAGTATGCCATTTGAATCAACCAACATCTTTTCATAAATCATTACATTAAGTGACTATTGCAAGTTTTTAACATGGAAGGCCATGTCAGTCTTGCCCATGCAAAACGGAGTATGACAAGGGTGACATCTGTCAGCATTTTTCAGCTATATAGAAACTATACTATTACTTGACAGACGGCAAATTCCATACTTTAAGATTGGACCTCGGTGAACTAAAGTACACTTGGAGTAAGGCAAGGACAAATTCTGCTTTGCTGAAACGATATGTCTACATATTTCAGCTGTTATAATTTTTCACTGTTGTTTTTTAAGTTGGATTTGTCCCACAAACATGATATGAATAGGTGATTACCCAGCATTCAAAGCAAAGATGAACCTTCAGTTTTTATGTTCCTCGAGATCATTACGTGACATGCCCGTAGCCAGCTTTTGTGTTCGAGCCCCCCCCCCCCCCCTTACCAAAAGCTGGCTACGGGCAAATTTTTATCATGTAAAACCCACTTCGCAAGAAGGTGGTCCCAAACAAACTCAGCCATATTAGGACTTGTAAAATAATAGCTTGTTAGGGACGTAGCCAGGATTAATATTGCTAGTAAAGCCTAGTATGCGAGGCCGTAGGTCCTCCGCCGGGGGTATGGTCCCCCGGAAAATTAAAAATTTCAGGACGTATTCTAAGCGATTCCAGAATCAAAATATATGATTTATTTTCTAAAAAATTGATTTTTTGGCTTATTTGGCGCGTTCTGAGCGATTCAAGAATCAAACTATATGAGTTATTTTAATTTATACTTTGGTCTTGACTCTTAATAGTACGTGGCTGCGTATTCTGCGTATATATAGCTGCGCCCTTTTTATAGTTTGAATTATTTTTTGGGCCCCAATTTCATTTTCGGGGTCCCAGCTTAAGGGGAGGGGGCTTAACCCCCTCATGTCCGCCAGTGAGACATTGTAGGATTTTGCACTGACAACACACATCATCGATAAAAACGAACTTTTAATACAACAAACGAATCATTTAGTTGCCTGTTTATTAGCTTTTTGACTAGCCTAGTCAATTTTGCATGTTTATAAAAAGAAATTGGCAATATCAAATTTTGGAGATTTTTCAGTTTTTGGATCCCAAAATTGTTTTTCCCACCACAAGCGCGGAAATTCTTTTTCTTGTTTGAAATGTGGACCCCTTGTTAGCTTCTGGACCCGCCAGTGACTTCTGGGTTATTTGTCCCTCTTCACAAACATAATTGCAATGCAGTCACAACTGGAACATATCCAGGGCAAGGGACAATTTCAAAGTAAACTAAGCATTCATAGCTCAGGATGTAAACAATGCTTGTACCATTGACTACTCTGCTTCTGAAATATCCTAAATGTAATAAATAAACAAACTGTCAAACTTGTTGAGATAAAACGAACGAAGGCAAAGTTATGTGAAACCTCGGGAGTTTAAAACGTGCAAAGCTGACGGAGATGATCTGAACTGTTAGAATCAGTTCAAATGATGGCACTCCTAAACAACTACTTCCAGAATTTATCATGGCTATTAGCCAGTTTTACAGTCATTCTATTCCTTCATCAGATAGGATCAGCTGAAAGTGGACTGGCTGCCGATGAAGAAAGTAAGTTATGTTCTTAACATTTTGTAGATCTCCGGTCTGATCCACTATTTTACAGCAAGCAATAATATTCTTGCAAAACCCGTGATCTCATACCACGTTTACAGGGTTGGTTCATTATTGACAGCAAGTAATAACATTCTTGCAAAATTTGTGAATTTCTCATTTTATGTTTACAGGGTTGATTCATGATTTGACAAGAAGCAATAACATTTTTGCAAGACCAGTGTGGAATGCTTCTGACACATTAACAGTGAAGCTAGGATTGGCTCTCACAAAGATAATGGACTTTGTAAGCAAACGTACTTTAAATCGATATATCATTAAAAGGGAACTCAAGTACTACACAATCTTAATTCATTGTAGTTTGCAGCCTTTTTACATAAATATGTTGATGAATAACCTGTTTAATAATTCATACTATGGTTTCTGACGCCGTCACGCCGTACAAAATCATTTTTGACGCAAAACAATATCGTTTTGACGCTGTTAAATCATTTTTAACGGTGTACAAAATCATTTTTGATGTCGTTCAAAATGTTTTTGACACAGTACAAACTTATTTCCAATGGCGTACAAAATCATTTTAACGTCGCACAAAATCGTTTTTGACGGCGTGCAAAGTAATTCTTAACGGCGTATAAAATCGTTTCGACGGCGTTAAAAGTAGATTTTACGGCGTTAAAAGTATGACGATACATTAGTCCAGATGGCTAGCCATATGATACCTGTCTGAAGGGGCGAATGGTGGGAAGGGGTTATGCACCGCTATTTTCCAGAACTTCTTATTTCTAATCCTGAAAGCCATCTGATTGCAGAAAATCAGCTCAAAATAAGTAAAAATAGTATTAGATTATAGCTTTGGATATTGGGGGTTGTTTTTTATTTTTAGTTGTACTCCGGCTCCCTTTAACTACTTCCGATGTTTCTTTTTCTTGCCGTCAGGTTTTGTAAAACACTGGTCCCATTTGGTACTTATGAATAAACAATTAACAATAATAGCAGTGATTGGTTTGGATTGGTTTTTTGTTTGTTTAATGTCATATCTTTGTTAGTTTCCTAATGTCGCTTTATATTTTTTGATTACAGGATGAAGCTGCAAGCGTAATGCGTTCAAATGTGTGGATGAGATTTGTAAGTATGAACTTTTTGTTATTACTATTTTATTCACTAAAATACAATATGAGCATTGACAAAATTATATATGTTACATTGTGGAAAGAATTTGACAGAAAACATATGCCAAGATTTATAATCTAAAAATCTAAAAATTAAAGTTAGAAATCTGAACGATTTTCGCATCGGAGTACGGTGTCTCATCAGCCCGTCGAAGTCGGAACATATACCAACGGGGCACGGTGGGTACTCCCAAGACTTACATTGCGTGGAACTTCAACCTCATGGGATTCAATGGGGCTCGATGGGGCAAGTGGGATCGTTTTGAAACATTGGCGTATGTTAGACTTTAGAGAAGAGTCTTTCATTTCCAGTTATGGAATGATGTTGCAATGATATGGAATCCTGCAGACTACGGGGACATTGGTATGGTTCGTCTTCCAATCAAGACAGTATGGAGACCTGATATAGTTCTCTATAATGCTGTTGGAAATGAGAAGCACTGGGATGAGGGAGAACATAGGACTGCTATAATATACAATGATGGGACAGTGCTATATATTCCTCATACCACACTCACAACACAATGTGCATTCAACCACAGACTGTACCCTTATGATAAACAAACGTGTTATATGAAGTTTGGATCATGGACCCATGATGGTTTTCAGGTACTTTTTGATTTTGCCATCTTAAAAGAGCTTTGTCTTTACTCGTTGAATAAGAGATTCCATTGATGTAGCCAATCAGAATAGCTTGTTGGATTCCTATTCGGTTTTAAAAGCTTCACATGATTTACCCTTATTGGGCATTTCCTTCAACGTTCATCTGAGCTCTTGAACGATCCACAAATCTAAATTCTAAATTCTCTAACTTATTTAGAATCGTTAAACTACCAAGTCGTTTAGTCTTTTTAAGCACGTGACTATAGCAAGCAGGCAGTTTGATATTGTCTCGATGACAAATTCTATTCATTTTAAATGATTTTTCCAGTTAGATTTAGGATTCTACGAAGGAAAAAAGTCCATTGACTTGACAGACTACATAGCTGATAATGGCTGGGACATACTGGATGTAGGTGCGGTGAAAAATATAAAAAAATACCCATGTTGTATGGAGCCTTACCCTGACATCACCTTTAACCTGACAGTCCAAAGGAGAAGCTCATTCTTGACGGTTGTCTATATCTACCCGGCAGTCATTGTCGCATTCGTCTCTCCATTGATGTTCTTAATCCCACATCGTGTACCAGGCAAAATTTTGTTTGGTAAGTGTTCTTTGTTATCTTATACAGGTATCTTCGGTCTCGAAGAATGCATGTGCAAATGAGAAAATGTGGGTATAGCAATGAAACATTCACTCATGTCATGTTCTCTTGTAACCTTAGATCACAATATCTTAAAGATTTAGAGGATGCACTTACTCTTCTAAATTTTAATTACCCAGCATTTAAAAACCAGCAAGACAAATTATCATTTTTTTTGGTATGGAGACAGAAGTCAAAATAAGTTAATATTAAAACTTTAAGGCTCACCTCAGCTTTTATTCAAAGGTGTGCAAGCGTGTAAGAATTTCTTCCACCATCAATCTGTATAATTTTGTACACAATAATTATTTTGTTTATTGCAAATCCATTGTCATACTTTCTTTTTTAAATCTTGTTATTATTCAATTGTGGTTTATAATGCTCCATTGCAAAGCCGCAACATGTGTATGTAATAATTCTATTTTAATATGAAATAAATCACATATAAAAAATGAGAAAATCAATTAAGAATGTAAATGAATGAAGGTGTCATTTTATTTGGTCTGAATCATTCGCCATGGCTGTACATTAATAATACATGATCATCAGTCCAGTAGCTAAATCTCTACCAATGAGATGCATACTCAAGAATAGGAATTTTTGTAAAAAATGAAAAAAGTCGAGATTAGCAAAGTAGGTTTTAGCAAAAGTAGAACTGGAAATATTGAGATCAAAAATCGATCGAAACTGGTTCCAAGTTTGATACTTGGCCAAAACATGATCAAAAAGTACTTCATATGTCATATGACACTTGATCACTTCTAGGGTTGGTGGTTCTGCTCATAGAAGTGATTCAGATGATGATGTTAAACACAGCTTTACCTGGACACAGAGTCTACACACCTATCATAGGTAAGTAGTCTTTACTAAACATCCAAACATCTTCAAATAGAATATGTCATTCCATAGTGACCCTACAATGATTGGTAAATGATGAGATTTTTGTTCGCTCACGGAAATTGATATCTCATATTATCTGGACTATATATAAAAAAGTCTACAGTCTATATTATCTATACATAGATTTCCATTTTTAATCTATTGTACAAATCATTTTGACAAAGCAGCAAAATATGTATATTTCCATATTTTCAACTCTTACACAGATTTTTTTCTTCATTCTTTATTTCCACCAACACTTGTGAATATAAAATAGTACAAACATTATAATCAAATTAGGTTATTCTTTACTCCTATTAATCCTCATCATTTTACTTAACTTCACAGAATGCTCAAAACATTTGACAATAAACCTTTGATTTTCAACATATTTGGTTGTTAATGAAGTGATTGTCTTATTCTATTTCCAGTGTGGGTTTACCTGTACAGTATGGCCATCACAACCGTCTCATTGTTTCTTACAATTGGCACAACTATTCTGAGTTCGAATGGCTTTTTTGGAAGACCCGTACCATACTTCTTGAAAAAGGTAGCTAATGTTTTTATTGAAGATATAATACTGTATAGCCCGATAAACTCTTTCACACTGGTCCACAGCAGGATTCTTACAGGAGTTAGTATCATCCAAGATGGTGGACAAAGTTCACACAATTTGAAACAATATACTATCACGGGGGATAAGCAAAACGAGGGCGAAGCCACGGACTGCGACTCGCGTAATTCAAAACGAGGTTACAACGCATTATAGCTGAACAATGGCGGTAAGTCCAAACTTAATTTGGAAGGCATGTTAGGATTTGGGGTAGATTATTGGTTTGGATATTCTACAGAATAGCTAGTATGTTCCAGTCGGTGATCAACATATTCATACTCCATCTGCAATGGCATTCTTGGTGCTCGGCTGTCCAATAGTTTAGCATGAACACAAATGAATTCGAAATCTGCCACAAAAAATGTAATTTTGTCAATATTTGTCCCTAATATACCGATTTAAACAAAGGAATCAGAAATGACATCGAATTAATATAATTATTCATGTTCTGTTGTTACAATTACATCTTCGTGTGATATTTGGTAAGCGGAAAACGTACAATTACATAGGAAATTGGAATTTATAATAGTCGCAGTCCATCCATCTGCCCAACGCAGTCCGCGACTCAGTGTTGCTTTATATCTGAAGCTGAACGCAATCACAGCCAAAGGTAGATAGCACAATGTGTGTGCAGGTGTGGCCGAAATGGAGCAACTTTGGACAAAATTGAATATAAAGGGCTATTTTAATAGACCTACATCGTGTCTCAATCCATTCTGCAAATATATACACACTGTCAAATACAGCTGAAATCATGAATTTATGGTAGCTAGCAATATTGATGGACTGTTGGAAAGATCATCCAAAATTACATTAACTCACCAACTCTCCAATTATTTGATATTTTCCTGATATCTTAAATACTAGTTAATGTACCCTTCCCCAACAGCTTTTATTGCATCATCAAAAAGTTAATTGTTTCGCATTTCTACTTCTTATAAAAAGTCTCACCACTATCCAATTATCTATATATTTAACCCTATCCACAAATTGGTTTGTAATAAACATATTACGTTGTCATCTTGCGCTCGACTGTTCTGCCAAATACGCTATTGAATTGCCATATTTCTAGGTCTTAAACGATACAATATAGCAATTTGGGGCATTGATTCAGGTAATAGATATATGTTAATCAACGTAACTTTGAATGATAATCTGGATGCTGACTTTCTTTTCCTGAAACAATAATAGCGTAGGAATATAGTTTACACTATCTTATTTATTTCGTGTTCGCGGCTGGACTGCGTTACTTAGAATATCAATGGAGGCTGTGTTGCGTTGTTGAAATAGCTTTGTTTACTGGACTGCGTCCACTATGAATGCGCAGTTTGAATCTAATTTTCTCCTCATGAACACATTCTATTATCAAATCATTTTCACGAATTATACTCGGAGCCTCAACTAACCTTTAGATATCAGAAACGTGTTAAAACTCCTTTCAAATTTATAGTAAATTAAATAATATGCACATATTTTACAGGTAAAATCAGAACTTTGCTACTGTTTTAGCTTGATCTGGACAACTGCTTATTTTCTTATCTACAGACCAACAGTAGATACAGAGTAATATCTTGGTCACCGATTAGACACTACGATAGCATTTAAAATACATGGATTTCTCTATTTTGTCGGAAGAAGCAGAAGGCACTGCCGGCTGTCCCTCCATTTTGGCGCTGGGCTGCGGTGTAAAGTTACGCGAGTCGCAGTCCGTGGCTTCGCCCTCGTTTTGCTTATCCCCCGTGACTATGTTCAAGAATTATTCAAGAATAGTTCAGGAACAGTTCAAGAACACAATTTGATCAAGAAAAATAAGATTAATTTAATTGATTTAACTTTTCAGTGTCTGCTAGACAATGCCTTTGGACGTCTATGTGGAGTATCAGAAGCATCAACTATCAATAATTTCCCAAACCCATTGCATTTGGTTCCTAAAGGAGATGACGAGATCAACGGAGCAGAAAACAGTACAGTAGTGACATCTTACAGTGATGATTGGACGGGCGTGGCTCTAATTCTGGATCGTTGTCTATTTGGCATTATGTTTGTGATATCTGTGGTTCTCACATTGGGGATGTTGAAACAGTACCAGTAGTGAGAACTCCAGTTCATTTGATGCTGGGCCAGAGGGAACCAGTCATTTTGCCTTGGGCAACGTTATATACAGCCTTTGTTAAATCGGTATTCAAAAGAGAGTGTAATCTGTATAAATATGTCAAAAAACGTCAACCCTGTATTTTCCTCATATCTGTTATTTTAAAGAATTACACCCTGTCATTGCACAAAATTTGTCCAATATTTCACTGCGCATGCGCAGAACCATTACTTCCGGTTTTCCAAAGCCTATGGGATTTATAATGGAGACATTTTTCGAACGCTTACTGTGCGAATGATATTGATTTGCCACCTTAGTCATCTCAGGTTTCTATAACTAGACATCAACCTTTACTGATTTAACATGTTTTAAGCAATGTACACATGCACACTTTTCGGCCAATTTGTTTTGAAAAAATCATGAGGAATTCATGCATGACTCCATTGAAATCCATTAGAAATGGCGTCAAAATGGTGAAATGAGGATATTCAACGGTCTGGTAGAGGTACTTAAAATCATATGGTATCTTAGTCATCTCAGGTTTCTGTAACTTTGAAGGTAGATCTGTTTGATTCTGTTGAGATTAGAATCCTCATACCTTTAACTTTTCGGCCAATTTCAAACAAAATATGATAACTTTTGGTGATATAACTGGTTCATTACATTGGAATGACGTCAAAATAAAATAAGACAATCTCAGTTTCTATGGCACTGACGTCATGACGTCAGATTTATCTTAAGATCTCAAATATGACGTCATGTTTAATCAATGAATGACATCTATCGGCTATTCGACCAATTCTGTGCAATGGTTATTTGGCAAAGTCCACCGTTCAATTTACTACCGTCCTACTGTATTTCGTATTTCATGACCAACAGACTGATAGTTGCAATGTTACAGCAATTTGAACAACATGCCCCAGGTGTGGCCAATATCGAGCTGTAGGCAAACCTGAATAACTTGTCAATGATTTGATTCCATTCCTCAGCAGGTACATGTATGTCCTGAAAGACACGGATGATCTCCCTTTTGAGGTCTGCAATTGTCCTGAGGTCATTGTTGTACACTCTATCTTTAGCATATCCCCACAGGTAGAGGTCAGGTATGGACATTTTGGACGGCGTGTGCAGGTTTGCCTACAGTACAATAGTGGCCACTGGAGCATGTTGTTTAAAGTGCTGTAACATTGTGACTATCAGCCTGATGATCATGAAATATAGTAGGCTGTGGTAGTAATTGAATGATGTACATATGTGCCAAAAAGGAGTAATTTCTTAAAATGACCAATATATGAAGAAAATAGCGACAGGGTTGCAGTTTTTTGATCACCCTGTATTATAATCAGACACTTTTATATACTACAGTGTATATGTATTCACTGGGATAGACTGAATAATTGTTTTATTCCAATGAACAAAAATGTGTATTATAAAATGATATATGGAGCAAAATCTCTGTATTATATTTTTTTATAAATCACTCTGTAAATACGTATTTGATTGTATTACCTAACATAGTTTCATAGTATTAAAACCATGAGATAAATATGTTACAAAAAAAATTCAATATATGATACATATACAAATGTATACTGGATTACATATAATTATTCCATAATAACATGTTTTCCCTGGGAAAATAACAGGGAATAAAAGTGTTATTTGAAAAATCCCGTATCAGATCCCGTATCAGCCAAAATCCCGTATCAGATCCCGTATTGGATCCCGTATCAGCAAAAATCCCGTATCAGATCCCGTATCAGAAATATTCCCGGTAATTTCTCTTGAGTTTTACGCTTTTCGTCTAGCACATCTCTACAGGAAGTAAAAAAATCGTTTGGAAAATTGAAATTATTGAAATTATTATCATCTAGTTTACGTCTATTACTGTGACAAAGGTCTATTACTGTGACAAATATGTCTAGGTATGCAACAGAGGATGTTGAAAAAATATTATGAAATAAATAGGTTATTGATGGTCGTGATGGAATATGGATTTATTCCTTGAGAAAATATGATATTGGCCTCAGAAAATATCATATTGACACTCGGGCTATCGCCCTCGGTCAATATGATATTTTCCTTGGCCAATATCATATTTTCCCTCGGAATAAAATCCATATTCCATCCCTCCCATTAAATAACCTCTATATATATACTGGATTGCAAAAAATGCCACCCACTAATTATCTAAGTACAACAAAATAAATATACACGGAATATGAATTCTTACATTCGAAAGTACGAACCATGCATGGTGCCAATTGCCAAAATCATATTCTACCAGCAGGAAATACAGTTTCTCCGACATCAGATTGCAAGATCTTAGATGCATGTATAAAGCTTTCACTAGCTTATAATTATATATCATGTGTTTTAAGAAAACTATGCATCTATTTGTAAACCTTGTAGTTAAGATAATAGACAGTCATCACATTCTGCCTTATACTTACAATAAAAGTGGGCACTGATTCCAATGAAGTCTCAAACTCAAATTCTAAATCAGTACACATGATTAACGAATCAGAAACAAACAATATCAATAATGCATATCTAAATAGTTCTATGTGTCTCAGCTATTATAATTTTTGATGTTGTTTATAAATCTGGATCGTCCCACAAACATGATAAGAGGAGGTAATAACCCATAATTCCAAGCAAATATGAACTCTCAGTTTTAAGGTTCATCTATTCATGAAGATAGGTTCATGTTTATATTTATGTTTCATGTTATTTCCCCCTCTTCACAATCATAATACAATGCAGACACAGCTGGGACATATCCAAAATCATTGTAATAACGTCAAGGGACTGTTTCAAAATATACTAACCATAGGCTATATCGCTCAGGTTAGTGGTACAATCAATGTGACGCATCATCGAGTACGCCACTACTGAAATAACCCCTTAAATAATGAACATAACAAACATGTTGAAAGGAAACGAACAAATACAAGCCAAATAAAATAAAATTATATGAAACAGTACACTATAGGCGATACTGCAACAACCTGTAAAACTCGTCTATTTAAAACGTACAAAACTGACTGAGGTGGTCTGAACTGTTTGAATCAGTTTAATTATGGTACTCTTCAAAAACTACAATTCATCATGGCTATTTGCAATCATTATATTGTTTCACCAGATAGGATCAGCTGAAAGTGGATTGGCAGCCGATGAACGAAGTAAGTTGTGACCATTTGAAGGAGATCTTTGAAGTTCCTAATATTTGATCACAAAACATCATTTCATGATTTGACAGCAAGCAATAAAATTCTTTCACGACCCGTGAAGTTCACATTTCACGTTTACGTGGCTGATTCATGATTTGACAACGAGCTATTAAATTTCTTGCAAAACCCGTGATATTTTCATTCTATGTAACAGATTGGACAGTGATTTGACATCAAGCAATAGCATTCTTGCACATCAGTGTCAATACCATCAAGCTTCGGACCTGTCCTCAGAACAGAACGTACTGTAGTGATTGAACGTGGGAACCGACGATGATCACGATAGAGGGACAAAAATATTGGAATTTTAATGTAATTTTTAACTTTACAACGTATTCTATTATGGGCACATTTGAATAACTCGCTTATATTACAAGCTCTTTCAAAAACCTTGTCATTACCTTGCATTGTTGGCCTAAATTATTTCACGATGTTTACTTGCAAACATGATACTATAAAAGGCATGCACTTTCAAAAAAACTTTAAATTGGCACATTTCCTTTACATTGCTGAACTAAGATTACTTTAGGATGTATAGTTGCCAACTTTTAAGGCACACATTTTCAAAAAGCTTCACTTCAGTCATTTCATTTTGCCACATTTTTTGTCCCTACACTTTGACATATATATTCTTGCAAGACCCCCGAGTCTAATTCCATATTTGCAGGATTGATTTATGATTTGAGACAGCAAGCAATACCATTCTTGCAAGAACTGGTGATCTTTCATTCCATGTTTACAGGGCTGATTCATGATTTGACTGGAAGCAAAAGGATACTTGCAAAACCCATGAATTTCTCATTCTATGTTTACAGGTTTGACTCATTATCTGACACCAAGCAATAAAATTCTTGCAAAACTCGTGAATTTCTCATTCTATGTATACAGGGCCAGGGCTGATTAATGATTTTACAGTATGCAATAACATTCTTGCAAGACCCCTGAAATTCTCATCCCACCTTTACAGGGCTGATTCATGATTTGACACCAGGCAATAGCATTCTTGCAAGACCCCTGAAATTCTCATTCCACGTTTACAGGGCCGATTCATGATTTGACACCAGGCAATATCATTCTTGCAAGACCCCTGAAATTCTCATTCCATGTTTACAGGGCCGATCCATGATTTGACACGAGGCCATAGCATTCTTGCAAGACCCCTGAAATTTGCATTCCACGTTTACAGGGCCGATTCATGATTTGACACCAGGGCATAGCAATCTCACAAGATCCCTGAAATTCTCATTCCACGTTTACAGGGCCGATTCATGATTTGACACCAGGCAATGCATTCTTGCAAGACCCCTGAAATTCTCATTCCACGTTTACAGGGCCGATCCATGATTTGACACCAGTCCATAGCATTCTTGCAAGACCCCTGAAATTCTCATCCCACGTTTACAGGGCCGATTCACGATTTGACACCAGGCCATAGCATTCTTGCAAGACCCCTGAAATTCTCATTCCACGTTTACAGGGCCGATCCATGATTTGACACCAGGCAATAGCAATCTTGCAAAACCCCTGAAATTCTCATTCCATGTTTACAGGGCTGATTAATGATTTGGTGAGAGGCAATGACATTTTATCAAGACCTGTGTGGAATGTCTCTGACACATTAACGGTGAAGATGGGATTGGCTCTCATAAAGATAATGGATTTTGTAAGCAATCGACTTTAAATGTATATATTATTTCAAGGAGACTTAAGTACCTTAAAAGCATTATTATGAAATTAAATCAGAATTTTTTGACTTAAATTGGAAAATAAGTTTCTCAAAGTCATGTCTGGCGTTTGCAGAACAGGTGTGAAAGAAATTATAGTCCCCCGGGGATTATGGTCCCCCTTTTTAAATGCCCTCATTGGCCCTGATTGTGTATAAGATAATAAGCGAAAGAGGTCACCATATAAATCAATCGAGAGTAGGACCATAATTTGATAGGACCTCCTACTCTTTTACACCGTACATATATGTCTACCTGAAGGGGCGAAGGGATGGACGGGGGGGGGGGTATACACTCCTTTTATCCAGAGCTCGCTAAGTTTGACTCCTGAAGTCCGCCTGATAGTAGAAAATGAGGTCAAAATTAGATTGGTAAAATAGAATTAGATCATCAAATGCTTAAATGAATACATTTGGTTTTCTATGGTTTGCCAATTCCAACTTGTTTGTTGAATGTCATACCTTAGTCGCTTTATATCATGTATTCTGATTACAGGATGAAGCTGCAAGCGTAATGCGATCAAATGTGTGGTTAAGATTTGTAAGTTAATAACTTTTTATTAATATTTTATTCACTACAATTAGTATGTTCATTAATGAATAAACATGTTTTATTGGAAAAGGGATTAGAAAGAAGAAAGCCAGGATTTAGTCTTTTCCTGAAACAGTTTAATAATGTCATTTTTTGTTTGGTTATGATTTGTTAAAAATCATAAGTTCATTTTTGTTAAAACTCGAACCACCTCTTAAGTGGTAATTAAAAGCAACCCGAGGCCGAAGAGTAAATATCCCATAGTTTAATCTAGAAATATTCTGATACAATTTTTTTAGTGTACAAATTCTATCCCCATGCTTAGACAGCCATGGCATGTCCTTTCTGCCAATTAAAAAACTGAAATCTTACGTTACTCTTACCAAAGGTTCTTCTTCAACATGCCAGTGGTTTTATAAGTAAATGAAAGAACGAGTAACCAACTCTGAACAGTTCCGACAATTTTACAGCTCAGTATATATATCCCTTACTGAAAGAGCGTAGACGTAGCTATCTTTTTAAGTCAAACAACTGCAAATGGTAGTTGCCAATTTACAGGTTCACTATAAATTAGAATAAATCCACAGAACAAGAAACGATCATCTAATGATACAGCAGAAATTCAACTAAATTAATAACAGTCAAAATTCTGGTTCTCGTACAGTGAATATGAAACATAGTCTGACTCTGAAAAACAGTAACTGTAAGATATCAGCTTAGCCGTAATCTTAAAAATTAAACACAGTATGGTGTCAGATCTACCCAATACATTATAGTCTGTATGTCAGCTGATTTGCTAAGTGAGCCAAACATACACCAATGGGACACGATGGGACGTCCACATAATCAACATGGGAACTCGTGGGATTCAATGGGACCTGATGGGAAACGTTGGATTTGTACCCATTGTTGTATGTTCTAGAGAAGATCTAGACTTTTTTTTATTTCCAGTTATGGCATGATTTTGCAATGATATGGAATCCTGCAGACTACGGGGACATTGGTATGGTTCGTGTTCCAATCAAGACAATATGGAGACCTGATATACTTCTCTATAATGGTGTTGGAATGGAGAAGCACTGGGATGAGGGAGAACATAGGACTGCTGTAATATACAATGATGGGACAGTGCGATACATTCATCATGCCACACTCACAACACAATGTGCATTCAACCACAGACTGTACCCTTATGATAATCAAACATGTTATATGAAGTTTGGATCATGGAACCATGATATATTCAAGGTACTTTTAGAATTTGGCATATTCAAAAAGAGCTTTGCCTTTAGTCTTTGAATAGGAGATAATCCATTGATGTAGCCTTTACCTAATCAGAATCATGCGAATTGTTTTTTAGGTTAATGATTCCCATTTCAAATTAAAAGCGTCGCATGATTTACAAATACAATGTAAATGTAGCCGTATTTGATGTTTCCTTCAGCGTGATTACTGGAAGGTTACATTCGGTACATTGGTCATTTTGAGCATTTCTTAAATATCCTTACTTTAGGAGAACCCCATCTTCGCACGCTCAAGTCTTCATTGCGACCAACGGATGCCGAGTGAACGAAGATGGGAAAACCCGTACCGTGACTATTGCAAACATGCAATTATGATATTTTCTTGATGATAGATTCAGTGCATTTTAAATGATTTTTCCAGTTAGATTTAGAATTCTATGAAGAGAGAAAGTCCATTGACTTGACGGACTACCAACCTGATATTGGCTGGAAACTACTAAATGTAGGTGCAGTGAAAAATATAAAAAAATACCCATGTTGTATGGAGCCTTACTCCGACATCACCTTTAACCTGACAGTCCAAAGGAGAAGCTCTTACTTGACGGTTGTCTATATCTACCCGGCAGTCATTGTCGCATTCGTCTCTCCATTGATGTTTTTGATCCCACATCGTGTGCCAGGCAAAATTTTGTTTGGTAAGTGTTCTGTGTTATCTTACACGTGTTCAGTCTCAAAGAATACATGCGCAAATAAAGTAACCAGTCCATGTGAATGAACGGAGGAGTCATCTTTAGTTGTTAAGTCATTTCCCATGGCTTTATATCAAACTGTTTTGATCATCAGTCCATAAATATAATCTGATATATATATAAATATCTGACAAGATTTTTTAAGAATAGGAATTCTTGCAAAATTTAAAAAAAATAGTCGAGAAATATTGGGATGTTTTCTAAAAGATTTGAAACTTTTAAGGAACCTCGATGGAAACTGACTCCAAATAGTTAATCAGCACATGTTCCAACAGTAATTCATATGTCAGCATTGCAATTGATTGTCTCACTTTCAGGGTTGGTGGTTCTGCTCATAGAAGTGATTCAGATGATGATGTTAAACACTACTTTACCTGGACACAGAGTAAATACACCTATTATAGGTAAGGAGATGTAGATATCTATTAAATATCAAAACATCTTCAAAAGAGTTACATAGTTAACAGTGATTTACGCATGATGTGTTTTTTAGCTTATTATATAGGATGTCTCAAAGATGTACCCAAAAGTATATCAACAGCAAAGATAAACCAATCAATATTTTCAGATATTATTTGCATGGTCATTCAGGAAAAGCGTGTAAATTTTCTCCCTGGGGAGAACACAAAATTTTAGTTCAGTCTTGCCTTTTTAATGTTTTACCCTTCTTCGATGCCTCAATTTTAGACAGAAATGTTTCACGTTTTATCTATCTTTTATATTTCAAGTGTTGGTTTACCTGTACAGTATGGCCATCACAACCGTCTCATTGTTTCTTACAATTGGCACAACTATTCTGAGTTCGAATGGCTTTTTTGGAAGACCTGTACCGGACTTCACCAGGAAGGTAAAATCTTGCGTTTTGTCTTTTGGTTATGCAAGGATGTACAAGATATAATATAGCCCAATGTGGCTTTATTGCTCCACAAATGCATACTAACACACGGGTGTTAAAACACGAATATATCATGAGCACATGCTTCGAGGATCCGCGTTGTTTGAACCTACCGCCGAGCACACTTATACATTAAGACCCGTTACACAGTCATGATACCGCCGAGCAAGCTCATTGCATCATCGGGTCTGCTTTACCCCCGTGTAACAGGAGCCAGTATCATCCACGATGGTAGACAAAATTCACACAATTTGAAAGATTTTAAACAGTTCAGGAACTGTGTTCAAAAACTATTCAAGAACACAATTAAGAAAAAGAAACTAAATTTGATTGATTGAATGTTTCAGTGTCTGCTCGACAATGCCATTGGACGTCTATGTGGGGTATCAGAGGCGTCAACCATTAATAGTTTCCAAAACCAAATGCATTTGGTTCCTAAAGGAGACGACGATATTGATGAAGCAGAAAATATGGCGAATGCAGTAGTAACACCGAACAGAAATGATTGGAAGAGCATGGCTCTAATACTGGATCGTTGTTTCTTTGTCATTATGTTTGTGATATCTGTGGTTCTCACACTGGGAATGTTAAAACGGTACCAGTATTGATCGTGTAAATACCAGAACTCCAGTTCATTTGATGTTGGGCCAGAGGGAGTCATTCGACTTTTTACCTCAGACAATATGAGCCTGAAATCACTAATCACTATTTATAACAATAAGACAGAATTTAATCTGGAGTACGATAATTGATATTTTAAAAATCTGTTGTTGTACTAGAGACTGCGACATACTCGTATATGTTGATTTCAGCATGGATATGCAATGTGTTATTTTCTGTTGACCAGACTTTAAGGTACTTGTTTGGAATATTGCTTATCTTTTTAAAAAATATCACTTTAATGATAGATTTTTAGACAATTAAGAAATATTTTATTTTTTCGGCAAATATAAACTCGGATTTCTTAACCTAAAATGTATCGATTGCGTTGATATTTTTGAGCATGTTATGTTTTAGCTACCAACTCTTGAAAGCGGGATGTTTGATATCTCTTAGTCACATAATTAAGTATGTTTTACTACTTAGGTGGGTCAAAAAGTTTTGCAGTTGATGCCATAACTTCAAGGAAAATAGGACTTTTACAATGAAACTTGGTACACATATGTGTTATACATTATATGTTAAAATTTGGGACCTCAATTTTGATTGGTTCTTGAGATATGGTTGCTATGGTAACCAGAGTGGTGGGTACCATGTTCAACCCGAAATTACGTTTTTCCAAATAGTTTTCTTGCTTGAATAAACTCTTTGTAAAGTGGCAATTAGCAGGTGTAAGTGTCTTTGGGTGGCTATTTTTCTTCAAATTCTTCAATTTTTCTAATTGTGTCTATGACATCACAATAGACAAGTGACACAATAAGTTCCTTTGTGATGTATACTGTCCAAAACCCAGTTGAAAAATTGAGATGGAAAAGTGAGGAAATTTTGAATTTTTTTTCCCAAATTTTCAAAATGGCAGATGTTTCCACACCAACCAAATTGATGAAATGGAAGCATAGAAATCTGATACAGTACATGGTTCAAAATGGCAAGACTTTGCAAGAGACTTATGAACTAGTTCAGGGAGCATTTGGAAATGATGCCAAAATGTATCCAGAAATTGCCTAGATGCTGCAAGACACGCTTCCTTTTGCTCCACTGTGCGGAACTTTGGAACCCACTTTGCTGCAACATACCGCTTTTTCAAGATTTTTGTGACAATTGTATGGCAGGACCCCTTAGATATATCCAGTAAATCACTTATTTCCTCTAATGAAATATGTCTGTCCTTATGAATTTGAAGAAAAATAGCCACCCAAAAACACTTTCGCCTGCTAATTGCCACTTTAAAAAGAGTTTATTCAAGCAAGAAAACTATTTGGAAAAACGTAATTTCGGGTTGAACATGGTACCCACCACTCTGTTTACCATAGCAACCATATCTCAAGAACCAATCAAAATTGAGGTCCCAAATTTTAAAATACAATGTATAAATGTATAACACATATGTGTACCAAGTTTCATTGTAAAAGTCCTATTTTCCTTGAAGTTATGGCATCAACTGCAAAACTTTTTGACCCACCTAAGTATATGTATACGGTTTGTCAAGTATTTGTATCCTCCAACACATCGGCTATATTAATATACTGTATTGATGCATTATTTGGTGAAAGCCAGAAGGTGCATTTTGATGACATATCTTCGATTGCAGACAATGGAGATATATGGTTGAGTGTAGGTATTACTGTCGTGAATTCAAGTTGTCTAGATTAGACTGTCCAATATTTTGTATCCTCCAGCACATGCTTAATAAAGTTTTACAAAAATTGATGCAATTTCCTTCAAAATTGAGCTAGAAGCTTCAAATAAAAAGCATTTTAAAGCTTCTTCTTTCCCATGGGTTTCTTTATATTGGTTATGGCGTTTTAAAAGTTTACATCCATGCACTGGGAACAGTATGAGCGTATTGGCAAGTGGGAAGTACTAAAACGTTCATGGACGACCAAATAAAACTAACAAAAACCCGATTTTGAATACAATCACAACGTTGGTTTTCGTTGTATTTCTGGTTGTACTTGACGAATATATTATAGGTTTGCGAAAAAGACCGACCACCGATCAGTCAGTATTTTCCATGGGTAGCCTCAAAACCCGGGCCTCAAAACAGGGAAAATGAGTAAAAGACCGACCAGATTTCTAGCCTCAGATTATTCATATATACATGTAGAGTGGTCAATAATTCCTCATATCATTGTCATTTTAAGTAATTACTCTCTGATATTTGACACGTTTGTAAAGCTCGTTTCACAAGAAAGAACTGGTGAATTTTTGAACACACGTTTCTCCAAATTTTACACATCGTCAATTTAATGGTAATTTTTTGAATGGTAACAATAAAGGGGGTATCTTAATTTTTATCTATTTTGGGGGTTATTGTTTTAATTTTCTGAAAACTTTTGTTAAATCAACCAAACTTTCCTTAACTTTAATATTGAGAGGTCTAAGAAAATGTTGTATATGCTATTTTGTTTTAACAAGGTTCGGCAAGATATTTCATTTCATTCTCAAGAATTGGTAGAAAGGAACAAAAAACAATTGCACTAAAAAACAAAAAATGTTCACAAAAACAGTTACATAAAATATTATATATAAATAATTTTCGCATTAAATTGTTGTCAAAATTACATAAAGGACCGTGTTTTTTACAGAATGTTTTCAATGATTGGTTTAAGAGAAAAACGTTGAATTCACCATATCATACCAATCCTGTCAAGATCATTTTACAAAACTCATTTCGAAAGCTTCAGTTCAAAAGTTTCAATTATCGGGAAAAACCGTTCAATGTATTTTACAAGAAAATAAACAATGTTTTGGAGGATGTGTCACAAACTCATTCATAATCATCGTTCACTTTTTAGTATTTGCACTTGATATCTTTTTCACTTCGCGAATTGATGTGCCTTGTCTTAATTCTCAGAAGAAGGATAATATATTAAGGTTTATCTATATGTTTGATTGAGTTAGTGTAAGACTAAATTTTTGATATTTCTAATTTGATATCCCGACTTATTTCCTGACTTACCCCTCAGAGCTGACCTTGACCTGCTACTTTGATTTATCTAATTGTTGAGACGGACTAGTCCAAAGACAGTGCTCTGGATTTTAACGTACAATCTTCAGAGAAACCTATACTGTTATAAAGTGAAATAAAACATGACGCACTTGTATAGATTTACATATACTACAGTACATTGGTAGTCTTTATTTTTAAATGTTACAATAATGACAATATACTATACCTAGCACTGGACACATACATATTTGGCAATGCGAAGTATTTCATACTCTAACTTTATATATATTCATGATGGTCTGAAGTTATAAATTATAGTGCTAATGTGTACAATATAATGATTATTTCTACATTCTGCTTATAAGCGTTAAATTGATACAGTACTATAATTGAGAATTTTTTTTAACTCCATTCATTAATAGCCTTATTGTTTTAGATATAGGACCAGAACAATATATCAATTTTGGATCTAAATGTAATTGAATAATTACATATTATCAGATTGGCCATCATATTTCTCCAAAACATAACTGACATTAAATCAAGAATTGATCAATGTCCACAATGAAATTGTTACAGGAACCTATACCAACACCTGACATCTATTGTGGCCGAACCTGGAAGAATAATAGCCATATCACAGAATATACCTTACCTTATACCTTATAAGCTTATTCTTCCAGGTTTGGCCACCAATAGATCTAGATGTCAGTTGGTGAAAATTGTCTCCTGTTATGTAATTAATTAATTACATTTGTAGACATATACTCTTATAAGGCATAGTAGACATAGTTAATTTATAAACCAATTTTTATAACCATAGACATACTGTCCTCATGGTAAGAGAACAATGGACTTCAGAATTTTGAACTTTACAAATGTCTCTGCATATAATTGACACAACAGGTTCCTAACTTTATTGGAAAATCATATTGTTGAGAAGATTGGAAATCAGCTATAATTGTTTCATTATTGTTAACGAGCACACCTTGTACAAGTGGCAAAAGTATGCCTCAGATATTGAGACTACAACTAGCAATTTATCATACAATGTGTTAAGTATCAAGAAAGGCTAATTGATACTTTGTCTTGCATCTAGTCTCTGGACCTTCCCCCTTTCAACTTAACCTCCAGTGTGTAAAGGATCAGTCGGTCAAGAGCTAGAAGCAAGATTTACACTCTTAATTTTGGGCACCTTGAACTTTCGAGCACAAGAAAAAATGCCTTAAAAATCATTAACACTGTAAACTTGTACATAATTTTTTTGATATCATATACATATATCACTTCCATTCATTCTTCATATTATTTAATAAATTTCTAATTTTCACCCACAAATTGCATTTATGTATTGATATGCATTTTCACAGGTATAATAATAATTACATTGTTAATGGGCCATATTTCGTAAGGGTTTGTACTAGATTGATAAAAGTAGCGTATATGATCATATTTTCCCAATAAATCTAATGGGGTTTATACAAAATCCCAAATCTCTAATATCTTATTCAAAAGCCCATTGTACTTTGTCTTTAGACCTCACATATTATACACATATTTTTTGAAAATTGTAAAACATGTATAATAAAGTGGAGGTCTAATGACTTCATGTACAATGTACATCATCTCCACAAATCATACTAATATATCACATTACCAGGAATATCTGGTCATATTTCATAAACAATGTACATTTGGAACATGAATATTTGTCTTTATCATATCATTGGAATCTTTCTAACTCTCATTGGCTGAGAACTGATCACATGATTCAAAAGTTGACTGGGTATTTACCTACATTTCAGTCTACAGCCTCATTTTCATCTGGATGTGAGTGGGAAAGATAACAATGAATAACAAAACAAATATTCCATTCTATTTTGATGAATACATTTTCATCTTTCCCTCAGTATATATCAAGCAGCCTGAAGGAATAGTATGTAATATTTAGCATTTATTTGCCCTGGGCTAAAAATGTTTTTTGAAAAACATTGCTTGATGACATACAATTTCCTTATAAAATAACACAAGGGGTAAATGATAAATTCACAATAATAATGTTAACTGAAATCAAGTATGAATTGTACAGTAACCAATTCCCATTATTTTCCACTTGTTAAATAAACTTGATTTATGAACTTGTGACAAAAAATTGCGTTTTCTGTGGTATATACCACTTATCTTATACCAAGATGTGAGTTTCAGATTTTAATTTCAAAGTTTCGCTTGAAAAACATCTTTGTAATATATTTCTGTAAAATGTTGATGGGGCCGTTGCCTCGTACCTACCAATGAATAGGTAGTCATAGAGAAAAATACATGACATATGGAATACTCTCAGAATGTCAAGTAGATATTGCTCAGAAATCAAACTGTGATGTTTTTCAGCATACAGTTGTTCCAATAAAGTAAGATTTCAGAAGATTTGAAATGTTAGTGTATTCGCAAATGTTTGATATTATCATTATTGATATAAATATTACAGTTTTTGCTTTGTTCATTTAACCGGCAAAAATATGAAATACAAGTAAAACTTCTGAAAATCTTTACTTTATATGGCTCACCCTGTGTGTTCTGTAGGCTTAAATACATTTGTAGAGGTATCACAATAAACACAGACTGCCTTCAAATGCTTAGTTGAGTCATATTTTGGTTGTGAAGTGTATGCATGCATAGAAAAGAAAAAGAGTGGTGACTTAAAGTCTTGCAATTAGTCTCTGCCCCCCCCCCTTAGTGGAAGTGAAATGTGTAGGGGGAGGAGTTGTTACAGGGGCTTAAAGGAAGACTAAATAATTTCATGTCATCAAAATGTGTGTGCTGTATTCACCATTATCAATTATTTATTCAAATGTGCTTTACAAAACTTTATTTTACTCAAGAGGTTTTGTAAAGCATATTTGATCTGAATATGTATTGCTACAAATGCTAGGCATTTGATTTTTTACCAGAACAGAGACAATCAAAATCCTAGCATCACACCCTGTAAAATGGATTATAAGATTGTCACTTGATATTGCAATATTATTATTATTAGCAATAGATTTATGTGACTAGCCTTAAGCCATTATGTAACAATTGTTACACTTTTGTAATTGCAATCATATATTAATGCCTTGTTTACTTAACCATACATGCATAAACAACAAAATATAACTTAAGTGTATCATTACTAGGCGTTTCTATACACCTCATGTCTTGCCTGTTTACTATTTCTCCATTTTGAAAACATCACCTCAATGGCGTGTTTATAGATTGGCATATATATGTATTGTATTCCCATTCATAGTGCCGTGACTCCTGTCATTCATAAATTACAAGCATCCATGCAGGCATCAACATAATATGATGCACATTTTACTCTCCTATAGGACACACCTGAGATGTGTTATTTTTTCATGAAATCCATTGCGGCAGCTGAGTTACTGAGGTAGCTCCCGAAACCGTCACGGCTTCCTCCGTGGTATGAAAATGACTCGAAATAAGGGAGTTCGTTGTCCTCAGAGATTGAGGAGAGGGTGTGCTTGTGCTGGTCGGGCGTTAGTGCAACAGGCTCACAGGCAAATTCAGAGGGAATGTATGCCGTATCTGCGGGCCCTGACACCTCAGGCTTCCATGGGGGCTTGATCTAAAACATACAAACAATGCAATGGAGTCATACAATCAATAAAGATTGTACCTAAGTTAATCAAATCAAAGCATACATACAACAAATCGAGTGAATTATGGCTAAAGTGGACTCTAATAAGGAAACAATTGGAAATAAAGAACAATACAAAACGTATGTTTATGAAATTTTGTTTTACCTTTTTGTCTAAGAGATCCTGCCAGTTAACAGAAGCAAAGAAAGGATGTCTTTTAATGTCCTCCACATCAGCCTCTCCACCCCCAAGCCTAAAATATAAACACAAATATAATATGAGGCATTAACATGCAAAATGTCACCACCTGCCATCTGTTACATGCCAAACACCTACTGCTGAACACCAACTGCCAAACACCAACGTCCACAAGAGTTGGAGACAATAACAATATCAATCTTGCATCAAGTTTCCAGAGTGCAGTGTTAGGACTAATTGTAAGACAATGCCCAAGGACCAGCTGATTATAATAGTGATTAAAGGAAAATAACAAAACTTGTCAATAATAACTTTTGACCAATTTCTTAACCCAAACACTGCAATGGGAGGGGGAGCAAAACAGGGGTTTGATGCAAGGCTAGGGGAATTTAAGTAATGACAATCTGAATCAAGTAATGACAATAAATCAGTGGAGAAATCAGTGGAGTATCCATGAGCCAGCTTTTGCCAAGTAAACAGAGGGGGCAGTTTCTTAAATGGGGGGAGGGGGGGAGGGTGTAGCCTTAGAGATATAATGCAATATTTCAAGATTGTTCTGGTTTCTACACAAAGTCTGCTCATCTTCTCTTCACATACCTTCGTTTAGGGTCCTTTATAAGCAGGCCTCCTAAAAGAGAACACGCCTCTGTGGATATAGTCCGGGGAAACCTGATGTCTTCCAAAAGAATTAATTCAAATAGAACTTCATGATCTCTGTTGTAAAAGGGCAGTCTACCACACATCATTTCATACATGACAACACCTGTACCCCACCAATCTACGGCCCTGCCATAATCATTATCTTCTAATACCTGAAAATACAGTCAAGTTTCAATTTAGGTTGAGCAATGGGGTTCATTTCATACGTGACAACACCTGTACCCCACCAATCTACGGCCCTGCCATAATCATTATCTTCTAATACCTGAAAATACAGTCAAGTTTCAATTTAGGTTTAGCAATGGGGTTCATTTCATACATGACAACACCTGTACCCCACCAATCTACGGCCCTGCCATAATCATTATCTTCTAATACCTGAAAATACAGTCAAGTTTCAATTTAGGTTGAGCAATGGGGTTCATTTCATACGTGACAACACCTGTACCCCACCAATCTACGGCCCTGCCATAATCATTACCTTCTAATACCTGAAAATACAATGAATACAGAGTTTCAATTTAGGTTGAGTAATGGGGTTCATTTCATTTTAACACACCTATCTACCTATCTATCTAAGAATTATTCCATTTGACTATTACATTTTGTTGAAAAAACATTGAATTCAATCGACAAATTATTTCAGGTAATTTGAACTTACCTCTGGGGCTAGATATTCAGGTGTCCCACAAAACGTTTTTGTACTGGCGCCAAAGAACATTTCCTCTTTACAGAGACCAAAGTCAGCTATCTTTATGTGGCCATCTTTGTCTAGTAGTAAGTTTTCTAACTGTAAAGACAATTGTTATTGTAGTGCATGCCATGATTCAAGCATTATAAAAAATACAAATATTCTCAATCAACCTCAGATATTTGCACAGAGGCCAATGCTATACCATGCGCTTCAGACATTGCTAGGCTACTTGTTTCTTGTGTTAAAAGATTCAGGGTGTTTGATTGAGCAGTTGGTAACTCATACAAAATGTTGTGCCGTGTGCTTGTATGACTGAGCACATAAGAAACACATGGCTCCTTGGAGGAGTGATTTCTGGGTTTGTCTTCTTGTGATATTCAGAGTGATTATGCCTACTTAGAATTATTGTATCTATGTAAATGTTGTCTTGTTATAAAGGAATATAATAGGAATAAAGGAACACAAACAGAGAGAAATCAAACATTTTCACTTATACAAAAGGTCAATTTTTCATATTCTTTCACAAAACAAGAATTACAATTTTTTTCATTCACAGTACACTCTAGGGTAGCCCTTAGACTTGCATTGATTTTGGGCATTTTCTGGCATTGCGGTTCAGACTGAATTTACTTTCTTTCACATGCTTGAGTGTGTATTCAAGTGACTTAGAATAGCAATTGTATTTTTATAATATATTTTTACATTGAGGGTTACCTTTAAGTCCCTATAGACAATGTCATTTTGATGTAAATATCCAAGAGCTGAAATTATTTCTGCTCCGTAAAATTTTGTGCGTTCTTCAGTAAAAACCCTCTCCCTTGATAAATGATAGAATAGTTCTCCTCCGTTGACATACTCCATAACAAAGCAAAGACGGTCAGCTGTTTGGAAGGAATACTTCAATTGCTGCAAACACAAACAAAAATATATGTCATCTCAAAATTCATGGTAAAGGCATATGTAAATAACCCATGGGTTTATTAACCTCAAAATACAAAATTACATTAATGGGTTTTTAGCAAAGTGATTCAAATGCATCGCCTGTTGAAAGAAAAGAACATGCCACCACCCTGCTGCAAATCTGACAAATCTGAAAAGACCATGCACTTTGCAAAAGGGAAAAAACTTTGAAAAATAACAGGTAAAATTAGGATTAAATAAAAATCCTGGGGAGATCACTGAAAATGCTTTCATTAGGTTTAGTTTGACTGCAATTTTCATTTGTATACCTTTTCAAATAGATGAATCGACTTAAATTTTATGTTGAACATTGAATGTTTAGCCGTCATAACTTACTGTTAAGAAGGGATGTTTAGTCGTCTGTAGTACTCTACTTTCAGTCAATGTATGTACTACTTCATCCTGAAAGTAAACAAAACAAGGGAATGTTTCTAATGTTCATATCTTAGTTTACATAGTTTTAAGAACATGTCACATAATCTTGATATGGTTGAAATTTCAAAGCCAAAACTCAGGAAAGTGGTTTCAATAGAAGAAAACATTTAGTAGTTCGTCTATCCTAGTCATTGATTCTCTTCTGCCATTTTGAAATGTAAGTTATCTGCTGCCAATGTATGATACTGAGCAGTGTAAATGCATATCATACCATGTGTGTTACATTACAAAGCATATACTGTGGAAAATGCAATATTGAGCACATAAATAATAAGACTTACCTTTGCTATAATAACTGTCTTCTTAAGAATTTTAATAGCAAAGAAAGCACTTGTGTCTTTTTCTCTACATAGGATCACTTTTCCAAAAGTCCCCTTTCCTAAAACCTTGATAAAGTCAAAATCTTCCAGCTTCTGAAAAAGTAAATGAATAATCTATTAATATAATGTATCTTTGATCGTAGAATATCATGAGTCTTGTAGTATGACAAAATAGGATAAAAAGAGTAAATTTCAAGAAATAGAGTAACATATGCGATTCCTAACTGAATTGAAATTCCACAAAAGTAGACAGCATAATATTGTACCTGATTTGACTCTTTGTGGTTTGCTTTACTGACGAATAATTCATGATTTCCAAATAAATACAAAACTGTGACAACTGAGTGGTTAGGTTCTTATTTGATATTCGAACATGACTGTATTTGCGCTTTCTATAAACTGTGAACGAAGTCAACATTTCACCTGGGGCATATTCGCGAGCAATACCCCTGGTAAAGCGAGTAATGTGTGACGTTATAACAGACCATAATGAATATTCAAAACATTTTGGGGAGTTTTCCTGTTTGAATCGTAATATAGACATCAGAGCAGGTGTGTTGAATACACCCCTTAGGGCTAGGCATAAAAGCTTTCGAACAGAAAGAAAACGTTTGTGCCTAGCCCTGCGGGATGTATTCGATTATATTACTCCTGCTCTGATGTCTATATTTCTGAAATCAACCATAGGATTATACCATATTCATGGATTGCACCCAAAATTATAAAGGTACAGTATATGATGGCTGCAGTGATGACATACAGTGTGCTATACTTATTAACAAAGACAGTACATAGTATGATGGGAAGAGCTCCCTCCAACCGCTGGAAATTTTGAAAATATTCACCCAGCAACTTAAAATTCCACTCCCAGACAAAGTGAAATACAGGAGTGAAAATTGGCATATTTTGACAAAGACTTCGGTCAGAATTGTGAATTTTCATCCACTTGCTTGAGGAAAAAGTCCTGAAAACACAACAATCTTACCACTTTTTTCTTCTTTGCCTTTTTCTCTGCCATATCATCATCAGTGTTCATGTCTTCTCCCAGTGTCGCTGAAATAGACTGTATTGCTTGGATCCAGGACTCCCTACAAAAATACACATAAGAGGAGGTAAAGAGTATTAATTCAAATATATGGGGTTTATCTGGTCACTTAATGCTTTATAAATGATAAACATATTAACTTTTTTGTAATACATGAAACAAGGCAATAACATGACAAGTTGTCATCAGCTGATTGCAATTGTGAAAGTATTCAATTGTTACAAATGCCCAACACTAGTCACAAAACCAGCTGTTATAACTAGTACATTATGGTAGAAACTAGGACACTTCTCTGCAGTACTATATTGAACCTCTGCAGTAATAATACATTGTGTTACATACTAAATCCTCTCTGCAGTACTAGAAAATAAGTGTACTTACTTAACTCTGCAGTACTAGAAAATTAGGGTACATACTAAAATATTTTGGTACATACCTCTGTGCAGTATTAGTACATACCAGTACATTATGGTACAAACTAATATATTATGGTACATACCTCTCTGCAGGACTAGTACATACTATTTTGCATTACTGGTATATTATGTCCAATTCAATATGATATATACCTCTCTGTAGTACTGGTACATTGAATTGCATACCTATCTATAGTACAGGTGCATATGGTGCAAACTGTCTGTAGTAATATATAGTACATTATGGTACAAACTGTCTGTAGTAATATAGAGTATGTTATGGTACATCTAATGTATTATCATGGTACATACCTCTCTGAAGTACTGGTACATTGAATTGCATACCTATCTATAGTACAGGTGCATATGGTACAAACTGTCTGTAGTAATATATAGTACATTATGGTACATACTATCTGTAGTAATATAGAGTACGTTATGGTACATCTAATGTATTATCATGGTACATACCTCTCTGAAGTACTGGTACATTGAATCGCATACCTATCTATAGTACAGGTGCATATGGTACAAACTGTCTGTAGTAATATATAGTATATTATGGTACATACTATCTGTAGTAATATAGAGTATGTTATGGTACATCTAATGTATTATCATGGTACATACCTCTCTGCAGCTGTCTCCACACAGAACATGCGCTCAACAATAGTGGTCCATTGCAGCCCACGTATAATGAATGTATTTACTCTGGGTCTCTCTTGCTTCATAATTTGGCAATCTGAAAACATCACATCTATGTTATCTCAGCTATCCAGTTTTAAACTGATTATTTACTGAAATTCTCTTCTGTATACATAGTACATCTAATGAATGAATATTCTGTTTTAAGATATATTTCATGCCTGTGCTAAAGCTCAAGCAATATATCTGGTACAGTATTTGACAGATCTAATTAAATAAACAAGGCAAATATGATATCAAATATGATACCACTTTGACTGAAATTTTAAATTTTAATGACCTATATCAAGATTATTTCTAGTCACATTTTGAAGAAAATTAAATTTTCAAAGTTGATCAAAACTTTTTAAAACCACATTTCTAGATGTAATTTTCAAAATTACTTCTACTCGCATCTAGTCTATTAAAGAATAAGCACATATTGTACCTTTAACTGTGAAATCATTGAGAGGATCATGAGTTAGGCCCTCAGCTGGTTTGGACTTGAATCCAAGGAATGAACCATCCTCCTTTAAGATAAAGTAACGCTGCCTCCAGTTCTTAATATGTTCACCTAAAAACAGAAGATTATTCTTTACAAAGCAATGATAAATCATACACCCGCTAGGGTGTCTTTATGTAAATATGTTTATTTGATTTTAATAAATAAAAATAAAATTGAGTAGCAGGTCAAAATGCTCAATGTTTAAAGGGATATTTATTTCATAACTTCTGGAAATGAATAATTCCCTGGAAAATGTTTATTCATTTTTAGTCTTTTACATAAATTAGGATAATTTACTTTTCCAGTCTGTATTAAGTTAGTGTATCTCAGTTCTTCATCGGATAGATTTATAGCTATTTCTATATGAAACTCATGTGTTGATTTTCAATAATGTTATTTCAACTAAAAAATGTGTCAATCTGTGAATTGTGGTTTTGGTCAAAACAACATGGATATTAACCTATTGCCTATGACAACCATGGATAACGATGACGTACTATCACACTATATCAATTACAGTAACAAATAATATTTTGATATCTCCAAAACAAGATTAGTGATGGGCATATGAGTAATATATTTACAGATGCTGGGGAGTAATGAAACAATAAATAGTGAGAAATCTTATACATTTTTTCATTGGATTGTTTGGACAAGATTTCAGGTTGAAAAATTTAAAATGGCTGCCTTGAAAACCTGGCATGTCCAAAATCCAATTTACTTAAGTTTAGCAATTTTTAAGAAATTATTTTGATAGCACCCAATGGTGTGATCAAAATAACATCAACTCTATATTTTTGAGCTGATTTTGCAAGATCTTCATGGTTTAATAGTTTACCACCATATTCTATTGCTTGCTTTTAATGCTTTAATTTATGGGTTCTTAGTCCTTACCTCGTTTGTAGAGGAAACCCTCCTTAACGATCTTATCCCCTTTACTCATGACACCTATAGGCAGGTGACTGTACTATACTAGCTGTTGAACAGCATATATAAAAGATCTGAAAAACAAGAAAACAAATATTACCAAAAAATATCAAATGAAGCATTAATTTCAGCAATAGTGTGTTTAGTTCAGGGTTAAATCATCCCTTACATGGTTGAAACTTTGTAACATTCCATAAAACACATAGAATTGCCCTTGTTTACCACATGTTGAAATAGCCATACAAACAAGGCATTAACATGCGAAATGTCACCACCTGCCATTTGTTACAGATGCTGACTGCTGATCACCAAACAAAAAAGTTAAAACACCTGTCTCTAGTGGACACTTCCTCCACACATACTCTACTGACTTCTGTATAAATTACCCTCTCTGTAGTGAACACCTAACAACAGTGAACATTTTTGCTCAACAAAAAATGTTCAATATACAGAGGTTTTACTGTTTAACAATATGTTACCACTTGTGGCAGTGACATAATAATCTTTGCCTGAGACAAACAATGCAAGTCACTGAAAAGGATTTAATAATTAATTTTAATAATTTTGGTTTCACTTCTATATTTTTTACATATGCTGTGTGATTCTAATGTGAACATAATAAACTCTACTTCCAAGAATCACAATGCATTCAAAACAGTTTCATTTATTCCAATAATTTCGCAGTTTAATAGCACATCCTAATAATTGCAATTTCTACACTAGGACTATTCAACTGAAACAAAAGTATTTCAAAGAGATTTACATTAATATGAAAATTCTGAACTCATCAGTAAAATGAAAGTAAAACAGATATAGTAAAAAAATAACCCCAAAAAATGACAGTAATAATACTAAATACAAAAATAACACAACTCTGTATCTATGCAATAGAAGGTGCCATGTCACGACCTCAAAATAATAATAATGATATTATTGAATAAAAAAACCACAAATCTGTTTACCAAACAAGTAATACACTGCGATACCATCAACTTACTCTGACCTGATATCAATCTATAATGATGATCTGTGTCATTTTGATTTTCTGAGTTAATGTTGAAGTTTATTCTTACCTAATCCGCAGTCTAGTTATAAATTATCCTCTGCCTAATAAAGACTATATTACAATTTAGTAGCCCCGCCCCCATGACCATTTCTCAGCCAATCAGTTAACTGGAAGGAACACAAGCTAAATATGTGCTCACTAATTATGCGATGAGAGAATGCTTTAATTCTTCTTCAAAATTATGTTTAGAATACTAGTAATTTACATGTATATCCCATTTCTCTGATTTTTTTGTAACAAAATTATTTCATACAACTACTCTTCACAGTGACATAGCTTTTTACAATACAGGACACCTGGAATTATTTGTAAAGCTAGGGAAAAGGCCAAAGATGGCGACCATTTTGAAAATAGGCGAGCTTTTGAACCAGGAGTCATAGGGCCAAGTTTTCTGTATTGATGTTGAACAAAAATTACTTAAAACAGGAATCCTATTGACAGAGGTTTTAAAAAGGGCCAATTGTTGACAGATGGACAGACAGATGAACGGACAGACAGACAAAAAGACAGACAGACAGACAAGTGAGTGATTGCAATAGCTCACCATGTGAGCTAAAAAACACTTTCATAGATCTTTAAATCTCATCAGCATCAAAATTAATGAAACCTAATGAAAAGGTTAGACAACCCAAAAATCTGATGGTCCTTCCCTGAAGATAAATTTCTTGATTAGCTGATTGATTACTTATTTCATAGTATGCATAAATTCTTGTCTTGGCCTTAGAAGCCTTCTGATGTCCCTACTCCAAGAATAAAATGTACCTGTGCAAATAATAGTTCTCACTATATATGAAGAAAAAAACAATTTTTCCAAGAACAAAATCACAGATGGGTCAATGATAAGATTCTAAATTATAATATATACAAATCCCTTATATTATACTATAATATAATTTAAAGGATATATGTATAAACTGATTATTCAGAAAGATCTTTTAAACATGATTTATGGTAACAGACACTGGAAGTTTGCCACAACACTGTAAGAGGCAATAATAGATTCATGACCTTAAACATAATGATCAAACAAGTTGTTTTTCACATTTCTGGCTAAATCTTGAATTAAAACACTTTCCTTTGGAATCTCTATATAATTTAAAGTTTGTTCTTCACACCCATTCATTTTATATCTTGCTAATGTCTCCCTTTACAAAATAACTCCATGCTTCGTACCATGACAGACTTATATTTGACTTACAGGTTGTTGTACCTACTGGGGTCAAGCTAAGGTAAAGCCAAATTACATAACAACATATTATAATCCATATATTGTAAATATGTACTGTACTCTTAGAATGAATTATTTCAGGGGTTTCGCTAGAATTTCTCACAACAGGCTAAATAAATAAAAACAACTGGCAAAATTAATGGAAATCATAAATTTAACATAAAAAAAGTTGAAAAGTCCCTAAAAACAACAGTGGAAACAACCAGTGAAAATCGCCTTGTCTGATGCTAATGAAACCCCCCTCTTGTAATGATTATTTTACAGAATACTATTTCATAACACGGGGAAATTGAATAAACGAAAATTGAAATGAAAAAGATCAATTGTTCATGAAAATGCTTCATAATTTCATAAGAAACAGCTGTCATAATTTACTGAACCGTGAAATCCTGGCCAAAATAATTTTGAAGGATTATGATAAATCACAGGTGTTCTCTTCCAACTTCCAGGTCAAGAATGCTTGTACTTACTTTTAAACAAGACACAGAGTGATAAATATCACGCTTTTTAACCCAAAAAATCAAAATGGCCACCAATTGATTCACCCAGAATGCACAAAACCTCATCAGATATTGGTACTTGTTTGCTCTTGAGTCTGTAAAATTTTATGTTGAATATAATAATATTTTCCTGGTTTGATGATTTGTGTGGCGCATACCCACCTATGAACATAAGAAATATTTAATTTTTAAAAAGACAAGATCAGAATTACCAATAAAAATAAATAAAAATTTCAAAAGTTTTCATGGCAGTTATTCTGAAAGGGGACGTACCCATTTCAACCCCAAAAGAGAGCTTTATCTAGAAACAGTGCATATTTCTGCATCTTGAACCTTTAATTATTACATCAGATTATATCTCATATCTTTTTCTGATAGATGGCAAAGGACACACTGGGATTTTAAATAGATTTTAATCTAAACAACAAAAAAGGTTCAGGGTTAGCATAATGGAAAAATACAATTCATATTTCTACAATAATCTATTTGAGTTAAGTGGAGATTTTTTATTTGTATTTCATTCATCGAAAATATTTAACCATCAACATATTTAGTCCCTTATTTTGGTGAAACAAAAAATGTTTAATTAATCTCCTTTTTTGCAGATAATGAGATATTTCAAACAAACTCACAGAGAACAGAGATTAGAGTGTAGAGTGAAAGTATATTATAAATAAATGATGAAATTTATTCGACCGCCAATTCACCTATGATTATTAGTGATGGAAGTGATTACACAATATCTTATAGTTTTGCCAATTTACATTGAATCATACATGCCGCTTGTTCTGTCCTCAAATCAACCTATCAAGTATGATATAACCCTACTGCCCACATGTTCAATATCACCATGGTTACTAAAAATATGGTAAAGAGACGAAATAAATAGAATGAAATAAACATATTGAAATGTATATAAAAACCCAAGAATAGCTGATTTTTTATTCAGTAAATACATTTACATATAGTACATGTGCTTATTATATAAACATTAAGAGACAGGGGTTTCATTAGCAGCAGGCACCAGGGGATTTTCACCGGTTGTTTTCACAAAATCGCCTGTTATTTTTAAGGATTTTTCAACTTTTCAATGTTAAATTTATGATTTCCATTAATTTTGGCTGTTGTTTTCATTTATTTAGCCTGTTGTGAGAAATTCTCGTGAAACCCCTGAGAGAAAACAATTTGTGTAACCTGAATTTTTGTAATGAGTCTTTATCTCGCAACATTGGTCATCTTTACATCCCTACCTAAGCGTGCAATGTGTCACTTATGAGAAATACTAATAATCTCAAAGTGATCATTAAGATAATTACATCTCTCTGTCAACAGATTTTCTCGAAAATGATTTTATAATACCATCAAAACACGGAGTAAATATTACTTCAGTCAAGGACGTCAAAATAAAATTGTTTTTCACCTGGAGACACTTTAGACAAATACCTAATAAAGACTGATGCAGTAACAAACCAAAAGCACTTAAAGGACAACTGAAATAGCTTTTCTCAACTTGCAGCTACAAAAATGTGGTTCTCTCCATTGTAAGCCCAACGTAGAGTTCTTGCGATAGCCATTCTAAAATAAATGTTAGATAATAGCTAACAGTCATAGATAACGAAATAAAACTAACTGATCAATCAAATTGGCCCCCACGTCATTAGTAACGTCATACAAAATATAGCTTTGGTTTATTGGTTCCTTAGTAATCACAACGTCACGGCAACCATAGGATTGTTATGTAAACAAATAACAAAACATTTTGGCATTATGACGTCATGATCTAATGGACCAAAACGGGCCACGTGGGGACCAGTGAGAGATCACATGGGGGCCAATAACGTCACAACCAATTCGAATATTGCTTATTAAGCAGCTATAACAATCGTTAGACTGAAATAATTTTCATCATGTTCAAATACATTTATCAAAAAATTATATTGATTCCTTTAGGTTACAAATACCATTTCATATCTGCTTTAAGATGAAGCCTCTGTAGAAAAACGAGGTAATGAAGAATGTAATTGTGAATGCAACTATTTTGTCATAAAAACCATGGCCAGAATATATTCTCCTGAGCTTCATGCAGGCTAGCCCACTTTCAGACTGATAATTCTAATCATTGTAAATGATCAATGCTACAAATGAAGTACAAGTCACAGGCCCTTAGTAAGCTCTTGCTAAAGGGGGGGGGGGTGTGTCCAGTCAAGGGGGGTAAATTTGGCCCAAAATAACAGTGCTGAGAATGCTTAAAACCTGCATGATTTTTTAAGAGTTTTTGACTAAGGGGGGGGGGGGGGGGGAGTTCACTTGAACCCCTGAACCCCTTCCCTTAACTACAGGCACATTGAGGTGCATGATCATGAATGATATTTTCATTAGTAATAGGTCCCTCAAAAGCCAACCAAATTTTGATGGTAGGATGATAGTCACCGTCACTATTGATCTGAAGATTGACAATTCCATGGACGTCGAGTAAGTTTCTGGCGAAAGCTGGAGCATAGATTATAAAGAGGACTGGAAACAAGATGGCAGTCTATTTCAAATCTGCCAACTCGTGTTGGCCTATTTATCACTATTGACTCAGTTGTTCATCTAGTTTTACTTACCTTAGATGCTTAGTAATCTATTTAAAGTATAATATTGTTTCCAAAATTATTGTCATTTGCGATAATTAGTACTAAAAGTACTTTGAACAGGTCAGCTGCCATTTGCTTGGCTGAATCGTCCAGTCCACAAAAACAGTGAAATCATATTAAAAATACCAATAAAACTTTAAAATTGAGGCAGATGCGATACAAAGAGACTTTATTAATACAGATATACAGGATACAGTCACCAAGATGAGCTAATTTCAGGCGAGATTCGGGAAATAAAAAGCTAGGTCATTCTTGTTTCCAGTCCTCTTAAATAATCTATGCTCCGGCTTTCGCCAGAAACTTAATTGACGTCCGTGGATAAATGACTTGTTGGCTCTTATGTTTATGTACTGTCACACTTACAGGCCTGTCAACTTGGGAACACCTAACATGAGTGACTTGGAAATGTTGAACACCTCCCCTCAAAATGTGGACACCTTGGTCCAAATCTGAACACCTTGATCCAAATTTTGAACACCTTGGTTTAAAATTTATTACATCTTGCCAAATTTTGAACACCTCAAATTTTTCGCGCTCGCTACGCTCGCGTTTCAAACATCCATCAACGGGGGGGCATATACGTAATTCGCGTGAAAAGTCCAAACGAAATGCGTACGTTTTTTTTCGGCGTTCGTATTTTTGCTGTGTAGACGAACTTTTTTAGAAATTTTTCTACAGAAATCTTTTTGCTTGACAATTACCAGGTAAAATGCGTATTTGCGTGACATTTTCTGTCACGCAAAAATAACTTGCGTGACTTCAAATTCTTCAGCAAATGCGTGACAAATACGCAAATTGCGGGACAGTTGACAGGCCTGCACTTAGGCCATATGTGCTCACCATTCGCCACTACCATGTGAATGTGAATACCTTGGGCAGATGACGGGATGGGGGTAACAGCATGGATACACAACAAATTCTTATACAGCCAGAAATACCCCATCACACCAAATACAAAAATTAACCACACGGTGGGCCAAGCAAACGGCTTACAAACATATTTGATATTGGTCACTTTCAAACAAAAACTGTGATGTAGAATTTAGGGAAGCTCACAGAATCAGGGGGGGGGGAATTTCCCAAAGATCACCTTTCATATTGGCACGTTCGATAACCAATTTTATAAACAGGCCTCGTTTGCCATTGAAATGGATCTCTCAATGTTAGCTTGTGTTTTATGATTTGAAAGTTTGGATCGAGCAACTTCAATAGTATTACGGTTTAGATTTGAAATGATAATGTTGAACTGATGTTAACTGAAATAAACGCCATTTCAAATTTTACTTTGAGCATGCGCAGCACTGAGAAAGAATGTGCTCATAATTGTTCACGTGATCACACCCTGCAATTTGATTGGAGATCTAAAACAGGGAATCCCCGAATACGATAGAATACGAAAGAATTATGGGAGCTACTCACTTCTTCTGTCACAGAATTATATGATCTTCGAACAATTTGCTTGAAATCTAATTAAATTAAAATTCATTTTCAAGCTGTTATTGCAACACTCTGATGACAATAAAGTCACAATATTTGACATTGAAAGTCAGACTCTGAGTTCAGCATCAGAAAAATAATAGTTGACATAGCACAAGTTCGACACCATACTGTGGAGATCACTGACAAGTAATCGACTAAAAAGTGATATCTAAATAAACTTTAACGTTTCAATATCATGGATACTTTATGTTTTCAAGTAATAAAAGCCTACATACCTATATATCCCGAGAAAAACAACTTCCTAGTAAAAGTATTTTTGGCTTTCCTCAACTCTCGTTGATAGTCTCGCAGCGATTGAAGTGCGCATGCGCATTGCGCCATACGAAAATGGCAAGTCCTGTGAATTCTATCCAGGAATTTAACTCTGAAACTCTTGTTAGAGTAAGTAGATTGTTATTTAAACTGATCTTGCATACACCTGAATATATGTTCTAGATAGCCACTTAATTTTATGATGTTCCTTGCATGTGAAATTGAGTTATATTCATTTTTTCATCACTCTATTTTTTTGTTGACATTTTTTCATCTTTTTACTTTTTCCACCAAGGCCAAGAAGTCTGAAATGGTGTAATACAAGCCCAGTACAGGATTTGCTCTGTCTTCGTGTGACTGTTTATGATGTGCCACATCTCAATATTATGTGGTCATAGACATAGAGGAACATACGGATTCATTTACCAGAATCTTATCACCACGCTCTTATTTCACGGGAAGCTGTGTCAAGTGACTCCTTGGTCAACTCTCGTCCTTTTGTTCATAAAGCCTTCACTGGACATCTTCACATATCTTTTTCCAAGGAGCAGAACAAACTATAAACCCCGAAAATAGAGACAGTGATTTTCGCAGCATAAAACCAGCTGTGTGCTGCTACATGTATATAAAACTATAGAGAATTAAAGAGAGGGGAGGGACTTACTCCCTACGGGTGTTGTACCCTTGAAAGTGGAAAGATCACAGTAGGATTAGTCAGTTTGGCCCCAATTCCTTTCAGAAATAGTTTTCATATTGTGTGTGATTGTACAACTTATTTGTATCTCCATTACAACAGTTCCATCATTACAATGTATAGACAGGCTTCTACCATTCCAAATATTACTGGAAAACTGACCCAGGACCCCCCATCTTGAAGGAGTCGTGTGTTCTTTTTTTGTGCATGATTCACAGATATTCATGTACAAGCACACACCAACTTTTTATACATGGAGTTACATGAGTTTTTAACAAACAAATTAGTAGCGATCAAATTTTGGGTCACTGCATTATTGCCTTGGTGAACTGCTCTTCTACTGAACATATACCTGTTTTCTGCATGAAAAAATCAAAATCAGCAAAAAATTCTTGATAAAAAGGGAAATACTGCAAGTTGAAAATCACACTAGTATCTATGACTTAGCTATCAAGGTGCAGTTTACAATCTATATTCTGACTGAATATTCATTTAAATTCTATTTTATTTTCCAGGAATGGCTAGAATGTCTCTCTCATGGCACCCTACAGCAAGCATTAAAACGTCACTGGCGCGTGTTTGTTCCAAAAGTATATTTTCCATCAGTTGAACCAGACATGGGAAAGGAAGACAGACTCTCCAAAAGATTCCTCTTCCGTCCTATTGAAACATTTCTTTGCCAAGGGGATCCTAAAACTGTTTTTAAAGAACTGAAGGAGCAGAATACACCATCACAAATATGTGGTCATGTATTCAAAATGGGCGAGCCAACTTACTCTTGCCGGGATTGTGGTGCAGATCCAACTTGTGTTCTGTGTATCCAGTGTTTTCAGAAGAGTGTACATAAAGGTCATCGCTATAAGGTACATTCATGTTTTGGTTGTAAACTACAGTTAATGATGAGTTCATCTTTGGGATTGTATATTTACAAAATAATTTTTTGAATGAAAAGTATCATTTAGAGTATTTCATTTTGATCGAGGTGACACCTTTTCATCAATTATTTGAGACTAGACATAAGTAGGAATAATCTTGATTGCAAAAACCTATGTATATTGGTAGGTGTTCACTTCAGAGAGAGTAATATATACAGAAAACATTAGAGAATGTTCGGAGGAAAGGTGTCTACTAGAGACAGGTGTTCATTAGTGAGACAGGTTTTATTGTAATTCAATTGAATCCAATTTAGTGAAGTTCTTTTGTGAAGACTTTAAGTATAGTCTTTTAACCTGCTATTCTAGATGAGTACATCTGGGGGAGGGGGCTATTGCGATTGTGGTGATACAGAGGCTTGGAAGTCAGACCCATTCTGTGACACACATAGAGCAGTTGAGACACCAGAGGAGAGACAAGTGAGTGCCAAATATAAAGATTTTGTATTTACATTTTATAAAGGTTATGAGCAACATGAAGTTATTTCAGGCATTTTGAAGAAAAAAATCCCTTTGAATTTACCCGGAAATTTTGTCATGTGTATTAAGTTACTTCCGATTTAGTTTCTTTGCATAATACTTAGAAGAACTTGAAATTATATCAGCGTCCATCGAGGTTAAGATGCACAGTAAGAACTCCGAAAGAAAAAACTGTCAAATCAATCTCCAATGTCTGTAAATGAAACCAATTTGAATTTTTAGGACCCCATTGAATCTCTATCAGCTGACCTGAGAGAAAGAGCAACTGAACTGTTCAAATGTGTGCTGATGTATGCAGTTGAGATGGTAACATGGTCACACCCAGTGGATTTGCCAATAGGCCTAGAACAAGATGGATCTGATCGATCATTTGCCACTGTTCTCTTCAACGATGAAGTTCACACTTATGAACAGGTATAACCACAATTTACATATTTTGTAATTATCTCTTGTTTTAGTGAAAATTACCCACCAACTTTACACCAAATGATTTAGACAAACTCTGCATTCAGCTCAGATTATGTAATGTGCAATTCAAACCATTCTGTTTGACTATGCTATAGATTCAAACTCTATGTTTTAAATTATATAGGTGATTCAGACTCTCACCAGGGCCATTGACTGTGACCAAAAAGCAGCTGTAGACTTTGCTACTGTAGTAGATAGGGAGGTATGTAATATGTGGAAATGGTTTTTTTATAATGGGAACATAAGTCCAACCACTTATACACAAATTAGGAAAAGCTGTAAGTTTCTTGGTTCAGGCACATAACCACACAACCCATATATAAAAAATAAAGTGTACCAACTTTTGAGCTTGTAAAATCCTGATGAACTAATTGGATATATTCAATTAATATATTTAATTCATTAATCAATTATATACCACACGTCGGGGCAGAATGAAGTATAATTGGTGAATTGCATCTTCAAATTTGAAGCGTGAACGTACACGCGTAGGCCTGTCTTTCGAATTTGTTGTGGCAACGAGCCGTTATTAGCCTAAAATTCAATGCGGAACACTTCTTGTTACCAAAGGACGATTCTCGGTTTGGAGAACGAAGTTCATCAATCTAAATGAGCATTATCCCTGCTTCGGACAAATTTGATTTTTTTACATAACATAGATTTGAGTGACTTCTTTTGAATAGTCATAATTTAATTTGGGTAATATTTCTAGATTTTTCGCAAAAAAAATATTAGCGCAGCACACTGATGAACTTCTTTCCTCAAATCGAGACTTGTATTTTATTGAATCGGTCTAATTGAGCGTTATCCCTGCTTCAGACCAAGTTGTTATTTTTACATCTTGTAGATTTAAATGTCTTCTTTTGAATATTCATAATTTAATTTGGGTAATATTTCTATATTTTTCATGAAAAAAATTATTAGCCCAGGAGACTGTTCTCCAAACCGAGAATCGTCCTTTTCATTTCTTTATCAATCTTTTTGGAATTTGGAGCCTTAGTGATACACAATCATATGATTTCAGATTTTTTATTTTCAAATATTTACCGCTGTTAGACCTGATTTAAAATTGACATTTTTTGCGGTAAAATTATTGACAGTTGACGGCTCGAACTAATTCTTTAAAAACTTAAGAACTACATAAGGTAGGACAATGAAAATAAAGAGTTTGATGATAGGTATTACAACTGCTTCGAATCCAATATGGCATCAATGGTATAGGTGGCGCAAAATCAAAGTTTGCACTAAAATATGTCACAATCTGGCCCAGTGTGACCAGAAAAAACATTGTACTCTATATCTTAGAAAAAACATCAGTTAAAACTAAACGATTGACTCACACATTTTTCAGGGACGCAGTGCAGTAAAAGTGGACAAAGATTTCAATGTGTGCGAAAAGGTCAAGAATACAATTGAGGTTGGTGACACATTTAGATAATTTATTTCATTCAAGGCTATTACTTGATATAATATGGAAGTCTTGAATTATGTCTCTGAACCCCCCTTCCCCTATATACTTCTTTCCTCATGGAATGTTTGGGGGGCTCGAGGGTTTAGTAGACTAATGATATAGGTTGGGTTTGTACATTCAGAGTTATAATTTATGTTATGTTACTTAATTAGCAAGGTAACTTGAAATTATATTTCATGTTAGTTTTCTTATGTTACTTGTGTATTATTCCCTCAATATATATTTTCAACATTTTCATAATCATCTTTATTTATCAAATCTTTTCAACATCAGTATTTTAACATAGTTAAGATATTGAATCTGAAACATAATTCTAACATAATTATTGTCTTTCTGCTGATAGTTTAGTTTTTCATTGTATTGTAGAGAAATACATCTAGACATGGGGGTAAACCATTGAAGGTTGAGGTCATGAATCAGCTGTAGTGGCCCACCTCAAACTACTTATAATCTGTATTTTGATTGTAGAGAAATACATCTAGACATGGGGGTAAACCATTGAAGGTTGAGGTCATGAATTCAGCTGTAGTGGCCCACCTCAAACTACTTATAATCTGTATTTTGATTGTAGAGAAATACATCTAGACATGGGGGTAAACCATTGAAGGTTGAGGTCATGAATTCAGCTGTAGTGGCCCACCAGGCATTTGCTCTCAAACTGCTTACCTGGTTGCGGGATGATGTCATATCATACTCAGGTATATCAACAACTCACAATTTTTCTCCCTTGCTAAAGGATACAGTTCAAAGATTGTGCTCAAGAAATTTTTCATAATATCCACGCTATTTTTAAAAGTCAATAAATATATTGATTTGACATTAATATTTTTCAAGCATTATCCTACATGTGTATGTATCAGGCTTCTCAACTAAAAGATATTTATTTTCTTCAGATGGGCTGAGAAAAATCTTCTGTAATATCGCCATGGCAACTGCATCAGATGAAGACCAATCTCTGTTGGAAACAATGCTTCTGAATGACACTCAATTATGGAAGGCTGTCAGGCGTCAGAGTCACCAACTCTTCATGTCTGGGTTTGTATTAATTTTTTGGGGTATATTGTTCACACCTATAAGTCTTATTTTAGTGGATTAATGATCATGAGGGACATGTCTTTTTTTTGTGACATTTACATGTTGTAAATGTCACATGAACAAAGCTTTCAATTATAATTCAGAAAAGGGATAATTTTTCACAATTTTTCTTAATATATGGGCCACTTTTTTAGAGTTTGAGGAAGTTAATGTATGGAAATTGTTTTTCTGTCTTGATTGTGAACAACCAAGGCCTTTATCGAACAACTTAAAATCAACAATTGTCATGTGATGTGACGAGTGTCCACCCTGTGATGATGGTTTTACAGATAACCTTTAATAGGGTCCAATTGGAATGTCTATAATAACATTGCATCTGAGTGTTATGTCATTTTGACCTGCTTGTCTCAAGTCAATAGCATAGACACTGCATTGATGTTGCTCTATTCTAGCAGAATTAACATAATTGTTATTGTTATATAAGGCAATGGTTTGTAAACACAAAATGACAAATTGTTAAAGTAATGTTTTTAGATCATTATGTTTTCTGATTTCAGTGTAATGTTAGACCAAGATGTCAAAAAGAGATTTGCAATACTTTTTACAAAGGTAATGATACTTTCTTTTGGTTTTTTGAAAAGTATGGTTTCAAGCATAAAGTTATTCATTTGATCAATGTGACTGACTTTTTATCAAAGTTTAAATAGTTTTCACCAAAGTAGCATAACATTTTCTCTTATATCACGATTCAAAATATTTCCATAATGATTATTTTACTTTTATGTGTACTAAATTGATTACTTAAAAATGAAATAATTTATAACTCTAAAATAATACATTTTGTGAACATGGAGAGGAGAGACTTTACAGCCAACTACAGGCAACGTAAGTTTCTTTCATATTTCAAACGACCTTGTAGGGTCAGAGATGCATTATGGGAACACTGCAAGGTGCTTTATGTAAAATATTTTTTATTTTAGCCCTATTCATATCTGATGGGAGAGTTCATGCTAAACACACATTGAATATCATAGTGTGTAATGTGTATTGTATCAGATTGTGCAGTTGAATACTTTTCTCACATCAGTGTCTTCTGCTAAATCAGATGCATTATGGGAATGTTTGTGTTCTAGCATTATCCACATTTGATGGGAGACTTCATAAAGGATGACCATGATCACTCTGTGTGTATTGTATCAGAGACAGTTCAGATATATACTGTCCCAACTTTGGTGAGTCACAAACTGCCTTTATATTGTGTGCAACAGCATGCTCTTTTATGAGAGGGGGCAAAGAACCTCTAGCATAAGTAGATCATGGTACTAAAATGGCATAATAAAGTATTATATCAGAGAAACGGCAAATATACTCAATGCTTCTATAGAAAAACAAAACATTATTAGCAAACGTTCATATCTCAATTGTCATTTTAGTACACAGATCTACTGATGTTAAACTCCCATTTCTTGGTTTTTACTATAAAGAATGTTATATTTTGGTTCTATTTTGTAGCACTATAGACGTTTAGTTGCTGACTTTGTCTTAGATGACCACAGCCGATCCATTTGTGCCATCTCAATGTCAGTGCAAATATTCACAGTGCCTACATTGGTACGTTCCATTCCAACACGGGGAGTATCCAAGATTTGGGTCTCACACTACGGTTACAGCCAACGTACTGTGTGTTATGTCTGATTTGAAGAATTGGACAACTTCATTTTCAATTAAGTGTAGCACACAGTATTGCCCCTAACTGTAGCTATTATAGTGTGTATCCTTGATCATTTGGGTGTTATCTGTGGTTCTAGATTTGTCTTTTGCATTTAATTTTGGTAAATATCACAAATTCAATTTAAGGACATTTACAAGTTAACAGAAGATCTGTATATAATGGTGAAGATCTTTTTCCATTCGAATCTCAACCAATTTTTAGCTCCAATTATGAACCTGTAGAAGTCAAAACTGGAATGTTTATCCTAACAAAATTTCTGCAAATATTCAAAATTTATGGCAATTTGTAAAACTGTTACATAAGAGGAACGGATGTGGTCGTGTAAGATTCAGTTGTGGTAATAAAAAGCATTTATGAAATAATTTATATATTTGTCAAAATTACCTCAAAATGTTTTGTGAAATAATTGTGTTTTGTGTTATGTTTAAGAATTGTATCTCGTAAACTGTTTTATGGTTATGTCCCATAAGTTTTCTTCAATACTTTTATTGGTTCATTTAAAATGTAAAATCTCTCATATTTTAGGCTAGGATGCTGATTGCTGAACATGATCTTCTCTCAGTAATAATGGACACCTTTCTCCATGAGTGTGAGAGTAAGAAAAATGGTAAGGTCATAACCATATTTAATTATGTAAATAAGGACTATACTAGAAAATGCCTTATCTTTAATCATATACCACAAACTGTGATCTGATTCAGTGTTTTTTTTGTAAGGCCATTCAAAGTTAATAATATGTTTAATGCCATGTTGAGAGGCCAAATCTTAAACATATTTTTAAGTCTGAATGAATGTCAACAGTAATCCTGGGTACTAACCAAACATTAGTATTTTAGGCTCCAGGTTGAGCTGATCTTACTGGTGAGTTTGCCAGTACATATTCCCCCCTTGCCTGGGCTTTGATGGTGGCAGGCAAAATCATGGTATGATGAGGTCTGGTTAGTTTCCATGGTAATGTACATTTTTGTCTATTATGATTCATTTAAAGTTTGATATTTTTCAGCACATGGCAAGTTTGTGTTTGAAAGAAATGATCGTGGAGCAAGCAGTCAGGCTGTTAAGAGAGCTCAATACATGCTCTATGACTTCAAGTGAGTAAATAGTCCAATACATGCTCTATGACTTCAAGTGAGTAAATAGCCCAATACATGCTCTATGACTTCAAGTGAGTAAATAGCCCAATACATGCTCTATGACTTCAAGTGAGTGCTTAGATCAATACATGTTCTATGACTTCAAGTGAGTGAATAGCTCAATACATGCTCTATGACTTCAAGTGAGTGCTTAGCTCAATACATGCTCTATGACTACAAGTGAGTGAATAGCTCAATACATGCTCTATGACTTCAATTGAGTGAATAGCTCAATACATGCTCTATGACTTCAAGTGAATGAATAGCTCAATACATGCTCTATGACTTCACGTGAGTAAATAGCTCAATACATGCTCTATGACTTCAAGTGAGTGAATAGCTCAATACATGCTCTATGACTTCAATTGAGTGAATAGCTCAATACATGCTCTATGACTTCAAGTGAGTGCTTAGCTCAATACATGCTCTATGACTTCAATTGAGTGAATAGCTCAATACATGCTCTATGACTTCAAGTGAGTGCTTAGCTCAATACATGCTCTATGACTTCAAGTGAGTGCTTAGCTCAATACATGCTCTATGACTACAAGTGAGTGAATAGCTCAATACATGCTCTATGACTTCAATTGAGTGAATAGCTCAATACATGCTCTATGACTTCAAGTGAGTGCTTAGCTCAATACATGCTCTATGACTTCAATTGAGTGAATAGCTCAATACATGCTCTATGACTTCAAGTGAGTGCTTAGCTCAATACATGCTCTATGACTTCAAGTGAGTGCTTAGCTCAATACATGCTCTATGACTACAAGTGAGTGAATAGCTCAATACATGCTCTATGACTTCAAGTGAGTGAATAGCCCAATACACGTTAAAGAACACACATTTTCGTAAAGCTAGAGGTTCATATTTAATTGGTTGATCTATTCACTAATATCTTATAAGTGTCTATGAGCTTAAACAAAGAGAGAACAGGTCAAATTGTTAAATTTGATTCCCAGATTATTTTTCCCTCTCCCATTTAAAAACTGCATATTGCCCAATACACGTTAAAGAACACACATTTTCGTAAAGCTAGAGGTTCATATTTAATTGGTTGATCTATTCACTAATATCTTATAAGTGTCTATGAGCTTAAACAAAGAGAGAACAGGTCAAATTGTTTAATTTGATTCCCAGATTATTTTTCCCTCTCCCATTTAAAAACTGCATATTGCCCAATACACGTTAAAGAACACACATTTTCGTAAAGCTAGAGGTTCATATTTAATTGGTTGATCTATTCACTAATATCTTATAAGTGTCTATGAGCTTAAACAAAGAGAGAACAGGTCAAATTGTTAAATTTGATTCCCAGATTATTTTTCCCTCTCCCATTTAAAAACTGCATATTGCCCAATACACGTTAAAGAACACACATTTTCGTAAAGCTAGAGGTTCATATTTAATTGGTTGATCTATTCACTAATATCTTATTAGTGTCTATGAGCTTAAACAAAGAGAGAACAGGTCAAATTGTTTAATTTGATTCCCAGATTATTTTTCCCTCTCCCATTTAATAACTGCATATTGTGTTCTATTTCAGATATGCTCTGACATGTAAACCGCAGTCACCAGATGAATGGTCTGATAATCTACGCAAACATTTTCTAACTGGCTTTCAGAAACTTCTTCAGCTTTTGCAGTGCATACAGGTATGTACAGTATTGGAGAGTATCATGTATCTTGTACTTGTAGAGAGCTTATTCTAAGTTGTATAGGACACCCTGACCATTAACCCTCAGATCACACTGACCTTCTCATTTGTCACATTGACCCTCTCATTTGTCACATTGACATACTCATAGTTCACATCATGAGAACAAAAGTAGGTCAATATGATATATGTGAGGGTCAGTGTGATCTGAGTGTGAATGGTCAGGGTGTCCTATAGAATACTAATGTGACCTTTGAGAGGCCCAATGTGTCTAAGAGGGTCAAGGTAACCTTTAAGGACAAGAGATGTATGAGAGGGTCACTGTGATCTGAGGGTTAGTGGTTAGGATAACCTTTATGGACAATGTGACCTCTGAAGTGTGACCTTGGGAAGGTCAAGGTGACTTATGTTGTTTCTATTCTGCTCCAGGGTATGGACTCTGTGGTAAGACAGAAGGGTCAGCATATAGAATATGAGCCTGAATGGGATGGCGCATTCAACTTACAACTGAAGCTGGAAGACAACCTTGCCATGATGCTCCAATGGTGTGCGGCAGATGTGAGTTCATTTCAAAATTGCTCTGTATTTGAACCTAAATTGAAATTATACTTTTCGTTGTATTTTAAACTAATAAACCTAGATATCAACATTTTCATTTTCATGTTTATATATAATCTTCTCACAATTACTAGTTATTAATTGACTATATATACAGTCTGTACACTCATCTTCATATGCTTCCATTTAAGTATACCCTCAATGTAGTGAACACTGTTTTTTCGACCAAAGGTGGGTATTGTATATAAATGCAAAGGTTTTCATGATACTCTATAAAGAGTCTCCTGGTACAGTTATATCTTCTCCTATATTGTAAAAGCTGATGTTTAATTACAGCGTAAAGTGTTGTTGGATGCATACAATGCAGGGATAGAAATTCTACGTCAGTGTAATTCTGAGCATGACACAAAATGGGAAACAGTTTCAGGTAAACAATGAAAATGCCTTTGTTCAAACAAATATTAAAACACGCTGTATATACTTGCCATATACATTCTTATAGCATGAAACAAGCTCCGCCCCTCTTCATATCACTGAAAAACAATACAGGGCATTTTGAAACTTGAGATCATTTTCATTTTTTGCAATTTCTTAAGTTAGCCAAGTACCTCTGTGTCCAAGAGCCTCTACTTTTTTAACACAAGTACTCTTCCATTCAATTCCTGTAGAGAATAATGTAAAGACCTCTATTCAAGGGATTCTGTCATGGACTTTAAGCCCACAATTCTGTTTATTCAATGCTGTTTACTCTCATTCCATTTGACAGTCAATAAAAGATCACTATGATATTTCATTGATTGTTTTAATTTCAGTTGGAGCACATCAGGTGTCTTGCATAAAGTATGATGTTTCTAGTCAGCATGTCTCCATTCATCTGCCAGTCTCTAGAATGGTAGCAGGTATGTATTCTCTAATACACCCTTTCTAGCCCCCCCCCCTTCCCCAGTCCATCTATCTTCCAGTCTCTAGAATGCTATCTATGTCAAGGTGATATCCATAAACGTTATTAGGTTTATAGTCATTCACAAGTTACATTATAGTTTGGGATCTCCGAAACACATCATTGTACAAGTGATGAATTGTAGTAGTTAAATCAAAGGCTCAACATGCTTCCTAATTTGCTTGGTTGTTTCTTTATGAAGAAATGAATAGTGTTTAAAAATATATTATAAGTACTGATGTTGTTATTCCAGGTATATTTCCACTGTTCCACAGGTATGGGATACCACTCAGGGGGATTCAGCCACAGGTAAGATATTATAATCTTGGACTTCAATAATATTTTTGATGACCTTGACCTCCAAAGAGGAAATTGACCTTCACCTGCAAATGTGACACCTAATGTTACATTCAACATGTGCAATTAACTATATGCAGTTTTTACATGTTTGTCAATCCATGGTAACTCCTACTGATTTCAATAGTAAAATCACCAAATTATGACATTTTACATGACAAATACACAAAGTAGTGAAATTAAGTTGCAAGCAAAAAATTTTCAAATGTAAGTTTAACTTTGTATTTCAGACATGTTTAAGTGCAGTAGAGTTGATAGAACCAGTTGTAAGGTGTGCAGTAATGATCTCACAGACCCATGCTGGCATGTGGAGGAGAAATGGATACTCACTCCTAAATCAGGTAGGGGGTGGTTCAAATATCAGTGGGCCATTTTTCACATTTTATTCTCATGGTCATTTCATATGGGGGTTGGGTAAAAAGCCCACTTTCATTTGTGCTTTGTTTTCCGGGGAATCGTATTCCCATGTAGTACACACATAAATAGTGTACATTATGTAGTACTTGAATAGCCTGGTTTATATAATATTGAAGGGTACATGCATGAAGGCCCAATATTGATATTGCTTGCATACCTAAATAAAAATAAACTCTTCTAATCCCCTAATGTAAACACAGCGGTATATGTAGTCCGATTTATCGGAGACTAAGTAATTTCAATATCCATATGCTCTTTGCAAAATAAAAACACTTATATATTTTGTTGTGTTCATAAGATACCTAAAAATTTTTTATGTCATACTCAAAAGATAATAATCATGTTTTAACAATGGAATGTATTTTTATATGCCCATTAGTGCAGAATGTCATCTTGAGATGTAAGATCTACAATTGTACATGTTGTATTTTAGATCTATTTCTACCATAATGTGAGATGTAGAACAGAGATGTATGATAGAGACATTGTCATGCTACAGGTAAGAGACAATTAAGTAACATGTGCAATTAACCAAGTTCTCATATTCTTATGAATCCATTTTAACCACTAGGCATCCCATTATTGCTCGATTGCTCAAACAATTGGTCAAAATATGAGTGTACCAAAAATTAACCTGAATGTCGAAAATTTTCCATTTTTAATGAAAATTGTATACTTTATTGCTTGAGTATTGATTGTTTGCAAGCAAATCATTGGGAGCTGCATTAAAATAAAATAAAAAACTTACAATGTAGCATTGTTCTGCTTGTTCCAACTTTTGATTGATGGCATATGTTGACTGGTGATCTTAATAACAAGCGATGGAGCTATGTTAAAATGAAAATTCTAACTGGCAATTGTGCTGTGCTGACCAATGATTTCCCTTGCATTATGTAAATTCTTTGTGTTTCAGGCAGGGGCAGCTCTGATAGACAGCAATGAATTCCTGATTCACCTCATGAACAAGTTCGCTATTATACAATGGGCAAAGTAAGTCTTAATAACGCATCATACAATATTTTAGGTTTAAGTCCTAGTGTATAAATCTTTTCCACAGATATGCATACAAACTATTTAATCTTATTGGGACTCAACTTGTAGCATGGAAAACAATAATTCATTTTCAAAAGGAATGGAGACTGAGTCCCTCCCTCTGTACAGGGTGTCAAAAAACAACGGCACCCCCCTCTACAGCAAAAAGTCCTTAATGTTACATATCCTGTCATACCTCATCTGAAAGATAATTTAATTCTGGAGTTACTTATCAAATTTCATTTAATAAAACTTTATATTAAAAAGGCTACATTGTTTCAAAGTTTGCTACTTGAGTACTTTGTTTGCTGCTCTGTTAATGGTTAAAGGTCAAATCTTAAGAAAGTGGAATATGAAAGAACTAGCCAAGATTTCAACTGCACTGAACATATGGGCTCAGTTTTGAAAAACAGGGTATAGGAATTGATGGACAAAGAGCCTCTTGAAAAAAGATACAGTAAGGATGTAATTCTGAAGAATGTGAGAAAAGTACTTCGAGGATTATGCAATGCTACACCTTTATCTAAATTTTTATTGAAATCATATCCATCCAGATAAGCTGCTTTTCAAGCAGCAACTGGTAGCCATACCAAATACTAACAATCAGCTGTAAATCTGTAAAATTATAAGATATAACGCTGAAATTTCTCAGGTTACTCCAGAATTAAATTGTCTTTAAAATGGTATATGACACACATGTAACATTAAGTACTTTTTGCTGTAGAGGGGGGTGCCGTTGTTTTTTGACACCCTGTATATTAAACCTTGTTGAACATCAACCATACATTGTAATTCCACTGAATTCTTTCTTTTTCCGTAATAAACTGAATGAGAAAAATATGAGACATTGGTATTTCGCTTAATAGCTCTGAAGTTCATCTACATATGTTTTCAGGGAGGAGTATGATTTACCAAGACAAGGGGGTCAGCAGGAGGATCTGGTCAGGCAAACAGTCACTCTGGTTGAGGAGTTCCTCCATTTGCTCATTATCATTTTGTGTGAGTGTCGTCTGCTGTAGTTGATGCATTATGGGATATTTAAAGCAACTTTTGTTTTATTATTAACTTATTATTTTAAGGATTGTTTTATCAATATGTTGTATCAATTCTTTTACTTTGAGATGTATTAAACGTTTCTTGTTACTTGCTGATGCATTATGGGATGCATAAACACTCTCAGACAGAATTGATGCATTATGGGTTATCCAATATCCACACATTTCTCATATATCTAATGAACTGGGGTATAAAAAACATCTTGCCACATAAATGGTTATTCTGGGATCGGTGAGGGCTATTATGTAGTAGGAAATGTATTTATTTTCCATGGAACACTAAATTAGAACAAAGTAGAATCCTGCTTTTATCTGAAACTTATATCTCCCTGAAACCTAAATCTAAGTATGGGATAAATATTAAATATATGCTGCATTTCCTTGTTACAGGTGAGAGGTATACGCCAGGTATAGGAGAGGTTGGTGAAAGAGATTCTGTGAAGAGAGAAATTATTCACCAGCTCTGCATAGAATCCATGGCTCATAGTGAACTAGAGAAGAGTCTGCCTGATGATGTAAGTGCAACCACCCTAAGTAGGGGTACATAGAGTAACATCAATTAAATCTAGTATGTATCTAAATGCTTTACTTAACCATATGGGCCTAATACAGTATAAGGGTTCCTGAAGGGTATTCATGGCTTAAAGTCTTCAGGAATTTCAGGAGTTTAATACAAATCTCGATTTATTTCAAGGGGGAGTAGGGGGTCAAACGAAGCGAGGGTTTCAAAATTAAGGTCATATTTGTTCAAATTTTTCCTATGAAAATACTTTTCCTCCAACTTTGAAAGTATATGTAATGGGTCGGGTCTACAATACTCTAAAAAGCATTCAATCAATTTTCCAAAATTTCTTGGAGGGAGGACCCGCCAAAACCCACCACTCGCTTGGCCCGTGTCTTTTGCCATTCAATTTTCAGTTCAATTTGAAATTTGTTGCTTTTACTGTTTGAAGAGGATAATCTGGTTAAATGTGATTATCCAAAGGCAGTTTGGCTTCTGATATTTTATTAAGATGATTTGGCAATAAGAGAGGGTTTATTGTGGACTCTTGTCTTTTAGAATAGTCATTTAATATGGATACATTGTATTTGCAGACCAACCATGAGACTGGTATAGAGGAGGCTGTCCATGACGTGGCTAATTTCAAGTAAGAAATTCCCAAAGTTTTTTCTGAAATATTTATGAATGAAAATGATTTGACGGATAAATGAAGGGTACTTGCTGACAATGAAAATCTATGATATTCACATAACAATTAAATATGGTGGCTGCTGGGAAATCAGATATACGCTAGAAAAACCAATCCATGGGGTTTCTGGAGAATAGAAAATCCGTAATAAGAAATACAATATCCAACAGATATATAGAAATTAGTTTGCTATACATACATCTACGTTTTGAGTTTAACTCTTGATTTTTTCTGTATTTGTTTCTTCTATTGTTGTTTAATAGCAAGCCTACTAGCAGTGCAGGAAAGGGAGTATATGAACTAAAAGAGCAACGCTATGAGGAGTACAACCCTTACTTCTACCACTACTCCAGAGCAGAACAATCAAAGGTATTTCATTGTATATGCTATAAAAGGAGTAAAAACATTTTTTATTTTTGAATAGCTTGATGATTAGTTGCTCATATTTTTTGCTAACCAGCCTTTCCCCAGTTCGACTCAAAGCAGTGTTGTATATTGGAAATTCTTTTTGCAGTCTGAAGAAGCGCAGAGAAAACGTAAGAAGGCTGCCAATGGAGATCAGGCTCTTCCACCACCTGTCCCTCCTCCCTTTGTCCCGGGTCTTCAGCCTGCTATCAACATGTTACAGTGTAATGTCATGCTACACATCATCAGAGTAGTCTTACAAAGAACCACTGTACAGAGGTCCAGATCTTGGTCAGAACCTCAGCTTGAAAAGGTAAGGGTTTAATTCTCAATTGTATAAAAAGAATATGTTATACACACCTATCCAGCAAAATCATGCAGTTTTTCACATTTGAAAAATTCCAGGGGGTTCAAATTTGACAATATTTGGCTCAAAATCACTTGAATAAACTGCATGATTTTGAAAGAATATTTGGCCAGGGGGTTTCAAGCCTGCACTCACCTGGCAACTGGCTACAGGCCTGCAAGAGATACCAGCAAATCATACATGTAGTATTTGTATCATATTAGTCTCATATATATTAATTTACTGATTACGAGGAATTAGTTTTGAAAAAATAAAAGAGCTTGATGTCATTGAGAAAGTCTGAATCCTTGAAGAGATGAGAAATATAGTTTTATAAGGAAACTTTAGATGTCATGGTAGACACCACTTATATTAATGGAAATTTAGTTTGTTCTATTCTTTCAACTTTAAATCCTCATAGAACAAGCATTCTGAAACAAATCACAGCTTTCTGTTTACCAACAAGCTAGAAACAAAAAAACTAGAAAGAAACTTATATCCATTAATATTCATAATTTCTCTTTTGGAATTAAAAGGTGGTCCTGAAAAGGACCGTTTGGGTTGTCCTAGAAAGGACGTTTGGTCCTGAAAAGGACCGTTGGGTTTTCAGGCTTGTCACAGAATCTACTCTTGCATGTCTTCTTCATCGCCACTGATGATCTCATACTCTGAGTCATCATCGCCTTCGGGAATGCTGAAGTTGGGGATGGATTGTGCCTTGGCCTTGAGTTCTTCCACCTTGGCGGCCTGCATCGTTGCATACTCGTACATCATGCACTTCAGGCCTGTCATGGAGGACAGGTTTAGGCGGAGTGTGTAACGGAATGACTGCTTGCCATTCTTCACTGCACGCTCATAGCGGACTTGCAACTTGCGGACTTTGTCGTCGATCAACAGCAGTTGGTCACATGACTTGGTGAACTTTCTGTACTGAAGTTCAATCTCGTTCAGGATGAACTCATCAATGGAATCTCCATGTATCTTCTCTAGTTCTGTGAAGTTGTAGAATTTTGGTTGCTCTTGAGTCATCGCCATTGTTGTGTGTTGAGTTAAGACTGAGATGTTTGCTGTGTGATCGCTTTGTGAATAATGATCTCTCTGTGAAATATCTTTGTATTTATAGCAATTATTCCATGACATCTGTCAGGATGTCCAGTGTCAACACTTATCAATATTGACCTGGCATTTTCCTGCCACATTTTGCCGAAAAAATATTATTTTGAAATGACAGGAATTAAGACAAAGATGATAAGAAATGCCAACTTTAATCTCTTTAAACATCCTTCAAATTACTTAATTGCTAAGCCATTTAACATTCATAAGGGCATAGCTGTGAGTATTTACATTAATTCTAATTGGCTTATGAAAGGATGTTTTAAATGAAAGGCAATTAGTAATTATGACATTTGATTTGATTGCAACTTCTGATTCAGTGATATTTACCTGGAAGTAAAATATCATAGTGGTTATTCTTAATTTAGAAATGATAAATTGAATTTTTATAGACAATAATTTGAAAAGATTTTTTGGGGTTTGTTTGAAAATTGCCACCTTAATTGTAAAGAGACGCAAGAAAATCTTTCAGATTATTGATTGTGGTGAAATAAGCATTAGCAGCATGTTATTTTATACACAAGGCAGAACATATCCTCATGGCAGATTTCACTTCAATAATCATCTAATTATACAGTAGTTGTATTTTAAAATCGGTCAGGGAACAGCCAGGGGTCATTTGTTATTAGAATTCAAAAGAAAATATTGTGATATAATCTTGAAAATTAAGTTTATACAAAATGCATCTTGTTTAGTAGTACAGAATATTCCCATGGAAAAAATCCAACTAATTCTTTTTTTGGGCCAGCCCATGAATGATTCTTTCTTTCTTTGTGTGTAGTTGTAGGAGGGAGAATATTACACTTGAGGTGTATGTGTTAACCACCGAGAAAGTAAATATCTTATCTTTCATAATGACTGACCTAATTAGTATTCAAATGATCTAATTAATGGAGAACCTGAATTAATCTCAATGCTTATTGTCATAATCAAATTAAGAGATGTTATTAAAATAATTATTTTTTATCTGAATCATTTTTTCAATTTTAAAATGGATAAGCAATAAACTGGCATGAGAAAAAAATGCCATTCAGAAGTATATATTTAGCAACAAATTAGTAGAATTAGTCAATTTCAAATTATTGTTTTTTAGTTTAATGGTTTTTAAAGATAGAAAATAAGATCCTTGTTTTCCACTGTTTGATAACTAATTTTCTTTCATTGCCTGACTGACATTTAGCAGTTTTAACCAGGCTGTTTTCTAGTATTTCCTGGTATTTGATACTGGTTGTAACCAATGAAATTTTCTATCATCAATTGACTTAAAAATCAGTAACAAACTGTTACTTTTATATTTTAAATTTGTAGTAGGTGGTGACATTTTGTCATCTCAATACATTATTTTGATCATTTGATTGGCTTGCATTACTTAAATGGCTTCCATGTGCCTTCCTACTTTCATGGCTTATTTGTTTATTCTTTTTTGATGGCTTATATATGTAAAACGTATTTCTACTATTCCAGGTGTTATTCCTAGTAGGCTTGGCCTTACATGAAGAGAATAGAGCCTTTGAGAGGAAAGATGAATCATTCAGCTTTACTGAGAAAGCCTTACAAGGTATACAGTTTAAAGTTTGAAGTAAAAATTCTTTGTTTATTGTGCTTAAATAAGGAAAGAATACAATACAATATATAGGAGTGTTACCAGCTTTCAGACTAGGGATGGTGCGATCAGCAAAAAAATTTGGTTTTCGGTCAGGGGATGCGATTGTGGCATAAGCTACGCCTATGATATAATAAGTGATGATTTGTAATATGTGTGGAAATCTGAACATTTCTCAACTGGATCCTGTTCAATGGTTAAAGAACTGAAGCTTTTTCTCAGTTTTCAAATTATTTCTGCAATCATATTGCAGTCCTGCAAAATAAAAATAGTTGAACATTATCATTTAAACATGAAAAAGATACACAGATGTCAAACAATGTATGAAGACTCATTTCTGTGGATCAATTTGCTAGTCTATGACTGATTCTACATGATTTCTATACACATTCTATTTCTTCAAGGAGAGCCTAGTATCCTGCAGCTGTTGGAGAGCCTAGTGAGCCACAGTAATGTAGAACATGAAGCACAAAAGGACCTACTGGCATGGGTTTTAAAGGTATAGTCATGATGGCCACTTTAACCCAAGATATAAGTCTAAAACATAGGATGTTATGGTTTATGACACCTCTTGTTATAAGGTACAAGAATTAATGAAAATGTGAAATGGGGTATCATATATTCACTCAAGACACAATCTATGAATCTAATATGTTATTTTAGATCATGTACTTCATTAATTGTCGCATATGATTCAAATTGTTAAAAAAGGTTATTTTAGCCAGTCTGGATATGTGACCATGCAATTGTGTTCCAATTTCTAATGGCCCTGTTCAATGCATTTACATTTAATGCATACATGTTTCAATGCACCTATGTTTCATTGCATATATATTCATTGCATATGATGTTATAATGCACCCATGTTTCATTGCACATTTGTTTCAGTGCCTCTATGTTTCAATGCATATGATGTTATAATGCACCCATGTTTCATTGCACATGTGTTTTAATGCATACATGTTTCAATGCATATGTATTCAATGCATATGATGTTATAATGCACCCATGTTTCATTGCACATGTGTTTTAATGCATACATGTTTCAATGCATATGTATTTAATCCATACATGTTTCAATGCACCTATGTTTCATTACACATGTGTTTTAATGCATACATGTTTCAATGCACCCATGTTTCATTGCACATGTGTTTTAATGCATACATGTTTCAATGCGCTATGTTTCATTACAGAAATTCCATGATGTGCAAAGCCTAAGGACGAAAGCAAAGGCTGGACCTGTGATAGCATCTACATCAAACTCTGATGACCGAATGGAAAAGGAACGCAAAAGGAAGGCGCAACTTGCAGCCAAAAAACGTGCAAAAATAATGGCACAAATGTCAAAAATGCAGAAAAACTTTATAAAGGATAATGCTGAGTTATTTGAGGGAGCCGAGAGTGATTTGAGGCGTGTGGGGTCTGATATGGACATAAGGTATGTCTACAGTCTAAACAAGTAAACTTAAGATACGGTTAGGGAATTATTTTTGTTCCAGTGGCAATCCATCCTCTTAAGATCAGATTTACCAATCAAATAGATCAAAAACTTTTGACACAGATAACATTTCTTATAGTTTTTGAAAGAATTTAATTTTAGATTGAAGTATATGAAAAGGAAAACAATAAAAACGATTTTCGAATTAAATAGAAAAAGGGGAGGTGCTAGTAGAAATAATCTTGATTTTCATGATTAAATACTTAAAAACAAGTCAAGGGTTATCATATTTGTTCTAGTGAGGCCCCCAAGGAGTTCCCAGTAGCCCTAGGACGTAAGAAGTGCCCTTTAGTAGTGACGGGAAACAATCGTGTGACATGTATTTTGTGCCAGGAAGAGCAGGATGTGACGGCAACAGATAAATCAATGGTCCTTACTGCATTTATACAACAGTAAGTTAATTTATTTGATATACAAGTGTAGTACAGTGTATAGTCATTTCGCCCACTTTTGTCCATTTTGGAAAAAAGAGATTTACTATGTATACTAGTCTTCATATGTTACAATAGAATGACTTGCCAATCTCACAATTGTATTGTTCTTGAACCCATGGCCTGCTCTCAGAAATATTGTGGGGAATCTTTGAAGCCAGTATCCTGGAATTTTCATAGTTCAGTGAGTGGATTAATTTATCAACAGTTGTTACATTAGAAGAATATAGCAATCTATTATTGGAATGCAAAAAAGATGGCGGTTAAGTGTATGATTAGAGTGCATGGCTTGAAGTTGTCAGAAGGATGTTACTTTCCTTTACATATATTGTTCCAAGTTTATACATACATACATTTTTAATGCACTCTTTTGGTGCTATATTGTGATCAATTTGCCAGGTGGGTGGAGATCCAACTAAATTTTTTCTTCGCATTTCCAGGCAAACCATTTGACCGATTGATTTCAAATTTTAAGGGATGATTCTTTGTATGAAAATCTTAAATTGATTAGTTTTTGGGCATTCTGGGTAAATATTAAAGTGGCCATATTGAATTTTCCTACCAATAATCCTGTCTTGTCTATGTGTATCCAAGTGAACTGTTTGAAGGATTGATTTCTAATTTTCAGGGATGATTCTTTATATGAAAATCTACAATTGTTTCATTTTTAAATATTCTTTGTAAATGTTAGTCAATGTTGTACATCCTGTGTTTTGTTTTTACTTGCAGGTCAACTGTATTATCTAAATCAAGGGGTAAAGTAGTTCAAAATCCAGAGACGTATGATCCATTATTTATGTCATCAGATGTCTTCTGGGGGACTCACATTGGTAGCTGTGGTCACACTATGCATGCAGACTGCTGGCAGAGGTATACTTTTCCGTTACACTTCCTATCCTTTTTATAAATAGTTCATCCCGAACACTCAGTTATCAATTGCTCAACTTGTGTGGATTCGCAGTTGTTCATTGTCATTTTTTCATTCTAAATTTTAATATATCCACATATTTGTAAAAATCCTTGGTAAATTATAGTTTTTGTGAAGTTTATTTTTGGTAACTTGAAAGAATATGATTCGGTAGAAATGTGATACTTTGGTAAATTGTAATCCATGAAATGTTTGGCAGAACTCAAGAGTTTAGAATTTCATTGTTCAGAAACTGCCGAGAATTAACAGAGCAATCTATTTTTATTTCCAGAACTATCACATAATATACACACACATGTCATTGTTAACTTAAAAACATGAGTGACAATTATTATAAACTTTTTCCAGGTATTTTGATTCCATAGTTGCAAAAGTACGACGGCGGCCGTTACGATACAGACAACATATGACATTTGATATAAGGAAGCAGGAGTTCCTGTGCCCTCTTTGTGAAACATTAAGCAATATTGTGGTACCTCTGGTGCCACCTTTAGGACAATTAGCAAACAAAACAGTGTAAGTTGAATTTTTATTTTGAACTTTACTATGTCAAAGGAAACACGGAACTTGCAAATGCAAGTTTTTTCAAATAGAGGTTGCTTTATTCAATTTCTGTATTAAATTTTTGCCAATTTCAATTCCCATTCATTCAGTTCAATCAGTGGTAATACCTTCAATACTCTCTAGCAAATGGTGCTTGAGCATTTCTTTTTTGCCAAAAGAAACCCATATATGTACATCTCATTTAAGATTCACCTAAATGAATATATGAAAAAAATAAATATTTAGTTGGATATCTCATACATCCATTTGGTTTAATCATGTGAGGTACTTTTTATTGCACTTGAAAAAGTGCTATATTATTTAATTCTCAAGATTGAGGATTGAAACAATTCATGTTAATCTAAATGGGAAATAGGTATATATTGAGTAGAAGTGTAACACCGACCCTAAGTCGACCCAAATCTCAGGTCATTGGGCTTTGGTCGGGTCACCAATAACTACTGATCAATTTTGTGTCGGGTCAGAACATTCAAGAATATCGTGAATTATTGTAAAATACTTTATAACTATTGTAAAATACTTTCCCAGGAATATAGAAATGGACCTTAAGGTTATATAGGAGTTGTGAGGAGGTCCCCCACCTATGATAAAAGGACGTTGTTTTTTATTCAAATTCATTTGAGCTAGTCCTATATAAACCCATAATGTGAAGCAGATAAATAAAATTGTTAGAGCACCCATAAATTATTTGAACTTGTATTTGGGAAAAATAATGGACTGATTTTGGGTCAAACAAAGTCAAATTAACTAACAAACATTTTGAATACATATTTGATAATAATATCATATTTTGAGTTGTATAAAGGAGAAATTAAATATTTAATGAGGTTAGGTTGGTATGTGCATTTATATGTTTTTTGATATTGACAGCTAATGACCAGGTATCCATTCATCACATCATTCAATATTTATATAAAAAAAAATGTTTCTTTATTTGATCATTATTGATTTTTTGAAAAATGAGGGTTAATTGCACATGGACTTAAATGTGTTGAAACATAAGATTAATGGGTCTTATAAAACCTCGGTTGTTAATAAATAAATTGTTTAATCTAATGATATATTGTACATTTTAAAGATGTTTTGATCATTTGAATTTAATCTATGGTATTTGCACATAAAACATACACATCAGTATATTGTTGCCATTTTGAAAGTCAGTTAGTGGTTTAATCTGACATTGAAGTATCTTCAATCTTCGGAATTTGTTGGTTCTGTCACATGACTCCGACACCATTTCATAAATAAAAATACATATAATGAATTTTGTTTGATGGTTGGGTGAGATTACGCTAACTAACATGCGATTAAATTCGTTTTCAAAGTGACTTATATTGTTAATATTGGAGTGATACCTTATGCATTCAAATTTTATTCAAATGCATCATTTAGTACTTCATCATATAATTTTCTAGACAGTAGCCAGAAACTGTTGACAAAATGCATTAACAGCCTGAACCCTTGCTATGATTTGATTAATTATAGCATTAACAATGTGACTGATCAAGAAAATAAACCTTAAACTTTATCTTTTCCTGTGATAAATATATTTATGTAAAGTCAGATTTATGAGTTTGTAAATAGTATTTTTATCGTAAACATAATTTATCATAAATATTGTATTGATTTATTAAACAAGTCACGACTTTACACTCTCATTTGATGTTTCAAATTGGTTAAAAGTTGATTAAAGGAGAATAATGGCAAGTGTTTCCAATGTAATCAAACATGCAATACATGGAGTTAAAAGTCATTAAAACAATTAAAATAAATCCTGGTCTAAGAATTTGCCACAGGGCCTCTAGTAGTCTCCTTAATGAAAACAAAAAATCTTTATCTAAACAGAAGTTATTTGATAACCAAAAAGTCAGTTGTTTTTGAAAAAATGGAATATTATTGAACATTATAGAACGCAAGAAGCTCCACTTGCATTGTGGGATATGTCTTTTTTGGAAATGTTTTTCTGATCAAGCTGTTCTTCATATCATATGATCTACGATTGATAGGGAACCTTCTAAAAGAATTTTAGTCAAATCAAGCATCATTTACCTCACCGCATCAAGCCATCTTTGTTATACAGGTTCAGCAGGTAGTCAAAATGTATATTTTATAAAAATATCTATCTCAGGTTTTAATGGGCATATTTAAATAAAATGAAAAATTTGAATGAAAATTGTTTTTTTGAAAGAAGCAGTGATTGAAAACCATATTGCTGGACTAATGAGTACAAGCTGCACTTAAGACATACAGGTGTGTTAATGGAGAGTTCATCGAGGAGACATGCATGCCATTCATGAAATTCATAAAAAGAAACCCACCAGAGTTCCATGGAAAGTGAAAACTTAAAAAAAGAAAAAATAATTCACATATTCAGCGATATAATAAATCCTTTGTTGGTTTTACCTGAGTAAATTAAATAGTTTCAGATTAGAATAGATTTATAGTGAATTATATGATCGAGGTATGTAAACAAAAACACATTTTTTAATGTATGGATACTGTTGCTACACAATTTATCCTCATGGTATGAAATATATTTTGCATATGCACACCCCCACATGTATATTATAAGAAACAAAGCACCTTAGCGTATGCATACGTTTATATGCTTCAGTGATCAGCAGTGATTGTTATTTTAACAATTTAGATTTATTGCGGGAAATTTAAATTGTATCTTTGAGCAACTGATATGTAACTAGTATTAATAGATTTGATAATAGGAAACATGACATTAATAAGTTTGTGTCAACCAAGGTGCCAGTAGGTAGTTGCTAGTTTCATCACCAGGTGGCTTATTTGGTCAGATTACTCGTACATGACAAACCATGGCAGATTTAGTCCTTAACTTGAATTTTCAATAGATTTAGAGGGTCAATATTAGAGTGTCATACAATTGGAAATATGTTCAGTAAACAGAAAATATTATCTGTCACAACAGAGGATATTTCACTTTTCAAGATCTTATAGCTTTATGGGAATCAACCCATCTACAAGTTCCATTTTTGTTTCTTCATACAATTCTGTTACCATAGCAATCAATTATGAAACATAGACATTTGCAATTTTAGTTATGCAGTTAAAAACTCAAGAAGAAATAGTCAGCATGACTTGGAACCCATAAACAGGCTTTATCATGCATAAAAACATCATCAAACATGAGTTTCGTCTATCTCACACTGTTGACTCTCATGGCAATTTGCCCCCTATCTATAATAACGTTTTGTTACGGATTCATCATTGAACTTCAATCTGTACTTTCAGGCAACATGTGGATCTATCAATTGAAGACTGGTTGGATGCAATTCAGAAAACAGTACGGGAGAGTATTAAAGAGGACAAAGATAAAGAAACTGAAGGTAATATAAGCTATTTCAATCTTCTATAAGACATACCAATGATTTTTATGTTGATCTCATGAAATTTCAAATAACAGTGTTTTAGAGAACATTTTTAAAAATGGTTCACCGATTGTTTGCAAAATAATGTCATAAACCATTACATGATATAGACATTTTAAAGCTATAGAATGCGCACTGAAACTTGACAATGTTTACACATACATTGACCAGATTAAGTTGGTTGATCTATATCATATCAAATGATCTAGATCATATCACTTGAGATGATACAGCTTGATCTAACTCAAATTGCTTGATCAAGATCATAGCACTTGATCTATGTCTTATAAGTATAGATCATATCACTTGTAGTGGATCATATATCTAAATCAAATTGTTTGATCAAGATCATAGCACTTTATTTATGACATCAGTAGAGATCTGATCATACTTATATTAAATAGTGATTAAAATATTGTCAAGTGGGATGTGGTTAAGATAGCCATTTTAAGACTAATTTTGCCCATTAAATCATGTGTAAGGATTAAATGATGAGGAGATTATAAGAATATAATAAAATTAATGACCATATAATTGACGATTATCTTACAATAAATGTTCTCTGTTATTGTGTGCCCAGAACATTATTTTGTGTTCCAAGCCATTTATTTTCATTTTTGCATAAAAAGTTCATCTAGGTTGACCTTGCATATCGAGCAATGATAACAGCATGTAAACACGATACTTTGGAATAGCATTTTCCACATTAAATATGTTTATTAATTAGTACACCCTGCAAAATAGATATGGATCAGAATGAATGCATGGTCTACATAGATTTTAATGAGATTTGCTGGATGTTAAGATTTTTTGGGGGGTGTTATTATGTTTTGGCACATAGATTTTAATTAGATTCGCTGGTTGGTAACATTTTTGGGGGAAGTAATTATGTTTTGGGATGAGGGATGGGATTAGGAACAATTTTTAGAAAAGCATGACAAAGGATGTGTCCGGGAATATGCCCTTTTGGTCCCTCAGTCAAATGTATGTGAAATATGGTTTTTATTACTGTCCTAGTCATATTTGATAAGTACATTTACTTTTTCACAAGTTTTGATGCATAATTCACCCCCTGTTGAGAGTCAGAATAAGTTAGTTAGTTAGTAAAATATTTATTAAAGTCTCACACTGTAAACAATATACATACTAAAATAGCAACAATTAACAGTCCCGCCGGCTTCGGCGTATGAGAGACTCAAGAAAGCAATGTAAAAATATATCAAAAATATGCTCAGATGTAAAAGTTTTAAATATCATATTCTCTTCTATTGCACATTATTTTATGTATAGTTTTTGCCAATGGTCTTTGTAAAATAGAATTGTTCATAATTGAGCAGTATTTAGCTAGACTAGATAATGTATTAAAGTCAGTTATTTCATTTTTGCAAAGTTCAATAAAATCCCTTCGTGCACAAGTATGAAGATCACAGTCAATGAGGATATGCATTTCATCTTCGACCCCTTGTTGACACATGCATAATCTTTCTTGAAGGGGAATACCTTGAAACCTGCCCGTTTCAACCTTCAGCGGTAAAGTTCCTGAGCGTAATCTTGCTAAGTTGCTGCGCTCGTGTTTATGCATGGAAATAGTTACATAGTGTTCTGGGTGTGAAGCATGGATTTTATGGAGCCGGTATACTCGTAGCTTATTACCATTTACAGGGTTACGGTTATCGTTCCACAATGCAGTATACCATGTCTAAGTATCCTAACAAAAAAGAAATAGTCATTATCATAGAAAAAAACACCAATGGCAACATGTATGACATACAAAGAAGAAATAACTTAAGACCCATGAAGAATCAAAAAGAAAATCATATTTTTAAAATATATTTAAGGATTAAATTTTTTTTCAAATTTTTGAATTTCCCACCAGTTTAATTTGAAGGGGGAAAAACAAGATGGTTGCCATTTGATGTAAGAAATATCAGAAAAAAAGTTGCTTCACTTTTAGTTTTCACAATGAGCACAGTTTACCAGTTTAGGTTTTTTGACTGATTCTGACTCTTCATCACCAGGGTCATGTATAGAGATTATAAAAATTGAAACCAAAATGTTGTGCTCAGCATGAATTTGACTGAAATATGTGTAACATCACCAACACAATTGAAGTCTCAAAACTGGATGCTCAGTAACTTTGAGTGACTATAATCCCTTGATTACCCAGATAAACACCAATTCACTTATCCAGAAATACCATTCAATGTCTATACAAAGAAAGTAACCAATGTTTTGGAAGATATGTTTCAAACTTTTTGCATAAATAATTCATTTAAAATTTGCCATTGATTTTTTTTCAATTCTGACAAAGTGATATGCACTGTCTTTGATGCCAATATTCTTCATCAATTGTGATACAAATTGATATTTTTGTAATCTCAGCAGAAGGATAAGATATTTAAGTTTAGTAATATGTGTGATTGACCTGGTTTTTTCAGACATTACAATTTTCAATATTTTCTAAGTCGATACCCAGACTCATTCCCAGACTCATCCTTTATGGTGAACAACTACACTTCATAAGAAGCAAAATCTTAAATCATAAAACAAAATCCTCACTTTGGACCAATATTTTCAACAAAAAACAAATAACTGCTATAGGTTTAGATGTAACAATAAATCATATTTATTTGCAACCATGAGTGTCAGTACATTAAACTACAAAATGTGCTGGTTGGTTCCATCACTAGAACTCATTCATATCACATTCATATCACCCAGTTTTACCTGGCTCCTTCTAACAAGGGGGCTGGAAAACATTGACAATATACTTACTATATATAAAGTAGAACCTGTTGAATCCAAATGTAACTGGGACCAGCTAGAAGTGTTTGGATTAGCAGGTATTCAAATTGGCAGGTATTCAAACGAAAAAAAAATCACATTGTGAGATTTCAGATTAGGGAGGTGTTCGCATATACAGGTTTTACTGTACCATATAATGTATTTGCTAGCTTTTATATTTTATTGTTGATGTTGTGAATAACATGTGACTGAGTATGCCTTGCATTAAAATTGTTTGAATTTCAGTAAAATCACAGAATCATGACAGCTCTCTCCAGGCAAATTGTTTTAACAAATCTAGGTTTGCTTTTGAGCTATCTTGGTATTTCAAATTAATAGTCTAATTGATTTTAGCATAAATTATCTTACCCCACACTTCACTGTTTCCCTCCCACTTGATTCACCAGAACATATTTTGGTGTCTCCTATAGTGCTATAGTTTCGAAGTCGTCTCCTGGTTCTTGTCTTAACACCATCACATTTATTTTTGTTCATCTTGCAAGGTGAAAAAGGAGTCCATGGTCCCCAAGGGGCCCAGTTGCAACCTGTAAAGTTACATTTATAGTTGAATAGGTGAATGCTTCACAAAGGCACTAAGTGGTGTGTGTTGCCTCTGAACCACTCCTAAAAAAAATATTTTGAAAATATTTTTGATGTGAAAAGTGGAGTAGACCAGCGTTGTTATAATTAGACTCCTCATATAAATGCTGATGAAAAATTCTTACTTAAATTATTTTTAAGTTGTTTCCATGACATGGCACAAAACTGATTTTTTATCACGCTTTGAAAAAGGGCTTTATTGTTATCATCTTGTGCTAATGGGTGTGTAGGTGGGTGGAAGGGCAAGCACAGCATAAAACAGCTCAAAATTTCTACAGATGTGAGGGCATTTGGTTCAGGATTAGACAGTAGATTATACTCAAATAGTATAATGTAACAGGCATATCCTTTTATTTCTGATTTTATTAACTGTTTTGGTTGACTCTCATGCACTCAATGTCTATAATGTCAAGTCTATGTACTTACATAATATAGAATTACACACCCTGGTTCCAGTATCAAAGAATAAGCCTGAACAAGTCCCTGGGGTGAGGGGTACTCTGGTTCTGGTGCCTTGCTGTATTCCCTTACCACATGGTTTGGAACATGGCATATAGACCCATGGGTCCCATGGACTCCACTGGCAACCTGCAAAACATACACATAACACGGTGTAGTACCAAAATGCTGTTACAGTGTACAGTACATTCACATAACACGGTGTAGTACCAAAATGCTGTTTCAGTGTACATTCACTTTGGACGGTTTCATTCTGTTCTAACCGCTGCAGTGCTAATAAAGATGGTGGTAAAAAATGATGCGATGGAGGTTCTTTCACTTGTTTCACTTCCACCTTATACATTATGATAAATTGTAATCATATATACCATTCCATTGCCAACACAGGTGAGCTTTTCCATTCAGCCCCCGGTCATATTTCCTTCAACAAAGCTACATGTAGTGTTGATCAAATAAATCCAAAATTTTTAATTGGGCTTTAATTCTGTGCCAATTTTTTAATCAAAATCAGAACTATCATACCAATATGCTCATGACAAATCCTAATTGTCAATTCATTCATCATATTTCTTGAAATGCTTCTGTGATTCTAAATTACTTCAAATGCTTAAATATGATATACACGTAGGTGGAAAAAATGGTCAATGAATGGCCTAATTTAAATGAGTGTGTCTTTATGACTACAATAAGAAAAAATACCCTGCGTGCAGAGTCTAGTTAAACTACACTCTGCCTAGTAGAGACCATATTACAGTTTAGTAGCCCCGCCCCCACGACGGGTACCAGTGACAGTTTGTGTAAAAAAATAACTTTAGACCTACGCGCTGACCTTTCTTCCACCAATCAACGAGCTTGAAGAAACACACGCCAAATGCGTTCTTATTAAATATGCGCATGTCATTGGTCAATTCCGGGCTCAACGATGACGTCAGAAGGAATGACCATATATAGAGCGTCGATCAATTTTGGCCGACGAACACTGATTGGCGCGGTGAGTTCACAGGTTTATTTTAGTTTGAAAGAGTGAAGACGAAGCTCTCTTTTAAGAAGTGAAGTCAAACGAATGCAAAGGGTATAGAAAAAATAGTTTAAGAATACAATAATTCACAGTTCACAAAAAGTTGAGAAAAGCATTAACGTTAAATGTTTCTGTTAGAGATATCAATATAACACAGCTACTAAAGACAAATGTTTAATCAATTCATTTATAGGGGAGTAATTATCTGATTGTATCAATAAATATACCATAAACAAATAACATACACTGTGTATCTGAAAGGGACTATCTAAAAGCTGGTAGTTAGATTGAATATGAATACTGCTAAAAATGAAACAAAGTATTTTGTCTTTTGCGCCAGTTGATGTCTCAGCATAGGATTTGATCCTATGTTTTCAGATTTATTAATTTTAGCATTGTAAAAGTATGAGTTGTACTTGGGTTGAGTTGTTCAGGGGTTGAATTTTCCAGGGTTTGAGTTGTCCAGGAATGAGTTTTCTAGGGATTGAGATGTCCAGGAATGAGTTTTCTAGGGATTGAGATGTCCAGGAATGAGTTTTCTAGGGATTGAGATGTCCAGGGTTTGAGTTATCTAGGGGGTTGAGTTGTGTATGGGGTTGAGTGTTCTAGGGTTGAGTTATTCAGGGGTTGAGTTGTCAAGGGGATGAGTTGCCAGTTATGTAGACCAGATTTTGAAACTTATGCCATTACTTTAAAGCAAAGATGAAATTTTGAATTTGACCACATCTAACACACTGGTCAGTCATCATACATCAGACTTCTGCAAGGTGAATAGTAAAAATCATAACTTCCACCTACAGTCTTATCCAGGTCTTTAAGCCACTTCATGGGAAATTCAAAATGGCTGGAAAAGGTATCACAACAACTTCAGGTTCTTATAACTAAATGTAAAGTATGAAGCAATTCGTCATAGGTTTGATATTCTGGAGTACCCTCAGTCAAAGTCGTAATTTTCCCATTATGTTTTCTTTTTAAGAATGTACAGTAAAATTTGTGTAATCTGAACTTGGATCGACGAATAGTGTTCTGATTGACAGATGTTCAGATTTCAAGATGGCAATCTATGGCAGATTGAAAAAATTGTACTAAAAAGCATTTACATTGAAAGAGTTACAGATTAGAGAGGTATCCCAATACAATATACAGGTTCTATAGTTGTATATATTATTTATCTAATTGAAGACCAAGCATACTACTTATTTGGAACCCAGATGATTTTCAGAATGAATAGAATATTGAACATTCTAAAAAAATGTTTCAAAACTTTTTTGAGAGATTTTACGTGAAAATGTAAATTGTGATAACAAAAGATACTTCAAACAATTTCAAATAATAATCGCGTAATAACCTGGTTCTTCCCGTTCTACTGCATTGGCATCATCATTTACTCGGATCCTAGGCAGTCCACCATTTCGACCTGATGGACCAGCAGGCCCCCTATCTCCAGGTTCCCCCTTAGGACCACGTGGGCCACTTGGACCCATGGGTCCTTTCAGTCCTCTTGTGCCTTGTTTGCCAGGCTTTCCAGGTGGCCCTTGAGGCCCTTGTACACCTTTAGGCCCTTGTGGTCCAGTTTCACCTTTCTCTCCTATGCATTTGAATGCTTTGCATTTACTTTCAAAGGTTTTCATTGAATTTTCTAATTCCTCAATTCGTTTAAATAACTCATCTGTACGTTTGTTACTTCTCTGTGTATCTACTCCAGAAAGGCAAGTAATTGTACAAACTATGAACAATTGAAGTTCAATCGTTTCCATTGTAAAGTTGTTGTTAAAAATTGAGCAGTCCTAGCGTGAATTGAATTTAAATGGTTTTATATTGAAACATACAACAGATTTAAGGTCCTTTCCTCAGTAAATCACTTTTAAAACCTCGTACACATCTATTATTCTTAATGGTTCATTATTTTGTTCTTTATGTGCAACTGAATCTCACTTTCAGCTGAATATGACGTCTATCGCATTTCAATCATCCATTATTTCATAATTTCATCAATATTATGCAATTGGATGTCATTGCTCAAACTTTCTCAATCAACTTCCTGTGCAAACATGTACTCTTAATATTATAAATATATGGGATAAACCTTTATGTTTATGAGTATTTTTTTAAAGTGCTTAAATCATGCAATTGATAGATGTAGATACAGACGTTAAACATTTAAGATGACATTTAACAAAACTGTGTTGCATAATGTACCATGTTACCATGTTAAATTTATTACTAATTGAATGGTAATTTACCTAAATATTTTTTACTTTGCCTTTCTTAATCATTTTAAGATGAATTGTATGAAATATTTGTGGTTGAAGACTGAACTTTCAAAACATCTTTGAAACAGTTTTATAGAAAAAAACTATCTTTACCTGGTTCCTTTTCTTCCTCTTCTGCTTCATTCTTTTGATCTTCAACTCGAACCTTAGACAGCCCACCACTTCGACCTGGTGGACCAGAAGGCCCTATGTCTCCAGTTTCACCCTTGGGGCCCTGTGGGCCTCTTGGACCCATTGGTCCTTTCTGGCCTTTAAGGCCTTGTTGGCCTGGTTTCCCAGGTGGTCCCTCAGGCCCACGGTCACCTTTAGGTCCAGTTTCTCCTCTTTCACCCTTTTGTCCTATACAATTAAAATCTGGGCATTTATTTTCCAGTTTTGTTAATACATTTTCTAATTCCTCAATACGTTTCGCTAACTCTTTTGTTTTTGACTTTTTCTCTCTCTGTGTATTCACTTTGGAAAGTGAGAAAAAGATTACACATATTATGACCAGTTGGAGTCTGATCATTATCATCATTCAGTCGTCGATTTTCAGATATTGCCAATGTGAAATGATTTTATTTTTCAAACCTACCATAGAATTATCCTCATCTTGTAGACAGCCAATATTGTATTAATGGTTTCTAATGGGTAGTTTATGGGCTTCTAATTGCCTACACTATTAGCTGAGGCATTATTTGTGTACATGTATCATATTATAAATATTTTTATGCCTTGACATTTGAATATTTCATCTTATTTTTGTCTCGTATTTACTGTTTTTGTACAAAAAATGTAGGACACTACCAGACTTTAAAATTAGAAGGCACTGTTTGTATAGACACTGTATGAGTAGTGACTCAAAGGAGGGTAATGGAACATGTGTAAGTTTGCCTACTTTTTTTTATTAAACTTGACAAATGATACTTTAATGTGAATACCAAATTATTGATACATAAATTGAATCATGGAAATTATCATCAAGAATGGCAATCTGTTAAACATTGCATTTTGCAAAGAAATGATTTGAATTTAGTTCCACTAACACATTATGTTTGCATAAAATAGGCTGATATGATTATGGATTATGGGTTTTGGATTATCATTAGCTTTGTAAGGATTTTCTTTATCTTTGGATTACTGTATATAAATTGTACTGGGTGATCCAGAAGTGACGTCAAATGTGTTGCCATTTCAATACTACTTGACTAATCATCTTGAAACTTGGTACAGATGTTCCCCAAACATTATTGAGTTAGTATCTAAAAAATAAAGCTCCTACTATTTGATTTTATGGTAACTATGGTAACTCGATGTTACGTCACCTGGGGCAAATTCAGTTTTGTGAACAAAATAAAACTCTTCATGACTTGAAAAACTTAAATAAATATGATCAATATTTCAATATATTTTTTATTTGTTTCATGTTGCCATTCGAACATCAATGTAGTATCATATATGATGTCAAACACAGTATTTTAGTTCATTATTTTATTTTCTGAGAAAGTGCATCACAGTAACAAATATAAGACTGGGACAGATGAGCACATGAGCATACCCCATATTCCCCCAATGTTGCCCAAGTGACCTGTAATTTACATGGTGAACTTAAATGGAAGTTAAGTGGAATCAGTTTTCAAACTTAAGGTGATTGATTTAAGAAAAGATGTTATGGAAACATTGATGGATTTTGAGATCTGTTTGCAAAGTGGGTACTGCGATGAAAAATTCATTGCTAATGGTGGTATTTATGCAGAGTTATTATCCCATCGAACGAAGTTCTGAGGGATATAAGGAATGCCCCTGTCCGTCCATCTGTCTGGGCGATAACTCAAATACTGTTGGCCTGATTTTGTTCATATTTTGTTCACATAAACCCTTTGGGGGTAGAAGTTCTGCTCGAAAGCCAATTTTCAAAATGGCCACTCGTTTAAAAATGGCAGTCATTTTAGTGCCAATTTTACAGTAATATAGGTACAACATGTAAAATTGTAAGAGCAATATGTTTTAAATGTAAAAAAATATATAGGATGTTAATAAAGCTAGAAATGTAGATATCAAAGAAGCATATGGCACACTGTCTAATGACACTTTGGGGTAAGGCCCACGTGACGTCACATCGGGTTACCATAGTTACCATAAAATCAACCAATCAAAGAATAGAATGTTTATATTTGGGATATACTCAATAATGTTTGGGAAATATGTGTACCAAGTTTCAAGTAATATTGAAATGGCAACACCTTTGACGTTACTTCTGGATCACCCTGTACTATTTATATACAGTTATCCAAAGATGAAGAAAATCCTTACAAAGCTAATGATAATCCAAAACCCATAATCCATAATCATATCAGCCTATTTTATGCAAACATAATGTGTTAGTGGAACTAAATTCACGAAGATTGATCCAGTTGTATTGAAATGGCAACATCTTTGACATTACTTCTGGATCACTCTGTATATCATGTTTTACAAATATAAATCATATATACAGCATTTCAATAAATCATATTAGATTATCACTGAATATAATTCATGGACCACATCATCCTAACATAGTTTACCAGTTCAAATGTGTGTAATCACGCAGTGCTGATATGTTGTTATTATATTGCATTGTTTGTGAGAGGTGGAACATCTGTTTTTACCAAACGCGATTTGATGAATTTATATTTTTGATAATGATATTATATAATAGGTCTAGGAAGACATCCTGAATTTTCCTTTCAATATGTGGTATTTATCATCCTTATGAACAAAGTTTGGTAGGGATATAGTGAAGCCCTCCATCCATCTGTCCATCTATCAGTTAGTCCATCCTGGGCATAACTCAAATACAAGGAGACAGATTTTCTTAATATTTGAGAGAAAGGTGTATAATGATAAGTTCTCAGACTGATTCCACCACTTCAAAAATGGCGGGAGTTTTCTGCAAAAGAATAAGTTGGTTTTTCAATCAACATCCAACTATTTGACATTTTAGCAGTATATTGACCATAATATCTATTTCAAATATATTTTGTGTTTTTCATCCTTACCACCAGAAGCAATATGGGGGCCAGGAAAATAGGAATTTTTGTTAATTTTGAGATCATTCTGAAGTATAGCTTTATTATACTAAAATGAACGGCAATTTAGAGTAGATTGCAAAAAAGTGGTAGTACGATAAAGCAGCAACTCGAATAATCATTCGTTTGGATTAAAAAGTTTGGAAACCGTTGGAAAGAGGGGACACATGGCTTCATGGTAAACTAAATGAAATTGATGTAACACTGGTTTTGTTACAAAGTTGTTGATTTTCTTTCTCAGAGATATTTCTTTTTCTTTTTGACGTTTCGTATAATGAAAAACACTGGTTAAAAAGAAAAATCAAAGAAGCAATCCATATTAAACTTAAAAGTCCAGAATTAACAGGGATCAGGGTTACACACTGGATCCCGTCTATTTTAAGATGTTATAGTTTATATATTCATATTCATAATGTCTTAGTGTCGTTTCTAGGTGGTATGTTGTGTAATACCTTAGTAACGTTTTTAATTGTATATTACATCATTGAAGCTTTTTATGGTAACGGTTGCTATTTTTCTCAATAATTTTTTAACTGTAACATCAATGAAGTTTTCTATAGTAACGGTTGCTATTTGTCTCATTGTTATGTAATAATTAATTATTTCAGTTTGATTCAAATATAATTTTATTTCTGAAGAAGTAGGATGGACATCCTAAGAAACGTCAAAAATAAAAATAAATATCTCTGAGAAAGAAAATCAACAACTTTGTACATTACTACCAGAGAGATGAACATTCATAGAAACTGGTTTTGTTGTTTTACAATGTTTTTACTTGTTCCATTTTTTGGGACACACTTGCTTAAATTTGTGGAAATTCTGATATATTTCCAATGTTTGTATAGTATCTACAAATCATGGGTAGAGTAGATGGTAAATGACAAATGCAGATTCATGAATATTTTGTTCATTGGGATTTGGTACTTTGTGGAGCTGCTGATTTCTAGTTCGAATTGATAAAAATAAAGTGTTTGACTTTTAGTTTGGTTTATCGGTTGCAGGTGTATTTGTATTTTGCTCTCTGCATATGGAATCACACACTCGTCCATCCATCAGTTTTGGGATGAAGGAAAATATCACATTTTGACAGTATACGAGTCTGTATTAATTATAAGGAAAATATCACATTTTGACAGTATACGAGTCTGTATTAATTATAAGGAAAATATCACATTTTGACAGTATACGAGTCTGTATTAATTATAAGGAAAATATCACATTTTGACAGTATACGAGTCTGTATTAATTATAAGGAAAATATCACATTTTGACAGTATACGAGTCTGTATTAATTATAAGGAAAATATCACATTTTGACAGTATAAGAGTCTGTATTAATTATTGTGTTAAATGCAAAAATTCAAGAAAATGTAAACAAATATTCTGCAAAATACAAATGTTTCCTTTACACCACGTGAGCCTACCAAATGCCTACCAAAAGGAGACACTACTATACCTGGTTATTTGATTTTGTTCGATGTAATTTTCTACTTATATTTTCAGTAATACTACTGACAAATTATTTTGTGTATTGACTAATAGGTCTTTGATATGGAAATGACAAAATAAGATAAAATTTAATTTATTGAAGCATATATGACTCTAAAACAAGTTTATTAAAAACTTATTAATGGAGAGTACATTAAACTTGACAATGTTTTATTCCATGTACCATTGTGTATAGTCCTCTTCATTACCCATTAGACTTCTTGGGCTTCTTTTTACAAGGGGCCTGAAAACAACAACAATTTTGGTAATATAAAGTTAAATCCCATGTTTTGTCGTTGAATTACAGACATATTTTTATCATCATGAAATAATCTGCAAATAGTTATTCTTCACAATACATGTACTAATTTCCCCATTGTTTATTTCAAATATCTATCGATTATTTTCTAATTCCTAAGACTGATTTTTGTGATTGATATCTTACCCCACACTTCGCTGTATCCCTTTGAGTTGATATACCAGAACATATTTTAGTGATCCCTGAAGTGCTGAATGATCGGATTCTCTTCCTTGTCCTTGACTTTACACCATTACCACATGTCTGCCTACAGGTTGAAAAGGGTGTCCATGGACCCCAAGAAGCCCAGTTGCAACCTGTTAAGTAACACAAATCTGTATATACCTGTGGTCTGTTGTCATGCACCTCACATATTTAAACCCAAAATATGGCAGAAGCTCTTTGACAATTTTTTTCAAAATTACCGTTTTTTATTACCATTTTGAGCACTTTCCAGTGATTTTTGGCCAAAGTTGTCAAATGTGACCTCCCCTGGAATTCTCTGAAAAGTGAACCCCCTTTGACAAAAGCTGGCTGTGGGCCTGTTATGGGCCCCTTATTAACACAAAAGTCTGGATGAAGTACTTACATAATATAGCATTACAAATCTTGCTTCCAGTGTCAAAGAATAGGCCTGTACAAGTATTTGGGGTGAGGGGTACTCTGGTCCTGGTGCCTTGTTGTATGCCCTTACCACATGGTTTGGAACATGGCATATAGGTCCATCTTCCCCATGGTGTCCACTCACAACCTGCAAAACATAGGGATCAACTTATATCTTAAATGGATGTGTTACGCTTGGGTCACATTTGCTCTGATTCATCAGCCAGTGCCTGGACGATTGAGTATTTTGTTGAAAACTGAATACAATTTTGAGGAAAATCTTCGGGCGCCAGCTGATGAATCGGAGGAAATGTGACCCAGGTGTTACACATAGTGCACATGAAGACAACGTTCATGTTCAAGCCCTTTCTTTATTATTACTCATTTATGAATCATTTACTATTTACTAAACAATGAAGCAATTTTTTAGATTTTTATTTCTTTACCCGATTTTTTCTCCTTAATTATATATTTTTTCATCAATGTTATCTTCAAGCAATCTACCAGATTTACCCAGGTGACTGTTAGAACCTTTATCTATAGTTTTGCCCTTACGGCCCCGTTGGGCCCCTGCAGCCACAGGACCTTGCTGGCCTTGTGGGCATTGATGACCACATTCACCTTTAGGCCCAGGATCGCCCTGTTCGCCCTTCTCTCCTATGCAATTGATTGCTGTACATTTACTAGATTTGTTCAAGATCTATAATAATTTCTTGAGTTTTACTAATTCTTCTATATTTGTAGTGTTCTGTTAAAATTATGAAATTATAAAGTCCAATTGCTTTCATTGATCAGTCTAATGAATGATTGTTGTAATAACTACTGAAATGATATATTTTCACATTTTTCTCCAGTAAATTATAGTTCAAACATTAAAGTAAATACATCTAATTTATATACATTTGAAAACATATTTCGTTGTTTATGGACATTTGAATTCAAGTATCAAAAGATTAAATACACATGTTTGTTATTTACAAGAAATATTTCAATTGGAAGCAGTTTGAATAATTAGTTTTATTTATGTTAAGTCAATTAAGAAAATCAATTTTCTTCAAAAATACATGTTGGTCTAAATTTGAAAAACTGGATCTTTAAATTTATCATAGATTATCAATTTGTTTCTTGCTAACTAATTCTCAGGTGATGTCATAAAAACATACTGTAATCTTGGCAAGATATTCTATTATGTCACCAACACAAATTAATTATGTCACCACCACAAGTTGGTGACATATTGGTATAGTCTCCAACTTTTTTTGTGGACAGTGTTCAGTGGTTGGTGTTCGGAGTTGGGTGTCTGTAACAAATGGCAGATTGTGACATTTTGCATGTTAACGCCTTGTTCAGAATTGATATATACCTGATACACACAATGAATGTTTAACACTATCTGTATATAGTCTAACACATGTATTTCAATTAATTACTTGTTGTTATGTTTGTTAAGTAGAAGCTTATGGCTTCTTACTGCTATTTTATCATCACTTTAAAATAACCATTATCACGAGACAGAAACTTGTTTGATTATGATGAAAAACAGAGGGATAAATGCTTATATTCTGTGGAGCTTTTTTTACCCCATCAATGCCATGGTCACATTTGGTCCGATTTTTACGACGGCGCCTGGCAAATTGAGTATTTTGTTCAAAATTGAATAGAATATTGAACAAAACACTCAGATGGATCGGAGCAAATGTGACCCGGGCATTAAAGGACATTCCATCCTTGGTCCAAGGGTATTATACTTCTTTCCATACCCTTGGTGCAGCTTATACAATTGTCACGACTGAGCAAACAAACTTTCAAATGGCCCTTAAATCACCAGCCAATCAGAACAGTTGTTACTTAAAGAGATCGAGTCGTCCTGATTTCTATTCTGGACAATCAGTGATATCCCAGTATAATTGCTCATAAAACATCGTATATACCTTAGATATATCTTGAGACCAAATCATAAGCACGATATCACCAATATATTAAGGATATCAACAGGACAACCAAAAGAACAACCAACTGTCAGAACGCAATGAGTCGAAAACAGAATACATATAGGGTTCATTCGTACAAAAGGTACACATAGGGTTCATTCGTGCAAAAGTACTCTAACTTTTTTGTTTTTCAATCAATCTGGCTGAAATTGAGACCCGATCTCTTTAATCAAGGGTCAAAATCAACAGAGATTTTCCAAAGATGTTCACAGTGATAAACAGGAATTATATATTCACAATTGAGATAATTGCACAAGTCTGCATGCATTTCTTGTTAAGAATCCAATTTATAAGTAATTTTTCATCTCATTAGGGGTCATAAACAGAGGGAGGACAAAATATCCCCATTGAATTGTGTACAGAACATTATGATTGGAGAACGCATTTTCTGCATTGACCACTAGGAAACTCAACTTATTTACAAGTTTGTATTACCCCTAAAATGAAGCTACCTGACCTTGCATGAAGGGCTGAATTGAGTGATAAATGAAGTCCTTTGAATGAAGGATGGGACATTCCTTACCAGACCATTTCTCTCCTGATATGGTAACTATAAATATACAGAAAGGACGATTCTCGGTTTGGAGAACGAAGTTCATCAATCTAAATGAGCATTATCCCTGCTTCGGACAAATGTGATTCTCTTACATCATATAGATTTGAATGTCTTCTTTTGAATAGTCATAATTTAATTTGGGTAATATTTATAGATTTTTCGCAAAAAAAATATTAGCGCAGTACACTATTGAACTTCTTTCCCCAAATCGAGACTTGTATTTTATTGAATCGGTCTAATTGAGCATTATCCCTGCTTCAGACCAATTTGTTATTTTTACATCTTGTAGATTTAAATGTTCTCTTTTGAATATTCAAAGTTTAATTTGGGTAATATTTCTATATTTTTCTTGAAAAAAATTATTAGCCCAGGAGACTGTTCTCCAAACCGAGAATCGTCCTTAAGCAAAACACATGAAAATGTTTTAATATAGTTGGTATTGATCATTTAAAAATGTAGGACATGTACTCATTTCCAGTGAGCTGTAATGTCATCGACTCACAACTTTTATAACCTTGCTGATAACAGTATAAAAAGAAAGGGCTTGTCAACTAAATTAAAGAAGAGATTATCAGAATGGTTAAATCATAATTCACACATAGCTGGGCAAGATATTTCACATATACTGTAGAACAGTGTGTGAAATAATCAATAACACACTCAAGGTCACTAGTTAAACAGTTGTCATGGTGATGAATGAACTGATGAAAAGAATATTCAGCTTATTTTGTAATTCTTAATACCTGCTTACCTAATGCTTTATGCAAAATTGGGAGTTGATGCCAACACGTTCTGTATAAAATCCTAAAAGATGGTACCCTACTGGAATTGATCAATACATTTTAAAGTGATCATTATTGGCCATATCAAAACATTTTCCATGTTTTGCTAAACATGGAAAGTATATGTATGGTTACAGCTACCATACCAGGAGAGAAATAGTCTAGCAAGGAATATCCCTTTAAACAATTCTACAAGGGTGGAGTAGGAGATAATAGTATGGCAATAGTTACTGGGAGTCAGTTGTTTTGTAGCTACCAGTCTAGGTTGGAAAGATATCATGGAAATAAATAGTTGTGTTTGACTTTCAAGATAATTGCTTTATTTAGTAATTCACTAAATCATAAATGATAATGTCACTTTTTATGTCACCTGACCACCATAAGTGGTGGCATATTGTTGTCGCCAATGCCTTGTTTATTATATTCTAATAACATGAACTGAATGAGTCAGATCTTTCTTAAAATAATCATTTCAAGGCCTTTCAAAACTTCTTGACTTCAAATATGGCATAAAGTAATAATATTTAAGCATCAAAATCACCTTTTTACTAACATCTGGATGATAAGCTCACAGATATTTTAGCGAAGATTTTCTTTAAATATTGGCGCAGTTAATTTCAATTTCATGTCAATGGCATCTAGATTTAATGATCCAAAATACCGGTGGATTACGAAAAATATTATGTACAGAGGTGAAACCAATCAATTAAAGTATAGATTACACAGTAAATAAATTGTCATATATGTGTCTACTCTAAATGATCATCCTACGATATAATTAACTAATAAATTAGACTTATTTTAAATAACACGCAAATATTTTTATGTTTAAACTTCCTCATAGATGAGTGAGAGGCTACCTTGCCCGCAGAGTCTAGTTATAAACTACCCTCTGCCTAGTATAGACTATATTACAGTTTAGCAGCCCCGTCCCAAACATTGGTACCTGTGACAACCGGGGTAATAAATCATTTCAAATCTACCATACTGACCCTTTCTCAACCAGTCAGCGAAGTGGGAGGAACACGTGCTATATACGTGCTCATTAATTATGCAGTGATGTCAAAGGAAATGACCATATAGAAAGTCGTCCGTATTTGGACGACGAACTCTGAAAAAACTACGAAAAACTCTACGAAAAAACTTGCACTTTTATTTGAAAATAAAATTCAAAAGTAATTAGAAAATCTGTTCTTGAAAACCGTTTTGAGGCAAACAAACCAGAAGACAGTAAACAAGAAAACAAATTGCAAAAAGAACGGTTTCTAATTACCTGGTTCCTTTTCCTCATTTTTCTCTTTAACCTCCTCTTGTTCAACCTTATTACTGGGAGGCTTACCACCAAATATTGGGTTTATAGAGCTACCTTTACCAGGAGGCCCCCTAGGGCCTTCTTTTCCGTCATCCCCTTTAGGGCCCCTTGGACCTCTATCTCCTTGCTTTCCTATTGGACCTTCAGGTCCTATGGGCCCTGGTACCCCCTGAGGTCCTTTGTCTCCCTTAGGCCCTTGTTGTCCAGTCCCTATACATTGTTGATTACATGTTGCCTTAAGTTTATCTTCCAGGAATCCAAGTTGTTGTTGGAAGCTCTCAGTATCAGTTACTCCATCTGTTGCACAATTTGTTGAACATTTAACCTCGAGATTCTTAACAATATTTTCAAGTTCCTCAACTCGTACAATCAACTTGTCAATTGGTTTTAGTTTTTTGTTATCATTTTTGTCCGACTTTTCTTTCTTGTCTTTTGAAGATTGTTCTAATCCATCGTCTTGAGAAAAAACTTTGTCAGTTGTTAAAAAACTGATAGTAAGTAAAACTACTAGTTTGCAGGGGAAGAGATCCATAGTTAATCCAATAATTGATTTTGAAATTGAAGTTGTAATGTGATATACTACAAAACAAAAGTTTCGCAATCAATTTATAATAATTCAGCATTTGTTTCACTCACATTTATCATAACTTATATATGACGGAAATTACTTCAATAATTTTTCTTTATTTAAATATTTATCGAATTCCAAATATTTGATGCAATTTTACAGTATATAGTCTATTCTGAGCTATTTAATTATATTTATTATATAAAATGGTTGTAATTAAATGAATGAATTAAATGAAATATATTTATAAAAATTAAATTTGTGCTACACATATTTTATCCTTTTGTTTGGATGAATTTAATTACATTATCGTAACAAAAAAGAATAGATTTTATATTAGATAGAGTGACATAATTAATTAAACCAAGAAACTTATAATTTGGCATGATCCCCATTCAATGAATAGTTTTTCAATTACCTTTATTAAGATTAACACAATTCAACAAGTTAGTAGGTTTGTTAATAAACAATTACATAAAATATAATATTTTACAATGAATAGGATTGCTGCTCTCATTATTGATGTAACTATTACTGTTTATTAATTTCGACTATCAAATACATGTACTGATCCTGTGAATTTTCCTTTTCTTAGTTATAATCCATCAAACCCAGCAAATGGGGTCAATATATTCTAGCTTATCACGTCACCATGAGTGGTGACATTATCATGTCACCATAAGTGGTGACATTATCATGTAACCATGAGTGGTGACATATTATTATAGTCTCTTACTTTTTTGTGGATGGTGTTTGGCAGCTTGTGTTGGATCGGTGTTTGGCATCTGTAATAAATGGCAGGTGGTGACATTTTGCATGTTAATACCTTGATATAGATCTAGTAAGCTCAAAATATCTAAAAGTTAAATCAAGACATGATATTTTAGTGCTAAAAGGTCAAGAAAAGTGTACTCCAGGGAGCATCGATTAAGCTATAATAACTTGATTATAGATGGAATCTAACCCAAAGAAACAAGATATTAAATCTTCTATTTCTGGTTTTTAAATAGGTTCCTTGTCTAAACTAAAAATTTCATCATGTATTATTGAAGGTAGATTACTATAAAATAGTTTTTTCAATGAAGGACATCAGTTATTTAATAAACACTTCAGAATTAAAATACTGTATATTTACTCACATATAATTCAGTAATAAATCCGTCTATCAAGCCCTTATAAATCTTGGGCAAAATATTTCAAACATGAACCTGAAAGATAACTAAATCCATTGACACTTGGACAAGCGGTACATATTTGTAAATGTCTTCTTTTTGCCTGAAAATTTTAAAAGGGAAAATAAGTTTCATTTTATTAATATTGATTCGTTGAACAATGGATTGAATAATATTTTCATGTGATACTTTAAGGTAGTTAGACGCGTATTAAACATATATTACAATAAATAAAAAATACTGTTTAGACTGACTTCAGTTTTTTTTCACAATCATCTACACGTTTCAGAAGTTGAAATCTGACTTTATATTTAAGATTTGACTTTCAGTGACCTTTTTGAGGTAAAAGAAAGGTCAAAAAGGTCTTTTTTCAACTTGCTTCAGATTGACCAATTTTTTTTCAAAATCATCTAGAAGTTCTCAAAAGTTCAAATCCAACTATAGATTTGACATTCTCAAGGTGAAAATATTTGACCTTCAATGACCTTCTTAAGGTCAAAAAGGTCTTTTTTCAACTTGCTTCAAATTGACCAATTTTTTCATTAATTCTCAAAATCATCTACAAGTTCTGAGGAATTCAAATCTGACTTAACATTGAACCAATAATATTGTGAGCAACTAGGAAGTAACATTTTGTCATGTTAATGCCTTGTTATTGTATACTTTCAGAAGAGTCTCTGATGGTTGTACCCTGTCCACTACCCACCCTAGCAAAGATGATGTCTGAGAGTGTCTCAAAGAACTTTCAAGCTTTATTTGATTACGTCTACAGTGAAGACAGCGATCATTTCTCAGACAGTACAAATGAAATGCTTCGTAAACTCTCAAAGGATATCTACCTTGTAAGTTTATAGGAAAGGATATAGACTTTTTATTAGTCTATTGCAGTATAATTGAATAATTGAATAATGAGAAATGTAGACCTGTCATAAGTATATTCTAGACTAACGAGAAATGTAGACCTCTTCTTAGTAGACTAACAAGAAATGTTGACCTCTTCTTAGTAGACTAACAAGAAATGTTGACCTCTTATCAGTAGACTAACAAGAAATGTAGACCTCTTATCAGTAGACTAACAAGAAATGTTGACCTCTTATCAGTAAACTAACAAGAAATGTAAACCTGTCATATTTTGTATTTTTTGTCGTATACATGTATTGTAGAGTTATTTATCAAAGAAATGTAGGCCCGTCATAAAAAACCTTGTAAAAAGATTCACTGGATATCATGTCATATACAGGCAATCAAATACGCAATACTCTACACTTTTGAAATAAAGATACTCAATATTTTACTATATATTTTCCCAACTCAACAATCCCTTTTAACACAATTATTATATCCCAACCTCTAATCTCTAATGTGACCTAGCAATGTTCAATGTTTTCCAGTTAGGACTTGGCCTTGAAACTGAAGATGATAATGTAAGGGTTCCAGTAATGACTTGGAGGACATGCGCCTTTACTATTCAAGTTATAGGTAAATATGTCAATTTAAGTTTACATTGATTAATTACATGTTGTTTACCCAAAGTCGTAAAGGCCCTTCTAGAACGTCCATTGTTTTATCAATACACTGTAGCTTTTTGATTTGAGGAATTGACATTGCATTTTAATGTAATATATTTAATATTAGGCTCATTAGTTCCCTACCAGAAGATATCATATAGGCTGTAACTGTTGATCATCCATTCCTCAACCTAGCAGTGACATCTATTTATTAGCCTTATTTTAGATGCCATTTTACAGTTTTCATTTCAGAAAATATTGATGAATAAAAATGTAGGCTATTTGAGTGTAATTTGGCAATTTGTGCTCAACATTCTGGCTTAGTTGCTTACTTAATGTACATACCTCTAATCAATGTCTTATTATTTGATTAGTATCCTGTGACTTCTACTTAAGAAATTCCAATTAATTTATAATGCTTCTTTATTCTCTAGAGCAAAGTTTACGAGAAGAAAGCAAGCCCTTATTTGGAAGTTTACCATCTCGCCAGGCAGACTGTTTACAAGCCCTAGTAAGATTCGCTGGTGTATCTGCACAAAACATAGCATCAGACATCAACAAGAAGCTATGTGTTAGACTTCTGGCAGGTAATGCTATTCATGAATCCATTGGAAGTTCCAAGTTAACTTGATTACAAATTATGTATGTGCTCACTGGTAAATGTATACAATGAAGTGATGAATTGTCCTCAAATGAATGATAATACCTTTTAGACTCTGAACCCTGTGTCCCGTTTACATCATTGGTATTTACCTCTTGTCTTATGAATCAGCCATAATATAAAGGGAAACCTGTCTGATGGAACGTCTTTCTGTAAGGACTGCATGTTTACAAGGAAGGGTTTTCAAAAGAACCAAATATTTTTCTATTGTTAGAAGTCAAATACAAAAAAATGTGAACGAATTTTAAAACTTGAAAATAGATTGACGATATTTTATGAGAGGTTTTTGAACACCCCATCCTCACAAAAACTTGATATATGTTTCAGCTCTTGTATCCGGTGACTCTGACAAGAAGTTTGTGGCCACTCCAGGTTGTGTACTAGATTTTGACATGTTCCACTATTTGGTATCTGTTTGTCTAGCACTACCTACACTCTATGTGGAAGACCAGAGGAGTTTATTAGGTTAGTATAATTGTATTATTCAATGATGGTAAGATTTGTAGTGAGCTGATTGATCCATGTGATTTTTATACACCCTGTATTTTCACACCCTGGGATACAGAATCTATATATTCTCAAGTCACTGTATCACACAGTTAGACATTTTAAACATCATTGAATTTGATATGACCATCATAAGTGGTGACATATTGTTATAGTCTCCAACTTTTTGTGTACAGTGTTTGGCTGTTGGCATTGGGCATTCAGAGTTGGGCATCTGTAACAAATGGCAGGTGGTGACATTTTGCCTGTTGTTGCCTCGTTTATCATACTTTAGAGCTCTTATGTGATTTGACTTGTACACTTTTTATTCTCAGTACAAAAAGAGATAAGGAGTAATAGGATACAGGTGATACATTTGACAAACATCATATACCTTGTAGTACTATCTTGTACATGAAATAATGAAATTGTTTTAATACTTCTAGGTGCAATACCAACTGGAGGTCTAAATGAACAGCATGTCTTACAACTTGTCTTCACTGCTCACATTGTGCAGATACTTATCACAACAGATTTCCATATCCATGGTAACTATATTTATCAACTCATTGTGATGTCAGAGTTCAGTCTGGAATGGAAATCATCATATTTGGTAGATTGTAAAATTGATGCCATAAACTCCGGAAAGTTGGTTTTATGATGAAATTCAATGTAAAATAAATGTTCTGTACATTATACTGTATAAGGTGATTGGTTATTTTGAAGTATGAAAAATATGTGATTATTCTTGTATATGAACTGTATATCTAACATAGCACAAAAGTTTGATTTCACATTGTGTATTAGGGGCTGGAACATATACACACTTGTGCTCCTGACTCTATGGCCCTTTGGAGGAAGCTTATAAAACTATATAAAAACTTGTATTACTTCCAGATTCTATGGAGCTAGAGCCAGATGCCGACAGCCAGGCTCTAGTTGACATCTATCACAGACTCAGGAAGCAAGCGGGGTAAGAATAGTCAGCATTTGAATATCAAGACATCTTTATTTGCATTCTATGACAGTAACAATTTTATGTATATTTGATAATTTTCAAGATTATCCTACACTTAGTGTACTAAATGTATAATAACATTAAAAAATAAATTTGATATTTATTGGCAAAATGAATAACCGGAGGATATCGTAACGATATACTCCGGGCGGAGGAAATTGTGACGATATACTCCAGAAAACCCAATATGCGGAGGATATTGTGACGATAATACTCCGCTTGTTGATTTCCCGCCAAATTGACTCTATTTGGTACACTCCTTGTTAGTGAAGGATGATAAGAACATCCTATGATTTTTTTCAGAATATTAATTTAATCTACTCAGTGATATTGATATATACACTCGACAGTTTGACTGCAATAGATAGTACCCCAGACATTAGTTTTTGTAGCTTTTTTTATGTTAAATGTATTAGACTATTTTGTCATTTACTATTTTTATAACCTTCATCATGTGAACAGCTTATACTGTACCTTATTCTAGCCTAAGTATAAGTGTCATAACCATGTACATGTACCATATGTCTTTGAGGATAAATTATATACCTTCTCTTATCCATGACAGTTTACTCAAAAAAAGACACAATTCCAGGCAAAACTAAATGAGATCAATGTTTCTTGTTACAGTATTGAGGTTAGTAATGTGCCATCAGCATGGCAATTACACCAGAGAGTGAAGCATATATCTGTCCCCTTCCTGAGGAGTGCAGCTCTATTCTTCCACTATCTAACTGGCATCTCTTCTCCTGTGGAGTTACAGCAAGGTGAGAAATCAATTCTTGAAACTATTCTGGGAGCAGTCATGATGCTTAGGGATCAAATCTTTGAAAATCATTTATTTGCTTGTTATCCCATCGAACGAAGTTCGGAGGGATATAGGGAACGCCTCCGTCCGTCCGTCCGTCCGTCCGTCCGGGCAATTACTCAAATACCGTTGGCCCGATTTTATTCATATTTTGTACACATATACCCTATGGGGGTAGAAGTTCTGCTCGAAAGCCGATTTTCAAAATGGCCGCTCATTTAAAAATGGTGGCCATTTTAGTGCCGATTTTACAGTAATTTAGGTGCAATATGTAAAACTGTAATAGCAATATGTTTTAATGTAAAAAAATTATAAAGGACATTAATAAAGCTAGAAATGTAGATATTAAAAAAGCACATGGCAGCCATCTTGAAAAATGGCGGCCTTTACTCGTTATTTTACGATTTTTGCTGTAACTCGAAAAGTATTGGAGCGATTTTGTTCATATTTGGTATGTGAATACTATAAGCATGGCACACTGTCTAATGAAACTTTTGGTAGAAGGTGGCCATTTTGAAAAATGGCGGACATTTTGAAAAATGGCCGCCATTTTAACTTATTTTACTAAAACTCGAAAAGTAGTGGAGCGATTTTGTTCATATTTTGTATGTGAATACGTATAAGCATGGCACACTGTCTAATGACACTTTTGGTAGAGGGCGGTCATTTTTCAAAATGGCCGCCATTTTAACGTATTTTACTATAACTCGAAAAGTAGTGGAGCGATTTTGTTCATATTCGGTATGTGAATACTGTAAGCATGGCACACTGTCTAATGACACTTTTGTTTGAAGGTGGCCATTTTGAAAAATGGCTGCTATTTTAACTTATTTTACTATAACTCGAAAAGTAGTGGAGCGATTTTGTTCATATTTGGTACGTGAATACGTATAAGCATGGCACACTGTCTAATGACACTTTTGGTAGAAGGCGGCCATTTTTCAAAATGGCCGCCATTTTAACGTATTTTACTATAACTCGAAAAGTAGTGGAGCGATTTTGTTCATATTTGGTATGTGAATACTATAAGCATGGCACACTGTCTAATGAGACTTTTGGTAGAAGGCGGCCATTTTGAAAAATGGCCGCCATTTTAACGTATTTTACTATAACTCGAAAAGTAGTAGAGCGATTTTGTTCATATTTGGTATGTGAATATTATAAGCATGGCACACTGTCTAATGACACTTTTGGTAGAAGGTGCCCATTTTGAAAAATGTTCGATGGGATTCGCTACGCTTTGGCGTTGCCGTTGTTCTGGTTTTAAAATACAGGTACCGTATTCTCTCTTATAGGCGCACATACTCCAATAAACGCACACCCGACTTTTCCATGAAATACTCTAGTAACTTGAGTAACAAACATTAGGAAAAAGTAAAATATTTGAGAAAAATAATTGGGCGATAATGGGGTATATAAACGTCTATAATATGATATATTTCCTGCAATTTATTAAAAGATCCTTGAATAGGCCTCAAAGGACAATTGAAAACAATAAAACATCCTAGAGCTGAAGTATAGAATATGTTTTTGAGTATTTTTAGTTGTTTTTTTAGAGACCATCAAATATTGGACACATGTTCATCGAAGTTGTTTTATTATTGATTTTCTATGTTATTTGTTTTGTTATTTTCAGAAAACTGTTTAGATGAGTTTGATTACCTGTGCAGGTACCTAGCTCTACCCTCCTCTCTAGCAGCCCTATTTGATCCACGGAATACACTTATTAACACACTTGTTGCCAGGTAAGATACTTACAGAGTGGATGGATATTTTTTACTCTTTTTCTTGAGTTTTTGACTCTTTAAACAGAGCTTCATCCTTTGATCTCACTTTGCCCAAATCAGATTAGATCATTTAAATACAGCTATCCAATAAGAATTGCATTTGAGTAATTACCAAGCATTTATTTATTAAAAAAGCTATGTAACAGTTACATTAGATGTCTTTTTTACATCTTATCAGCATCAAATCTGTAAAGTCTTAACCCTTGTCAATGGTGTAGCGTCATATACGCATAAAACGCCATGGCGTACTCTCAAAATTTAGAGAAAAGTTGATTTTTAGATTGAATTGGCCCACACTTTAAACATGGATAAAATTAGTCCATATAAGGCAGAATTTCGTATTTTAAAACGCTCCAAAACACTTCAACTGCAATCTCATTTTTAAGTTATCTTGGGGAGAAACCCACCGCCAAACCCCCTTCAAAGATTGTTATAGCTTCGTTACTCGTGGCGTATACTCACAAAATACCCACACTACGCCACTGCTTGTAAAGAGAGGAGTAATTATTAATGGCCTCCGAGCTTATTTATGTTTTGAATCAATTCTTAGGATTCCTATTCATCAATAAAATTTCTTCAAACTGTTTCAGCTGGTGCAGTGATGATAATCTAAAGACAAGAATATCTGCAAGCTCAGAGAAACTTACTAGGTATCCCCTGAAGGTTAACCAGCTCATCAAACTCCCAAAAGACTATAGTGATGTCATAAACTCTGCATCCACCTTCACGTAAGTTCTTCATGAGCATTTCTCTCATTGTTATTTACCAAAAAACAACATTTGGCACGATTATCTGAGGATTTCCTTTTTACGAAGGCCCCCCACGAAGTGGGCGGAGCCATTCGTTCTATGGACCGACTGTCGACCATTCACGTGACCAAAAGTCCGCCATTATTACCTTATATGGCAAATCATCAAAGCAACGATCACGACGTCATATGTTGTGTTTGTGATGAAGATATGACGTAATATAACATAAACTATGACATCAGTTACTTATTGCCCTATCAACTAAACAGACAAGAAAGCTAAACGTCACACATCACAGTGTTTATTATATTTTAATTTGTGACGTCATTAACATGTTACCTAGCCAACAGAAAACGAGCAGTAAAATGTAGTTTGTTCATTGTCTTTCTCTGTGGTATTTCCATAAAAAGTGGATCAGTTTTGTCAAAATAGCATTATGGCCTTCGTATTTTTCTAGTGTCATTTTCACTTGATTTTCTTGTTTCGCTGTTCGCTGAACTTTTTATGTCACATATTATTATAGTCTCCAACTTTTTGTGGACAGATTTTGGCAGTTGGTGTTTGTAACAAATGGGAAGTGGTGACATCTTACATGTTAATGCCTTGTTTGTTTGTTAGATTCAGTTGTAAATAACATCAGGATTTACTTTCAAAATCGAAATACCCACTTTTTGTCAAATCATGGATTTCAGCATAAGTCACATAAGCTGGCATCAGCTGGCAGCAATGTTTTTAAAAATGTTTTTAATCGATGTATTTTATATAAAATGCTTGTGACCCACTTTTTGTGATAGAGGTTGGTGTGCGGGATTCGGCATCTGTAACAAATGGCAGGTGGTAACATTTTGCATGTTAATATGTAAAGTAAAACCTGTATACTGTAAGTGAAAATAGTGTTTGAGAGGTGTTCCACTTACAGCAGCAGAGGTGTTCTTTTTACAGAGGTGTTCTTTTACAGAGTTTTAATTGTATTTATGTATACATTTTTTGTATTTCTTTCCTGATAGGTGTCCTAAATCTGATGGTGAAGACAGCAGGGCTCCTACCATGTGCCTGGTGTGTGGGGAGATGTTGTGTAGCCAGAGTTACTGCTGTCAGATAGAGCTAGATGGGATGACTGTAGGGGCTGCCACAGCACATGCACAATCCTGTGGGTCTGGTGTAGGATTATTTCTCAGGTACGTGTGTTTGCTTGAAAATCTATTGAGTTTGAATAAAATTTAGGATTCAATAGAAGGAAGAGAATTTGATGGGTTGAATTGTATAAATACATGTATAAAAATTACAAAGATATATTTTATAAATAATATTTCAAAACCTTTTAATATTGAATCTTTAAACATGTTAAGTCAAGAATTTAAAACTGTTATTGCAAAATAAAAATAGGGACATTTTTTGGGCCACCCTGTATAGATGTCCTGAATTTCATTGACTATCACTTTGAACATGCTGAGTAAATTTTTTCCAAACAAAACTTAAATATCCCTTGAACAATCGTCAAATATAATTTGCTGATGGTAATGAGAAATGTTTTTTTCTAAAACTCATCTTCAAGTTATCCTCAAGAAGCTACCTTGATGAAATAAAATATTTATACTTGGCTAAATGAAGTCAGTTCATTATGCAGGACCGCAGCCAGGGGGGGTTCAATGGGTTTGAGCGAACCCCCCTGGCCAAAAATTCTTTCAAAATCATGCAGTTTTTCATCATTCTGAGCACATTTTAAATGGTTTTGGCCATTTTTGGACCAAAATTGTCAAAAGTGAACCCCCTGGAAATTTTCAAAAAGTGAACCCCCCCTTGGCAAATCCTGGCTACGGGCCTGTTATGGTACATGTATGGGATCCATGTGTTTTAACAACATCATATGCTTGTAGGGTAAGAGAATGCCAAATCCTCCTATTGGCTGGGAAGATCAAGGGAAGTTTCCATGCTCCACCTTACCTGGATGATTACGGAGAAACTGACCAAGGTCTAAGGTATGCTACAAAATATGAAATGTCTTATTTAATACATATTTACCATTCTGTTTAATCATTACAGTTTAACTGTTAATTTTAGTTTTAAAGAGAGAGGAAAAGTAAAATACATGTAATTAATGTAGATTTTGAGTTTTTTTTGATAAAATTGATGGTAAGTATATCAGCAATGCACCTGGAAATATTAAAAATAAGCTCTGTTTAATTTCATTTACATTCCACTTTTGAAATCTGTAAAGTGGCATTGGATGTGTAATCAGTGCAGAAAAATGATTTTGAATTCTGACAATAGGTGGCGCACGTATCAGCCTCATTCAAGTTTTTATTAGCTTAGTTTTATAATGTATTCACTTTTATTTCTTGTAGTTACACATGGAATAAATAAAGCAATCTAATTTCAGAAATATTTCTGTAATTTTGCAAAATCATAATTTACAAGAAGTTACGAAATAAAAGATTTGCATAACTTTCAACTTCCAATTTTCCAGGCGTGGTAATCCATTGAGATTGTGTCCGGACAGGTTCAAGAAGTTACACAAATTATGGCTGTCACATGGGATTCCAGAGGAAATCTCACGCAATCTAGAGACCAACAGCCAACTTCTCTCCATAGACTGGCAACATTTATGATCTCTTTCGCTCTCTCTAAATCAGCATGACTCCTAATGTTGGCAGAGTGTGTGATAGGGATTTCAAATTAACTGGTCAAAACTGAATTACATACCAGTTGTATTTTCATATACTAGTACATGCTGATACTAGTACATGCTGAAATAATCAGTTGGTCCTAATAATGAAATTCACCAGATGTAGTTTTATGGACCAGTGCTCATACAACACCATAATGGATAGTCCATTCTCTGACTAGCAAGCCCATCCTCCAACAGGCTTTCACTTCCACCATGGCCACAGGATTGGAAAGGATTTTAGCTGGATATGCACAAATCTATGTATATTTGAGATTACATACAGTGCAGGGTGCTAAGGCTTGTAAAATGCCACCAGATCTGTTTGCCTGTGGGCCCCTCATTGCTATTTAAGGATACTGTTTTAACCATATATGTATGCTTATTTTGTTGGTCATTTTGTATTGCTAAAATGAGAGTTGCCATAGCCCAATAGATAAGGTTTGGGAATAATGAGTAATGCTTACCAATATTGTGAACTTGGGCCTATAAGAATATTAACAATCAGATGCCTAATGCTATGTGGGTTTTGCACTATCATGGGCAGTTGCTTGACTGGCATATTTTTGCTAGCCAACGATGGAGTGCAAACCATATGGTAGTGCAGTTAGTTATTTATAACATACCCAGGATGGTTTGGGTCAAGAATAAAAATTCTGAGAATTACTTGTAAATAATTTAAAACATTGACCTAAATTGTAGATTGTTTTATGGTGTCATTCACATATATTGACCGAATCTTACTTTAAGTTTGGAACACACTTTAGATATGATGTATTGTCAATTATACGCACTCATTGAACACCGTTATGATTTAATGAGGAGAATTGACACATCACATGCTATGAGAAAAAAGATACTGATGACTTTTGAAGAAAGTTGCTGGGTAAATGTTCTAAGAATTATCATTAGAGGATCTGACCCAGTTAAGTAAATTGCTCCTATATTCACACTTCAAAGAATGAAGTCTTATATGATGGCCATAAATTTATGATATTAATGCATTTAAATATTTGAATTGGTCTGTATTGACTAGCCATATATTTAGAACATTATTTGGAAGGTTTCAGAGTTAAGGGCTCAGACTCTAACTCTGAAACTAAAATACTTCCAAAATATTGGTGTAAGAATCTGAATTAGAGACTGAGATGCTATGGCTATACCCAGAAATTAAAATAGACTTTGCAGTCATACATCTTGTATATTTTTGATTGGATAAAATAATGAATTTAAGTTTTAAGTTGTTCAGTAACTATATATTGTATTATTATATAATTTGTTTTATGTCCCCATATAACATGGGGAAATATTCTAAAATAAAAATCTAAAGGCATTATTTTACTCCTGTAAATTTTTTTTGATTTCAATGAACATTGTTTGAACTAAGATTGTTCTTTGTTGAAGGGAGTGGACTGATTAATGATTATTATTATTTGCTATAGGCAGAGAAAGTCCTTGATTTAACAGCCCCTCAATTCCTTTTTTGACAATTTGAAAGTTTTCAGATTATTTTTTTGTTGGACATGAAAATTGGGGATTTCGCACATGTGTGCCTCATTTTAATTATAAATGTATGAAATATATGCATAATTACTTTCAAATAAAAAAGTACAAAATGCCAAATCTTAAATCTGTTAGTTTTGTTGACATATTTTAAAGGGAGCATTATTTTTGGCTTGAGAGTACCCCAAGCACATTTAGTTTGACTTATCACTCGTTTTATTAGTATAAATACTATCCAACTCTCTCTCTGAATAAACATATTTTGCGCAGTTCACTAATTTAATCTTACAAAAAATAAATTTCACAGATTTTTAAATGATAATAGCACATTCCTCTGGGATACAGCTGAGATAAAAAACCTGTCAGTACTATTTTGTAGTGGCAAGGGCACATGTGACATGCTACATATATATTACAATTTAACTGGAATACATTGTAACCATTCAAAACATTATTACAATTTAATTGGAATACATTGTAGCCATTCAAAACACATATTACAATTTAATTGAAATACATTGTAGCCATTCAAAACATATATTACAATTTGATTGGAATACATTGTAACCATTCAAAACATATATTACAATTTGATTGGAATACATTGTAACCATTCAAAACATATATTACAATTTAATTGGAATACATTGTAACTATTCATGATAACTTCATTCCCTCAATTGATATAGATATACAGTTATGTAATCCCTCCCAATGTTTAACTCTGCAAAGGGATTTTTCTAATCTCAGTTACTTACAATTTGTAACAGTGAAATAGTCTGGAATTGGATCTTGGATGACCAACCATTCTTTCCATTACAAGAACTAAAGGTGCAGAGAAACAAGAGTTCACTTTAAAAGTAAAACGTGGCATTGAATGAAGTGAAAGTTGGCCATTTTGGATGACATGGCATGTTAGAGTTTATTATATCATTGAAATGTTTCTCGCTTTCTCATTGGATAAGAACCGATCACATGATTTAAAATATTAGGGTGTATTTCATCGTTTCCTGCATTGTCCAGCTGCAGCCTCGTTTTCAACTGTATATACCACGGTGTATATACCACGGAGTATTACATACCTAGCGAAGCATTTGTATGGAAGTCAATGGGAAAGTTAGCGAGCTATATCCACCGATATTGCCCGATTACCCCGATATAGCCCGCTTACCTCGTTTTGATATTAGATTTCTTTAATAACCATGATAATATCATGACGTCACGTCATTGATACAAAGTAACCATGGGAACAAAGGCATGTAATACATCAGTTATGTCACTATGACGTAAAATATGCCTTCGTTCTTGCCCAAATATAGAGCCTCCCAAGGTCGGCCTATATTGGGAGAACTCAGGCATATTTCACGTCATAGTGACATAACCTCTAAGTATATACCACGGTAGAAAGTCCCGGATGTAATGTTTTTGTTATGACGTCACATCAACATTATAGAAAATACTTGGATACGCATGACAACCAAACTTCATTGTTATGCCGTCAAAGCCTATATTTTGAGTACGAGCATGGGTACTCATAGTAAGTAAGTAACGGTATATTCGTTACCATTTTGTTGATGTTTATAAACCAGTGATGTCACAAGTCATCGTGCACGTGTGACTTTTGAGATGGCAATATCTTGCATCGGACTAAGAGTGGTTGTATCTTGGTTATTCATATGTGACACATGTATTCGTATCTAATAATGTATTGAATGGTTTGAAGGCGCCTAATTTGCAGAAGATTCAAATGATATAATAAATCATATATTCCATTCTATTTTCGGTGAATACATGTTCTTCTTTCCCTCAGGTATATTTCCCTTGCCCGAGGTATTTAGATATATTTTTAACATTTTCAAAAAAATAACATGCTGACAATAAATTTGAAGTATGATTAATAAGAGATGGCTGAAATAGATCCATGGATGAAACAGTCCAAGGAAAAATAACCCCATATTTTGAAATTACTGATGATGATCCATATGATATGAATATCCAAAACTGATATATTTTTTATTGATTTGCTTTGTACACCTAATATCATGCATAAACTGATCCAGGTTTGATGTCATTGACTCCAGGAATTAGTTATTGTGATCATAGTATGAAAACCATCTTTATTTGTCAATGAACAATCCGTATAAATTGGCGAACCAAGAACGAAACGTGCTCGCAATTTTACCGTATGGTTCGTTCGTGCAATGTCACTATCTGATGCGTTCGTGGTTTTAGCGTAACCCGGAAGTGTATTAATACAAAATCGAAGTGAATTTTTGTATTCACAAAACATAGATTTCTACTCGAAATAAGGTTCGTTATTGATTGATTTTATCAGTATGTATAATTTGAACATGTCTGCCAATGGCTGACTACAGTCCTGTACGTGGATTATAAGGGGTAAGTAATTTACACCCTCATTCCGACTGACCAGAAGTCATTTTCATTTTCACTTCTTCAACACAAGCCAATTCACAAAGTTCACAAATCTTCCAGATTTGTTTATACAATCAATCGTAAATATTCATATTTATGTTCATGTTCATGTTGATTCAGTTGATACCTTGTATAACCAGGTAACCATTTAGTTTTTTCTGCTATTGATAAAGTAGCAGCTTTTTAAAAATGCTATTTTAGAAGGTTTTTGGTAAAAAGATAATGTTTAAATATCAAACAGTAAGCTAGCTATCAACTCAATTCGCTACTATATTAGGGGAAAATGTGAAAATTTGAAAGTCTGATAACCCTGCTAAAGTCAAAACAGAAATGTTTGGGAGTAGACTACTTTGAATTTAAAGAATAAGCAATCAAATGACCATATTGAAACAGTTTATGTAAAAAATAGAGACATTTAATTTCAGATAGTAATGTATAATGTGCAGCAAAGCTGTGGTCTTTTGTAAGCTAGGGAGTTTCAGCCATGTTAATTTTTCTTACTTCCTGCGAAAGCTATTTGGATTTTGATATAATAGCTTTCCCACGGAGCATTTGGACAGCTCAATGATCGTGACCTTTGAAATTGAATTAAGTCGATCCGCGGCTTACTTTTGGTCTCTAACTGTGTCTTACATCAGTATCATCATTCCGTGTAAGTATTGGAGCGCTGGAGTACTTCTTTTTCGATCAAGACTTGTAATTGTTAGTCGAGTGAATCGTTTTACTGCCAAATTCCAATATGGCGGTTTCTGCTCGGACATTTTCGTAAATCTCCGGAGGTTGTCCGAACCTAACTAATTCTCAAAATTCATTTCGTTCGTTGCGTATCTCGCACCTAGCAAACCGCCATATTGGAAATAGGTCTGTAAAACTTTAACTCGATGAACAATTTACAAGTCTTGATCGAAAAAGAAGTACCCCAGCGCTCATATACTTACACGGATTGATGATACTGATGTAAGACACAGTTAGAGACCAAAAGTAAGCCGCGGATCGACTTAATTCAATTTCAAAGGTCACTATTGATCAGCTGTTCACTTCTCCGTTTGAGAGCCATAAGTTTCAAAATCTAACATGGCTCTCGAAGTGAGTAAAATTTTTCCGAAAATAACATGGCAGAGAAGTATCAAAATATAAGAGGACACAGATATGATAGCTAAATTACAAAACAAACTATAATATACAAAAGTTGGGATAAATATAAATGTTTTTATTTTTACATAGACTGTTTCAATATGGTCATTTGATTGCTTATTTTTTAAATTCAAAGTACTCCCAAACATTTCTGTTTTGACTATAGGAATATTAGGTAGGGTGTCACTCAATTGCAATCATAAAGAGGATAATTGGGAGCTGTTTTGGTGTGACATTTTTCCTAAACGGTCTGCCCATTTACTTTACCTTCAGTACTGTAGATTGGGTTAAAATGACAAAATTGCCAAATTAGGTAATGTCAAATTAACCCTACCTTCAGTACTGTAGATTGGGTTAAAATGACAAAATCGCCAAATTGAGTAATGCCAAATTAACTCAATCTACAGTAATAGTCTCGTGACAGGTCGTCAGGTTTAATTAACATATTTATTAATTTTCAGATTTGATGATCATCTTTCCACCTTACTCACATAACAAAGAAAGAAAGAATGGAAAAGATCAGTGATGTCACAATACAACCATGTTCTAGTACTCCATATATAAAGCCACTGAGGATAACATACACACAGGTTAGTTACAAATGAATGGAAAAAGGTTCACTAATATTTTATGAGAGAAATTGAACAATAAATTGCTTCTGCCGAACATATCAAACAAAATTGCATTTCTGATTGCAGGATGGTGTAAAGAAGATTTGGGATGCTATGAAAGTACATGACAGGTAGGTTCTTGAATGAATATAATATTACCTCATAATTAGTGGGGTTTTAGGTATATAATAGCAGGATATAGAAATGATGTCTTGGGAAAGTTGGATGTATTACCCCATAAATTAATAGTTTTTAAATCAATTTCTAAAATCTTGGTACAGGATCAGGATGGTTACAGCAATTTCCATCCCACTTCCAATAATCCAAGCTATATATAATATGTACATATTCCTGCTGTGTATGGAATATTTCCTCAAAATTTTAAGAATGACATATTCCCTCATGGTAAGCATCAATATTTCTAAATACAGTGTACAGTAAAACCTATGTACAGTGAACACCTATTGGGCCACCAAAATGTGTTCACTGTAGCTAGGTGCTCACTACAGAGAGTGTTATGTATACAGCAGTCAGTTGACTATGTGTGGAGAAAGGCTTCTACTAGGGACAGATGTTCACTAGATAGAGGTTTTCACTAAGACATGTTTTACTGTACTTCAAAAATACATCAGTGAGGAAATTTTAACTCCAGCAATTTTCATGAATCGTTCATTAAACGGATGAAAATATTGTTTTAATTTCATGAGATTTTTGGTGCTAATATTAGGATGTGTTCTATATTTCCCTTTGTTCATGCAACCAGCATATAATGGTTGAATTAATGGATTTATACAATAGTAACCAATATCTTCATTAAAATAAAATGTGTTATCTGTGTAGAATTTGTTGATACCTAAATACGTTTCTACATCCTGCATTGCTTTTGTAGGCTGCCTCATCAAGTATACACTATCCAGTATCAATATCTGTTTCCGCGGAAATACTTTCAGATACCTTTGCAAGGGTGCATTGTATTTACTCCTTTGAATTTCTTGAAGATTTTCACGAATATTTCCAGTCACATCAAATATATAATCTTCAAATGTTTTATTTCGATGTTTGCCAAATTGGAATTTATCCATCAGATATTCAGATATTACTCTCCTTACAGGGTCACAAACCAGTAAAATCAGCTTCAATGCAGGATTCATTCTGTAAATGTCATAGGGGTCAGCACGATCAAAATATGCTGGGGTTTTCTCAAACACAGTTTCATTTTCAAAAGACACTGGGAACCTCTCCAAATAACGTTTCATTTCCTCTTCAAATGGTTTTGCATGGTCAATTGGTGGGCCACCTCTTGTTCTGTTTCTTACTTGATCAAAGAAATGGCATTCATACTCTAATCCTTTCAAGTTTGGATGAATCATCATAAATTCTTTTAATGCTCCTGTACCACATTTTTGTACTCCGATTATGATTACGCCAGGTAGTTTTTTCTGTATTTCATCAGAACTTGTATTTTCAAATATATAACACATATACAATAATATTCCTATCATTGATACCACACATAGTTTTTTCAAAGTTATTGAAAGGTAATTAGAACAGAGTTTTTGTTTTCCTGACATTGTTCTGCTGTTATATATTATGCATGGGCATTTGGCTGATTGTCACCAAGCATGATCCTATTACATCAAGAAGTGTTGTTATAGTTACAGCCAATATTTGTTGTGAATAGTGTTTAGCATTTAGCATCAGTGTTTGTAACAATTGTTACATTTTTCCATGTTGTGACAATTTTTGATTTCACTGTGACCATTATTAGCCTGTTCTCAGCCTTGGATGATTTTACAATTAATTGTATATCTGTTATTTAGTGGATTTGACAATTATATCCCAGGGCTTATGAACCATCAACCAGCTTTTATCCTTTCAGCATTAACATAATTAATGGTTTTTCAAACAATCAATTCACTCACTTAGACATCAATTGTATTAGTTGTAATGTAGCCTCACAATAGGATTAAATATATTCAGAAATATAAACATATTTTGATATATATATATATATTTTGGTCTTGATTGGCTTGATCTGTTATATGGTTTAATTTCCAGGTTTCATGCTCATACCACAGTTTTCATGTATTAAGAAACACAAAGGGCAATATGAAACTTCTTGTACTTTCAGTGTGTGTGTCCTGCTTTACAATAAATCCAGAGATTGTTTCGTTTTTGTTCGCCAATTTAGACCAGGTTAGTTTCTTCAAATTTTTCCATCAATATTCTCTCTTATTATCCTACCGAACGAAGTTCGAGGGGGATATAGAAAAGCCGCTCAGTTGTCCGTTCGTCCGTCTGTTCGTGTGTCGGCAACAACTCATATACCGGTTGATGGATTTTATTAAAATTTTATAGGCTTATGCCTTATGGGTGTAGGACTTCCGCTCGAGAAGGAATTTTCAATATGGCCGCTAAATTCAAAATGGTGGCCATTTTTCGGAAAAAAAAATCGTTGATAACTCAAATACTAGTGGATGGATTTGGTTCAAATTTTATATGCTGTTGCCTGGGTCCTGATAACCCCCAGATACTGACACCTCCCATACCAAAGAGGACGACGCCCCCGAGACCCCCAAAAACGAATCTTACTCTGAATACGCTCTCGGACGATGGGTCATATCAGGTTAATTACGGCACAACGGCAACTGGCGTATGGCGCGGACCTCCCCCTAAGAGTGGAATTTGGAATGGTTCCGATCAACCTGGAAAGGAATGGCAGACCTGGATTGGCAATAGTCAACTACGGCGACAGAAATTAGTAGCGAAACAAAAGGAATACGTCAACACGGTCCCCACAAGACAGAAAATTACGCGTGACGAAATTCCCAAGAAACGGTTAAGAGGCATCGAGTACGAGGAAGTAAGGACTTTATATTTGGAAAATATATATCAATCAAATGATGAAGAAGACGATGATACTATTGAAACTGTGAAACGGTATGCGTTGGACAACGGAATAAGGGTGAAACAAATACATGTAGTGCATAATCGTATATCATGTGACAGAGTGGGTTGTAAAATAACTGTGCCCTTACACCATGTCGATAAGGCCTTAAACATCGACTTATGGCCAATCCCAATCAAATGTAGAGAGTGGGTACGACGATCACGACGCGATGTCGTCAGGAGTGACTCATATAATGACACTGACTTAAGACCGAGGTATAACTCGCGTAATTTCTAATCCTGATATTAAGATCATGACTTTTTCTTCACTTTCACAACTTGTATTAGTCGTAATGGTAGTTATTTCCCCAGTGGAATATAAATGGCCTTAATTCATCTGAGTTATATCTAAGAGAACTTCTAAGTTCAAGTGATATTGTCGCTGACTTTTTGAAGCAAATTTGCACAAATTAAAAGCTATTGATGCTGAATATGATTCCATTGCGATTAGCTGCAAAAACCTTGATTCTATGCAATGCGGTCTGACTTGGGGCCATGGTGGGGTTGCTCTTATGTGGCGTAGATCAATTAAACATGCCATATCACCGATACATAAATTTTGTAATGATAGGATTGCATGCATTAAGGTTGAGGCAAATGTGCCAATTTTTATATTCTCTGTATATTTGCCACAGATTGGGTGTAAAAATGAAAATTTTGAAGACGTGTTGAATACACTTGAAGAATATGTGATAAGTTGTCATGTAGATGCTCAAATAGTAATTACTGGTGATTTTAATGCCAATTTAGGCAATTTATGTAGTACACGGCGTTGTACCACTAATTATAGTTATAACGGTCAACTGCTGTTTCAAATGATGCAGCGTAACGGGTTAGTTGCCCTCGATATGCAAAACATAACACAAGGGCCTAATTATACATACGAATCAGCCACTGGGTATAAATCGTATATTGACCATATTGTGATTTCTGAATCTATGCTGGAGAGTGTAATGAGCTGTAATGTTTTGTGTAGCGCATATACGTCAATGCATGGCCATTTGGCGATTAAAAGTAAGTTAGACCTGCCATCTATTAATCATGTTAAAAGCTCTACGCTCTGTGTCAAGAAGGTGTATTCATGGTACAGGGTGTCTCGCAATGAGGTAAATGTTAAGTATACAATCCCTTTGCAGTCGGATTTGGAGCCTTTAATCAGGAGTATGTCAGACAATAGCAAACTTGATTGTAAGGATATCGATAGTTTTATCGAACGTTTGATTGAAATTGTAAAATGTAGAGCTGATGATGCCATTCCTTTGAAAAAATTTATGAAGCATCAGAAGCCTTTTTGGAACAATGATCTGTCTGTTCTTAGTAAAAAACAAAAAGCAGCCTGGCATAAATGGACTAAAGCGGGGAGACCAAGGGATTCTTCTGATCCTATCAGGAAAGCTTACAAGGAAGCGAAGAAAAACTTCCGAGCTGCATTTAATCAGTCACGTGTTAACTATGAACAGAAGCAGCTTAATGATATTTACGATGCTAATGATATGGATCAAAGAACTTTTTGGTACCTCTTGAATAAAAGTAGAAATTGTACAAGTAAGTCAACGGGGTCTATCAGATCAGATTCTGGTGATATTTTAACTAATCCCACTGATATTAATAATGATTGGCAATCATATTTCAGCAAACTAGCATCATATGATCACAGGGACATTTTTAACCAACATTTTGAACAAACTGTTAAATCTGATGTGAAAAACATGAAAGTGGAATCTCTATTAAATAATGATGGTATTCTTGACTCAGAGATTACAGTTGTGTAATGAAACTTAATAATAATAAGGCTGCAGGGCATGATGGATTGAATGCTGAGCATATCAAATATGGTGGTGACTGTATGACATTGTTATTAACCTCACTTTTTAATGTTATTCGGGTCAGCGAGTACATCCCAGAAAATTTTTGCACTGGCATTCTCATTCCATTACTTAAATCTGGGAATAAAGACTGTCACAACAAGGATCATCATCGGGGAATAACACTCATGAGTATTTTAAGAAAATTGTTTGACAATATTATTCTGTTAAGAATGCTGCCTCGGCTTAGGAGTAAAATTCCCCAGCTCCAGGGAGCCTCTATTGAAAATTGCTCATCTCTTCAAACATCATTGTTACTACAGGAAACCATAGCTCATAATATTAAGGATGGCGTCATTTTGGCGTTAATGGACATTAAGAAGGCCTTTGACGGTACTTGGATTGACGGTCTGTTCTGGAAGCTATATCACAACGGTGTAAATGGTCTAGCGTGGTGAATTTTGTACCAGTCTTATTGTAAATACAAATGTAAAGTTTTTGTAAGTGGAATTTTAAACCAAGAATCTTTCAATGTCCACCGGGGAGTCCACCAAGGTGGGGTTTGTAGTATGGTCTTGTATCAGTTTTACTTGGCTGATTTATTACATGAGCTGGTTAACAGTCAGGCAGTTGCTAAAATTGGGGATCACCCTGTAGGTTGCCCGGCTTACGCAGATGATCTTGCTCTTATTACTACTGGTCATCACCAAATGAATATTTTACTTCAATTAGCTTATGATTACAGTCTTCGCTGGAGATTTGAATTCCACCCAGACAAATGTGTCATCATGTATTTTGGCCCAGGGAAAAGGGCTGCTCAAGATTTTAAACTTGGTAAAAATTCGCTTAAAATTGTTAACTCTGCTCAGCATGTTGGAATACCACTGGGTAGTACAAATGCACATGTTAAAACTGCAATATCTTGTGCAAGAAGAAAATTTTGTTCACTCTTAGGTCTAGGCAATGGGTGCGGTGGTATGCATCCCTTGCTTGGATCAAAGCTGTACTGGTCATTCTCCTATCCAACTCTGACTTATGGTTGTGCAGTAATACCTTACACTAACAATGACATTAATCTAATGGAAGGTCTGCACAAAGAGGTCGGAAAACGCATTCAGACATTACCAAAGAATACGCCAGACCCTGTCGCCACTAGTCTGCTTGGATGGATGTCTGTTAAAGCAAAAATTGACTGTGATAGATTGATGTTTCTGTATATGTTGTTAAGGCTACCTGTAAGCTGTATATATAAGGTCATTTGTTTAGAAAGGTTAATACGGATGATGTATTTAAAATCATCATCTCAAGGTCTGAAATCTCCATTATCTCAAATGTGGGATACTGTTGTGCAGTACAACCTCATAGACTATGTTAAGAACATGATTTTTAATGCAGAAATCCCTTCAAAACAAGAATTTAGAACTGTAGTCTACGGACGTGTCAAGAGTTTTCACAATTATAGTACTGTTTTATCATCATTAATGTATAAAAATCTAAACGTGGTGACAGGATCGTTGTCTATCCCGAATGTATGGTGGGTGATCGCAAAAGAAAACCCCAATGTATTTTACCTCTGTAAAATGATGGTCAAATTATTAACCTCGACATATTTTAACAGTAGACGCCGTGAGGGTGACACAACTTTATCAGAAATCTGTATATTTTGTGATCTTAACGAAAGAGAAAGTGTTAAGCATTTCTTGATTACTTGTCCAGCTTTTACTGATGTTAGAAAACCCTTACTCAATTTAGCGAGGGGTAATCTGAATGTAATGAACGACGATTATATTCTTAAAGTGATTCTAGGAACTGTATACAATGATGATAAGGAGACTCTGTTACTCATAGCTATGCATGTGTACGAGTTACACAGGCATAGGCAATTTCTTGTGGATAAAAGTTAGTTATCCTCTTTACCTTACATCAAGTAACACAAATATGTTTTATAATTTTATTTAATTTTCTCTACATGTTAATATGAATGTAACTCTCTTTTATTTAAGAGGTAAATAAATTATACATACATACATACACAAGGGAGCCTTGCTCAAGAAGACATTTTCAAGGTGGCCACCATATTCCGTAACCTTTGATAACTCAAATACCAGTTGATGGATTTGGTTCAAATTCTATATGCTGATGCCTAGAGACAAAGAAGTTCTGCTCAAGAAGACATTTTCAAGATGGCCACTGAATTTCAAAATGGATGCCATTTTTGGTAAAAAAACACAATTATTGATAACTTAATAACAGTGGATGGGTTTGGTTCCAATTTTATATGCCAATGTTTAGGGAAAAAGGAGATCTGCTTCAGAAGAAATTTCAAAGGTGTCAGCTGAATTTCAAAATGGCTGCCATTTTTCATAAAAAAGGTAGTCTTTGATAACTCAAATACCATTGGACGGATTTACTTCAAATTTTATATACCGATGCCTAGAGATAAAGGTGGCTGCTATCTATCGAAATCTCCGCCATTTTTCATTAAAAATGTTATCCTTGATAACTCAAGTACCAGTTGACAGATTTGGATTAAATTGTATATACTGATACCTTGGGGCATAGGAGCTCTGCTTAATAAGAAATCTAAAGATAACAGCTGATGGATTTGGCTCAAATATGGCCGCTTTAACATGTTTTGTTCGGTGGGATTTGCTACTCCATGGAGTTGCTGTTTTTCTAGTTGGGAAATATTTTGTAACTCTTAATAACTTTCATCTCTTCACTTATTTATATATGTTTATTTAAACCCATTTGTATAAAAAACAATTTGTTTTTTACAGCTGTGTACATTAACTCTGTTGTGACTGAGAAGCAAGCAGATGGGACAGAAACAGTGGATTCTGCCAAATATCCTGGAACCCTAGGACTCTCATATGAATGTTGTGCCGGTAAACATTTTTCAGTTAATTTAGAATCATAGAAAGAAAATTATAATGCTGCCATATATTTTACCAATGATTCATTTTAATTTTGGAAAAGATTGTTAATTGGCTGTCTGATGACAAATTACCCCAAGTTACAATAATGCAAACATTTCAGGTATTGTTGATAAGGACTGCAGTTTAGTGGAGATAGCTAAAATGGAGGTACTGGAGGAATGTGGTTATGATGTCCCATTAGAAAATATACAGAAAATAACTTCTTACAAGTAAGTCATATTTGCTTAGTTAGATTCTGTAAAGTTATAGTTATATTCTGTAATTTGGCACGCATTTTAAGTTTTTGAGCTTTTTGTGAGAAAATAAGTTCTTAAAAGTACATGTAAGTCATCTTTGTTTATAGAACTTGTATATATTGATTGATATATTGGTCACCTTGTATATACAGTTGGTTATGTTTGGTAAGTTTGCTCATTTTGGTCCCTAGTTCCTTTGCAAGATCTGACAGTGAATCATTCTCAGATTTGATCTTAGTTCTCCCTCATACTTTCAAATAGAATACCCATGCTGTATTTGCTTGAAAACTCAGATTCCATAACTCTAGTTTACTAACCCTACTATCACACCAAACTAGTTCTCACTACGTTCTCAAAAACGGGCTTCAACTGTGTACGAATGGACTGGACCTACTAAGAACCGTTTGGGATCTATTAACAAACTTCATCGAACTTACTCGAACGGGTAGGTCCTCTAGAACTTAGACAATGCTCAAAATGTTCTCGTGGTCGTCACGTTCTACAATTAGAACGAGTGACAACGTACTAACGATGAGCTGGACGTACTACGAACGGAACCGTCGTACTTCAATCCTACTAAGGACGTTTTAACAACGAGTTGAATTGTCTGAGGACGTGTTGAGAACGAGGTAGAACTAATTGCAAACGGGTTTAAACTGATTGAGAACGTATTTAACACTGCTTATGAACGAGTTAGCAAAAATATAGCTATCACACCAAACAAGTTGCCACTGCGTTCTTCAAAACTGTGTGCGAACGGAATGAACGTAGCTGCAACTTTCTAAGGTCTATTTACGAACTTTATGATCGTTCTCAGACGGGAATGTGATTTTAGAATTTTGAATCGATTCAAAATTCGATGGCGACCATAACGTTCTGTAATCAGGTCATGTTGACCTTCTAGACTAAGGGGCGTGTTCTACTACGTTGCACACCGACGTGGTGCGACCTGAACGAACTGCGAACGAGAAGGACGTATTGAAGACTGTTTAAGAACGAAGAAGCTAATTATTTCAGACATATTTCCCGACCACAGCCAGATTGAGCCCGTTTTACGACGTTTTCGTAGGACTGGCAAGAACGGGTAAGAACGAGTTTGGTGTGATAGGGGGGTAAGCTCTTAGCAGCACCACTCAGCCACTTGATCATTATTTTATCTTATCAGCATCAAATTCTGACAAAATCATTTAAAAAGTTAAAGGGTGTGGGTAGCTCGTGGCAATTCAGGTAGTCCTCTTGTGTTCCAGGTCAGGTACCGGAGTCTCAGGGGCAATGGACCATCTGTTTTGTGCAGAGGTGACAGATGTTATGAAAACTGGCCCTGGGGGAGGGCTCAAAGAGGAGGGAGAACTTATAGATCTCATTGAAATTCCATTACGGGAAAGTCGAAAATGGTTGTTTGATGAAGCTATTAATAAGGATGGAGAGTTGATTTTGTCGGTTCTCTGGTTTTATGATCATTATGGTAAATAAGTAAGTCCATTGTAGTTTGCATTGTTTTATGTCACCAACACAAGTGGTGACATATTGTTAAAGTCTCCACCTTTTTGTGGCAGCAGCAGTTGATATGTAGTCGTTAGTGTTTCGTGTTCAATGACTGTAACAAATGGCAGGTGATGAGATTTAGCATGTTAATATCTAATTTTTATTTATTATCACATCTAAGGGATATGGAGAATACCTCAATACATACATCTGTTAATCTGCCTAAGGAGATAACTCAAACATGTCAAGCTGTTGTGTTTGATAGACATATGGCCCTTAATACTTTATATATTTACATATATTCATATAAAATAATACATGAATATGCAATATCAGGTTTTAAAAATGTCTGCTGTTTTCCCTTTGGCATTCATATTAGTGTCATATTTTGCTGTATCTTTGGTGGCTCAATTGGTGTGCCTATAGAATTGCCACCTTGTTCAACTGTCCCTGGGTCCATCTTTTCTATGTCTGTAGAAACTGTAGATTCCTCATAGAACCCATGTAGGAAAATCAAAAGAAGTAAAATCCTTTCATGTTATCTTTTTTACTCTTGTTTCAGGGCAGGGGCAGGAACCACAGGCTCAACACAGACATTCTTCTATGCACACATCACTGACAATATGAAAGTATCTCAAGGAGGGGGCCTTGTAGCAGAAGGTGAACTCATAGATGTTGTTGAAATACCTGTGAAAGATGGCAAACAATGGATATTAGATGAAAGCATAAACAAACCAACTGGACTTATGTTTGCTGTCATGTGGTTTTACACTCAACATGCTGTTTAAATACCAATCTCTCCTACCTCACATTACATGTTCAATCTATGGGTTGCTATTAAAATATGTATCTAGGATGGTAAATTATCCTTTCTTTGGAGGGTACATTGTAATCTGTTTACACATCTTTAAAACCATAATCTGTGATTGTGCTGGTTGCATTCAACCATGTCTTCTGTACTTTAGGCTTATTGGATGATTTTTAATTTCTAATTATTATTTCAATTTGCATTTCTAAGCGTTAGGTAGGAGAATCAGATATTTTTCATGTGCATGTACAATACATTGATGTGTTTTCAAATGAACAGTTGTGCAGTGATACAATCAGTATTCATGAGATACAGAATTTCCATTATTCACAGGGTACAGGGTGCTATCACATCAAGAGTGTAGCAAGGCATGCAGCAGAACTACATTTGCTTCGCCTAATTTTTCATCCTGGTTACCAGTTACAGCCCTGCGTCACATGATCACAAATACAAAATGTATGGAATAAATGGATATTTAATATTTATCCCATAGTTGAGGTCAAATCTGTATAATAACCTATAAATTCATATGATATTAATTATGCTGCTTAACACAACCTAATACAATATTATTTATTGTTATTTCAGAACACATTGTTTGCTATTGAATGCCCATGATGTGTTTAAAAACAGCAATACGTCTAAGTGTATTAAGTTAGGTGAAGCAGTATTGAATCAAAAATGTACATGTAGAAATATACTTTATACCAACCTGCATTAATATGTCTGGAAAGATGGCACTATATAGTCACAAGATCACTGTCATCAAAAACCTAAAAACAGTTGATTGTTTAATGGACCAAATTGAAGCCAAATAAATGCACAGGAACCTGTATCAACACCTGACAGTGACATCTATTGGTAAAAAAAACTAGAAATTAGCCTCTTATCTAGAAGAGTTTAAGGCTTATTTCTTGTTTTTTTCATCAATAGATGTCAGGTGTTGATATAGGTTCCTGTGAGTATATGTACTAGTATTTGTTTGATTTCTTCATGATGAATTTAAAATGTAAAACATATTTTCGGTTACATAGCTTTAGTAGATTTGGAGAGAAAGACACCAGTGGGTCAGACCATAGAATTCACGCCCTACCCGAACCCCCAGGTAATATTCCTGGTTGATGACTTATATGGTAAAGCCTACCACTCACCATGTAGCTATGTTACCCTACTATCACACCAAACTAGTTCTCACTACGTTCTCGAAAACGGACTTCAACTGTGTACGAACGGACTGGACCTACTAAGAACCGTTTGGGATCTATTTACAAACTTCATCGAACGTACTCAAACGGGTAGGTCCTCTAGAACTTAGACAATGCTCAAAATGTTCTCGTGGTCGTCACGTTCTACAATTAGAACGAGTGACAACGTACTAACGACGAGCTGGACGTACTACGAACGGAACCGTCGCACTTCAATCCTACTAGGGACGTTTTAACAACGAGTTGAACTGTCTGAAGACGTGTTGAGAACGAGGTAGAACTAATTGCAAACGGGTTTAAACTGATTAATAACGTATTTAACACTGCTTATGAACGAGTTAGCAAAAATATAGCTATCACACCAAACAAGTTGCCACTGCGTTCTTCAAAACTGGTTTTAAACTGTGTGCGAACGGAATGAACGTAGCTGCAACTTTCTAAGGTCTATTTACGAACTTTATGAACGTTCTCAGACGGGAATGTGATTTTAGAATTTTGAATCGATTCAAAATTCGATGGCGACCATACCGTTCTGTAATCAGGTCATGTTGACCTTCTAGACTAAGGGACGCGTTCTACGACGTTGCACACCGACGTGGTGCGACCTGAACGAACTGCGAACGAGATGGACGTATTGGAGACTGTTTAAGAACGAAGAAGCTAATTATTTCAGACATATTTCCCGACCGAAGCCAGATCGAGCCCGTTTTACGACGTTTTCGTAGGACTGGCAAGAACGTGTAAGAACTAGTTTGGTGTGATAGGGGGGTTACAAGCAGGTAGGCACGCTACAGAGGGTGACTAAAAGTCCAAGGGTAGCATAGCATGGACCAGAAGAAATGTTCATATTAATTGCCATTGGAAAAGTTGTTTTGGGTACTATTTACCCACAGACTAAATCGGACAAAATAAGTTAAAATGTACGTGTTTGGGTAGGCAATGTCTGCTAGAAAATTCAATAAATCTGCAAGATTTATTTTTCGATGAGAAAGTTTACTAATAAATCGCAAAATGAAAACTGCACAGCTTGATAAAATCTATTAGGTGTTTCATGATTTTTTTGAAGTGATACACTTCGATTATGAAGCCCAGTTTAGCAAATGTTTTATGTTGGTTGTACTGTTGTAACCCTACTATCACACCAAACTAGTTCTCACTACGTTCTCGAAAACGGGCTTAAACTGTGCACGAACGGATTTGACGTACTAAGAACCCACTAAGAACCGTTTGGGATCTGTTTACAAACTTCATGAAACTACCCAAACGAGTAGGTCCTCCAGAACTTACAACATGCTCAAAATTTTCGGTGTTCTTCAAAAAGTTGCCGAATCCGTTTTAAACTGTGTGCGAACTGATTGAACGTACCTGCAACGTTCTACGGTCTGTTTACGAACTTCATGAACTTTCCCGGACGGGGAATGCGATTTAGAATTTTGAATCGATTCAAAATTCAATGGCGACCATACCGTTCTGTAATCAGGTCATGATGACCTTCTAGACCAAGGGACGGGTTATACTACGTTGCACACCGACGTGGTGCGACCTGAACGAATTGCGAATGAGATGGACGTATTGAAGACTGTTTATGAACGAAGTAGCTAATTATTTTAGACATATATCCCGACCGCAGCCAGATTGAGCCCGTTTTACGACATTTTCGTAGGACTGGCAAGAACGGTTAAGAACTAGTTTGGTGTGATAGGGGGGTTAACAAAATCTTTCTAAAAATGTAAAAAATGTCACATGTTCGTTTTCTGAAGGGAAAATACCCAGGGACTACAATGTACATGTTCTCATTGGTGAACTAGAAATAACTGAAATAATGACAGATAGAAAGGGAGTCATCCAGTTTTAGTAATGTGTTAAAGATGTCAGTGGAACTATTGTATGCAGGTTATCAAAACCTTTCCAAAATGTTAATTTTCTTTAAGGAAATTTTTCATTGGGAAAACTGAACAACTGAAAGTTAAATTGTATTATTAGTTTAGTATATATGTAATTTTATATTGTAATAAAAATGTTAATTGAAATGAAATATAATTTAATTTAGAATTAATTAGCTGTGTTAGTGATTCGATTGAAAAAGTTGCCATTTTTTTAGAAGCCAGTTGCAAAGTTGAAAAGTGGACGTGGGATAATGATATGAAAATCCAGCCAGATAAAGTGTGTTGAATGCTTAGATATGATTCGTCGGTCAGTACATAATGATTCCTTTAGGGAACCATCATTGGCCTCCATTTGGAGGAGGTTTAGGATGTCCAGTAGATTTAATTTGATATTATCTTTAATTTGTTCATTATTGGTTCATCTATTTGGTAATAATTATGGGAAGTTATTATTCGCCTCCTTTTTGGAATCTTCCCTGTGGAACTTTCCATACTTTCAGACTATTCTTCATTATCATCTCCGAAAACCATCCCCAGAACAGTTTTTACCACGGCACAACATACTGATTAATTTAACTGACTGTAAAGATTGAATTTTGATAATGAAATTATAAATTTTTGGGACTTAAACTTTTATGTTAGTTTTTTAACTGGGATGAAACTGTTTCATTGGTGCCGATGCCAGGATATAATTAAGTTTTCTGCAACTTAATTGGATCAACTAACAATTGGATTTTACTTTGATTTTCATCACAACTCGGATTTAAATTGGATCATCTTTACAACTAAAATTATTTTGGGATTACCTTTTCAAACACTGTTGGATTATGCTGAGTAACTTCTGTGAGTAATAACACATAGTCTAATTCTTATCTTTCTCTTAGCCACAGATTAATATAAACAACATTATCATTGGAGACAAGGAACAAGTATCTCGTTTATAAACAAATTTGCTTTTCCTTATGACATGAACAACTATGCCAGAATGCGACGTTTGTATGCCAATTGAGACACATTTATGCCAAATCATAATTGAGCGTATTCCAAACTCTCTTTTCCTAAGGAATTCCAAAATACCGCATTCGCTATACTGAGCTAGAAATATTGTAAACATACAATCAACTCTGTGAAATCATAACAATCACAGAGTTGATTGTGTAATAAATGTACTGTCTATTTGTATAAACAATTATACCGATGAGGAATCTTCGGTCTCAGGAAAGAAAGCTGGATGATTTTGCCACACCAAACTTGGCACCAGTTTTCTATTCTCTGGGACCGACATTCCATCATCGGCTATTTTAGTTGGCTAATTTTTAGTCGGCTAATATTATTAACTAATTAACAAAAAGAAAACCAGCAGACTATAAAAAGAAATGTTCCAATGAATTAATTAGAATTAACATTTAGATTTTGACAAAGAGCACGCTACCAAGAAAGATATTAAGACATGGAATATAAAAACTATTGTAAAAAATAAAAAAAAATAGAGTAAAATATGAATCAATAAGCAAATAGAGAATTTATGTTAACTTTATATCTGATAGATATAAAAAGACTAACATTGGTGGCAGCAGTAATGGACTCACGTCTTGGAAATATTTAGGAACAATTAAAAAATATTTCGATGCAATTGAAGATAGAAATAATATGGAAAAACTTTTGAAATAAACTTGGAACATAATCTGAAACACAAATGATTGAACTTATAGAAATCTTCAATAGTTTTGATAGGAATATGGGACATTTATAACTTGGACATTTTTCCGGAATCGTATTTCTTACAATTGCGAAACAATAATAGGATTGGATCGATAATAAAATAAACTGAAGATAAACACGGTAGGTGAAATTATTGATTATACGAGGGTTGATCATAAAGTTCTCATAATATCTCTCTATCTTTTTTATTTTTCAATATTTTCCTATGAAATCTTCACAGAATGTGCAGCATAGAATGTTTTATTAATCCAGCAAAAAATATTTAGAATAACAGAAACATTAGATAAGAAATGGTTGCCATAGTAACTTGAAATCAAGGCACCCGGGGCAAATAAAAAAACTAGCTAGAATAGCCCACATTAACCATGTTTAAATACACAATACGCTGTCAAATAAGCTATCAAACACATTAAATTGTCAAATGATATGTGCTCTTGACTGTTGTGAACTATTATAATGGTCATGTGAATTGTGTGATCTCATAATGGATGATTGTTATGCTTCATGAGAAGTGACTGCTAGACCCCATGACTGTTTTGTCAAATATCCTGTGGAAAATTAATTTTGCCCTTTTAGATCGTTTTTAACATGTACAGACCACACACAGAGTGTAATTTTGCTGATATCTGAGCAATATATTTGTTTTAGATCATGTTTAGTCTGACCAAAGGATCTTACAAACTTAACATTACATTTTATCAGTATGAATTTTATTTTTCTGAAGATCTCTGTATCTATTGCATTCTCTTACTCAGTCATTTCTGATCATTAGCTTTGAGTCTCAGACTCTGGTATCACATCTAATGAAGCATGAAAGCATCCCCTATGACATCACACAATTTACATGATCATTTTATTTAATTGTTAAAGCACTTAAAGGGACAAAGTGCGTAAATGAAGTCTCAATTGTGATCTTCATAGTATTTCCAATGGATTAATAAACACCTGATCTTTCATATGACACCAAAAAAAGCTCAAGCAGACCTCATCAGAGTTGACACTAGCTCATGAAAAAATATTTTTGATCTAACAATTTATGTATGTCAAGTTTTTAGCAATGCCATAGAAAGATGGCATTGTTGTTT